TCCTTGTTGCCTGCTTAGACTCTTGGCACTCTTAGGTGAGCAGACTTAGTCAGCCTGTGTTGCCCTTACACCCACTTGGTCTACTTGGGATCAGCTGTCCCACAAACTTTCCTACACTTCTATTGGAAGCATTGTTGGTCAAGTTATCCTTATCCAATTGCATATTGGAATCCTCTGTTTCCATTTGCTCCCTAGGAGCACTGGGACCAGCAGCCTGATCCCTGTATGCTGGGTCTGGTTGAAAGGGACTCCAATCTGAGTTTCACCCAGGCTCAGAAAAGCTCAAAGAGCCTTGCATGGTTGTGGGTGTATCTACAATCCCAGGTCCCAAGGCTTTAGGACCAACCTTGGTCTTCCGGGGATGTTCCCGTTCTGCCATTTTTTGTTGGTCTCTGTTATATGGAGACCAAGATCTAACATGGAGTGGTTGTTGCTCTAGTCTCTGATATACTCTGATTGTAGGAGTAGTGTAAAAAAGTGAAAGGGCTTACGATGCCCTTTCACTCCCAATAGGTACACTAATCCAATGTATTACTATCTAGTAGTAATACAATGTGGGTGTACTAAAGAGAGATGAGAGAAAAGGGTGGCCTACAGCCACCCACTATGTGTAAGTCCATCGGACGATCCGATGACCCTAGAGGCGGTGTTACCGTATATGGTAAGTATGGGGATATCTACGTATCCCTTACACTCCTCGACTGTGATGACTTGTGCGTTGGCGATGAGCAAAGGTTCATTGTTGATCGCTGTCGTTGCCATATCCGTGTCGACCACTCCGGGGTGTATTGCCAGCGTGACTTGTGCCTCCTTGTCAGCATCGCTCTGGTCCCTTCTTCGCGATTCAGAAAACACACCAAGTTCAGGATGCTCATAATGAAGCTTGGCAGCCACCCAGTTGACAGCTGCCTTGCTCATACCGTAGGCAGTCATATTTGCTAGAATTGATGGACCAATAGCAAAGCTTCCCATTCCGGCCGAGATGACAACAAACTTCGGAGCACTGGCGGTAGTCGATAGCAGTGGGTACGCGCATTGGAACAGGATGAGAGGGCCGAGCACGTTGACCTGATCAACCGGATCAACCAAGCATCGCGCGGCAAACTCGAGTGTCTTCGTCATACCTCATGATGTTCTCGGATCGCGTCGGCTGATAGCTCCAATGTGGGCGCAAATTCGCTGCATATCCCAGCATTGGCTATGACGACATCCAACCTACCGACGTCCTTCTTGATCTCGGCCATGGCGGCTTCGTTGTTCGGTTTATCGGTGGACAGCAGTTTCAAGATACGGATCTTGCCTGGATACCGCGCCTGAAGAGCGTGCAGTTCCGAAACACCGGTGTCCAGACGACGAACGCCTGCAACGACAAGCACATTATCTCGTGCTGCCAACTGAGCCACCATGCCCAGCCCTACACGACTGTTGAGATAAGTAACAGAAGTGGTAATTCCTCATACCGATTCCGCGATTGGCACCAGAAATGAGATAAACGGTCGCAGACATTAAGCGCGAGGCACTGCAAAAATGAAGAGAGAACACACAGATGTGTAAGCGTTTGAGACAGCCTTCCTTGAAGACCTCTTTAGCTATTCACCCTTTCTAGAGAAGTACAAGACAGCCAGCAACCGCGATATCCCACGAATCATGCAAACGCCAGCAAGGTCTCCACTCAACTTTCGTCCCGAAATCCCCGAAGTGCACGGGGCCATATCACTTCCGAAGCATCACATGTACCTCATCTCAGGAGACAGAATATGAGATAGTCGAATCGATGCTGGCACATGTTAGAGTGATCCGGGGAGGCTACGCGCACGATTGACCACGGCGGGGCAAGTACCGAGGGACAGATTCGATATCTTCATTATCAGCCAATTTTCAGGGGCCATGGACAATAACACCGCGATTTCAAGTACAATTCGTCAATCACCATGGCCAAACAACACCATCATGCCCTATCATCTTCGGTCCGTCTGGCTCGCGCTTGGCATTATCGACAACATTCAATATGCCAGTCACGCTTTCGTCCACGCTGATGAGGGGCATGGACTCGCGGACGAATGGGTCTTCTTTGTGGGCATTTGCACCCATGTCAGTTGCCACGGGGCCGGGGTGGATGAGGACGGACACTGTTATCACTGTCAATACTAAAGTAAATATAACGGGCGAAGATTTACCCAGCTCTGGGTGCTCAGAATGCAGTTTCATCGCCAGATAGTCCACAGCAGCCTTGCTGGCACCATAGGCAAAAAAGCCGGCTGGAAGGGAAGCTCCTGCAGCAATACTACCTGCGACCGAAGAGATGATAGCGAATTCCGGCTTTGTCGAAAGCTTGAGCAGTGGCCAAACGGACTGGAAAAGCACCGTAGCCCCAATCACGTTGACTTCATAATGCTCGCGCATCGCCGCATCCGGGGTTTCTAGAATACTACCCCAGAAGTTGGCGATGCCAGCATTGGCGATGACGACATCGAGCTTTCCTGCTATGCGTTGGATCTCCGAGACAGCGGCGAGGTTATCAGATCGGTAGGCAGAAGTCAGAGGTAGAATGTGGAGCTTTTCGGAATGGTTGGACTGAAGAGAAAGGAGGTCGCTAGCACCAGCCGGTTTGCGAACGCCCGCAAAGACAATGACGTCAGGGCGGTCTAAAAGCGATTTGACGATACCGAAGCCTTAAATCACAGATCAGCGAGGGCTTGGGTATAGCCTTCGAGACATACCAATGCCACGGTTAGCTCCAGAGACGAGATAAACAGTAGGAGCCATGGGGTGTCCCAGAATGTAATTCGGCGGTATTTGATAGGTAGAAGGTTGTTCGAGGAGGTGACGACTCTGCTCTGTTTGCTTGTGTCTACCTACCTCATCGTTCGACCGACACGTTTTATACTCGACGGGATGGCTAGCTCATGCTTCTATGTGCTGCTGGGGGAACGAGGTCGCTGATTATAGCAGATCTTAACAAGAAGCGGCATGTTCCATGTGCGATCATTAGACAAAGTCATCAGCAGCGTTTCCCGCCGCTAAACGCCGTCGACGATTGCTAACATATTGTGCCAAGAGTTCAAGTATGATCGGAGTTGGTGGCAGAACAGAGAACTGCCTTTGTGTAGGCTGATAAAGCTGCGCTGGCTCTTTCGGAGATTGCAGCATCACGTAACAAGGCTTTGTCAAGACCTCAGGGTTGGCCATCTTCAATGGCGTAAGGCGCTCATACCTCCTCACCTCGACGACGTCCCACACTCCTCAGCGATCCGCTGCACAAGCCCGACCGCTGTGTCCTCTCCACAGACATGCACTTCTTGCGCATTCGCACCTAGGAGCACCTGCATCCAGCTCGATCCCCGATCGGGGTCCGCAAGCAGCTGTATCTCGTCGAGCACCACGACGTCCAATTCTGTGCCGCAAGGGGTCATCTCCACCGTACAAGCAAGATGACTTGCCCTTTCCCCAACCCAGCGCTGTTCCTCCCCAGTGAGGAGGTTGCACGCCCTAGCCAGGAGGTTCCATTTTCGGGCTACGTGGAGGTCCGGGTGGGAGAGCTGATTCCGGGCGTCGGTGAGGAACTTTGGGATGAGGGAGGAGAGCGTCGCTGGGGGTACATGGAAGGACTTGAGCGCGGATATGGTTTAGGCTGGAGGACAAGAAGCAGCTGAACGAAGTGTCTGATCTTGGATTCCTTTTGCTCCCGCTCGACGGTTGTTCGTCACCTCGCACAGAACCTATCGAGGGCGCTTTGATTCTTGCCACCACATCTCTGCGATGTCAGAGTTCTGGGTCTCTCACAAACGCTTCTCCATATCCTTTGCAAGGCGAAGATCGTTCATCAAGTCCACGAGTCGCGCCACTCTCCCTCCCTCCGCATCGTTTGTCAAAAGGACATCGCTCAGAACGGTCGCGACGGTCCTTCCTCGCCCGCTATGAACCCGCCATATCGAGTTGCACCATGGGACTGATTTGTCTCTTTCCATTGGTCCCCAAATTTTCATTACGAGGACGGGGGGAAAGGAGATATTCACCCGTAGACCCATTATCTGAGGTCCATGACGGTCTCCATGTACGATCACGTGATTACATCAACCGTTGAACTTCCAGACCGCTCGGCAGCACATCATCAGATAATTGATGTTCTCAATACTCTCTCTAACCGCTGGAGTGCAGAACATCCACCGAGAAGTCGTTGCAATTACTTGCCTTCTTAAGCCTGGAAACCCCACGGAGAAAATTCTGCCGTGCAACGCAGCCTCGCACTCACGCACACTTGATCAACCCCAGCATGGTGATCTGCGACATAACTTGAAATGCCGAATTTCATTGATTTTCGTGAAAAGCCTTGTTGAGCCCAGGATCGACACACTTGGAAGGACTCCAACACTACTCTTCATTGCCATGGTTAAATTATAATCGATTGACGGAATTCTCGGGCTTCTGTTGTGAGTACGTCGACGCTGCGGAATATCAGGCTTATGCCCCCTTTCCTTCTCTCTCTTCCCACAAGATATCATCCCTCCACATCCACGTGCCGGACAGTACCGCAGCCGGTCCCATCAGGACAAACGCAGCAGCCATAAGCGCCCACGTCCCCAGTTCCTGGAATTCTTTTCTCGCCCTTGCAGTTCTTGTCTGCACGACTGCGATGAGCGCTGCGACCCATGTGCTGAGCCAGATGAAGATCCAATTCCATTTGAGGAAGTTGGCGAGCGAGTGCCAGAGGTGGCCTTGTGGGTCTTGTAATGGGTTTGGCAGGGGTAGGACTGGGAGGAACGTGCGTGCGTATGCTGTCCACATACGGTTGTAGCCCCCATCCAAGGGGGCTGCCTCCAACAGCGCCAGTACGTGCACCACTGTTCCCAGGACCACTCCAAGCCCCTGCGCCATACGCGCCCAGAAATCGCCCAGTTCCGGGTCTGGCCCTTTCGCCGCGGGGCGGATAGTTGCCCATACGTCTCGTGCAACGGGCACAGTAAGTGGGAAGAACTGCCACAGCAGTGCCCACCGGTCGTCTTGAAAGAACAGCATGCCAAGCGTGGGGATGCCGTAGCCGATGATGATACCGACGAAGACGGCTTCCCCTCTATGACTCGGGATGGGCAGGCGGGGCGGGCTGGTGACGAATAGCAGCATGTAACAGATGGGAAAGATAGTTGCGCCGGCGATGTTCTGGTAGAGAAGACCCCAGAACACCGGGTACCGGATCCATACACTCGCGCTTGGCCGCTCTGCTTCGAGGAACAATACCCCCAAAACGGGTATAATCGTCACCACCAGCTCCCAGGTCAGCTCCCTTCCACCACCGCCAGGCGCGGTCCCGGGAGAGATTTCAGGCCATGGAGAGTGGATAATGAGGCTGAAGAAGGTCGTGAGCTGGCAGAGCGCGTCGTTCGCAAGGACAGTCCAGCCACCGAGCCAAGCAGGAACCAAGGCATACCGCGCTGGGGGGCCTTTTGGCGGGCAAAATGTCATGAGCGTCAGCGTCGCGTCTGGAGATTGGTTGCGGACGGGAGTCCATATGATTGCCCATGCGATGGCGGAGAGGGAGCTGAAGATGAGAACGATGACGATGGCGGGCAGTGGAACGGACGCGAGTGTTTTGGCTGGGTTCTTTGAAGGTGCACTTGGAGACGCTGGCTTTTCGCGGGATGTCGGCGTTGCGGCGTCCTTCGTCGACATAGTGGGAGACGATGGAGTGGAGAAGGACGACGTGGGCCCGAGTTTGGACAACGTTCAGGCTACATAAAGACGCTGGAGAAGACTGATGATAGCAACGACGCGTACACTTCGGATTACCGGATCCGGCAATTTCGGCCAGGGTTCAGCTTCCCGGCCGAATTCCATCACGATGGGAAGATGAACTGTACGTTTTCACGAGAATAGTAAAATCGTATTACGTCCTGCTGCTTACCCGATTTGCTTCGTCCATAGAATGGAGTATGTCTTGTACAGTACAAAGGACGCGATTTGTAAACCTTACACAGTTTCCTGCTTCTCCTTCTCTGCATCACCCACTTCGATACGGACAAAGTTCACACTCGCCTTCGCGGGGTTTGGTGAGTTGAAGATCTCTTCCAGTTCTGTTTCTCCGTGAGCTGCCTTTCCGGCCAGAGGAATTTATGAACTCGCCTTCGAGTGTCCTTCCTTTGGTCTCGACGAAGAAGAAATATACAAACAGCCACTCGAACACGTCCCAGAATGCGAAGAACGCGTAGAACCAGTAGCGTATCTATGGCGGGGTCGGGATGAGTTTGTATTATAGAAAACAAATGAACCGCACATACGTTGTTCATCGCAGTCGGGGCAGCGAACACACTCACAAAGCTTCCCGCTCCGGCGACGATACCGCATAGGCACATCCCCTTGGCACGCATGTCGTTGCTCATCACCTCTCCGGGATAGATAGGATGCATTGAAGTGAAAGCCCAAGCATACGAGCACCCGAGTCCATACGCAAAGGCAATGCATGCCTTGGACGCTGTCTGACTACCTGTGTTGAGGAAGTCCGCTGCAGTGCCCGCAACAATTGAGAGTGAGATGATCATCCCCGTGCAAGAGATGAGGAACATAGTCCTCCGACCAAGGATGTCGTGGAATCGCGCCCCAACGGTGGATACAACGTACCCAAGAACGTTGTAGATGATATTATATTCGAGTTGCTTCGTGGTGTCTGTCACGCCAATGTTCTGTAAGAGCTTGGGAAGATAGTAAACGGCAATGCTGGTGACGATAAGCGGCTTTCCTGGGAAAGGGCAGAGAATGGGCTTACTTCTGCCCAGAGAACTGCCCGAACCAGGCAAAGGCAATGCTAATCGATTATTCAGGACCTCCGCATACGTACTAGTATTGAAGACATACCCGACAAGCATGCGGAACCTTCTTCCAGGTGTGTTGAACAACGGGCGCCAATCGAAAAACTTTGCCCAATTCAGCGGACCCTCACGGACCAATGCTTCGCGCATCTCCTTCATGGTGAGTTGTACCAGCGGATGGTGCTCGTCCCCGTTTGCATGATATTTGACGAGCATTGCGCGTGCCTCTGCTTCACGTCCAACTCCAATCAGCCTGTGATTGTACATTCAAGTATGTGACGGCACAAGTATAGGAAGAGCTTACCAGCGGGGAGATTCGGGACAGAACCAGATAAAGACAAGGACGATGGCAGGGCACGCCATTTGCAGCCAGAGTGGGAGCCGCCAATCAGTTTGTGTCGAATCGCCCATGTGTACATGCGCCCCATACACAGAAGTTGATGCCAAAATAGAACCAAAATAAAATAGGGTGTTGTACAGGCCCGAGACCGTTCCCGAGTAGAGAGACGGAGAAATCTCGATCATGTAGCACGGTGCTGCAGTCGAAGCGATCGTCCCAAAGAAAGAGAGAAGGAAGCGGCCGCCGATGAAGACAGGAAGTGTGCGTGCAGTAGAAGTGATGCAAGTACCAACGATAACACCCGCGCAACCAATGGCCATCGCCCACCGACGACCCAGCCAATCGGCGAGGAACATCATGAAGGATCCGACCATTGATCCCACCTAAGCAGACATGAATGGACTGTCCAAATACACATGGGAAGAATGCGCACATTGAAGATTGCAAAGACGATACCAGTTGACGTGTTGCCAGATGCGGGAAGGCCATAGTAAGCAGTATAATTAGGGAGGGCATTGATAGACGAAAGCAAAGCGCCATCATAACCTTCGCAAAAGTCAAGTAGAGTCCAGTATAGAGAGGTGGGAGAGGACTCACCGGTCATAGTTGAACAAAAGAAGACGATGAAGCTGGCTAGATACAATTGCAGATATCCCGATCCCCAAGGATTTGGCTTGTCAACGGCGAGCGCACCAGCCAGACGTTCATCTACCATCACCATCTGTTTGTGTGCATGATGATGGGTCGATGGCCCAGGGATAGGCCCTGCATGCTCGAGATGCTCGATCTCCGCAACAGGTGCTTTCTCTTTCTCTTCTGGTGTATAGGACATGGCAGTAACCGGGATAAGGCTGGAAGAAGGTCGAGAATGGAGATACCGATTCAGGCACTCAACCGTATTGAAATTCATCTGATTTTATAAGCCAGGCTATCGTGGAGGAGTGATGATCCGATCATGGGTGGAGCCCCAAATTAGAAACGAAGAGAAGTCTACACAGCTGACCTTCCAAAACAGTCATTGCGGGGCCCCGCCAGAACCATTGGTTAGAGCACGCCGAGACTGGGGTAAATCGATGGAGGCACACATCTCAGGGAATTGATCGCCATGGTGTGCATAAATTGATGAATATGTTGGTGGAGGAAAGTGGGCAAAAGCAGATTAAAACTGATCGAGAGCCGTAACACACTGGCAGGTGAGACGAGGTAGCTCCAAATTAAGTTGGAAGAGCGTGCTGGTGGAGGTGCGTAGGCCACAGGACGCGCTGAATGTAGAGCACTCTAGAACAGAAGTAGCGGGTGGAGGAAGTTACGTAGAGCAAGATGGGTGGCAGTATATGTGACAACGACGCTTCGTTCGTGCGAGAACAGAGGAGGAGACACGGATTGTCAAAGGAACATGGAACCCGAGATTTGCTTCCTTCCCAAACCTTGACCTAATGACGTAAAGGTTCCGCGTATAAATGCGGAGTGAATGAATTGACCTGTATCGTTTTGAGCGTTGTTCCCGTCGGTGAGAAGAACAGCCGAACATTACTTCGGCACAAACCAACAACCATCTCGGAGCTCCAGACGTAAACTCCGGCTGCACGAGAACACATGAGTCGGACCAGCCCAATTTTGTCGATGCTCGTGACTAGGCACGAGAGGTCGGCCGTCGTTGGACCGGTGGAGGAGCATCACCAGTCTGCGGAACAACAGTTCTTATAAACCCCGTGGTACCATATCAACAGACAGAGCTTCAACAGGAAACTATCCTGCAAGATGCCAGTCGAGTACAAGTTTTTGACGCAGGAGCAGCGGGACCACTTTCTGGAGCACGGGTGGCTCAAGATTCCCAATGCGATCCAGAAGAAGTATGTTGACGATTTCATGTCAAACTATGTAAGCTTTTCTAGCTCAAAAGCGTGTACCCGCGGCGTCTAAATTCGTTATCAGTGGATTCGCATGGACTATGATGAGCACGATCCCTCGACATGGAAAGAAGAATACGTCAAGCTGCCGCGTCATCGGGATGTAGGTAGTCTTCATCTCACATCTACGTCTACCTGCTCATCATACAAAGATTCCCGTCTCCGAGTTCTGCCCTGATGCCTATAAGGCGATCTGTAACCGATTTCTACCTGGTTCTTAGTGATATTCTCACACATGCTGTTTAGGTGATATCGTTGGGGGCGAGGAGCGTCTCGACCCTGTGCGAAACAGCATGCACGGCGACCAATTCATCGTCAACAACGGGAGCGAGTACTGGGAGAAGGTCTGATAACCCCATTCTCAAGACTCAAACATTCATTCCTATCAAATAGAACGAGTATCCTCCTCAGACCGCCAAGGGCTGGTGAGCTTTGGCTGACTGTACGATCGGCAATGCTGAGAGTTAATAGGCACACCGACAATGACTGGTATCGCCAGTTCCTCGACTCGGGTGAGATCGCACTCACGATCATCCACCTGTTCACGGACATCGAGCCGCGTGGTGGGGGGACGTACATCTGCGAAGATGGGTGTGTCTCCTCTTTCCCCGCTCCTCTCCCTCTTCTCCCTCCTCTCTTTTGGGCCAAGTCGGTACTAATTTATGAGAAAGGATGAAAGGCGTGTGTAAGTTCTTCCTCAAGCACAGGGAGGGTCTCGATCCACCATTCCCGCCCGAGACATACGCGCACATCAAAGATTGCAAAGTGTTCACTGAGGTCCGTTTATTCCCTCGTCTCGTGGCCAAACTCACCGAGTGGCAGATGACTGGCAAAGCAGGAGATACGTTTATCACCCATGTGTACCTGGTCTGTTCTGCCTCCCTGTCTCCGCTGCTCCGTAACTCTCTGTTGACATACTGTAACAGCCACACGCCGCCTCGCAGAATCACATCCGCAAGCCACGGGTACGTACCCCTTCCCCTCTCCTCCTCCCACCTAACTCCCCATAGGTGATTTCCAACCCCCACGTTTCCCTCTCCTCCCCGTTCGACTTCTCCCGCCCCGCCGCCGACCTCTCCCTTGTAGAGCAAGTCGTCCTCCGGGCGCTCGGACGCCCTCTCTCCCCGGAAGAGTACCTCCCAACCGCTCCAAGGCGGAGCTACTATCCCAGGAACTACACGTACAAAGCCGCGCGCATCGAGGAAGAGCTCGAGCGGCTCACCGCCGCCGCGGAAAAGCAGGGCAAAGGCAAAGAGAGCGTGGATAGTGTCTATTTACGAGGGGGCGAGGAATTGGAAGCGTTCAATTTGCGCCAGGGACTGGATAAGCCTCATGGACCGAATAAGTTCCCGGAGGGGACGAGGAATCATATTTTTATGGAGAGCAAGCGGGCGGTGGACAACCCTGTGGAGCCGATGTGAGCTGTTAGGGCGCTGTAGTAGTAGCTAGGATCTTGTACTGCAGAAGTATCGGAGAATGAAGGATGAATATGCCTCATACGGCAGTCCAGAGATGTCTCAACTCGAGTTGGAATCCAAGTTGGTGGCAGATCACGAGATGTCTCAGGACGACGAACGTGCATCGATCGGGATACGAAAAACCGAAAGCCGAACAAGTTGGGAGAACAGTTGGCACGTGATACTCGTCGGACAGCGTGTGTTGCGAACACTGGCGAGTTTCAGTGAGCGGCATACGGGATGCTGATACCATCCAGGGCATACGCTAGTCAGAAAGGAACCTCGATTTACCAGCAGGATGAACAGAACAGGCAAAACGTGCGCGTTCTGAACAGTACAGACTCGACAGACCAAACAAGCAGGCTAAAACAGAAAACACAAGCGCTTCAAATGCCTCCCCTCGGATAACAGACCCCTCTCTGAGTCAAAGTGGCATCCACAAGGCCCCATCAGCTACTGTCCGAAGCCTAGGTCGGCCCCGCTAGCCAAGGCTTATGGATCCCGACCCACTGATCAAGCTCTTTCCAAAACTGGGCCACGACGGACTTGTCGACGTGCCTTCTTGACTGGTCGATCTGCGGGTGAAAGGGGTTTGTCAGTTCGAGATTCACACATGGGATGTGGAAGAGGGGACGGGAAGGAATTGGGAAAGGGATGAGGATGAGGAGGATGCGCACTTTTAGAACACTGACGTTCCAGTCCTTGACGGAGGCGTTCGAGGGCTCATGAGCCCACTGGACGTACACGCCCTTGACGTGGTGGAAGAGCTGCTTAGGGTCGGGCCATTTGTATGGCTTAAATTGCCAGCTTTGGCCTGTGGTGAGGACGCAGACGACGCGGTCCCTGAGCGTTGGAGTTCAGGGGGAGGGTGCACAAGGGACAAGGGAAGGGAAAGAGTACGTACCACGGATCACCCCCAAACCCGAACTTTCCCAACGCCTCCACTCCATCAACAACAAAGTACTTTCCCAGTCTCTCCTGTACCTCTCCGCTTGGGAGGGTGACGACCCGCTTCCGGTACACGGGGATGACGTCCTCTGCTTTCTGGATCCCTTCGGCGAGGGCTTGGTCGCGCGCGACGGAGGAGGGGAGGAAAGATGCAAACTCTAGGAAGAGCTTGACGTTGTGCATTGTTATGAGCGAGGTGGGGGAGGAGGAGATCATTATTATGGGGTGTTGGTTGCCTGCGGGAGCGTGAGCGAGCAGGGAAGGGGAACAGGGAAGACACGAACGGGACTTTTTGGCCTTAGCTTCTGGTGCTGGGCGGGCAGCAGGCTTTTGAGGATCTTTCGATGCTTTGAGCCGTTTTTGGATGATAGTGCGTAGTTCGGAGTAGTTCTGCAGCGAAGGGGGTTAGACATGTGCGGTAGTAGCAACCAGGAACAGTGTCAGATGGAAGGAAGGGAGACGAACATTCAGTTTCCATCCCCGAAGGACGCTGTTTCTATCTCTCAACAGCACCTCCTCTGCCTTCAAGCGCTTGACAAATTCTCGATCCCCCTCATCCGGCACGTATCTGCGTTTCTTAGATTCGCGGAACTTGTCGAGGTACCCCGGTGGGGGGGAGCCAGGGGGTGTGAAGGGTCCTTCGGGGGGTGCGATGTACGCTTTCTTTTCTGTTGGAGAGGGAAGGGGTACGAAGTTCTCCGGCTCTGGGGCGGTGGCATCTGTGAGCCAAGCAAGGACGGCACGCCGATCTACGAGGGATACGGCTGGGGAGGAGAGGGCGGCATCGCGTGCTTTACGGAAGTAGTCGCCTGGCCCGTCTGCACGTGCTAGGTAGACATAGTAGACAGAGTCGAGGGTGTAGAACTTGTCTGGTTCTTGTTCTGGTGATGGAGGTGGAGAGGAGGGAACGCCTGCGCGGAGGAGACGTGTGGGAGTTGACTTTGGTAGAGTGAGAGGTGGGAGGAGGATGTGTGTGCTTATTGCGAGTGAAGGTGCGAGCTCGTCGTTGTTGGCGGAGGCGGAGAGGAGGAGGAGAGGAGGAGAGGATGACTGGAGTGATTGACGGAGGAGGAGGAGAGGGTCAGTGGCCATGATGAAGCTGAGTATATGCGCCTAATGTGTTGAGTGTATGCGCCTAACAGAGAGCTCGATGTATGCGCCCTGAATGAGTGGCGATTCATGAAGTGCCTGCCCTAATTAATCGCCCATTCAGTGACGTTGCGTTACTGCTCCCGCTGCGCGTTTCCTGTTCTCATTCTCTCCTTCCTCCCTCCTACCCCCCCTTCTTCATCAACCACCACCATGGCTTGGAATCCCCCTCGTCAGAACTATGGTCAACCGTACATTCACCCCAACATCCCTCTCCAACCTCCTCAGCCGTATCTCCGTCCTTCTCCATCTCCGATGGTTCTCTCACAGCCTGCTGGATTCCCCATGCAAGGCGGTATGGGAGTAGGCGGGTTGAGCGCCCAACCTACTGGTTTCCCAGGCGGAAGGCTCATGCCCCAGCCTACTGGATTCCCAGGCACTGTGGACCCTAGACTGCTCACGATGGCGAATACGTTCATGCCTGCAAACCCTTCTGCACCATACACCGGTCAAGGCCCTCAAGGTCTCTCCCTCCCCCCAGCGCTTCCAACCTCCTTCGCTGCCCCCGCTCTCCCCCAGCTGCCGCAGCCCACAGGAGCTCCACAAGCAGCGAAACCCACTTCCTGGGCCCTGACACGCGAAGAAAAGAAACAGTACGACTCTATCTTCCGCGCATGGGACACGTCCAACACCGGGTTCATCGATGGGTCGACCGCCCTCGAAGTGTTTGGCCAGAGTGGGCTGAGCAGGGACGAGCTGGCCCAGATTTGGACCCTTGCGGATGCGGATAATAAGGGAAGATTGGATCTCGGCGAATTTCATGTTGCTATGGGGCTCATCTACAGACGTATGCCTTCTATTGTCCCAGAATGAGAAGGGTCTTACCTGTTTTTAGGGCTCAATGGTGCACCTGTACCTCAGACACTGCCGCAAGAACTCGTGCCCCCCTCGTCAAGGGACCTGAACTCCTCCGTAGACTTCCTTAAAGACCTCCTTCGTACCGACACGCGCTCCGCTACTCCCCCTTCTTCTTCTCCTGGAACCCAGCCAACGTCCTACGCCAAAACGCGTTCCTTGTATTCCTCTGCCACTCCGGCGGCGCGCAAGGACGCGACAGTGTATAAACACGATGACGACGATTCTCGGGGATACGCGAGCAATAAGCGGCATATTGACCGCCGTGCCGTACGCTTTTCGGGTGAAGAGCCCGGCGAAGGGAGGCGCGAAGACCTCGGAGTTATGCGTCGCGAGCTGGAGGAAGCGGGGCGCGCTCTGGAGCGCAGTTCCCAGGTAGATAGGGAGGACGAAGTGCTCGATAAAGAGCTTGATGACCTGCGCTGGCGCGTCAGGAGAGTCAAGGACGACCTGGACTTCGCCCAGCGCCGAGGTTCGTCTTCGACTGCGGAAGAGAAGAGGAGACTGGAAAGAGAACTCTGGGGACTGGTGCATGAGAAGATCCCCGAGGTGGAGCAGAAGGTCGAGGAGAGGGAGAGGAGGAGGAAGAGGGATGAGAGAGATTGGGTCGAGAGACGGGATGGGAGGAACGATCGGAATGCTGGGAGAGGGTTCGAGAGGGGGACGTTTGATGAGAGGGATAGAGAGGACAGGGGCAGGGACAGAGACAGGGATCGGGAGTACGATGATCGTGACCGCGAACGCGACAGAGAGAGGGACAGGGATAGGGGATACGACCGTGACCGAGAAAGGGACAGGGAGTATGACCGTGACCGCGACCGTGATCGTGCCCCCGACCGAGAACGGGACTACGACCGGGATCGCGATCGCGACCGTCCCCGATCCCGTGGAGAAACGCGTTCCCCCGCTCCTCCCCCTTCTGCGCCTGCACCCGCTCTCGCACCCCCTCCCCAGGCACCAGCGAGGACGCCTACCCCTGTCGCCAACACCCGGAGCATGACGCCCTCTGAACGATCCGCGTTCCTGAAAGCCGAAGCGCAGCGCAAGATCCTGGAACGACAGCGCGCGCTTGGGCTTGCGCCGTCCCCTTCCCCTCAGACGGACACGGCCAGCGCCCCTGCAGGTGTAGGGACGGGCGGGGTGGACGAGGAAGTAGAAAAGAGGCTGGAGGAGGAGAAGCGGGAGAAAGAGGAGAGGGGTCGGAGGGGGGAGAGGGAGGCTGAAGAGAGGGAACGTGTCAGGAGAGAGAGGATTGAGCGCGAGCGAGGGGCTGCCCCTCCTCCTCCTGCGGCACCTGCTCCTGCCGCTCCCCCTGCGCCGACACCCCCTTCGCTAGGAACGGCAGGGGCAAAACCGCCAGCCCCGAAGCCGAAAGGCAGGGCCGCCCCGCCTCCGCCGCCGTTGCGCAAGCCTGTTGTTCCTGTGCCTTCCCCTCGGCCTGTAGTAGCTGCCCCTCCACCCCCTGCGCCCGTGCCTGTTCCTCGCACCCCTGCTTCCGCACCAGCGGCGCCCACTCCTCCTGTCTCTCTACTTGGACCGGGACGGGAGGACCCGGAAGAGAAGGCTCTGCGCGAGAGGGAGGAAGCGCTCAAGGCTTCGCGGGCGGCGAGGCAGGCTAGGGAGGAGAGGATGCGGGAGCTTGAGCGAGCGGAGAGGGAGGAGCGGGAGGCGGAAGAGAGAGAGCAAAAGGAGCGACAGGATCGGCAGCGGAAAGACCGGGAGCTGCAGGAACAGCAGCAACGGAAAGACCGAGAGCTGCAGCTGAAGAAAGAAAGAGAGGAAAGGATGGCGCTCCTTGAGAGAGAGGAGAGGGAGGAACGGGAGGCCGCGGAGGCCCAGGAGAAACGGGAGAGAGAGAGGAGGGAGAGGACCCCCAGGCCTTCTGAGCCTACACCTCCCGCTCCCCCTGCTCCTGCTCCACCTGCACCTCCGGCGCCCGTCGCTCCTGTACCTGTGGCGCAGAATGGCAACGCCGCACCCCTGAGGCATAACCCGTTCCGCAAGGATACAGTGTTGGTCGTACCTACCCCTCCTCCTGCGCCTGCTGTTCCTGCGGTTACGACCCCCGGAGGCGGCAACAACCCCTTCTTCAAAGCCGGCGCCGGGGGCGCCGGAGCCGCTGCTCCCACCCCTGTTGCCGCCGCCCCTCGCCCGGTATTCAACACCGCTCCCTCAGACAGCGACTGGGGCTCGATCAAGGAGAAGTCCGATTCGGAAGACAGCTCAGACGACGAATATACTGCTAATAGGAATACGCGTGCCGTGCTCGCTAAACAATTGTTTGGGGGGATCATGCCTGCTCGACCTACGAGTGGGCAGTCCGGCGGCAGGGAGAGCACGCCGACCAGTCCGGCTATGTCTGCTCCTCCCCCTCCTGCTCCGCCTTTGGCTCCCCCACCGCCGGCACGAGCGATGGCAGCGGGCATCGCTGCTCCCGTCCCTGCCCCTGCAGGCCCTGGAGACCTCAGCGCGCTCTTGACGGGTATCCAGGCGGGAACGAAGCTCCGGAAGACGGTGACGAATGACCGTTCCGGTCCTGCATCTGGCGGCAGGGTGATAGGGGATGCCGGTGTACCGGAGTATATTGCGCATCCTGTGCCTGTGCCTGAGGCGCTCGAGCCTTCCTACCCTTCGCCGGCTATTCGTGTTTCTCCGGAACCCTTGTCGGGTCTGGAAGAACATCAAGAGATGACTCCCCGGTCCCTCAACAGACAAAGTGTGGACTGGTATGCCGGTCTAGCGGCTGATCACGCAGGCGCCAGCGTATCCCCTAGCGTGCCGAGCGTGGCTGAAGCGGATGAGGACAACGCGGATGCCGAGTCTGAGCCGATGACAGCTAGGACCGTCGTGCCAGAAATCCAGATTGGGGAGCATGAGGAGGTGCAGGAGGCTGGGCTGCTGGATGATGTGGATATGAGCAAAGGTTTGTACGGTGTTTTTCTTGCTGGGGTCGAGCTGATCCGGTGTAGATGTTTGTGTCAGGACGCTGTATGCTTATCAGGGTCAGAGGGATGCGGATCTCAGTAAGTGCCTTTTTGGCGTGAGGTGAAGTTGCTCATGTTGGTGCAGCCTTCCAGGAAAACTTTGTCATCGCTGCCCACCCGGCCAAGGCTGGTGGCGACTGGTGGTATGGTGAGGTTGCCACCACGGGCGCTTTGGGATTCTTCCCCCGCAGCTATGTGGAAGAGATGTCCAACAGTGCGTCTACGTCTGACAATTAACGTTCGCCTCCTCACTTCGTTGCGCAGTCGTCGCTGCCAAGGCCCTGTACGCGTATGAAGGTTCGACGCCGGAAGAGCTGAACTTCGCTGAAGGTGATCATATCACCGTCGTCGACCGCTCGGACGGAAACTGGTGGAAAGCAGAGCAGGGTGGGGTCATCTTCAACGTCCCTGCGGCGTATTTGGAAGTACAAGGTCAGTACCCGCCGCGCCGATCTCGCGGAGTCCAGTCCGTCTAAACGTCGAATGCAGGCTGAAATAGTTCTTTTCGGTGTTTCTTTCCTCCCTCTTTCGTGAAAAATTCTACAACCTCTCTACTACAACATCCAATATGCGGCGTCATCCTTGTACGACGACGTCTTACCCCACTTTTGGTACACTCCTTCAATATATATCCTTTCCTGGACATTTTTTGAACTGCAGGTGCGAAACTCGCCTCCGCCCTTTCCGCGGAAGACGAGGTCATCCTAGAATTCGAAGAAGCTGAGGACCACGACGCGGAGGGTACAGCAAAGCTTCCGAAGGATCACGGGCCGGGCCGCGTGGAAAATGACGTTTCACGGCGTGGTGTTGATCCTTCCCCAGAACTCTCATCCACCACTAGCGCGATGGCCGTCGGTCTCGGCTTGGCGCCGCCTACTCCATCCTCCTCAGTCTTCAGTCCTTTCCCTTCTTCGCCTGGCCCTAGTTCCGAGGCCGTCCCGGATGATGAGGAGTCATCCTCATCCGACGACGAGTATCTGTCGTTCGAGAGCGAGGAGAACGAAGAACACGAGGACGGCCACGAGGATAAAGAGTATCGCGAGGCCAAGCGGCTAGCAGAACAAAAGGCGCGAGAGATTGAGAGACAACGCGTCATGGAAGCCGCTGGCCTCGTCGTCAAGACTGACACTCACAGAAAGCCTCCACCCCCCCCTGTTCGCCGAATGAGTCGGAGACATCGTCCTCCCCATCTCACCAATGTTGCTGACTTGCAAAAATTGCAGACGGTCCCGGAACTGAATAGAAACAAGCCATTGCCCATTCCCTCGATCCCCACATCACCGACTCCTCAGTCGCCAGCTGTTCGGTATGTTGACGATGCCTTCCAGCGGTATGAAGAATTCAGACAGCGTCAACCCCGCAATCGTCAATCTATGGCTTCCACTATCTCCCTGGAGACGATGCCCACACCGTCGTCTCCCGGATTCACTCCCTTGTCTCCCGTGCTTACAGTCGGATCCGTTAATTCCATAGGCTCCGCCACCTCTCAGCATGCTGCTTCTCGCTCCGATGATCTCCGCTCCAGCTGGGCAAGCTTCTTGAACAAGATCAAACCGGGGTCTGCGGGTCTAGGAGAGCTCAGACCTCCGCCGATTATCAGTGGGCCCATCAGCGCTCCCATTTCGGGGGCGGCATCAAGGGAAAATAGCCCTGCTTTTGGCACGGTCAGTTGCGGTTTTGCAGTCTCAGGCCCTGCTGATTTGTGACAGACTTGGTCCACACTTGTCTCCAAGGAAGCCTTGGAGGGTATGCCGGACCGCGAGAGGAAGCGGCAAGAAGTCAGCTACGTCAATGCCCTGCACTGTTCTCGAACTGATTTATTCAGGCCATTTTCGAACTTATCAATACTGAAGACACCTACGTTCGTGACTTGCAACTTATTGTCGAAGTACATTCTTTCTACCTGATTAAGATGTTTTGTTCTGACCCTTTATGAGATCTTCTACAAGAGCATCATCGAGTATCTGGACCAGAAATCCGGCAAGCTCATATTTGATAACATTGAGGACATACTGCTTTGTAACTCAGTACGTTGTGCATTCTCCTCGAGCAGTGATTATACTCATGCGATGCAGACGTTCCTGAGCTCTCTGGAAGAGAGACAAAAGCAGTGTCGTCTTTATGTCGATGTTATTGGCGACATCCTCGAAGAGTACATGGCCAACATGGTCATCTACGAGGCACGTGATCCGTACTCTGCGAGACTGGGGATCTTCTCACCGATGAAGTTAGTCTTATTGTGTCAATCAAGCCCCTGCCTCCCGCGTCCTCCAGCGGCTTCGAGAAACAAATAAACCCCTTGGTGAACATCTCGACGTACGGCACGTTTTATCGCATTGCCCAATATTGACATCTTGGACAGCAACTTCGAATCGATCCCGACGTACGAGGATTAGACTTGTCCTCGTATCTTCTTGAGCCAATGCAGCGAATAACCCGTTATCCTCTCCTCCTGCGACAGGTGATAATGCATCCTTCTATGCAGATGCCGTATTGAACTTGGTCAGGTGCTGCATTATACAGAGGGGGTTGACGCACCTGCTATCCAGCGGGCGCTGGATACCGCTACTGCGATTCTCGACACTATTAACGAGAGTATCAGAGAGCGTGAAGGGGAGGAACGACTGGCTGCTGTCTCGAAAGACCTATGGATCGGCAACGGGTATGTCCGTGGCCATGCCAACACCCGATGTCTAATCGATTGCAGGCAACTGATTCTCAACTCTGATACTCGGTACATGGGGCACAGGCGGCTCCTGAAAGAAGGGACACTATATAAGGCCAAGAGCGGCAGACGATTGCAGGTATTCTTATGTTCAGACATTCTCGTGATGACAACCGATTCCCCTATGACCCTCTACCGCATGGTCAGTGAGACATACGCACTCCTTATGCTATCCGTGATTCTCACCGCTCTACAGCCCATACCCCTATCAGAACTATCCGTGAAAGACATGCCTAGCCGCGGTATGTCCGCTACATCGTGGATATCCCATACATGACTTATCATCTTCAGATGATTCCCACTTCCAGCTTGTGCTGGCATACCCACGGGGTGGAGAATCAGTCGGCCTGCGTGCCGCATCGCCTAGAGAATGTCATTCATGGATGAAGGCGCTCAATGATGCCGTACAGGCATGCAGCAGAGCGGAGAAGAGAGCCTCTCGGAGGAGATAGGCCGTTCTTTTCTCGACCAGATCTTTGAATTGCAAGGACTCCTTTCCCTGTATTACTAGATCCTCATTTGTTGTACATATCCCGAGCCTCTCATTGTACACCTTCCGCGGATAATCTTCGATGACCAGTCTTATGCTATACCCCTGTTTCTGGAAGACTTCTGCGAGTTTTCCTGCGTACAAAAAGTCGGCCAACGTCATCAGTAGATATCAACCCCTTCTTCCGGGCAAAGAAGTGCCTTCTACCAGTAAGGGTCTGGACATTAATCTGCTCCTCGGTACTGGACATCAAAATTAATGTTTTTGCTTAAACGCCTCTCGATACCCGCTTTCTTACTTCAATTGACACTTCATCAGCACTGAGAATGTTTGTATTTCAGGAGGATCACGGATAACTAATGAATGGTTGCATCGCGGCTTGGAAGATCGATGCGTGTCATTTACGTTTGAATTGGATGGCCCAAAGCCGCCCAATATCCGCGATGTGCTTGTTTTGACTACAAGAATATATCAGAAGGAGTGGCTGTCCTACCGCATATATATCTTCAATGTGCCCCAGCCTGCATGATGTACATCTCCAACTCTCTCCTTGGCACCCACCGAAAACTCTGACCGCGCCTTCGCTGGCCCTTGAATGATGTTGCAGTTTCGCGCATCATGCATCGTGTCTGGCTTATCCAAGACCTGCTGATCTACATACTTGGATCACTAGAACATCCAGAGGTCCTCCGCCTTGGTATGACCTGTCGACACTTATGGAAGTTTGCGCACCCGCGCCTCTGGACCCACTTGGGCACTGCCAAAGCACTTTGTGCGATTCTACCAGATGAAGACCAAATCCAAATCCCTTCCGTGAGCGATGTTCAGCACGCGGGAGAAAGGCTACTGACATGAGCGACAGGATGCCAGCGATAGCTGTACCCTTTCGCGTCCTCTGACTGCAGTCGAGTGGCATCGGTTCAAGTCGTCGTCCATGTGGACGAGAACGTTGAGCATACCGGATACAGGGGCCGACACAAGCTCCGAGGACAATACAAACAGCGACGATTCAAGTATGTTCACGAATTCAGATACGGACGATTGGGGGCCCACCTTTCGTGCTCTCACCTTGCTTTCGACCGCCGGTCAGGATGCCTATCTATTTCCGCGATTAGAGGCGATTGACGTCGGCCTCTCAAGCCCTCCTGCGGCACGCGTTTGCTCCGTTCTTCTGTCCCACCTGACCTTAATCAGGGTGGAAATCACTCTGTGGGATTCCTTCGGAATGTGGTATGAACAGGGGGCACCCCACCTTTGGAATGCAATGTGTTCCAGCTCGAGGACTCTGCAACACCTTTCTATTAGCTTGCATTTAGGCAGCTTGTCTCAACCCGGTGGACTCCTCCTCTCCGGGGACCTTCTACATTGTATGGGAAGTCTAACCACTTTGCGATTACTCGGAATAGAGTATAACGAGGAACTGATTCGCCAAGTCAGCCGCATATCGAGGTTGCAAGAGTTGCAGCTGGAATTCTCAATCAATAACCGAGGGGATCTATGTCATCCGAGCGTGGCCTGTCTCGGGGAGCTTCCTGTCCTGGAGCATTGGATCATCAGAACGACGGGGATGGCCGTTACACCAAACTTCCCACGTTTGCTGCACCGCATCCTTTCGCCCCACCTACGGTCAGTGACCTTAACATGGTCACAGGAGCTACCGCAGATGGAAGAGACCTTTTCCCTACTTAACCAGTGGAGCTCCACTATTGAGGTGCTGCGAGTGCATGTACGCGAGCAACAAAATCAAGCCCCGGTGAAGAAGGCACTGACTCTTTTGACGCTGTTCCCGCATCTCCGTTACCTAGATTTCTATTCCGACGACCTACTTGAGATATCGGACCTTGAGATCGCACATATTGCCACCGCAATGCCACGGTGGGAAGTCCTGCGCTTCTATACTTCTTCCATCCAACGACCGTTCTGCACGCGACAGGCGCTGATTCATATCGCGTGCTCACTCAACCACCTCAAACGTCTCACGCTGGATCTCAATTTCGATCTTCCTGAGGAATTGTTGACATTTCCTCTTCCAACCCACATTCGACCCAGCTCACGCCTAACTGAGTTCCAAACTCAAAGCAGCCTATGCACCCATCCGGACAATACCGCAAAGTTTCTCTATCTTCTATTCCCCCACCTCAACAGTTTTGGTTCCTACGCATCCCAGCATCAATGGCCGGGCAAAGAGCAGCTTGCCGAGGCCCTTCGAATTACTTTTGAAGGATATTGAAGAGCCGTCACGATTAAAACAAGGTCAACAAGGCGAATTGTCAAATACCGTGGGGAATTTCTCTATGCAAGCTGCCATTCACTAACCTAAAAGTGCTGATAGACTGTGATGCTTGTTCCTCTAGCGCTGGTGACGGCCCGAGACAAGTCATGTGACCCAATACCTATGTACCATGTATGCACAGCACTGAGTGTTAGGTTACCGAGATGTTATGGCACCGAATCACGCGCCCAAAAACCAGACTGTCTCGGCATTAGAATTTGTTATTGTCCGTGTCATTCAAAGTACTGAGGGCTGCCGATGCCCGCCGATCGGGAGGCTACGAGGGTATTCATGTCTCGGCTTGAATGTGAGAATCCCGGACGTCCGCCGACCAAGAAACGATGAGCGCATTAATGTCTCGGTCTCTCGTCCCACCTCGATCACACCTCAGATGAGACACAGCACTCGAATTGACTCTGGATATAATGAGCTGATGGCGAGGGGGGATCTCCCCCTCTTTCCTCCTCAGCTAACATCCACAGCTGGGTTCACCACACACTCTCCGTCACCATCAACTGACTTGGGCCCCGGCGGCTGACTCCATCAACCTACAACAACACAAACAACTCCGTCGCATCTGACCTGCATAACATGCAGAGCGTTCATCAAGCCCGCATCGCAGCACTAGAACCAAATGCATCGTCTGTCACCGCATCACCGAGCAGCTCTTCTGCTCGTCCAAACCCGCCCAAGTCGTGCTTTCGCCAGCCGCCCGGTGGTGGGTCTGCACCTCCGAGAACTGGCGCATACATGGATACTCCGGCATATCCACCTCGGCACAACAGACGCGACTCTCTGCATAGACGGGCGTCACGTAGCCGACAGACGGTATCTGTCAGTGCAAAGGCGCGCCCTGCGTTTGCAAGAGGATGCACACAGGTTCACGACCCCGACCGCCCTGCTCTGAAGAGAGCACCCACGCCTTTTCATTATGTCGAGGATGCGGGTGATGATGACCAAGAAGGCGACGACGACGACGGCATGTATATGGAAGAGGAATACGTCACCATGGAGGCTGTGGTCGATCAAGTAGCCGGCTTCTTGAGCGAGTTGTCCGACACGATTGGTGTCCAGCGCATGCGCAAATACGTCCCATCCGACAAGGTATATGCCCTCCATGAAGCTCCTTCTATGGTGGGGACAACCGGTGAGAGCTTTCGTGACGGTGAAGGCGCATATATGCTGACATATACATAGACAAAGCCTTCGGGGTGCCCGTCCGTACAGCGTGTGCAGTCGCTCCCTGCCTTGCCTCCTTCGCAGGGCAGTTACAACAGCTTCCATTGGTCGTCTTCGTCGTCATCGAGGAAATATACGGCCGGGGCTTGGACGTTTCCTGCCTGTTCCGGATTCCCGGCGACGAAAAGCGGGTCAATGAGCTCGTGGCCAAGTTCAGCGCCGAGCCTTATGGAGACGACGTCGAAGTTGATCGAGAAACCATCCCAGATCTCTGTGGTTTGTTGCAGACGTGGCTCAACTCTCTGCCGATTCCAATTTTCGATCCATTGCTCGAGCCCGCGTTCTTCTCGCTGGTAGTTTGCGGAGACCATGCCGAGCTGCCACCTGACACCCGTGTGCGCGTCGCCCAGCTCATCATTCGTCTTCTGCCCGCCCCAAACCTCAGCCTGTTCGTCTACCTCTTATCCTTCCTTTCTCATTTCCAACGGGCGACCAAGTTACACGCCGGAATCATCGCGGGGTTGTTCGCCAAGCCGCTCGCGGCGAAACCGGTTCACGGCGAGACCGAGAACGCCAAACGGGCTAGGAGAGATGCCATCGACGACGCGAAGGAAATCGTCAAATGGTTGATCGTGAATTGGAATGCCGTGATAGACGGTTTGATGGACGAACAGGTGCTCGAGGTCAATCCGTTCGACGAGTTGATGATCGAACAAGTGGAGGAACCCGCCAACATGAAGTCGTTCTCCGTCTCTGCTCCTGCGGAGCGTTCCATGCCTGCACAACAACTCAACGTTCGGCCAACCTCGGTCCCAGTGGATTCGAATTATGTCACTGATGTTGCTACCACTCTCGACGGATTATCGCTGCACTTGGGAGCTATCCGATCGGCACTAGATGGATCGGCAAATGCCCAAGATCAAGTCGACGCAGCAATCGTCATGGTGAACGAAGCGAAGGAGTCGAATGTGAGAGCAAGTATCCGTGCTGCGAAGATTGGCAGCAACAATCAAGAGACAGAGAACTTGAAACGGAAGTTGGAAGAGGTTGAAGCGCAGAAAGCGAAGGTGGAGAAGAAGTTATCGGCCGCTCAGAAGGCCCTGACGGCAGCCTTGGCCCTCTAGTCGTGAGATTTGATCTTCTGTCGTATACCAGTGAGATAGTCAACTTTCCATATGCGTGCTGCAGAGCAGTCGAATACTGTATCTATAGCCAGAGAATCGGATACAAGACAGTGTAGCAATTCTTTTATTATTTATTCCATGTTACTTCCAATTGCAAGGCAGTGCGGCCGACAGATTATCATATGCACTTCCACTTGAGAGCGGGCACTTCGGTGTGCATACATCTCTTCTTTTCCTCGATCTCGACGTCGACGCTGAATACAGCACCGCCGTGAGCAGACTGACACCATGAGACATCGGCGACCGGTGTTGCGGCTCCGATTGTAATTGAATAGGCGTGTAGTGTGCTCGATGTCGTTCCATCTGCAACGCTTGCCCTGACCATCCCCAACATTCTTGCAACCCACGAGCTCGATAGAAGCATCATCCCCCACACCCGTTTGTTATATATCTCTAGTCGACTGCGCATACTTGAAACAACTTAGACCTGTAGCACAACATGGCCCCCACTACACGCCTTTGGATGTCCTGTTGGTTTTTGGTTTCTACCCTTGGTGAGTGTGGTCGTGTGCCCCGATTAGGAAGCTGCTGACCTTTTCAAGTCGTATTCTGGGATGCTGGATATTGCCTCTTGCGGTTCGCACTGGTCTGCTATGTGGTTTAAAAAGTGTATTCACGCGTCTATAGCCCGCGATCAATGGAGGGAGGAGACCTGAACTGGATCTGGACACCATATAACCTGTATGCCAAGGTCGACTACATCTACGGCGTGCCAGCATTCGAAAATAACGAGGGCTTCACCAGCGCTCAAGGTCTGTCGCCATTACCTTGCCTGTGTTGTAGGCGATGCTGATTGTTCATCCCAGCCTTGCTCAACCTCGTGGAGAACTTCATTAACGTGCGTCTGAATCGCCGTTCCCAGTTAGGCGCATCTAATGACGTGTCTAGCTCACATATCTCTACTCGGCACATATTGCGAAGTCTCCGGTTGCACCTGTCATCGGGTTCACAGGCGTGGTGATGACGTTTTCAAAGACGGTGCTGTACTGGGCTCAGGAGTATTACTGCGGGTGCGTCATTACTAAACCGGTATTTCTGTGCGTCCTGATCCCCAAGCAGATATTGCAAAATTGGTCACAACACTATTTCCGATATCACTACCCTGTGGGTTATTCCCAATGTATGTTCCCTTCCAGGCATCATGTGGTGGTAATTGACCTGGTTGCTAGGGCATTTGGTTACTCGTACCCGGCATCATCATCTGCGTTCTAGGCAATGATATTGCCACATCGTTACGGACACAAAAGACTATCGAGGATGTTCGCAAGATCGACTAAGGAGGTGACGCGGGAACGCGCATATAATGAGTTATTTGACACTAATGCCGTCGCTCGTTTAACAGCTAATCGATGTTTCGTTCAATCTATTTATCGAGTCTTTCATGAGGTACCAAGAACCAAGGATGTGCCAAAGGAGCCCAATCTATCTGCCCCGTGATGGACACACCACTCTCAATTGTCTTATGCCAAAACCTGCGGCTCTTGTCGCAAGTTCGGATGAGATCGCCCAGAGCGGAGCGCAGAGGCTGTCGGCAGAGATCGTAGAAAGGAGCACGATCAACACCACGCAACAACCCGTCGAGCGACGCCTGTGCATTATTAAACCACTTGATCGCTTCTTTGCGTAGATGATTTTCCTGACAAAGGGAGGCCAGATTAGGTGTTTTGAGCTGTCATCAGTTGGTGCTTGCTTACGTCGCCCACAGCATGCTCTTGTACCCAATCCCAGTTGCCTGTCCAGTCCGGTTGCAGGTCGTCTTGAATTCCGTTCTCGGGCAACGCCCACTTGAAGCGTCTTTCCATGTTGTGCTGTACTCGTTGCCCACATAAGAGGAATCGACCGGGATCGCAACTGAGAAGACCCTAGATGAGGACTGTAAGACAAGCGCAGTCCAGTAGGGATAAGCTACACTCACCATGATCGACCCATACACTATGGCTTGCAGAGCGCTGAGCAGGGAAGACTGTGTCTGGAGATATAAACCGCTGGCTGACACTGACACTCGTAAAAATCAATCTGAAGTAGCGAGCGAAGGGTCCGTACAATGCGTGTTCTCCAGCACCTCGCTGAGCAACCCATTCACGATATTGCATTGTCGTCTGAGCAACGCGCTCACAAATCGAAAGATCGGAAGCCATTCAGATCGATAGTACAATTCGAGCTCAAAACCAGAAAAGACAACCTCGAGGGCCAGACCGCATCGGTAGTACTGCATGGTGAGATGCAAGCGTTTCAGAAGTTTACCTTCATGCTACAAAGGCGAGGTGAGTATAGCCTTTTGTTTCTTCAGATCAAAGCTCACTTTAAAATTAGGATAGGCAGCCACAAATCGATGTTCTAGATCAGCCGTGAGAAGGAGGAGGTCTCGCCAGTGGACCAAAGCATTGGAGTATATTCTTCTCTGTCGTGGTCGATTATGACATAACGTAGTGTAATAATTTGACAAAAGCTAGGGCAGTCCTCCGGTGAGCTGATATATGCTTCAAAGGACGTGCTTCGTACCTCTGCAAACTTCAATATGCATTGTTGCATGCTTGACACAAGATCTTCTCTAGTTGTTATACCAAGCAGATATTGAGGTGTACCGGCAAGCAAACCAGCCAATTCTTGGAGAACTGTATCAGCCAACCATTCGGGGGCCAGTTCACCAAGCACACGGGATCCATCGTACATAGCGTACTGCAGTGATGATCAGACAACACGCGATCTCAAATTGGCAATGCTCACGCTCGTTGAGGCTCGTACGAATGCAGAGTACCTGGGCTGCGGTTTCTGTCTAGATACCAATAAGAGCAAGTTCTGCACAACAACGTAAAGAGTAGTTCAAATGGCGGAGAACATGTTGCGAACCTCCCAATTCAGCGGACTTCGTTTATCGCTGATGTCACAGGCATCCCCAAGACCCGCCAGCAGCTCGTCGAAGAAATCCCACGTTTCATTCAGGCTTGGAAGGGTCAACTCTTCTAGTGGTGATGTAAACCTCAACCTTCGCTTCACATTGCAGTCGATGGCTAGTCTAGCGGCGGATGAGGCAACAGGGGATTCAATCGGTATCATGCGTATTCGACCGAGAGTATGCCGTATTTGAGCAACATGAGCCCAGAGTTGACCACAGTCCGCGGGCAGACGCAGGTGAAGGGCGTCCAGCCATAGCTTTTCCGAAGTGAGATGTTCGTTCACACACCAACACGCAAGCGCCTTACCTTGCGTAACTGTAAACGTTCCAACAGGGCATGTCTTGAACGGCTCTCGATGCCTGGAAGAGGCAAAAGTCAGAAGTGCTCACAGTCAAGACAACGAGAAGATACCATCATAGGTCTGCAGCCAATCCACGGCAGTTTTGATGAGAGAAAGTACCTCTTTCGTGCTCACGTGCTCCATCATAATCATGCCGGCTTTGTCAGCTTGCCAATCTTCGTGCTTCAGGTAACGTAAGGGAGGATTAAGCAAAGCATTCGGAGTACCTTTACCTCATACACACATCCTTTCGCAAATTCTCTCCATGCCAGATCTACGGATTTCGCCATTCCAAGAACACCGGCGGCAAGCACCAAGTTTATGAGCTGTTCAGGTCGTTGACGATCACAAGGCTCGACGCCTTGAAGTGTTGACCAAAAGTGATAGGTCCCTAGATGCAGCACATACAAGTTGGTGAATACGGTCTGGGTCAGAGTGATTCCCTGATGCCACGCCATCTACGAGACATCCTTGATGAGACACAAACTGAACAGACGTGCAAGAAAACAGAGTGACCTCCGCCGCGAAAGTCTGGTCTATCAACCAGCAGACCTCGTCCGGAAGAAGCCTTTCGTGCACATTGAATACTGGTTTGTCGCCAAGATTACCATTCCCGTAGCCGCTGTCCATACGCGAGTCACCTATCTGTAAGAAGCAGACAAACAAAGCAATTGAGATCGTGTTTTTACATGTCTCGTTATTGATAGAGACTAACTTTTATCGCATTCATGGCATCCATCATCGTGAAATTCGGCATTGTAAGCATCTCTCCGATCTGCATGCCTACATAGCAAACAATCAGTTGTATTCAAGTTCAAGAGATTTTAATCAACCTTCTGTTGCCTTTGTAATGACATGGTGCATATCCCTGTAGAGTGCATTTTCGCCAGGAATGTGCGGGATGATGGACATGGGAAATCGTAACAACTAAATGCCTCGCACTGCCACTAGTTGGGTTCCTGATGAGCCTCGGGCGGAAGCGTTTGTCACGCTTTCCCTTCGCGCGTTCAATGTTTTTTCAACGGCTTTCAAAACGCGGTGGATATCGAATATTGGCCTATTGCAACCAACAGACACCATCACTGTGGAGCTCCAAGATACGCTACTTGTCAACTCACTCTTTGACGAGGCCCAGAGTAGTATTTTCTGGTATTCAGCCCACCGGGATTCCTCATGTAATGACCCCATCATGCCGTACCTCTCCTCCTTTCCTGACTTTTGGATCGGCTAGCTGGGCAACTACCTGGGCGCGATTCAGAATTGGGTTCAACTGCAAGACACTGCATCAGCGAACGATAAAATTCTGTACTGCATCGTTGGGTACCATGCAATCACCCTACCTCAAGATCCCGTACACCTAGAAACGGAACGTTTCAACATGCTCGCAAGCCTCCTTGCATGTGGAATTGATCCCAGCAAGTCGCTTCTTTATAACCAAGATCAAGTCAGTGGTCTCCTTCTCTAGTGCATAGATCTTGATTGGGAATCAGGTTCCGGAACACACAGAACTGGCGTGGATCTTGAACTGCATTACCCCGATGGGCTGGCTTTATCGCATGACGACGTGGAAGGTGTGATATTTTATTGCCCAAGATGAGGACAGTTCTGTGACACATAACTTCACAGTCCAAGTTGGCCGTCGCTCGAAATGCCAATAGCGAAGAAGAGGTGAACGAGTCCATGCTTAATCTCGGGCTTCTCGCTTATCCTGTGCTTCAAGCTGCTGATATCTTATTGCACAAGTTAGTGAGCTCAAATAAAACCGAGGCACATTACTCATGCTCTCTGAAAGGTCCACGCATATCCCAGTTGGGGAAGACCAGACACAGCACCTGGAATTGGCACAGGACATAGCACGTGCATTTAATCACAAGTTTAACACCGACATATTCCCAATACCACAGCAGCTCTCCAGTAAGAGCCAGGCTTTATTCATTTTTATCGTTAACCAGACGGCAGCGCCGACAAAACGTGTTTTGTCCCTTCGCGATCCTTCCCAGAAAATGTCCAAATCGGCACCCAGCGAGAAGTCTCGGATCCTCATTACGGACGATCCCGCTGCTATTTCAGCCAAAATCCGCGGAGCCGTGACAGACTCGAACCCGGACATAACATTCGATCCGACTGGAAGACCAGGGGTCAGCAACCTTCTATCTATGTTAGCCGCATGCACGACGGAGAGCTCAGTCGCCGACTTGGACTCCACGGCCCAGTTATATCGCGGGAAGCAGATCCAAGATCTGAAGCGTGACGTGGCGGATGCGATCATAGCAAGGGTCGAACCTATTCGAACAGAATACGAGAGACTCAGGAAAGATTTGGCCTGGCTACGCGATGTGTCTCAAGCCGGAGATCAAGAAGCTCGGGGACGTGTAGGTCAGACGATGTCTGAGGTTAAGAAGATACTCGGACTGGCTAGGCACTGAGGTCTCTACCATATTCGTTGGGCTGCCTTTTGTGTCCTCCGGGGCAATCTCCTCTCACTCCTGTTCTCAGTCTGCCCAATGCACACAAGGTAGCCGTATGAACGGACTTTGTTCCCGGCCGCCAAAATATTTTTTGTTTTGTTTCTTTGAGGGGAACGCCTTCATGGCACCCAGGTTGATAGGAGATTGTAAAGAGAAAGTGTTTTGTTGCCAGCTTTAATCTAGATTAACACGTAAGCAAGGGTCGCGATTCCGCTCCCGTCCAAAGCTGAGAAGGGAACAGGCCCTTTACATTCAGAAGTTTGTTTCGGTCTCGTCGAGCTGCGACTGGGTGGTATGGTTGCTGTTGTTGTGCTGCCTTTGGGGGCCGTTGACAGCCAAAGCGAGGGCTTGCATTGCGCCCTCGTGTCTCTGCGTCGCCGCAAGACTCATCCGCTCAATGACTCCAATGCTTTTGTTCATATTCCGCAGAGCATTGTAATGCAGTGATCGGCCGACCTTGGCTGTACACATGATGCGATTCCGGCATTGTGACTGGTTCCATTTTGTGGTCGAGAGAAGCAGAGTGGGTCTGATGGAGAAGACCTCCAAATACAGCATCTGTCCGGAGTCAAAGATATGTACACGTGGACGCTCTGCCAACACTCGGGACGGACAGGGCCCTTCCATTTGATGCTGGCTATCCTTTGGTGCATGCCCCCACACATCAATCGCTGCAAATTCCGAGGCCCGGCGTGCCAGCCTAACGCACGAGTTATCTCCTCAGGACCAGCATCATCTCATGTTATCACGTCTGTATCCCACATCTGATTGGCTTGGATGATTGGACTGTCTCTCTTCCACTCGGATGCCCCGGCACTCCTCCAGGGTCAATTCTGGTGGGACTAGCTCTGCCTTGGGTTTTGTCTTTATGAACGAGGCTGGCTCCTGGCTTCTTTTCCGGCTGTACTTGGTTACCCTAATGCCTCGAGGCCGATTTCCCATCTTCGGCGACTTCTTCTGCCGGATACGAACTTAGGATATGTCCTGATCCAAGACGAAGAACTCGAGCCGGGCCTTACTTTGCTCTAGGGACCGGTTCACATCGATTACAGGAGAGTATCCCAAGGGTCTGGGTCCTATAATTCCTGCTCGAGTTAACTGCCGCATTCAAATGGACGGCATTTAACGTGGGGAATCACGGGCCAGTAAAGTGTACTGATATCTAGGATGCACTGCTAGGCGGGAATCAGTGCGGCATGCGTCCCATCATTGGTGTAACCTAACGCGGTAGCGCTATCTGAGCCTGCAGGTCAAAAGGCTGTTCTTCGCGTTTTCACTAACTTCCCGAGATTCTCTTTGTTACCCTCAAAGCTTGACCTGCCATGGAGTACAAAAAGACAGTGTTGTTGTGTCCATTTCCCCTCAGTGCGTTCTAACTCAAAAATCACGATGACTCATCGTTGCCCATCCGACATGAACCGTCAAAACCAAACCCGCCGTTTCGCAGTGAGTGGGCTGCCGCCTCACCCAATGTCGGCCCCTACCTCGGTGCCGACTGCAATACCGACTGCACGCAACCTCTCAGTTCAGCATTCCAGACACCGATTCCCTCCCTTTCAGCAGCGAAACAGACCAGGGCCTGACGCGAGACTAGCCTTGTTCCAGACGCCATTCTCCGCCCAGTTTCCATATGCGTATGGGGAGCATCCTTTCGGAACAGAGCAGCAATCCCCAACATCTGGAGCACCTTGGGCTACCGGTACGTTCAACAGTGCTTCTTCCCATCATGGACATGCATCACTCATGTCGTCGTTTTAAGCGATTCCCCCTCCTCAATATACCAGCGCTTTGGATCCATGCCTCTATACGAGCTCAGGAGTGAGCAAAACTATGCGTCGCTACCTTCCTGGCGACGACAGTGAGAAGTACGCATTATTGTTGTGGACGTTACATGACATTAACGTGACAATCTGGAACAAGTGATTCATCTTCACACCATTCTTCACCGGGGAGCGATTCTACCGACTCGTTCTTTGGCGGCGAAGACACTCTATACACGACGTATGATTCGGCACCAGCTGCCTTAAAGACCTCTCGCGGTCTGTCCACGGGCCCCAGTCTTCCGGGCGAAGACGAAAATGCGGAGCATGCAGGCCGGCGCCGGTCCTCCGGGCGCATACCAGCCCTTCTACTTGGGGCTCTTCACACTCAAGCGGCGCCTCAACGGCAGGGCCAGGATACACCTTATGTCCTGGTCCATTCCCAGCCTTAGTTTCCGGCATCGAACCCCCGCCCTCAGCTCGAGCAGAGCGAGCAATTTCCGCCGCCCTTTCCATTCCGCGTTCCACGCTTCTCGGATAATGAGGACCCGGACAACGAGAACCCGGGGAGTCACTCGCCGTGGAAGATGTCAGATATTGATAATGAGGGGAAAATTCTTCCCTACGAGGATGGGTCGTTCTGGTTTCCACAATACTGCGAGCGGCTGCAGCAGACATTCCCTAGCGATTCTGAACATCGTGAGTTCCACGAGGCAAAACGAGAGCTCGAGTGCGTGATATTCTTTCGTACTTGATCGGTGACTCATCGACACATTTCTGGCTATCACAGGAAGGAGGATCTACAGAAGCATACAATAGAGGTCGGCCCCAGGCAATTCAAATGTGCCTGGGAATGTTGCTCCCATGTGAGCTCTGGCGTCTCTTTCGCGCGTCTGTTCGAGCTCGAACGGCACATGCGCAGCATGCACTCAGGCATGCGACATCAGTGCCCGCACTGTGTAAAGCAATACGCGCGGCATGATTTGGTCCTGCGCCACATTGAAAATATCCACCCAGAACGGAGTCGAGGGTACGCACCAATGGGCTCACGAGCTACTTGGCCTCCAACCAACCTCCAGACAGGCCGCGTGGGACGAAGGCGGGGGAACGCCGAAAGGCGCAGAAGGTTTGGATCCGGTATTACTTCAAGCACGAGCATGGGGAGAGGGGGGAGAGGGTCAGGGGGATCAAGTCCTGACAGTGAGTACCAGGCGCACATTCCGCCTGCTGGTACGCAATCCTGCCCTGTGACTCGCACGCTCAGGTCGCAATGGGAGAACGCTTCGCCTCACTGACTTGGTGACTCCTTCAGGCGCCTAATTTGGCAGGTAAGATTTTTGAACCATGATCTCTCATCAATATGGTACAAAGTTGTAGTACCCGAACGGAATAATGTACTTCTGAAGCGATCAAATTCTCTGCGCCATTGTGGCCGCCCGGGGCGTGATGAAGCGGGGCGGATGCATGCGATTGACATTCGGTCATTTGTTGATGCTGTACAGCATCAACAAAGGCCGGCCAGTACTGAAAAATACTGGCCGTCCTTTGTTTCGGAAGCCACATCAGGTTTAATATGTATCTAGATGGCTCTGTTCGTGATGCTTGCTGATCAGGGCAGGAGTCGGCAAGTTGCCGGGGCTATTTCGCATCCTCTGACAGATCAGCAGATGGCATTCGCCAGCGCAGCCGCAGAACACATGTGCCCGTAATACTGAGGGCGGATTTGTAGAGTCGTGCAGAAATTGCCCGTGTGAATCGTATGCATTGAGTCGGTAAGGGAAGCAAGCAGGAGACAGGTCACCCGGTGCGCCGCCGAAGGACCCCGATAAGGCGTGATGAAGCCGTGCGTGAATCAGCGGAAGAGTCCCTAGGTGGGGAGAACTCTTTCCAGCTCGCTGGGCGGGGCCGCCGAGGTGTTAATAACGCGATGAAAGAACGAGAAGGTCGATTGTGTGCTGATATGATCGTAGTTGGTGGGTGTGAACTGTCACATCGGGGACCAGGGGCAGCCTCGCATGGAGGGCAAATGATGGGGATATCGATTGACTCATGAACAGGCCTGTCTGGCTTCTAGCGTGACTACCGGGGTTAACAGAACGAAGCGAGGGGACTAGGGCGAGAAGTGTACAAGGCCAGGTTCGGTTGGGTGGACCCGGTGTGGTCCGCCAGATTGGGAAGGTAAGCAACGAGGCATTACGACATTGGGTCTTTGTCCAGTCTGAAAGTCGACAACTGATCCCAGACCAACAGAACAAATAAAGAAGCAGTGAGGCTCCATTTCAGGTTAAATTCTGCAGGCAGGAAGCGGCATTACCAACAAAAGGGTATCCTTCGGCCGCCTAGAGAAGAAACGAAGCCGGATTTGCACAGACGCCGGAGTTAATGTCAGAATGAGTGGGACGTTTATTGTTGAAAACGCGGCAGATAGCACGTGGTGATCGGCTGGTTGACCCTGAGGACAATGCGCTGTCATCCAGTCACCACGAAAGGTATTGTCCCTCCTCATTCATATAACCCCCATACCCCCATAGCCTCGTGAGTCAGACGTGACTGTACGCCCCAGTATTGACCTTGACTTTAACATCAGGAAACGTGTTCTGACTGCTGCATTTCTTACGTATATTCTGGTTTTCCACCGTCCGACGAACGTCCCACGCAACCATATCAGCACGGATCAGAGCGCATCTAGCTTGATCGATTATTCCGCCCTTCTGTTACTTGTTTCATCTCAGACCAAAGTTCATACCCGAAGATGTCTGATGAAAGGGTGTACATCGATCCTTGGAGCCCGGGAACTGATCGTGCGTAGATAGTCTCTTCTGTGAGGGTTCTGAGAACGTCGGATTGATATGTGTCGGGTTCCGTGCAGATGGACCCATTCTTGAGCCCGTGGAGTTGTTTGCACTTGGAGAGAACGTGAAAGTTAGGCACGTAGCTCCGTTGTCTTGGTGAAGGACAGTCGCTGATTCGACGAATGTGCAGGCTCAACCCATGTCTGACAGGGGAAGACAAGAAGAAGCACGATTTTGTGTACGATGTCTCCGATGGGCGAGCTATGTCGCAAGAGGAGACCATCGCCGTACAGAAGTACTATGACGAACCTGCTACTTTACCCAGGCTGTTCCAGGTCGTCATATATACGAGACTGGCGCCTTGGGTTACGATCGTGCGTGCTAGTGCGCATGACAGGGGCGTCACAGTTGGCGATTGCTGCGAGAGCCTGAGGGCTTGGTACGTGCGCCGTATACGATAGATGGACATACATACTCATAAGGTTGGTAAACAGCTATGCGAAGGCCATCACGCAGGACGAGTGGGATGCGCTTCCTCCACGGGTTGCGGCCTCGGTGCAGCGCAGTTTGAGCGGATCGATGCAATATGGCTATGGAGTGACGCACGCATCGAATGGATCACTCAACGTCAAGCGGTTTAGTACGTGTTCTCGTAGTCTCTATCTAGCTATATACTAACCGACATGCTCCCGTAGACTGGCTTATGCAAAGGACGTGAGTGCACCGATAAAGCGGGTTCGCAGCAACACTGATGTTTATGAACAGGGTCTGCTCATTCATGACTGTCGACGGAAAGTATGCCGAGAAACGATTTGGCTACAGTGCGCCGAACGTGTTCTTGATGGATTTCACCGAGTGAAAATGTGTGATTCTCGAGATGAGTGTTGATTGTGTTGTGTGACTGATGTGTGGAGAGGAGGTATATTGCGTACATTGAGGGATGACTTAACATGGAATGCCTGGAATGCACGCCTATGTACGATGTTCAAATAAAGATCAATTCCTTGTATCAAGTATTGACCAGCTTTCGTCTCGAAAAGCCCACTGACTCACATAGTTGTCATAGCACTAATTATTATTGGAAGTGGCTGTGGTTATAGCGCTGGCACAGTCCCTTTGCCTCGAGGCGCCCACTTGTTGGCCTTCGTCGCCCCATCAACAACTTTTCCCCACCGTCTACCCCGGTCAACACGGGTACAACAACTTTTCATATCTTATCCAATCATACCAGCTTGAACATTGACGACCAGCTCTACTCGAATACCCGACACGATGTTTTCTGGTGGGCGTCATGGAGAATGGCACGGCGGAGGGATCCCCATCCCTTCGCTAGACGCTACATCTCCATACAACCCACCTAATGATCTGCGGCGCTCTCCAGGGCAAGAACAGCAGCCTCCTCTCTCTGCGCGTTCACCCCGCGAGCAGCCTGTACAGCTTGGAGGGTACGACTACGGTACACCGGCAGGGTATCCTAGCCCTCCGTATCCAGCACCTTACCCTCCCTATCCCTACCCCTACCAGCCCCAAACACCCTACGGATACCCACCCTACCTCTCCCCAAATGGGTATTGGCCTCCCCCTCCCCCTCCGGGTGCCATGCCCCAGACACCATATACACCAGGTCACCCGGCACCGACGTTGTATCCACCGCAACCTGGGTATGTGGGAGGATCAAGGAGAGCACCGAGGGATAAGAACATGTCCGAGGATTATCAGCTTGATCGGAGTGAGAAGTTCAGCCGACCTGCAGAGTGTAAGCTTGCCGCATCTTTGTGTTTGTGTGAAGTCCAACGGCTTGAACAGTTCGAGCTCCGAGCCTAAGCCTCGCAGAAATCGGGTTCCTCCGACCCAAAGGTGTAGATATCAACCCCCTCCTTTCCATCACCTCAGACTCCAAGCCTGTGCCTGCGCTTAATTGGAATCTCGCCTTCCCTCCGTCGACTGCAAAGAAGTCGGGAGAGAATACGGATCGCGCTTTGGGCATGGACGAGAGGCAGTGCCCAGCGACATGGCCCGCCATCAAGCAGATGACGATTGTGCTGGATGACCCGACTCTCTCGAGGTGGGAGATCCTAGTGGTAGGGAATAGGGGAGGATGTGTCACCGTTGGAGATGTCCTCACAGGTGTTCATTCTGGGTGCGTTCTGCTGCTCCTTCCGTTTGAATGACTCATTGACCCGAATACCAGATTGCAGGCAATGATCCACCCGTCTGAGTGGGAAGCAATCACCGGCAGCACCTCCACCCATGTACGGCAGTACTGGAAACGCATCGTCTCTTGGGCGAACTTCAACCGGTCCACCGACCCTCGGGCGCCAGGTGGGCACATGGCAAATAGTATGCAAAGGATCGATTTTCTCTGTGCGAACACGATTTGGGGAGGGATCAAAGTTGAGGAGACGCAGAGCCGAGGGCTTGCAAAACATGTACAGAGCGGGTACTGGATCTTCAAGCTTGAGCTGATGACGAACGACATTGGTGAAGGGACGATGCCACCTCCTGGACGAGGCACGGCATGAGGTATTGAATAATGAAGGCTTTTGATGTCCGGCGCGCTGAGGGATATTTGACAGCATATCGTACATATTTCATGTACCCTATGTATGTACCGTTTGTGCTTTACATGCACTGGAATTGTACCGGTATTTAGATATTATTGTTGTTATGTAACATGACTCAGCAAATGATAGTCATGTGATCAATCACTCCGTCTATTTTCGTCCGGCCGGGGGTGTACGTCGTCGTTCACTGCCATTGCACGATTCGCGTCTTCCATCGGAGTAGATGTTGACTTGCGTGTCGTTCGGCGTGTTCGTTTCTTTGGTAACGCACGCAAAGATGCCAAATCGCTCTCCCAACTTTCTGATCATGGAGCCGAGGATGCGCGTACTCAGCGGCTTGACGGTGTTGACTATGAAGCCAGCATTAGCAAACGCCGCTGTATCACCCTCCTTTTTTGCACTATGAGTTTCCATCTGGGTATAAGTAGGCCGACTCAAGGCTGGGATATCTCGTCACGAGCCAGTACTACTCCAATCCTTGAGATCAACTTCAAATATCACATCATCCATAATGTCGCCTACCGTCTACCTGGTTTCCGGAGCTAACCGGGGCATTGGTTCGTCCCATAATTTGGGTCCACATAAAGATGTTGATGGGATTTTTGACAGGGCTCGGTCTTGTTACAAGCCTAGTTGCTCGTCCAGATGTCGTCGTCTTCGCGGGCTGTCGCAACCCTGCAGGAGCCTCGGACCTGACAACTCTTGCCTCCAAATATCCCAGCAAACTGCACATCGTTAAACTTACTTCCTGTGATGAAGTCGACAACAAGGCTGCGGTAGAAGAAATCCGAAATGTAGTCGGAAGGCTTGACGTCGTCATATCCAATGCAGGTATTGGAAACTTCTTCGGACAAGCGTTGGAGACGCCGCCCGAGAAGATGGATGAGCACTTCCATGTAATTTCTGTTTTCATCGGACACTGCAATCTTTTCACGCCACCTTATGTTGAAAGGTTAACGTTACTGGAACGCTCGTGCTCTTCCAGGCTACGTATGCTCTGCTAAAGGCTAGCACGCCTTCGCCGAAGTTTGTTTGCATTTCCTCCATGGGCGGGACCATTGGAAGCGGGGCCAGGTTTCCAGGAGGTCTCCTCGCATACGGGGCCAGCAAGTGCGCGCTCAATTATTTGGCTGTGAAGCTGTATTTTGAGCATGAGGGACTGAGTGAGTAGCGCCATACTCATTTCTCAAGATGCAGCCGCTAAATCTTCGGCAGTCTGTTTTCCCATACATCCAGGAGAGCTGAAAACCGACATGAGCAACTTTGCAAAACAGCACCCGCTGCTTGACCTTATGGAGGCAATGCCGGTTGATGAAGGTGTCAAGGGGATTTTGGACGTGATTGATCATGCAACGCGTAAGCCAGATGGACTGGGCTTTGTGAGCTATGACGGAACCGCACTCCCATGGTAAACGGCGATGGCCTGCAGATCCGTGAGCTGGGATGGAATGTATTGTTTAACAAAGAATACAGACACTCCTCTTTTCTACACGACTTTACGCCTCTAGTGCGTCCCATTCTCCACAGGCACCGGCTTCCCAGCTTGGTAGTCAGCCCACACCTCCACACCAGCAGTACTGATGATCTCCCATGCTCTCCTTATATGCCTCTCCTCCGTCCTCTGCGCCCCTACCGCGAGCCGCAGGCAGAACATACCCAAGACGTCTGTTTGGGTGATGGTGATATCCGAGCGTGCTGCGATCTTGTGGAATAACGTGCGATTCAGCCCGTTAAGCTGATCTTGCGTTAACGGTGTCTCGACATCCTTGGGGGCAAGGCGGAAGACAGCGAGGGCGAAGCTCTGCGGTGTGCAAAGCTCGAATATCGAACTTTCCTGGACGAAGTCGGCGAAGTGCGTTGCAAGGGCAACACTCTTTCGTATATGCGCTCTCAAACCCTCTACACCGTACGAGCGGAGGACGAACCAGAGCTTGATGCTCCTGAACTTGCGGCCTAGGGAAAGCTGCCAGTTCCGGTAGTCGATCACCATACCTGCGTCGGACTGTTTCGTACGCAGAAATGCTGGGGTGACGTCGAGGGCATCGGTGAGCTTGGTGCGTGAACGAACCCAAAGGGCAGAGAGATCGAAGTTCGTCAGGCCCCACTGGGTACGAAGTTAAAATAAGAGCATTTTAGACGGATATGTGAGGAAAGCGCGTACCTTGTGGAAGTTGGTGCAGAAAGAGTCCGCATGCAGGTTGATATCCTTCAGATATGCCTTCTCTCTGTACTCGGGGCAGCTGAGCGTGATGCCTGCCCACGCAGCATCGACGTGCATCCACAATCCGGCTTCTTTGGCTATAGGACCAATCTCCGGCATGCAGTCGATCGCACCAGTCGAGGTGGTGCCGAGTGTCGCGACTGAACACAAGAACCAACCATCAATATTCATCCCAAGAAAGTGAGAGGACAGACGTACTTAGCACAAACGGGTGTTTTCCTTTCTGCCTGTCCTCTAAGATCGCCTTCTGCAGTGTGCTGCCCCTCAGCCCATACTGGTAGGTCGGATACACCTCCAGTGCCTTGAAGTTCAAGCCCAAGATCAGGGCTGCTTTGGCTCCTAGAGAATGGGTCTGGCTTGTGCCATAGATCAGGAGATCGGAGGGTGAGACGTTGGGGTGAGCGTGGAGGAAGGCAGAACGCGCAGCGACTATCGCAACCAAGGCAGAATCGGATGCACTTGTCTGAAGTATCCGGCGAGCATGAACATTCGGATCCCGTGGCAATGGAACTGTAAAAGAACGTACTTGGATGACTCCACCTCCCACTCCGCTTTGTACCAAAAAAGCCTCGTCCAATCCCAACATCTTCGCCGCCCAGTCCATAACCACGCTCTCCAGCTCCGTACACGCAGGGGAGCATGCCCAGTTGAACCCCGGGTTCGTCACGCTGCTCGCGTATAGATCAGCGAGCATGCCTTCGAACGTGGCATTGGAGGGGAAATAGGCGAAGAAAGAAGGATGCTGCCAGGAGGTGATGCCCGGGAGGATGAGTCGCTGGAAATCGGCCGCGATGGAAGGGAAAGGCTCTCCCTTCTCGGGCACTTCATCTGCGGGAAAACACACCGTCAACAACTGCCCTGCGTATGTTCAAGTGGTCAACGAACTTGGAACAAGCTTGGAAAGGTATCCAGGCTCGACCTGGGCAACAACAGGCCGCTGCTCAAGCCCGGCATAATACTCGCATATCGCGTCGATCGCCTTGTAGCCTTCTTTCCTGAACCTGCTCTCTCGTCAGACTGCGTATCGCGTCCCTGTGGGTACACACGGACTGCTCGATGTCCATCGTTGACTTCAGCTGGATGTTGTACGCTGTACGGAGACCGTAGTTGGGAGAGAGCCACAGACCATGAGAGACCGGCAAAACGATGACAGCATGGTCGTATAGGCGTTCTGCCCGATGTCGGGATGTGGCGCCGAGGGAGACAGAGAAAGAAAGCGAAGTTGGCGTCCAGGGATGTGCACATCATTGCCCTGTCCAGAAAGAAACTGGAATTCAACGTTGTCATAAACGGCACACATAAATAATATAACGTCAAGCAGGAAAACTTCTCGTTTGATTGATCACTTGCAGTACGTGTTACAATTCTTTCAGTAGTGGATTTTGCTTGCACAAACAGCTCAGCAGTCGGTAGTCGCTATGATTGTTCACAACAGGAAAAAGTAGCAGGAAAGTCGGGGAGCAAAAAAGGGGCATCGAAAAGCATCGATTCTACATATCACCCCAAGGGTGTTGTCTTCTTTTTTTTTCTTCAGGCGTGGTACTCGTCACAAAAAGTTGAGAATCATGAAATGGAAAGGAAAGAAAAGGAAAGGAAAGGCAGATACACAGCTCTTACTCAGAGGTGGCAAACTCCTTCTGTCCCCTAGGGCCAAGAAGGCCGCTGACAGCACCGGCAACAGTACCAGTGACAGTCTTGCCGAACGGCCACTTCCAGTTCCTCACCCACTCAGGGTCGATGCCGTGCTCAAAGGCCTCGTTCTGTGCCTTGATCTGCATGTTGAGGAGGTGCTCGCGCGTCGCAGAGCCCTTGTTGTGCAGCGTGGGCATGCGATCGATCGCGTCCATCGCGAGCGAGAACCGATCGGTCTGGTTGCGGATGGCGAGCTCGAGCGGGGTATCGATGTTACCCTTCTCCTTGTAGCCACGGACGTGGAGGTTGAGGTTACCGGGACGCTTGTAGGTCATACGGTGGATCAGCCAGGGGTAGGAGTGGAAGTTGAAGATGATGGGCTTGTCGTCCGTGAAGATAGCGGTGTACTCTTTGTCGGTCATGCCGTGAGGGTGATCACCGCTGCTGATGAGCTTGAAGATGTCCACAACGTTGACGAAGCGGACCTTGACGTCTGGCAGGTACTCGCGCAGGAGCGCAGTGGCCGCGAGGGCCTCGGCGGTAGAGACATCACCGCAGGAAGCCATGACGACATCGGGTTCGCCATCGGCATCGTTCGAAGCCCAGTCCCAGATACCAACACCCTTGGTGCAGTGTGCGACAGCATCCTCCATATCCATGAACTGGAGATGGTTCTGCTTGTCAGCGACGATGACGTTAACGTAGTTGACGCTCTTCAGGCAGTGGTCCATGACGGACAACAGGCAATTTCCATCAGGAGGCAGGTAGATGCGGACGACATCCGGGCTCTTGTTAGCAACGACATCGAGGAAGCCAGGATCTTGGTGAGTGAAACCGTTATGATCTTGGCGCCAAACGGTAGCGGTCAGAAGGATATTGAGGGAAGAGACCTTGGTGCGCCACTCGACATCGAGGCACTTCTCGATCCACTTGCAATGCTGGTTGACCATCGAGTCGATAATGTGGATGAAGGGCTCATAAGAGTTAAGCAGACCATGGCGGCCAGAGAGGACGTAGCCCTCAAGCCAGCCCTCGCAGGTGTGCTCAGAGAGGATCTCCATCACACGGCCAGCGAAAGCAAGGTTTCCACCATCCGCATCCTCCTCGAAGTAGTCACCCATCCAGACCTTCTTGCCGGCCTTGTAGATCTCACCAAGTTTGTTGGACTCGGTCTCGTCCGGCCCGAAGAGACGGAAGTTGTTGGGGTTCTTAGCGATGACGTCACGCATCCAGTTCGCCATGTTGTTCATGCTGAACGCGTCGTCCCGGCCGGCGGAGGTGACCTTGATACCATATTCGCGGAAGTCGGGCAGGTGCAGCGGCTTGCGAACTAGCCCACCATTTGATACTGGATTAGCGCTCATACGGTGCACACCCTTCGGCGGCAGGTCGAGGAGCTCAGGAATAAGCTTGCCACTCGTGTCAAAGAGCTCATCAGGCTTGTAGCTCTTCATCCAGTTCTCGAGTAGCACAAGGTGCTCGGGGTTGGTTGCGACATCGGCAAGGGGAATCTGGTGGGCACGCCAAAAGCCCTCAAGATAATGCCCATCGACCTTGCGAGGAGCAGTCCAGCCCTTGGGGGAGCGGAGGACGATCATAGGCCAGCGTGGGCGGAATGCCTTGCCAGACGAACGCGCCTGTTGCTGGTACTTGCGGATCTCAAGGATACAGTGCTCCATCGTCGCTGCCATCGCTTGATGCATGGAGGGGAGATCAGAGCCTTCAACGAAGTAGGGCGTCCAGCCGTAACCCTCGAAGAGCCTTTGGAGCTCATCGTGACTCACACGAGCGAGAACAGTCGGGTTGTTGATCTTGTACCCGTTCAAGTGGAGCACGGGAATGACAGCACCATCGGTGATGGGGTTGAGGAACTTGGTCGAATGCCACGAGGTGGCAAGGGGACCAGTCTCTGCCTCACCGTCACCGACCATGCAAATGGTGATAAGGTTAGGGTTGTCGAACACTGCGCCAAAAGCATGGGAGATGGAGTATCCGAGCTCACCACCCTCGTGCAGGGAGCCTGGCGTCTCGGGCGTCGCATGCGAGCCGATGCCGCCGGGGAAAGAGAACTGCTTGAAGAAGCGCTGAAGACCGGCGACATCCTGGGTGATATCGGGGTAGACCTCGGAGTAGGTACCTTCTAGATATGCCTGGGACAAGACGGATGGCGCACCATGACCGGGGCCGGAGACGAACAGAGCATCCAGGTCGTACTTCTTGATAAGGCGGTTGGTGTGAATATATGTAAACAGCTGGCCGGCATCGGAACCCCAGTGACCCAACAAACGGGCCTTGAGGTGCTCGACGCGAAGAGGTTCACGCAAGAGAGGATTCTTGCGCATATACAGCATACCGAGACATAGGTAGAGGGATGCACGCATGTACGCATCTGTCAGACGGAGCTCTTCCTTACTCAAGGGCTCGCCTTGGACGGTGGAACGAGCAACGCCAAACGACGATATGCTCTCACTGGTCGGCTGTGGGGCGGACATGGTTGCTTATCGACCTGGATAGGGTAGAACAGGTGAGTATATGCGCATACATAGAAGGGGCTAAGGACGCACTAGATATGGGAAGTGTTTCTCGATGGGTGGTTGTGGTGGTTAAGAGGCAACGTCGCGAGCCTCGAGTCTATCCACCCAGGGAATGTTTTGTACGAAGGCTTGCTTTGGGGGGGGAATGTGTGTGGGAAACGGAGACAAGGAATGGGTGGGTCCGCACCAGTCGGCGAGCTATATAGGCAGGGGCGTGCCACTGTGACAAGAATGGGTTCATCGGTGTAAGCCCAGCGCTGGTGAGGCAAGCGCCGCGCCGCGCCCTCTTCCCTACGTCACGGAGCGGGTCGGATTCGGTATATGCGCCCCGCTCCTTCTTCCTCATACCGATCATCGTACCTTTTGTTTAAATAAATTCACTATTTCTTACACTTTCTCACGCATGTAAGATATTGTGCCTTGTTGTCTACTACTATTGCTGCTGTCAAGTCAATTCACAGCCTTGTTCAACCGCAGAAGAGGGGCGGGGAGGAGGATCAGAGGGAGGTCCTCCAAATAAAGGCAGACCCGCAACTGATTGATTGTCGGTGACGCGGAGGGTTAGTCCCGCTTACTCTTGGATGCGTGCGATGCGATTGGTCCCGCGAATTGGTTTGGCTGTTCTGGGCACAACATCGACCCAGTCCACGTTCTCGCCGATGTATACAGCCAGCGGAGAGATATGATTGGTCAAACGGCGGAAAGGCGGACGGGGCGGAAGCACAGCCTTAGACCTCTCTATTCACTGGATGTCTCACCCCGCCGGCCTGCTTCGGAAGCGAGCGCTCGAAAACTCCGGATAAACTCCCATAAGGGTCCGGGATTACGGCTCAGCGGCTCAGTGGGCGCTCTCGCTGGCAAGGTACGCGTCTTCAACTTGCACCACGACTATCTTTGCATCTGCTCACTATCGCGTAGGGCAAAACAGAACAAGTATCCAATACCCTGCTTCTAACATACCAAGACCGGCAGTTGATCCCCTGCGCGGTACCCGCCAATCTGGATACGCGATCCGGGCGCCTTTACGGGTCTTGCGCCCCTGACGTCGACACAACCAGCATAGCATCATACCGCCAACCTCACCGGCCCTTCGTCCTACCCTGTGGATCCCCTGCTCTCAGAGAAAATCTGTCTCCTTTGGGGCCGGAGGTCGCGGCGCGAGGTTGTCAGAGCAAGCGAGGAGGCAACGTGCGTACCATGTACCGACGCTGAGTTTGTCGGACGACCCTGATCGTGATTTTCCAGCACCGACGTCAGTAGGGGTCAACACTAGGCGATGGCAAGTCCAGCGCCGAGTCCGACATCTCCCTCCCCTGGTAAGCGTCGTTTTCACCGACTATCTCAATGGCTGGTGAAGAATGGAAATAAGCTCCTGAAAGACAAACCGCTACCTGCTCCTCCCGAACGCCCGGGCACACCATTGCGAGAAGAGACGCATCGAGAGATCGTCACAGTCACGCCTTCTCGTCGGGAAGGCGAACGACGACCTCTCTCGAACCAGTCCGAAGTGGCCGGTGAGTTCGGATATGATCGCAAGATCGATGGGCGTGATTATGATCTTGCCCGCACGGAGAAGTACGCGTATGGCAGCGTTCAGGGAACAGACCAGAATCCCCAAGCGTGGGAAAGTGGACTTCCCAGAATGCAGAAACATGGTCGGAGCGCGTCGCACGACCCTCCGGCTCCTGGACGGCCCGCTCTCAACTTCTCCGACGGCGGGTCTGAATCTGCCTACCCTGCATACAATTTGCAAGGAAATGAGAAGGGTCTAGCCACGGACTATGGCGATTCTGCTATTCCTCGTACAGGACGCGTCGTCTCTGCTCCTCCGCCTCGTCGCGTGCTTGATGGCGCATATATACCCACCCAGTATCCACCGGACACAGAGCCGAAAGTCTCTTCAAACAGACCAGCCATCACCATCCCGCCTGACATACGCACCAGCCCTCTATATGCTAGCTCACGAACCCTACAGTACGCCCTTGCCGGTGATGAGTCACCTTCTCCCGCCTCACGCACCGGACAGCGCATGCACATCCAGATGCCTGTGCCAATGCATGCTCTTCCCCTACCAGACGCGTTCGCCGCACTCTCGCTAACTACGCCCACACCTCGATCCGCTCCCCCAGAAACACTGATGCAACCGCCACTTGGCCACGGGCCGTCACACTCTGCTGTATCACTTAATGTTCCTTCTCCAGTCCGCCCTCAACAACAACAAGCAGACGGGAGGACGCCTCCTCGCACTCCAGTCAAACACGCCGGGCGCCGGCGCTCCAGCTCTTCTCCAGCCTCTCCCTCCCTCGCAGCCCTGTCCACCCTGTCCACCACCCCGAACCAACCAACAGGCTCCTCCGATTCCCCAGCCTCCAGGCAGCCAAAAATGACCGTCCAATGCGCAGGCATCACCAAGTCCGGCCTGTCCTGTCAGCGACAAGTCAAGGCCCTCTCCGCCCTGGCCTTCCTAGCGCCGGACGAGCCGGTCGAGCGGTACTGCCACCAGCACGCGCGCGAGGTGCTCGAGCCTTCGGGGTTCTATACCCGTCCTCAGGCGGGCGGTGCACCGCGATGGATCGCGTACGGGGAATGGATACCCGAGTACTTGTCCCAGCCCACTCAGATCCTCTTGCGCACAACGATGGAGTCTCCTCCGAGCGTGAGCGACCAGCCTGGTCATATCTACGCCTACGAGCTGCGCACGCCCGCCTCCGAACCTGTCGCACTCAAAGTTGGCCGAGCGGGAAACGTCAAGAACCGGCTGGGCGAATGGGGTCGCCAATGTGGGAAGGAAGTCGTCTTACGAGGGCTTTGGCCCCCAGCTGCTGGAGAGAGGGAAGGGAACCCGAGCTTGATGCGAGGACGCCTCAAACCGGGGGAAAAGGCACCCTGTGTTCATAGGCTCGAACGGCTGATACACCTCGAGCTGGCAGACGTATCGCTCTACAGTACTCATTTACGTGTCGACTTCTTCCCGTCTACTCGCGTTGTGCCGTCTGGGACGACGACCCCCGCGCGGGGCACACGATCCAAAGCGAGCGGTACGCCGGCCAAGGGCTCCCTCCCTTCCTCCCCTGCCTCGGCGAGCAAGAACCCCCTCCGCCGCCCACTTACAGCGTGTCCCGAGTGCGGCAAGCTCCACCGCGAGATCTTCACTTTCGACCGGGTTGGCTCTGGACGCGCTAAAGGCCGGGAATGGGAGGAGATCGTTCGCCCGGTGATCGATAAATGGGGGAGGTTTGTAGAGCTTCTGTATGTGGATGAGATGAATGACCGATGACGCTGGTTCATGGGGATGGAAGGACTTGGAAGGTGGGAGGAACTATGTACTGCTGCACCACGCTATCATTTTCTCAGGTTCAAGACGAATGTTGACTGCTTGCATACTACACTGTAGGAACTACGCACTGTTGCCACCAATACAATCACATACCCACACATATCCGATATCGAGAGGTGTCATGAGCTGGAAACGAGTCATACCCGTTACTCGTCAGGCGTTGTGAAAACGGTGGGCTATGCCAGCTGGAGAGAGGGAAAAGATCCCAAGCTTCTTGCGAGGACGTCTCGAGCCTGGCCAAGCGATACCGTTTGTCAGAGGCTGGAAAGACTGATGCCTAGGCGGGATACACGAGGCAATGGGAACAGCACGCACCTGGGGGCTGAGTTCTCCCCCTCAACTCTCGGTTTACAATCTGGTCTCACGACTCCCGGGCGGATTACACCATCCATTTGCAACCTGCGTACACCAGACAACAGGTCCATTTCCGCTTCCCCCGCTTCGACCAACAAGTTCACGCCAAGATCCAAGAGACCTTCGCCTCACCAGATAACCTGTGATTACTGTGGCAGGCGCCATCAGGAGCTCTTGACTTTTGAGCGGATTGTCTCTAGGCGTGAGGGTCGGGAAGAGGAGAGCGTCTTCTCTGTTGTCGAGAAGTGGGCAAGTTTTGTGTGATATATGGACTGGGAAGATGAGGACGATTGATGTACATGTAAGTGTGATTCACCAGGGACGTAAGTTCGCCTCGGGAGGGGAAAGACATCCCTTTTACTACTCTTTGACCTTTTTTTTCAGGTCAAGGGCAAATATCAGCTGCGTGCGTTCCCCGATGTGTAGGTTTTATGCACTCTTGTTACTATATTTGCAATGATACACCAGTGGGAGACTTCTCACGTACCGGCTGACACAGCCTGCTGGGCAAAGGCAGCACGATCCATTTCAGTGCCCCAACTATTTTGGAAACAAGTTCGCCACGTACGCAAACTTACAGGAGGATGTAACACCAAATCAATCGGCTACTGCCGAGAAACTTATCCGCTCGTGAACTTCTGGAGCAGCTCATGGAAAACTCCTTCCATGGCACTCATTGGTAAGAGATTTCCCCCTATTCTGGGAAGTTGAACATCTGCAAGAGGTCATTTTTCATCGTCACGCGGTTTACTTCAGTGACGAGCCGAGCCTTCTCAGAGCCAGTCACCGACCCTCCGGTCGTCCGAACCAAGTCCGAGGAAAGTTCAAACGCGCCCCGTCTCGGTGATTGGCCTGCTCGAGATATGATAAGAAACGAGAGGAGTGCACTTCCACATATGCGGTGCAAGGTGGCAGTAGTGGAAGTTTGGTCGTCTGACCTGTGACCTATTGTTGGGGACGGCTTGTCCAGCTTCTTATGATGAAAACAGTCAAGATCCGGACTAGGCGCCAGTCGATGGGTACTACTGAATTATGTACAGTGGAGTAACATGTTCCGCTAAATCCTGTCTAACGTTAACACTACCACCGCGGGGGTACCAGATCATCCAGACACAAGCTGGAAAAAGTGGATGAAGAGCATATCGAGGGAACAAACATCGTCCTCCATCAACCGAAGATCCTCCGCTTCACCGCTTCTTTCTTACGTAACGTTCCGTCGATTCCGCTCCCGTCCTAGGGGCACTCTATCTGAGCTCATACGATGCTTCCGTCTTACCTCATCCTTCCCCTGGTTACGCGAAGACCGGTTGTGACATGGAACGGAGTTGTATACCGCCGACTTGGGTGGTCGCAGGGGTGCCGGTGGATTCATACCTTGCGATGGGACTGCGCTCCACTTGGGGTTTGAGGCAAATTGTCCCTCACGAAGGGAAGGAACAACACACCCTAGCTGCCGTTCCTGCACCCGGCCTCGGCCGGGCAATCACTGATAAGATCCCTCTCTCAAGCGGCGGGGCTGATGCGCACTTTGATGGTGAGCTTCATTTTGTGGAGGGTTGTCATGACAGGGAGGGGATTTGTAGGGTTGATGTCAAGCGTTGGGAATAAGCGGCCCTGAACAGGTATCGATAGTAATATTCTGTGTTGTTTGTTGCAATGAGTGGGTCGAACGTGTGAATCGCTGCGTGGAGAGAGGCAGACGTTGCAGAAGAGCGTGTCAGTCGAACAAGGACCGCATGAGGACCGTTCGATGTGAGCATGCGCTCGCCGGTCACCCAATCATCGTCCTTATCGGCGCGTAACCGGTCCCGTCGGGACTACGCAATAAAAGAAGTTGAAGGAGGGGAGAGACTGTCAGCACATTATCAGGATTCGGAGCTCGTTTTCCGAACTGCGGGTTGGTTGGAGGTCAGCAGTTTAGACTCTCTGCGTGATTGCGTGACTCGATGTAAGCTTGGAGCGTGGCAGTTTGGACGTCTGGGAGCGTGAGGGGATGAGCTGAGGAAGGAAAGGTAGGCGGGCGCTTACCGATCTCTTGTAGTGCAACAATACAACATCTGTTGAATTAGACCAGGTTGCATCCCGGCCCCGCGTCCCAGTCCAGACCCAAGATAATTCAAAGCATAATCTAGAAAGTGTCATTATATTCGATCCCCTGAGCACGGGAAAGCGCAGCGGTGTAGTGTCTCGGCCCCGCACGGGGCAACAGCCGATGACGGAGTTGAGGGATGTCAGCTTTACCCCGCATTTGGCTAGATGGAATACGGAATGATTGTGGATGATATTATGGATGATGGATTGATTTGATCATTATGGTTGTAGTGAATATTGGAGCGGTACGGGGCAGCGGCAGGTTGGAGGAAAGTTTATTGAGCATTTTTCGTCCGGGCGTGGGAAGGCTATGACGTTGTCATAGTGGATTTGTCAGCTTGCCCTCAGGGAAACGCCATGCGCACCAACAATCCATGCTAAGAATCTCGTAGGGCCCTTGATGCGAGCGAGCCACACCTTCGTTTTGGTGGGGCTGAAGGGGTTCCGGACAACCGCGGCCGGACTGAGGAGATTTTGGACGTGCCATATCGACAGCCGATGGCGCACGAGAAGGTGGAGAATCTTACAAAGCGGCTGGACACCGCCGCGCCCTGGTCATTCGCTATCCTTTTGGGCGAGCTGCACGATGAGCGACTGTGGATCTGCGCCAGGCTGTGATGTGCATGGGTTGCATGTGGGCTGGGTCATCCACCGATGAAGAAATGGCTTTCTGTGGTGAGTAATTATGACCCACGATTGTGCTGTGCCCCTGTGTTGTGATTGAAGATTGACAGTGCCCGGACTTCTCATCGGCGTAGGAACGCGATTGTCACTCCTTTCGGCGTACTTCGCCTCAGGGTTCGTTCTTCTCAGACATGACATCCGGTTCGTGACATAACCGTCATTAACAGGGCTCCATATATACCCGGAGCGGGGCGAGTCGTCTCTTCACAATATTTTCCCACTTTTCTCTTCTCCTCTCTTTCCTCCCACCTTCCTGACTGCGGGGAGATCTCTTCTCTGTGCGGAACCGAACAAGCACAACCATCGTATTGGACAAATATTAAAACCCGATCAAAGCCGGACCTACCACCGAGAGAGCGTCCCGATCCCCTACTTGACTATTTATCGCTCTGCATTTGCTTGCTCTTTTCATCTACATCCCCGCAGGCAACCTATCGAGACAATCCATCATGTCCGGACCGTCTGCAAGTAACCCTGGGACACCTGGGCACACCCTTAGGCCACCTTCCCCTGCACTATCTGGGGAATCGTCGACCCGCACCCTCACCCCTGCCGAGCATACTTTCGAGGAAACTGAGGGGGAGAAACAACATAAGTCGCATCTTGAGCTCGACACCGAAACCCACCCACGCGACTTTGCAGACGTTGATCTCGAAGCAGCTCGCGCGACCTCGGCGCACCTCGCTATTCCCATCGGACGGCATATCCTCGAGGACGCAGAGCGCAGCGTCGGTGACCTAAGCGAAGTCTTCTCCCCTGGAGAAGAGGCAGTAGGGGAGATCGAGAGGGAGAAGGCGGATCCGTTCCTAGTCGTATGGGAGGAAGGGGACAAAGGAAACCCGAAAAACTGGGGACGTGGGTACCGGTGGTACATCACCATCTTTGGGGGATTGCTTACTCTCAATGCGTACGTAATCATTTTCGTTGCTTGGTAATGAACTTGTGACTCACAGTCTTGGCCATATGCAGAACATTCGCTTCCTCCGCACCATCCGGCGTCATCCCCTCCCTGATAGAAGACTTTGGCATGTCCCAGGAGCTCGCAACGCTGCTGATAGCAATATTCGTCGTTGGGTACTGTATCGGCCCGCTTCTCTGGGGCCCACTTTCCGAGTCATTCGGCCGTCGACCAATCTTTATCATCGCCTTTGGCATCTACACCATCTTCCAGATAGCCTGCGCCGTTGCTCCCAACACCGGCGCGCTCATCGTCTTCCGTTTCTTTGGTGGTGCATTCGCCAGTGCGCCACTCACCAATGCGGGTGCATTGCTCGCCGATATCTGGAATCCCGATACTAGGGGCAAGAGCATGGCGTTCTTCACGCTTGCGCCTTTTGCCGGTCCTGCACTTGGTCCCATCGTCAGTGGTTACATGAGTGTCGCTGGTGTTAACTGGCGATGGCTCTTCTGGGTCCTTTCAATCTTCGCTGGTGTCTGCTGGTTCCTTATCCTTTTCACCCTTCCAGAAACGTACGGCCCTGTGCTCCTTACTAGCAAGGCGAAGGCCATCCGACTCAGCACCGGTGATTCGAGGTACTACTCCGCCCTAGAACGCGCAGACACAAACCTTCGCGCCCGTGTATCCGCCATCCTCGCGAGGCCGTTCAAGGTGCTCTTCCTCGAGCCCATGCTCATCTTCATCACCATCTACATGTCCTTCGTCTACGGGTGCATATACCTACTCTTCGAGGCCTTCCCGATTGTTTTCACCATCGGCCACGGGATGAACGAGGGTGAATCTGGCCTCATGTTCCTCCCTCTGTTCCTCGGCGGCGCAGTGGGCGTGTTATGCTACCTGCTATACTTCAATCCCCGGTACGAAGCCTTCATGCGCAAGTACGCACCAAACCCCGTTCCACCCGAGCACAGGATGGAGATGGCCTTCCTTGGCGGGCCCCTCTTCGCCATCGCCTTCTTCTGGTTCGGGTGGACGTCCTACCCCAGCATCTCCTTCTGGGCACCGCTCATGTCCATCCTCCTCATCGGCTTCGGCGTCGTTCTCATCTTCCTCTCCCTCTTCAACTACATCATAGACGCCTACCTCATGGTCGCCGCTTCGGCACTCGCGAGCTCCACCGTTGTCCGATCCGCGTTTGGCGCTGGGTTCCCCTTGTTCGCCACGCAGATGTTCGACAAGCTCAACCCGCGATGGGCGAGCACACTCCTCGGCTGCATCGCATTGCTCCTCATCCCGATCCCGTTCGTTCTGTCCGCGTACGGGCGTACGCTGAGGCAGAGGAGCAAGTATGCACCTACGCGTGACTGAGCTGTCTTAGTGCAGTGCAGAGACATTCTTTTGGGCGACACTTTCATCATCCCTAGACCGGACGTTTAGTTTTCATCATTCTCCCCCGCACATCGAACTGCCCCTCACCACCCAACGCACCGAGAGTATACGTTACGTTACAGTATGGAAAGAACAATCCGCATGTAGCATAGTCATAACATGTCCACGGATAGAGAACTTAATTGCGAAATCGACAAATACCAATGTCATTTGCTATATCTATTGTTTAATGTGTGTCTACTCCTCCTAACACTCCCCCTCGTTCCTCGCTGGAGATCTGAGGAAAAAATAGTGCTTTAAGGCTTTAGTCGTGCAACCATCTTCTGATGCGGGGCGCCATCCTCGTCGAACTCGTCCCCTTCCTCTACATACCCAAACCTGCCGAACATCAGCTCTCCATCACACATCATGCCCAACCGACTCACTTAGCATAAAACCGCTTCGCATAAATCTGCGAATGACAAACGACATCATACGGTCGCTCTCCTCCCGTACCCGGGTCCGCCTCCTTCACCCACAAGTGCGCACGCTCGACCAGCGCGCGGCCGAAACTGAAATTGCGGTATTCAGAGAGGATAGCGAGTCGGGTGAGCTTGCGCGGGTTTTGGACGATGCGGATCGTCCCGATTGGCAAGAGGGAGGGGAGGAGGCGCAGGAGGAAATGCACTGAGCGTTGGGGGGCGTCGTACCTTCACCTCATCGTTCAGAGCAGTGCAAACGACGCATACGCGGGGCATACTGGTCTATCTCAGTGTCTTCCTGTTCCCAAACCTGTGAGATTGGACATGCGAATATGGCATTTCACGCACAGGAAAGCCCTGTTCATCGGAGAACACTTCCGGGCATTGTCAAGCTCCCTCCACGGTTCGGAGTACAGGACGCACCATTGAATCGTACAGCCAGACATTGCTGTAAGAGCTCTTCCGTGTCTGCGATGATTATCTCTATTTGTGGGCGCTCGGTTAGAGAAGTATTTAGAGCTGACATTGAGAAAGTGAAGCGTGAACAGGGATTGAACAGCATTACCCGGAGGTCGTTGCCAAGAGAGTCCACATGGTTCTTATCAATCAATTGGCAGTTTTAATATTGTGTAGTTTCAGAGTACTTTAGCGCCAAGTGATATTCAAGATGGAATTTCCCGATAATATTGTCCAGTGAAATATATAATTATCATCAGGATCAGGGGCCCATTTCAAAGCACTGCCGTACTGCGACGCTAGTCCACGGCATATCAAGTATCCCCCTGAACCAGTCATCAAACGCTCACTCTTGCTCAATTTACAACTCTCTTTGCTGTCCTCCTCTAACTGCTGAATCAATTCTTCTGTCCGAATTCCTTACAGAGAACATATCTCTGCTGACTGTCGATGACCAACATCACCGATCCACCGACTGAAGCTGCTCCGCCAGCTTACGGCGATCATGTTGCTTCGCCGGGAGCGAGTGTAACTCATGGGTTTCCTAACGGTTGGTGCGCTCCTATTGTACGTTACGAATTGCTAATATAGAATGAACGTAAGGTTACTTCATCATTCGCCACTTGTCAACGAATCGTGTCCTCGACCTAGGGGGCTCAGCGACCGCAGACAACAGTGAAGTGTTCCTTTGGCCAGAGAAGGAGGGTTCGCTCGTCGAAGAGCTACGTGACCCAGGTGCACACAACCAAGTCTTCTTCATCGATCATACAGGAGCTCTATGTTCGCGCGTGTCGGGGCATGCGATTGATGTCCAAGGTGCGTCTCGTCATCGTCGGCTACCAGCTTGGGTGAAGGGATGTTATGTTATGTGACGCTGATGGTTGCCCGGATTTCCTTATCGGAAAATCCGTTATTAGACGGCGCTCTTGTTCTCCGCCACAGACGCCCTTATGCACCGCCCTTCCCGAACAAGTACTCTCACCCCCTACCCACGTTCTCCTACGATGCGCGAACAAACATCATTTGCGCGACGTTCGCGTGCGATCCCAACTACCCGAACCCGCTCTATCCCCTCACGGCCGAGTCGAGTAGTGCTGCGTGGCGCTCGCGAGACTACGTTCTTGCAAGCGTGCCGATGAAGGCGCCGCCCAGTATCCTGGACAGTGCGCACTCCTTCCTGCTCAACGCGGCGTCGCAACTGCAGCTCTTACCTGGACGCCAAGGCGAACAGTTCGATATTGCCGAGGACGAGGTACTGGACGCGGACCGGGCGGATGACGAGGATGTCAATGATGACAACTCGGGGGAACGGTGGAGGCATGCGAAACTCGTCAGTTTGCCGCTCGGGTGGAACGATAAGACGGGCAAGGGAGGTGGGGGCAAGAGGGATAGGGAGAGACGCAGGTGGATGGTCGTTCCACTTGTTAGACGAGGTGGCACACCACGCAATTCCCATTCTTGAACAGAAGGCTCAAGAGGGCAGAGGGCAAACGCACGAATCCACTTCACCGGACCGACAAGACTGCTGTCATTAAATACACGATTGGCCTTACCAGCAGGAGTCAGTTGCTGTCGAACGACACGAACCTCTCAATTTCTCAATCAATCGATCAGGATATTCAACTCTATGTACTATGTATGCAAAAAAGGCATTTCCCCAACAGTCCGAGTTCTTCCCACCTGCTTCGCCTCCACAGCATACTAGTATGCTCTACTGCGCTTTTAAGCGCTGAGGAAATATTTCTTTTCTAGCCTCTTCACCGATGATCGCTCCTGCGCAGCACTCAATCGAGAACGTAACTGGACGGGTTCCCCACTGTCAGAGGGTTGGTGGTTGGATCACAGTCTCGTGGTCTGCGCCTCTTCTTCCGTCAAGAAGCACGTGATACCTCCAGACAAAGAATCCCCCTCCGAACTGCTGTTCTCACCCTGACTGTCACCCTCTTTCCTGAGAACTGGAGGTCAAGGCCAACCTCGTGCACCGCCTTGATCGAGGGTGAGGGTGTTCACCTTCGCGTCGTAACCAGGTGCACAGTTTGCCCTTCAGGAGCTGCACCGGACAAAAGAATCGCTCACAAGACGGCTTATCTGATCAAGTGTGCCGAGGACAACCCTTCTGGTTCCGAGGTGGACTGAATCGTCTTTGTTCTGTTTCAACAGGCACCCTCTTGTACCACGAGCTGTGGGCACCCATGCACTGCCTCCTACCGAAAGGTTTGAGTGGCCTTGAGGCATTAAATGTCAGTGGTGGGCCGATGCGCAGTTTCGAGCCAATATTTCTGTACCCGGTCTCAGAGCATGCTGGCATACAAGTTTTGATCCATACCGAACGTGAAGTGGCCCCGTACTCCGGCCCGATGGTTTGGCGAGTCAAGGCTCAAGGCTCGGGCATCTGTCGGCGTTGCTGTGATCCGTAATATTGGATGCTTGACTTCGCTGTGCTTTGGGAACAGGGGTCTGTTCATGAAAGCAGGGCATTCTCTATCCTCCCCGCAGCAGTTACGTCGGATCCCTGTCAACAAGGAGTGCCCGTCTTTCGCCCGGTGCCGTCTTATGGCAACCTGTCCAACTCTGGAGGAGCGAATTAATCACTTCGGGGAGAAGCATGTGAGCCATCCCTTAGCATGAAACAAACGATCGCCGTAGGGCGGTGCAAGGTTTCACGAGGACGGGCACGGACGTATTGAATGGCCAAAGTCGCTCAGCACACTGCGCCTCTATTGTTGAATGAGGTGGTGGCGATACTTACCAATGGTTCGATCGCAAGTCCAACGTCTTTTCTCTGCCTTTCGGCCAGATGAATAAGAATTGAAGAAGGTCACATGCACCGCTTTTCTTAGAACGCCGAATGGAGGTGATTTGGCCTGCTGAGACTGTCTTCTTTTGTCCGGCCTTATAAGGCCTCAAGAATGCGGCAATTTGGCCCTCATCCCACAGGCCCCAAGAAAGCATCCCAGACTCAAAAGGAGCCGCTCTCCAACACTACATATAGACCCCGACTTCCTCTAATTCTCTCCATAACCCGTTCATCATGCTCGCCGCATCCGCTGCTTTCGCGGTCTCCGTTGCCGCCGTCGCTTCTGCCCAAATGACCCACTCGGTCATGGTTGGTGAAGGCGGCGCTCTCACGTATACTCCGTCAACGGTGACAGCCGCGATTGGAGATATCGTCATGTTTACATTCGAGGGCCTAAACCATACTGCCACCGTGTCCAGCTTTGCCAACCCTTGCACCGCCGCCCAAGGAAGTTTCACTACCGGATTGTATGTCGTCTCCTCTATTTTGGTGCCTATACTCATAGAATTGTAGCCAACCCGTAGTTGCCGGTAACCCTAACCCCCAAGTTTCGTACAATGTGGAGACTCTGGATCCCATCTGGTTCTACTGCGGTCAGAAGAACCCTATAAACCACTGCGAGCAGGGAATGGTGTTTGCTATCAACCCTCCTGCAACTGGGAACACTTTCGCTGCCTTCCAGGCGAACGCTATCGCCCTAGGCACCGCAGGGTCTGCTCCCTCCAGCTCTTCATCAACTGCTGCCCCGGCCGGAGCGACTCCACCTGCTGTTGCCCCATCATTGAACTACACTATTCCCCCTGACCCCTCCCTGCAGGTGGTGACAGCTACTTTCCAGTGGAACGGCGCCCCGTACACCACCACCTACAGCAGCTACCCTGGTAGCCCTGCCCCAACTGCTGGTGTCGTCCCGACCGTGTTCAACGTGACCGTCGGCCTCAACGCGACCCTCACTTACACCCCAAATGTTGTCAACGCAAACATTGGCGACATGGTCCAATTCATCTTCCCCGGTGGCAACCACACGGCTACGTTGACCTCGTTCGATACGCCTTGCGTTCCCGCACTCAACCCCGACAACACCCGCGTGTTCGACACTGGCTACGAGTTCGTTGCCGCCGGCTCAGCCCCTCTGATGCAGACCTTCACTGTCAACACGGAGAACCCCCTCTGGTTCGGCTGCATGCAGAAGAGCCCGGTGTTCCACTGCGGTGCCGGCATGGTGTTCGCCATTAACCCCCCTGCCTCTGGTACCCACTCCTTCGCTGCCTTCCAGGCGCTCGCCATCGCAGAGAACGGGACCGCCAGCACCAATGCCTCCACTTCTGCTCCTTCCACCTCTCCTTCCCCGCACAGCGGGGCCGCCTCCGTGAAGGTTGCTGCTGGTGTACTCTTCGGCGCCATTGCCGCAGCTTTCGCTTTCCTTTTGTAATCACTTTGCACGGGTGATGAACTTTTATGAGCCCAATTTCCTGTAGACATTTCCTGTAGACAAACGTGCAGCCGTACATGATCATGCATTCTTTTATGATTTCTCGCACGAAGCTAATGATACCCACGTGCAATATAGTTGTTGAACCATGAAAGTACTGCAGCTATTGGTGACCGAAGTACAACACCTGCCACCTTTGGGGATCTATTCGAGAAAGCGCACGCGCCGGCGGATGACAGACTTGTCAGACCAACTCGGTCATGGATAAGATAGATGGATCTGATTAATAACACAAGGGTATGGTCGACATAGTTGATGCACATCCCACAGTGTATTGGCACGGTACACCACCTAGACTGGGCAACTACCTCGGCAAGACGAGACTCAATGAGCTCTCCTTTTTGCATTCTTACGTTGCGTTTTCAGCTCGGATTCGAACCTGGTCCGTTTCCGCTTTCCATCCTCTAAGTGCTGACCAGCATGATCATCCTCCACGACAGGCCTCTTTCTACTCCTTTGCAGCACGTCCTCCTTCCTTCCCCTTTGCCTTAGTTCGTCATACCCATCACTCCTCGCCCCTGGTCGGCCAACCTCTCCAATACCTCGAAGCACATCAGCGAATTCTTCTTCCAGTCCTCCTGCTCTTCTCCCAGCTCCCACTCCACCCAGTGCCAAGTTCGCCTCGTCCTGCGCCCGCCGCCTGGACTCTTTCTTCGTCATAACCAACCGCGTCATGTTCTCCTCTTCGAACCGCTCCATACGTTCTAACTCCCTAGTACGGGCAGATGCCATAGACGGTGCCGAACCTAATCCGGATGCAGACTCGATATACGGGTTGGTGCCGTCGTCTAGTATGAGGTTGGACAATGCGGATGGTCGAGGGGGTGCGCGATCACGTTTCCGCTTGGACGGCGCCTCGGTGTACGGCATGGGCGCGACGCGGGGGGGCTGGTATATCCCCTTCCGTTGACCAGCGTCGTGATCTTCGTCCTCTGAGGCAGATGAGCCATCCGGTGCCTCAAAGCTCGCCAGGTTGGGTTTGAAGCTTAGCGAATCTGCATGCACTCATTAGCACCTCATAGATTGTAAACAGTGATGCAGCTCACCGTCTCCGGCAGCCCTAGCTTTCTCCGCATCGGCCGCTTTGACGAGCTTGTCGATCTGGTATTTGAGCTTGCCCTCTAGCAGCCTGATCTTCTCCAGCACGACCCTGCCCTCAATCAGGTCATCTACCAAATCTCCGGCGCCAGTTCCTCTTGCACATCGTTTCGGGTCAGAGAAAAGTTCGGGAGGCGAGGTGCGGGATTTGAGAGTGTGACCCAATAGCTTGTGAGAGGTCAGGAGGACGAGGGAGTGCATGTAGGACAGCATTGTGTGTGACTTGAGGGTGAGAAGGGAGATTCCAGGTGTGAAGTCCAGGGAATTATCTTTTAATCTATGTTATGCGGAGGAGTCAGGTGCGTCGCAAGCATGACAGAGAACGTTTGTACGCACTGTGCTGATAATGGCTTTAGAGGAGCTCGAGCAGAGGCAACACTCTGCTTCATCTCCCCAACCAGCGTGACAAATTCGTCAATATAATTCGGTGCTTGCGGCGCCTCGGTCATGGCGCCTGTCACACTACATCAATGATCTTTAGTACCACGTCACAAATTACGCAGAGACAGAACGAGTATCAGTGAACCGTTTTCTAGGCGGCCCGCTCCGTAGAGCAGTTGTGCAGTTGCATCGTGGATTCAGAGCCCAGTGCGTTTCATCACAAGAATAATTTCATAGAAAGTGGACTTACAATTGATGGTGGTGGTATTGGGGAGAGATGAAGGCAGTTGAGGACCAAGGGACGATCCTTTTGCACACGAGCAAAAAAAAAGAAACGGCGCTGAAGAAATACATCCGCCCCAGTCTTCTTTCCCATCAACGTCATCTCTTTCGTCGCTCAATTGTACTTCATATGCTTTTAAGTCACCGGTTAGGCGCAGTCTTGTAGTCCTATTCAAGTTTACTTGACTCGGTGTAAATCCGCTACCAAGATGGATCCGGAGGAGTCGACAGGAAGCTGAAGCGAGGCCGCTTCTGCACGGCATCTTGGAACGATTACAGCCCTATTGCCTCTGAACACGCTGATACTCGACCGGGTATCTATCAATATATCGCTCACTGATTTCCTCCATTTGCATTGGACAAAGTGCATCGTATGGTATTCAATTTGTATTCCGTGTCAGGGCGTTGTGATTGCTGCATGACTTGTACAGTGAGTGAGTACACTATGCGACACAGGGACGAAGCGATCCGAGGTTACATTGAGAACTTTCTTGAGACGAGAAACTATTGTGAGAAGCATCGATGGAGGAAAATGTGGACTCCAAGGCGACACTTTACTCTGCGGAAGGATATCAATATCCACCTCACCGCAGCAAGTAGAAACCATACCTGAGACTCCGGTCACCTAATGGTCCTCATCATAGTCCTCGTCATAGTCCTCGTCGTCCTCCCGGTCCGTCGAGAGCTGTACTTCTGTAGTCTCGAGTCCACCCACACTGAAGTGTCCCAACTCGGCATTCAAGACCGAAACAACTTCTGGCAGCTGAACGCCTCTGGCACACGCGCGAGGTTCTCCTCGAACTGCTTGCGCAGCTGAAGCAAGTCGACTACCGCCGGGTAGACCTCCCTGTCGAAGCCTTTGGGGATCAGAAAGAAACTGGGTTTGCGCGTTTCCTGGTCGGATAGTCTGACGACGACAACCTTGGTGCCCAGCCGTTCGGTCAGGGAGTTGCCCAGCGCGACGGGTTCGGCGGGAGGGAGTCCAGCTTGTCGGGCGTATTTGACAAGCGACTCGGCGGTGACCTCGTAGCCGATGATGATCAAAGGAGGAGGGAAGCGCATGATGCTGGTAGTTGTTTGAATGATACGAGGGGGAGAGGATTTGGAGCGGGTGAACGCAGAGGTAAGAGGAATAGAGACGACGCAAGGCTACGAGCGTCGAAATATATACTTTTGACTCATCTGATGGCACAGTCACATTTCGGTCAAAAAACGTCAAACATATCCGACTCAGGGGAACAGTCATCACTTGGGATCGAGTCATGAAAATCTCGGTAGCGGATTAGGAACGCGACTGATTTCTTTCTAGCAACGCCCACGCTTATTAACTTTTCAGTCCCGAGACTGGAGGTATAGAAGACGGACAAGCAGGGCACGACAGCTCGTCAGCTCTGCTGCTATCGGGGGCTGCCCCACCTGGTTACCGACAGGAGACTGATCTGCTGTGTACTCTATGTATCTCGAGACGCCTCGCTTCTGAATTCAGAACTCGACATACTGGACTAGGAACTTGTCAAGATATTGATGACTGGATTCTCTGATCTTGATTAGGTAATGTGCACGGTATCGTATCAACAGTACTTGCGTGCGCGACTTGGATATGACTTGCCCCTCGACTCATTCAATCATGGAGGACATTATAACACGCAGGGTCTGGTGTTACATCGAGAGGAATCTTGAGACGAGAAACAATCATGAGAAGGATTGACAGAGGAGAGAAAACACTCGTACCTCAGTTTTGTCACACAATCGTGTTCATCGCCATCCTCCCCGTCTGTCGAGAGCCGGACCTCGGTGTTCTCCCCGCCGACGATAAAATAATTCAAGTCGGGCTCCAAGAGCCAGAGGAGCTTTGGTAATTGCTTGAACCCCCGCGGCACATGCGCGACTTTCTCTTGAAACTCCTTGTACAGCAAGAGCCGGTCGGTCATCGTGGGGTCGATCGGTATGTCGAACCCTCCGGGGATCAGGTAGAAACATTTGTGGTTCAGCCGCTGCTTTTCGAGCGCTCTGGCGACGACGATCTTAGTGTCGAGTCGTTCCGTCAGTGCGTTACCAAGGCCAACGATGTCGGTAAGGGGACATTCAACTTCATGCGCAAACTCGTCAAGCGACTCGGAGGTGACCGTGTAGCCGATGATCATCATAGGACCACGCATGATCGATGCTGGTAGTTGTTTGAGTAGTACGACTTGGGGGATCAAGTTCAGAGTAGTTGAACGCAAAGGAAAGAGGAGTGGAGGCGACGAACGGCTGCCAGCGTGTAGATATATGCTTTTGGCTCATGACACAGTCCCATTTCGAGAATGATGGTCGATGAGGACAAAACACATGTATCCCACTCGTACGAACAGTCACGTGGGATCGAGTCACAAATAGTTTCGGTGGATTGACAACGCGACTGATTTCTTTTCGGTAACACTACGGTGTAATGAACTTTTCAGTCCCTGACTCGTACATTTCTTCCACAATTTCCCCGTTCACTTCGGGACTGGAATCATAGAAGAATGACAAGCAGAGCCAAGTCCAATCGACATCTAACGATCGTCATCAAGCTCGGTACGTCTGCCCAACATCTAGCAGAGCATGTTCACCCACAACCAAACAGGCACATCTTCCATCGTCTCGGAATCGACACACCAGCCCTTGCTTGCTATCCTCTCTTCCATAGTAGAGACAGTCGTCAATCTGAGGAAGGATGGACACCGGGTTGTGCTCGTTAGCTCTGGTGCTATCGGGGTAGGGATGCGCCGGATGGGGGTGAAAGAACGGGGCAAGACGCTCGCGGGAGTGCAGGTGTGCTCGATTATTTCTCCTATGTCTGTTGCTGAACATATGAAAGGCACTGGCGGCGATCGGTCAAGGACGACTGATAGCGCTCTGGGACCAGCTGTTTGCACACCTCGACCAGCCAATAGCCCAAGTCCTGTTAACGCGGGGCGAAGTCTCAGACGTACGTCTCCCCTCTCCCCCTCTTCAGCACTAACCCCCTCCCCCAGCGCACCCGCTATTTAAACGCATGCAACACCCTCGCCGAGCTGCTCTCCATGGGCGTTGTCCCCATCGTAAACGAGAACGACACCGTCTCCGTCTCCGAGATCAAGTTTGGGGATAACGACTCACTGTCCGCTATTACAGCGGCTATGATCCACGCGGACTACCTCTTTCTTATGACGGACGTGGACTGCTTGTATACTGCCAATCCGAGAAAAGACTCGGAGGCGAAACCAGTGTTTGTCGTAGCTGATGTAGCTCAGATAAGGCAGAGCGGTACGTCCCTCCCCAGCTTCCCTCTCGCATCATCTCAGATCAACCCGCAGTGAGCGTGAGCTCTCTCGGCTCAGCCCTAGGCACAGGGGGCATGGAGACGAAGCTGATTGCCGCCGAGCTCGCTTCTGGCGCAGGGGTGACAACAGTGATCACCAATTCCAAGTCACCGTCGAATATCGGGGCAATAATCAATTATAACCTTAAACACGCCCCTGATTCTCCTGCCTTAACCGCAGCATCTACATCCTCGTCATCCTCCAATCTGACCTCAAACTCAACCTCAACGACCACTACCACCATCCTCGTTCCCGCCACCCAAGACCCGCGGCCACCGCACACCATCTTCCTGCCCAAACCCTCCCCGCTCGCCGACCGCAAATGGTGGATCCTCCACGGCCTCCACAGCGCCGGCACGTTGCTGATCGATTCCGGGGCTCACCGGGCCCTTTCGCGCCGCGAGAGCGGGGGGAGGCTACTGCCCGCCGGAGTTGTAGGTGTGCGGGGAACGTTCGCGAGCCAGCAGGCCGTGAGAGTTGTTGTTCGCCGTCGGAGGGGGGAAGGAGGGGGAGAGAGGAGGGACTTGCCCACCCCTGGGGAGTACACGCCAGATCTTACGTTTACGCCTACTGCTGCTTCTGCTTTGCCCAGCGCGATTGCGCTCCAGCACAGGATTGCCGAGCTTGCCCCTTCCAACCCTGCTAACCCTGGTTCTCCGCTCCCTGCGGGTCCTGCGGGTGAGAAGGACAAGGAAGAGAAAGAAGAAGAGTGGGAAGAAGTAGAGGTCGGGAAGGGGCTGAGTAACTACAATTCCTGGGAGATCGATAAAGTCAAGGGGTTGAAGAGGTGCGTCCTCCCTTCCTCCTGCTCGGGTCTGGGACCACGCTGATTTTGGGACAGTTCGCAGATTGAGAGTATCTTGGGGTATGCGGACTCGGAGCATGTTGCGGGGAATATCACGCTGCGGGTGCTAGCTTGACCGGACCATGGACGTTCATTGATTGATTAATCACGAGCACTGGATTGGGCACCGGCACTAGGCATGTGGGGAAAACGTAAATTTGGATAAGATAATATAGCTTGCACCTATATTTATGGACAAAACAGCACAGGATAGGGGGAATACAGAGTATGTATGCCCAAAGTGAGGTTTTGCTAGCTCTTTGCGAGAGCACTCGTCTTACTCCTGCCGGCTACTCCTCTTTCTCTGCACCGAACAGCCCCTCCCTCTCCGCGCACAGGAGGGCCATCCCCGCCCCTGGCCCTAAGAGCGCAGCCACGACCGCCGCCCCCACCCACTTCCCGCTCATAAGTAGCTTCATCCCCTGCCTGCCCAGCCTGGGGAAGGAGAACAAGACCCCAAACACGGTAGAGAGGAAGACATAGATGTTATCCTGTTTGAAGAAGTTCTTGAGTAGCGTCGGGAGGTACGTTTCGGCCGTTGGGGTTGGAAGGGGGGAGGGGAGGTAGATCTCCCCTAGGCGGGAGAGGAAGGCTGGCAGACTGGGGCTGGGGAGGGAGAGGAGGGTAGAGCTGAGGATGTAGAGGTGTGCTAGGGCGCAGATGACGAGGGATCCGAGGTAGAGTTTGCCTGGGAGGGAGGAGGGCTGGGATTTGGATCTGGATTCCGAGCTGGCTGGGCGGAAGGACGAGTACAGCATGCGGAACACAGCGACAAATAGTGGGAAAAACTGCCAGACCGCGCCGATCCTATAGTCCGGGATGGAGAACATCGCTATCGAGGGGATGACATACCCGAGGAGGATGCCAAAGGCTGCTGCTTCTGCTTTCCGTGCTGGGACTGGGGCGCGACTTGCGGGAAAGAGGAGGAGGCAGCCTGCCCATAGTGGGAGGACGAGTGCGAGCCCGGCGTTTTGGGCGAAGAAGAGCCAGAGGGTTGGGTAGCGTAGAGGGAGGGGAGAGGAGGGGCGAAGGGACTCGAGTTGGAGGAGAAGGAGCGGTGGGAGGAGAGATGTCGATAGGGAGATAGCGAGTGGGGGACCAAGGGGTGCTGAGATGGTATTTTGGAAGAAACTTGTTAAGAGGCAGAGCTGGTCATCATACAAGTGTTAGCTGGTATTTGGAAAGGATGAGATGAGAGTGCGCACCTGGAAGTTTGCACCTGGGAAAGGAGACCAGTTGTACTTGGATTGTACGACGTCTGAAGGACAGAAATCGTGTAATGTGCGCACGCCAGGTGTGTGCGAGTGCGCTGTCGAAGCAAGGATGGGTAGCCAGAGCCCGTTGAAGGCGAGCAGTGTTAGCCCTACGGTGGCTAGGAGGAGACCTAGAGGAGGGAGAAGGCGAATCATCCTGTTGCCTAGAGGTGTACTTAGATTAGAGCTGGTTGTTGTTCTGATGTTGGCTTGTTGGCGGTTGGTATTCGTGGTCGTCGTCGGTGGGGGTGGGGGTGAGGACGACGACGAAGAGGACGTTAAGTAGACGCTGGCCGGCGTAGGATGGATCTGATACGCGTCCCGGTCACGGGGCATGACTACACAGCACCGCAATTCCAAGGAAAAACAGTATAGAAAACACTAGTTTCAGGCTGCCAAGATGTTCTAAGGAGGTCGTATTAATATTATTGAATTGAATTGTTGGAACAAGGGAGGAGAAAGGGATGTCACAACAACAACCAGGGAGGTAGGGGTGAACAACAAGTGCATGTCAGAGAATGTTGAATAGACACTGTACAGCGAAGAGGTGGAGACGACAATACAGCACATTCAGAGAATTATGCTAGTACGAGGTGGTTATCAAGGGAGTTGAAGTTGCAGTTCTGCGTGCGTAGATTGGTGCGGTGTAGTTGATAGTGTTGATAGTATACAAATTGTGCGACGGCGCATTACACCTTTTGTCCCTCCTCGAGATTTCGACTCCTGTTCAGCATCACTCTCTCCTCACAGATACCCTCTAATGACTCCCAGCTCACCACCGCTCACCACCGCTCACCACCGCTCACCACCGCTCATTTCTTCTTTTTCTTCTTATTCTTCTGTCCATCTTCCGCTACGACCCCATAAGCATAAGCCCAACCCCGAAACAGTCAAAAAAGCGCTCACATTTCGTCTTCAACTTCTTCGGCGCACCCTTCCCCCTCCTCCTCTCCATCTCCCTATCCTCCCTTCTCTCCTCCTCCGCCGGGTCGAGCAAATCCATATCCCACGCAAGGGCTTTAACGAGTTTCATGTCGATTTTCTGCGGGTAGTAGCGCACCATCGCCGGCCCTAGCAAGCGGCGACGGATGTACTTTGCCCCTGTACGGGCGGAGGATGGGTTGTAGGAAGTATCGAATATTGTAGATCGAAGACGTGCGAGTTGGCGCATTTTTGTTGCTAGGGATGCCATGGTTGTCCAATTGCAAAAGTGCAAGAGGAGGTCGAGGAGCAAGAGAATGAAATAATCCCGCTTTGATGTAATGGACCCTGATTAGTCAATGAAATTTCCCTGACCTCCTCGACACTTTCTCCTCCTCGACCTCCTCTTCCTCTTCTCTACCTAATCATGTCCATATGTCGATGTCGACCTCTTATCCATATCCCATCTCTACCCCACCCACGCAGAATTCACTACACACTCCCAACACAGCGTAACCCCCCTGGCGCCCAACGTTCCCGCAAGAAAACCAACAAAGGGCTCCAACAATCCCAAGCCCAACCTCTACCCTTCTCCCACCCCTCCCAATTCCAGTCCGCATCTGCCTTCTTTCCCCCCACAGGGCCCGCTGCTCTCTCTCACCCGCACACCACTTCCCGCGCTCAACCGCAGACGACAGCCCCTCCACTGGAAGACAAAGCCCTCGCCCAACTCCTGTGGGATCACGCCCGCCTCCCTTCTGCCCTACGTGATGCCCAAACCATATCTGCGCTCAAATCCTTCCACGTACCCCCAGCGACCCTCTCCTACCTCATGCCACAGTTCCTCACCGACGCCCGGAATGAGCTCTCCCAGCTCGCGCACGCCCCCGACCCCGACTTAGCCCGAAAGTGGAACCTCCCCTTCGTAGCTACCGACCTCTTAACCCAAGGCGAGCAAACAGCAGTGCGGAAAGGCCTTCTCTGGCGGTTCCTTTCCTGGGCTCCTTCGGTAGTCTCTTCCGACCCCACCACGGGTCCCCTTGCCCACTTACTTGAGCTCGACCGGGTACTTGGCTCAACACCCTCACAGCACCTCCTCTCCTTCTCCCGTGGCTCAAGGGGGAAACAGCGGCGCATAATAATGCACGTCGGTCCTACAAACAGCGGAAAGACGCATCAAGCGCTACAGGCCCTCGTCCGTGCTCGCACAGGCGTATATGCCGGCCCGCTCAGGCTCCTCGCGCACGAGATTTGGAAACGTGTCAACACGGGACAAATTGATGGGCTGGCTAGGACGTGTAACCTCCTCACTGGGGAGGAACAGCGCTGGGTCGGGGAAAGGGCAAGTCATCTTGCTTGTACGGTGGAGATGACCCCTTGCGGCACAGAATTGGACGTCGTGGTGCTCGACGAGATACAGCTGCTTGCGGACCCCGATCGGGGATCGAGCTGGATGCAGGTGCTCCTAGGTGCGAATGCGCAAGAAGTGCATGTCTGTGGAGAGGACACAGCGGTCGGGCTTGTGCAGCGGATCGCTGAGGAGTGTGGGGACGTCGTCGAGGTGAGGAGGTATGAGCGCCTTACGCCATTGAAGATGGCCAAGCAGAGCTTGAATGGCGACCTCACTAAGATCCAGCCTGGAGATGCAATTGTTGCGTTCAACAGGAATCATATTTTCCAGATCGCTAAGCAAGTTACGGAGAAGACTGGACATGCGACCGCCCTGGCATACGGGGCCATGCCACCGGAAGTGAGGAACCAGCAGGCGAGGATATTCAACGATCCTGGGAGTTCGTTGAATGTGCTCGTTGCTAGTGACGCCATTGGCATGGGCCTGAACTTGTGCGTGCATCTCCTATTCATGACTGAATTACGAACTAAGGAGCTGACGGATCGCAGGAAGATCAAACGAGTCATCTTCCACCGCATGACTAAATGGAACGGCACGGAAGTGGTCGAGCTCTCTCCAAGCCAAGCGAAGCAAATCGCGGGTCGCGCAGGGAGATTTGGGCTACACGGAGCTGGGGAAGGAGGGGAAGTGACCACTCTCTTCCCTGGAGACCTGCCCTTGCTGCAGAAGGCAATGGCGACGCCCAACCCTCCCTTGCTGCGCGGTTACATCGCCCCCGGCATACATATGATCATCGAATTCCATCAGCTGCTCGCTCCCGGCACTTCCCTCCCCGACGCCCAGGTCCTCTTCGCTGAATACACTCGCTGCGCGGACTGGCAGCTCCCGAGTATAGGCAGTCGGAACACCATGTTCGAACGGGGGGACAACCCTTTGCTGGACAAGTTCTCCCAACTCCCGGCCCACGTCCAGCTCAACTGGATGGCCTCCCCCTGGCCGAAACGGTCTATCTGGCCGCTCGTAGCTGCCTCCGCTGACGACTTGCTCGCGGCGTACATCACCAACCCGGAAATTGTGCAGATCCAGCCTGTGCTGGAGAAGCATGGATTGTACGACCCATTCACGGTTATACACTTGGGGAAGAAGACGATCAAGGCTGGCCAGGCTGGGCCAGCGATGCAGCGTCTGCTTACGAACCCACGTACGCTGGTGTACCTCGAGAGCGCACACAGGGTCGTCACGTTCTATCTCTGGCTCTCCTATCGCTTCCCCGTGTCGTTTGGCGAGCAACTCAAGGCGTTCGAGCTGAAGAACCAGATTGAAGATGCGAGCCAGATCGTGCTTGCTTGGACTTCAGATGGGCAAAACGGGGTGGACGAGGCTCTGCGCGAGGAGGAACGTGAGCGGGAGAAGGCCGAGGAGGACGGGCTGGCTCAAGCTCAGGAGAGGGAAAAGGCGCTGGTGAAGGAAAGAGATGATGTCGATTACCGGACGAGGGAGAATGCCATCCTCAATCGAGCGGCGGGTATGACTGCGATGCCCATCCCGATCGACCTCGACAGCGAGGGACGCGTTGTCATGCTTGGGCCGGACGGGGAGCAGATTCCCCTTCAGCAGCGGTGGGAGGATTCGTGGTGAGCCGTTACGGGTCACATCTCTAATTCTGGCTCTTCCTCCTGTTATCATCAGCACTTGCACTGCAATGAGACTGTAACACACCATGACCACTTCTAACAGCTCCTTCGCGTCTTCATCCTCCATATCTCCTCCTCTCTCAGGTAAAGGTACATCCCCGAGGGCAGCTAGCGTCCTCCAAAAACTGCTCGCGACGTCCACCTCCGTCCCCGGATCGACGTGCACCACCCCCCTCGCCCACTGTTCGATCCTCTCCCGCCCACTTTGGAGGATACTCCTCAACCGGATCTTGTCCGTCGCGCTCACGGGCCTGCTCAGAGCGCCGCTCTCTCCCCCTGTCATTGGTACCCCGGTATGTGACGCCGGGTCCCAGCGCTCAGAGCTGAGCACGGCCTGCCATCCTTTGTCCAAGTGAGTGAGGAATGAGACCAGCTCGTCCAGCGTATCGCCTGCGGTGGAAAGCGGCACTCCGTACCCTGGAAGAGTATCTGTGAAGTCTCCTGTTAGACGGAGGAGGTAAGAGACGCGTAGCGCCGCGGAGGGATCGAGTGGTGGGATCTGGAGGATGAGAGCGAGCAGAGGGCGGAAGGCGCTGATGTAGCTCAAGAGAGACGGCAAGGGAGCGTCTGGCTCGTGTCTGGTGCGGAATACTCAAGTTGAACTGGGCAATGTACAATAGCACATAATTGCACACACCGTTTCTTATAAGCTCTGTTGATGCTCAAGAAGTGGTCGTCGAGATATCCAATAAGCCGTCGTTCTTGCGCTGCTGAGAGCGCTGTATGCAATGGCGCCGGTGCTGGTGTGCCATCACGCAGAGTGATGGATGACGCAGCTGAGGGAGATGGCGGGATGAAGCCACCGGACATTGTAGTCGCTGGGCCCAAAAGATGGAGAGCAATTTTGTACTTCGACAAAGTAAGATATGTGAAAAATCAAGGATAAATATTGATTGGGTCCAACGTTGTGAGATGGTGGTCGAGGACAAGGTCGATGTCGAGGACCCTTTGAATAAATAATGAATTGCATCATCAATGTCATACAATTTCGGATCTGACAATGAACTTTAGGGTTATATTGAGCATCCTTCTATTTGGGTTGGAATGTACAAGTACCAAAAAAATCAACCTGGAATGAATAAATACTCCTCCGCGGTCGTGATCAAATAATAACCAAAAAAAATATTGGGTCTGATCTCCAATTGACATTCTCATGTCTTTCTTAGGAATGAATTACCTAGGTGCGAGCCACTTTCGTATAAAAGAATGCCGCTTCTCTGGTCGCTCCGGCACTGACTCGGGCTCACCCCAATCAGCAAGTTGCTTGAGCAGCATTCTACATCTCGCTTGACCGGGTGGGAAACGCAGTTCTTCATAGATGCACTGTGCCCGCTCAACGTTGCTGGTCGCCTCATCCCGCAAGCCCTGGTCAGCTAGGATGCTGGCTATAATGCCGTAACATGCCGCCATTTCCGAGCGATTGTCCTTCTTTTTGAAGAGCTCTAGGGCTTCTTGTATCCTCTGCAAAGTCTCTCCATCATGGCGATCTTGTTCGCGCCATAAGTAAACGAGGTCCTTTCGGAGGAATGCTTGGGGTCCGAGGGTGTTATTGACGTCCAAGGTTCGGTTCAGAAGGTTGCTCGTCGCATGGTGCAGGTTGTCATTCGCGTCGAAAACTTGCAATGCTTCCCGGAACAGCTGTTCGGCTTCTGCCACACTTGCGGCCGTCAGAGGTCGAGGTTTTGCTATCGCTTTGCCGAGGAAGCCTTTGCACAATGCGATCGCTTGGTCCACCTTGAGATCCTCGCAGAGACGGAGTGCAGAACGGATCTCATCCACCGCTTTGTCATGCATGCCCCGAGCCTCGAGTACGAACGACAGATTGAGCCGACATCCAGCACCCTTGAGCTTATCACCCAGCTGTAGGAAGAATCTAATTGCACCGCTCAACTGCTCTTCTGCTTCGACAAGGTTGCCCAACAACGCATTCAGCCGGGCTTGCTCACGGCGTGTTGCCCACAGGGAATCTTCATTATCCATAATGCGAGCGGCCTCTTCTGCCAAGCTGCAGTCATCTAAAGCCTCCAAAAACCTGCCAGTTCGACAGTGTATTTCGCTCAGGATACGTTGGCAGGTTGCAGCCACCTCCCGGTTTTCGATTTTCATGAACCCCGCAAAGGCTTCGCGCATCATCGTTTATGCTTCGGCCCATTTCCGCTGACCTGCAAGCGTCCAGCCCAATAGCTGCATGAACATGTATATCCCCTGGGGAAAACTGAGCGCTTCGAATGCCTCCTTGGAAGCCATGCCGAGTTCGATGGCTTCTTCAAATCTTCCAGCATCCAGTGCAAGTAAGCATAGTTGTTGGGTGCATAATGGTGGAAAAACAGCTTCGTACTGAAGGTTTCGAGCCACGAAGAGATCTCTCGCTTCTGTAAGAGCGTTGATGATATTCTCTTCGGCCTCTTCTTCCTGTAATCGACCATTAAGCAGCTGCTGTATATGGTGGCTGGAGACCTATAGCAAGCTTTGCGCGTACACTGCCTCGTCTACATTTCTTGCTTGCTCTATCGTCTTGAACGCGTCATCAAAGCGACTTGAAGTCGAATAGTAGAGGGCCAGCACCAAATACAATTGGCCCGTGGTGTGCTTGAATTCCGGAAAAGGGGAGCTCGCTCCAGCAGCTTTCTTGACGAGGACGGGGCAGTCGCCGTAGCCTATCATAATCGCCGCGGAACACAAAGCGTGGACAGCATCTAAGATCTCCTGGCGAATATGGGGATCGTCAATCGCGCGCGAGAACACCGAGAGCATGTTTCCAAAATTCTTGGTGATGACCTTGACCAAGTCTTCACTTTGGTCGGGGGAGGATTCTTCGACTCCGCACAGTACTAGAATGTGTTGCATATGTTGGATGAAGAAGTCTTCTAGTGTGAGACGATGGCGCATGCTAGGAGCGCAGACCCGAAGCACGTACGTCCGGATGGGAGATAGCACTTTCAATTCCCCGCCTTCCAGTCGCGTTACCAATGATACGTGTTGTAGTACGCGGATTGACTGGGGAATGTTGTGCATATCCGGGAGGGCGGTTTGCAAAATGTCTTCCTCCATTCCATCCGGTAACAGGCAGAGCAAGCCCAGCAACTCCAGCGCTTCGAACGCATCACTGACAGCCTGACATTGGAGTGATAGACTGATAGAGACTTCCACGCTGGTGCGACGATCGCCTGGTCTTATCGACATCAATGCTGTTTGCTCTCTCCTGTATGCCGACAGAAGCTGCGAAGGCCACTGGGTTTGGCCTTGATATGCCATCAAGACGACTGCTAAGGGCCATCCGTCCAACTCCTGGAGAAGTTCATCTAAATGATCATCTGACCTCCCTCCATTGGCGAGATATATCTGTCTGGCGGTCGAAGAGTCCAGAGCATCCAGAGGTGGCAACAGCGGCTGAGACCAATCGACTCCCATAGGTCCCTGGGTACCGCGCATGGTGATCACTAACGAGAGATTTAGGACGTTGGAAAGATGAGTGAGAAGCTCTTCGACGGCAGTGCGATCGGGCGTATCCCATGCCGATTCGAGATTGTCCAGCACGAGGAGCACGAACCCTTCAACAGACTCGAGATGATGTGTTAACAACGCTGTTGGGTCGCTTTCCTGTGTGCTGGGAGATTTCAACGCAGTCGCCAGCGTTGAGATGATACCGTCAGCGGTGGTGATGCCGTCGCAGCTGACGAACACTCGGTTGGAGCCGTACTTCCTCTTGATGTCTTCATGGTGCAAAACAGTCGCAGCCGTATCTGTCTTCCCCATTCCGCCCATACCCAGGATGGCGATATGACCCGGATCAGGTCGCAAGAGGCATGAGACGATCTGCTTGACGACGTCCTCTCTTCCGCGAAATATCCGTAGTTTGGGAGGCAGCCGTGTAATGGGGAGGGAGGTGCTGCGGGCGACCTGGGGGATAGTAGGGTTCCCAACAGCAGCGGTCACGGTCACGGCACGGAGAACATCCATGCTTATATCAGCCTATCATGATCTTCAGTTAGGAAATCAATGTACTTCGGCGGTGACTCACGATGAAAGCGGTCAGTGTTTCGGTCAAGCGATGATTCTTGGTGTCGACCTCAGCTTTAATTCGCTCCAGCTCTCCGATTCGGGCCATCCTGCGACCTATATCCGGTATGGCTTGTTCCCGAAGAAACGAGGAGATCTCGTCAACGCATCTGTAGATCAGGTCAACCGGAAATCAGGATTTGTATAACAAGCGCCCATACAATTGCAAGCGTTTGAACTTTTGAGATTGCATTAGTTGGCCTTCTTGCATGGCGGACGCCTTGACAAGGATATCTTCCGTCACTTCAGCTACGCGCAGAGCGAGAGCGTCCAGACCAGCTTGGTTTTCTGTCAGCTCCTCTCGTATGTCAAGAGCTTCGAGCGCGAGATCGGCCATCTTTCCGAGGATGGGGTTCACAGCCCGTTTCAAGGCAGCCAATTTCGATGGCAGGGTCTCCTCTTCCTCAGTAGATGCATTGGAGTCATTCGATAGTGCCATTGTAAGGGACTATCTTGAATCAGATGGTAGAATAGAACAACAAGTGAGACAATGAAGTCTTCGCGTTCGTTGAGATTGTCCTCGCTTCGGATCATGTGACAGTGAAGGGCGTTTATTTTTGACGCTGAAAGATGGCGCTCCATTCGTGGGACAGGCACCCTACTATGAAAGAACAGTGGACTGATAAGATGAGCAGACATGACCAAGCTGGAGACCATGCAACCATACAAGTTTCGCCGAAGTTGGTAGAGGGGAAAGTAATATCTGTACAGTTTTCCCGTTCGTCGGGCCCGTCTTGTAAGCCATCATGGGAGATTCGGGAAGCGAGGGTCTTGAATTCCGAATAACCGGAAAATACATTACGTCAGGTCACGTGACCCTGCAAGCCCCAAATGCCAAGTGTCATTCACTATATAAAGTCAACCTTGGGCCGCTCGTAACGGTCAGATAATCATACAATGGACTTACCACTTCCTCAATTTCAGAAAGGCTGGCAAATCGTCAAGGGCGGTGTACCGAAGGACGTCCTCAAATTCAGGGATGATCTGCCTGTGCCCAGCGAACTTCCAAAAGGACATGTGCTTGTCAAGGTACTCACAGCGGCGCTCAATCCCGTGTACGTCTCGCAGCCCCGAAAGGTCGGGATATCAGTACTAATGAAACTGTAGTGGGTACAAGTCGATGTCGCTGCCTAGTTTCGTAGTCAAGCGACCACGGATTGCAGAACACGACCTGGCAGGCGAAATCGTCCTCGCAAACGATACCGAGTTCAACGTAGGCAACGAGGTGTTCGGTCTAGTCCCCGCAGGTATGTATCGTTCCCCTGACCTATGCATGGTACTAAACCTTCCCAGAATTGTCGTTCAAGACCGGCTGGGGGTCGATGCAAGAGTACGCGATCGTCCCCGCCGAGGGCCTAGTTCTCAAGCCGTCCAATATCGATTTCACCACTGCAGCCGGGATCGGTCTAGCCGGTCAAACAGCATACGAAGCGCTGATCGAGATCGGAAAGCTGGAGGAGGGGCAGAGGGTGTTCGTCAATGGAGGGAGCAGTAGTGTCGGCACGTTCGCTATACAGATCGCGAAGGCTAAGGGGGCGCGAGTGGACTGTAGTGCGAGTGCAAACAACTTTGATTATGTGAAGAGCTTTGGTGTCGAGCAGGTATGTTGTCTATTTTACTCGTACGTGGGGATCGCTCACAAGGAGTAGGTATTCGACTACCACGCCAAACCACTCGAGCAGCAGCTGATCGAGGCGCACATCTCCCCGCCTTACAACATCATTTTCGATTGTGTGGACGCCACGGTGCCGCTATTCGTCAACTCGGCAAAGTACCTCGCCCCGAACGGAGTGTACGTCTCTACGGGGCCGAACGTGCACGATATCTCCGGGCTGCCGAAGTTGCTCCACGCGGTGTTCAGGATCTACTGGCCGAGACTGTTAGGCGGCGTTCCTAGGAGCTTCAAGTACGCTTTCCTTCCCCATATGCGAAACAGTTCGTTGACAGTGGTACAGGATGTTCCTCTTCAAATCCGAGAAGTACAAACTGCAGTATCTCGCCGACCTGGTGAGTGAGGGCAAGCTCAAGCCCCCCGTAGACTCGGTGTTCGCCTTCCCCGATCTGCCAAAAGCGTACGAACGGATCCTCTCCGGTCACGCGAAGGGTAAGATCGTCGTCCAGCTGCTTTGAACGCTCGTTTGGAAGTTCGATTGGAGTTGTTGTTGCTAGTATATAAAATTAATGTGTAGGATGGCTCTTCTAATGTACTGAAATGGATCATGTTGCTTCCCGACCTGCGATGAGGTCATCTACGATCGACAGGTCTATCGGGATGTTCGCATTTCTAAGGTACTCGTCGTTCCAGAACTTGGAATAATGGCGATTTCCCGAATCGCACCTGCGCACAGAGTCAACCCCTGCCTCCGTGAAGGACAAGCATACAACATACAAAATAGTAACGATCGTATGTCCTCGTCCTAGCCTATGCGCCAACCTCACACACGCAACGAGGTTGCACGCACTTGACGAGCCCAGGAATAGCCCGTCGTGTTTGACAAGATGGCGGGACATGGCGACTGCCTCTGGGTCTGTAACGCGGTAGGCAGTGTCGATTATCGGCAGGCCGAGCTCGAAGTTCTTGGTCAGCCTGTTGATGCCTATCCCTTCTACGACTGTATCGACCTATACCATATCAGAGTCATTAGACGCACTGAACAAAAGACAGAAAGCGAGACGCACCTGATGCCGGCGCTTGCTCCCTTCCTTCTCTCTAGGATCATACATCACCCCGAACTTGATCTTGTTATATAACCCGCTCCCCTCCGGATCCGCGAGAGCAACGACGACTTCCGGTTTTTGCTCTTTCAGGAACTGGCCCGTACCGGCGATCGTACCCCCCGTCCCGGCACCACTGACGAAAGCGTCGACGTTCCCGTTCGTCTGGCGCCAGATCTCGGGCCCCGTACCGAGGTAGTGCGCGTCGTGGTTAGAGAGGTTCTCGAACTGGTCTGCGAAGAACCCGCGGGGGGACTCTTCTAGTGCCAACCGGGCGCCCGCTTCGTGCAGCGCGTCTTCGGTCGATACCTGGCTGGCAACGACGATGTCCTCCCCTGGCGGGGTAGGGGTGGCCATAGCGTCGAGCAGCGACTTTTGGGGCAGCTTTGTACGCCCAAAGGAGAGCGCACGCTGACGGGCGAGGTTGACAAATTGTTTTTGGTCAACGATGGATGCTGGGCGGACTTGCTCGACTCGCGCGCTGAGGCAGAGTAGCGTTTGCCGTTTCTCGGCAGAGACGTCGTCCGGCATTATGATGGTCGTTTCGTACCCTCTGCGCCCGCCAAGTGAGCTGGTTGAGGATGTGAGGAGTGAACGCATACCTTGCTCGAGCTACCGTTGCCAGTGAGATCCCCGTAGACCCCACCGTGCCTTCAAATATCCTCGACTCGGTATTCGGGTGGAGCATGCCTTGCGCTTCCGCATCCTCGATCACTACACCCGTCAGCAAGGCAAGTGAATCGCTCGAGATTACATACTCTTGAGTGCGACTCTATCCTTGACGCTTCCTCCAGGGTTTAAGAACTCACATTTCCCCTAGAGCATACATTTAGCATGCTTGGCAAACTTGCTCACAAAGACGCACTAGGATATTACACCCTGTAGCCTCGCTCAAGCTCTCGATCCTCATCAGCGGGGTATTCCCAATCAACCCCATCACGCCCTTCACAACTTCATCCCTCCTTATCTCTATCGGTCTAGGTGGCAGCCGTCTCAGTAGCGCTTCACGGCGTCGTTGTTGGAGGTAGAGGCCGACAGAGGCGGAGGAAAGGGAGATCGAGAGACCGGCGAGGATGCCTAGGAGGAGGGCATGCAGTGGTTTGTGTGGAAGATGAGGGGGCCATAGAGAGCGCCAGAAGGAGAGGGAGAAGAGAGGGAGGGAGGTCGAGGTGGACATTGATGAGGAATGGGAGACGCCTGAAAAGCAAAAGCTGGACTGACTTCAAGGGTCCTGGCGCTTATAGTCACGTGATGTAAATGTGCATTTTATTCATGAGGATATGGAATGTATGAATGTATACAATAACCAACAATAATCCAACAGTAATAAATAATACAATGGTCAGTATCACCACTCCAATGCCTCCTTAACTCTCCCATTCACCTCTTTCCCCTCAACCGCCTTCTCTACCTCTTGAACAATCTCATCCACCTCTTCTTCTCCTTCTTCAACCTTCACGTCCACCTCCGCACTCCCTTCTCCAGGAACGTTGACAAACACCTCTCTCCTTCCTCCCAACTCCCCAATCTCCTCCACCTCGAGCTTCACCTCCCCTTCTTCCTTCTTCCACACCACTTCCTTCCTCCCTTCAACATTCCCCACCTTGCTCCTGCTCGGGCACAACTTCTTTTCCGCCAGAGCACACAAATCACACCTGGGCGCCACAGGAAAGCACAGCGCCTGCCCAAACCCCACAAGCATATGGTTGATCTCAGCATGATACTCTCTCGGGAGCCAGCTCTGGAGGTTCAGCCTCGTCTGCTCAGGCGTTGTCGTCGGGGGCTTATGCCATCCCAGGCGGTTGGTGATCCTGTGCACATGTGTGTCAACCCCGATACCGACGTTGATGTCCCACGCATTTTGCAGACAGAGGAAGGCCATCTTTGGTCCTACCCCTGGGAGGGAACACAGTTCGTCCACAGTCTTGGGCACGTCTCCGTCGAACTCATCTCGCAGCTTCTCCATCGTCTGGCGTAAATACCTACCAAGAATTCCCGTCAACACAGTTTCCCGCCGCCATTGTGGGACTCACTGAGTCTTCCGTCTCCAAAACCCAACTTTGCATATCGCCTCCTGTACACTCTCGTCACTCGCATCGAGCATTCCCTGGAGGGTGATCACTCCCCCCATCTTCCCCGCCAGTGCCGTAACAGCAGCACTAGTAGTCTCGTCCTTCGTCTGGCTGCTCAGCATCAGACTGACAAGGATCGTCAGTCTCCTGCTCTTGGGGTCCAGAGTCCTGTCCTGCGGTCGGTCACAACCCATCGTATCCACAGCAGCGACTAGCCGGGCGCGCATCTCCCGTATAAGGAGGTACGTCTCGAGCCAGCGGGGAGGGGGAGGGTGGGGTTTTGGGAGGGACATGGGGATAGGCTTCTTGCTCGGACTGGGGGAGGCAGCGGTGGTGCGCGCGCGTTTTGCCCGAACGGGAGTCGAGGGTGTGCTACCAGCGGTGGGGGAGGCAGCACGCTTTACCGAGAGCTTGGAGGCAGAGCGGGTTGTCCGCCCAGGATAGGCGTAGGCCGAGAGCTGAGCTGCTAGGGCTTCTGATGCTGCCTCTCCATTATTATCATCTCTATCCTCGTCGTTGAAGGGTGTGGTGCTGGGTTTTGCTACTTTGCTGGGAGATGGAGACTCTGTTTTGACGAGTGTGCGCGATGCACGAGGGGTTCGACGAACAGGGGGCATGAGGTGCGGTCTGAGGAAAGAACGTAGTATGAGAGATGTTAGAGCCAATATGAGAGAGTAGTGTTATTTGAATTTGGTATGTTGTTGACCAAGACGGAAATTGCAATTGAAGACTGAAATGTGGATAAAAGGGACGCGAATGAAATGAAAAATGTTACGACGCGTCTGCTGTCTCTTCATTGGTCAAGATGGACATGTTCAACCTCCACTTTGTTATCTTTCAACTGGAAGAAACAACATGAGAATAGGTTTTTACATTGGGCTCAGTCAATAGAATGGCACCAACATTTGGTAGAGTATGTTCAGCAACAACACTCTCAATCAAGGTTACAAAGGGAGTGCATATTCATTCAACAGCATAGCCGACAAGGGCAATTCATCGAGTTTCTCGAACATCTATCCTACAACATCTAATCCCCAGCCCTGATGCTCAGTGGGAGTCCAGCGCCGCACGCCGCTGCCTGGGAGTGGGTCGTGCTGCACGCCGTCCCAAATGCGGAGTAAGGGTTGACATACCGCAGCACGAGAGCCGGGAGCCTCCCCTTCTGTTCGAGCACGATGCTCAAGATACCTCTCGTCGTCTCACATCCGTCATCGTCATCGTCATGCCCGTGCCCGTGCCCGTGCCTGTCCTTGTTGTTGTGCACATTCGACCCTTTCTCGCTGTTCACCTCCACCACCGGTGCAGTCCCCCAAACCTCGACTGCCGACTCCTTCCCCCCCACCTCCCCCTGCTTGTTGGCTTTGGGAGCCTCGCGCATTGGCGCGAGTCACATAGGGTCGTCGTCACTATAAAACTCGTCGGAATCGTCGTCCACGGAGGTCAGGTTCGTAAAGTCGACTTTGTAGCGGAGGATACCGCCGATCCCACCAAAGCCCTTGACGAACTGGGCGCCTTCCTGAGAACGATCGGTGACGAACTATTTTCCTACTTAGTGTGCATCCGAGTGTAGGGAACGACCCAACATACCTCGAGATCGGCACCAAAGTCCTTGTAGCGCTCGGCGAACCACTCGAGCAGCGACTGAGGCTCGCTGCTCGATTCCATCTCGAGGCCGGTGCTCTTGTCAATGAACTTTTCACGGTCCTTCTCCTGGTCCTTGCGGGCATGGACGATGATTTCCTCTGGAGTGACATTAGAATATCGCAACAACTTAGACACCGAGTAGCCTACCTCCAGCGGCATTGCGCAAGACGTAGCGAGTGACATCAAGATTCTCCCAGACGATGAGGGTTTCCACGGAGCCCATCTCGAGTGCCTTGAGAGTGTCGTCCACTCCGAAGCAGTATTTTCCAGTGTCCTGGGAGATCTCATCGAAATACTTCTGGATAAGTTTCTTCTCCTGAACGAACTTGACATTTGCCAAACTCTCAGCGGCAAGTTCGATCGCCTGGTTAAACCCGTTCTCGCCACCATAGGATACGTCGACGACCTTGATAATTTTCACCCCCAGGCGGGGGTCGAACATGTCACTCTGGCTCAGTTCGGTCTTAAAGTCCGCAGAACCGGCGAGAACGAGCCCAGCAACATTGACCTTGTCGTTGGTGATGAAGTGCTGGACCGCGAGCTCAGCGACTTTGCGCACGTAGTTGTGCCTCTTCTCGTCACGCAAGCGGGAGAAACGCAGTGCGGACTGACCACCACGACCGTGCTTCTTGGGCAGGTCCACGGTGAACTTGTGGATCACTTCGCGGGTGTTCCCAGCGAGCGTGCCGAAGAGCGTGCCGTTGCCGTCCATGACGATGAAGCCGAACTTGGAGTCGGACTCGAGCAGCTCAGAGAGCGCTTCGGTGTGGAACTTGTTGTCACAAAGGTAGAGCGACCTGTTTCCTGTGTCAGCCCCTCGATTCAGTTAACACGGGATTTTTTGCATACGTATTGATAGGCTTGTGTGGTTCAAAATCGAAAGATACTTTCTTTTCCTTGCCTTCATCGGTAAGGATGGTCCCGACGAACAGGACGAGTCCATTGGGAGGTACACGGGTGTACAGCTTAAGGCGCTGCTGGGTGGAGGTGATCGCCGCGAGCACGGAAAGACGGTTGACACGAGACTTGATGTTAGATGCGGTACCGTATTCCTGGGTAAGCATCGCGGAGACACGAGAGATTTGATCCTGTCCGATCGTGAGTCATGAGCTGGGGCGACAGAGGCGGTGAAATACGCACCTTGGGTGGGATGATGAGACTGATCATGGACGTGCCAGCTCTGAGGCGTAGTCAGCTCCGAGTCCCAGCTGGTCGTGACCAGGGACACAAGCACGACACTCACCCCCTAGCACTATCCAGACTCTTGATGAGCTTCTTGATCTTCCACACCTATACAACTCGTCAGCCTCGTGCCTTGATATTGCGACATACCGCCCGACCTGAATGTTCTGCTCAGCCATGTCCTGTTGGCTCATTGTGTATATTTCGGCCGCGTAAACGACAACAAACAGTGACGAGCGGTGGTATGAAGAGCGAAATACGGACGAGCCGAGGTGGATGTATGCGTGCAAGGAGCGCGCAGAGGCGTAAGAGATGAGCGTGTGCGTTCAAGGTGTGGCACAGTAGGGTTAGCGGTGCAAATGTAATGCAACTTTGGGTGAACGGAAAACTGCACAGAAATTAGCTTCCGCGTATATGGAAAGAACACATGACAGTGTAACAGTCACTTTATAGTCATTGTAGAAATAAATACAATGTTTATCAACAACTGGACATGATATTCCAGTTCTTTTGATCTTGCCGAGTCTACCATTGTTGGATAACAATTAGTGGTACAGTCCTCCTTTCTCATTAATACCCTAACATTCCAGAATAAGTATTAGAATACAGCCTGTCACACGGCACCGAACCCACATCATCATCAAGGATATCACAGAAGCATACGAAAAATTTATTGTCGTTCTTCTGGCCGAAAACCGGTAACATCTATTGTCGCGCTGGCACTGACAATGACATTCGGAATAACCTCGCCTCCGATCCCAGAAAGGCAACCCTGAAAAGACCCTGGCCAAAAGTTGGTATACAGCGCTGGACTTCACTTGTTCTTGCAGACTGATATGTACCCATACAGCAACATGAGATCCCCTCCATCCTCTCCCACTGCACTGGAAAAAACTCAGGCGGAATTTGCTGCTGGTCTTCTGCCACTCATTCCAGTACTCATACCGCTCAAACCGAAAAAGAGCAAGGAGTTTAAGAGCAGGGAAGTGATTGAGGAAGACGAAGATGAGAGTGAGGAAGAGGAGGAGTTGCCAGATGTGCAAGACATCAACATAGATGATGATGGTGATGAAGAGGAGGAAGAGGAGACAGAAGAAGAAGAGGTTGCTGACAGCTCCGCACCAGATCTATTGTAGGTCATCTCTGGATTCTCTCATTCCTCTTTCACACGAAATGCAGAGTCGAATCACCCTTTCCCGACCTAGTCGAAGTCACCGCCGCCGGCCCCCCTGAATTCAGCTACCAAACCATCTCCTCCAACCCCAATCTCCAGCTCTTCCTCATCCGCCTCCCACCGTCGATCAAACCCAAGTACCTAGAAAACCTAGAACTCGACCTGGACGTTAATGATAAAGGCATGTTGGGGAGCTTTCAAAGGAAGGGCGAGACTTGGGAGGTGAGGGACGCGAGTGAGGCTAGTGGGGCGGAGGAGATGCAAGGACTGACAGTGTTGCTGCGGGACGAGGAGGGGAAAGGCACGCATAGGATCGGTATTTCCCTTTCTCACATCCTCTGCTCCTTCGCTCACAATATCATAGCTCCACGACTCATATCCCGAAACCTCGTCATCACCCGCTCCCTCCCCTCCCTCTCCCTCCCAAGCACCTCCACCGTTTCTCACACCCAAACCGCCCTCTCCTCCCAGCCCCCGACAGACTACACAATCGCTTCCATGCGCCCGCCTAGCATGGCTCCCCCGGAACGGATGACCTACCGGTTCGCGCCTCCCGGGACTTGGGAAGCACGGACCTCTTTGCTTGATACGTTGAATGCGGGAGAGACGGATGGGGACGTACTGATGGCTGATGCGGCTCCTGCTGCAGCTCCTGCGAAGACGCCAAAGAACACCAAGAAACATTCTGCTGTTGATGCGGCTTCTACCTCTAAAACAGAACCACCCACCGCTGAAAAACCCAAGAAAAAACGGAAGAGTGAAGTTCTCGCAGACGGTGCCGCTCTCCCTTCCACGACTACCCTGTCCGTCGAGTCTTCCAACCCAACCCTTGGGGAGAAGAAGAAGAAACGCGTGGACGCTCCGGCTGTTACTGTTAATGCAGATAATGTTACTGCCGTTCCACCACCATCCGATTTGACCACAGCAGCCGCCACCCCTGAGCTCACAGAGAAGAAGAAAAAGAAGCGGCAGTCTCTCACTGCCTCCTCCGCAGCTGAACCTCCAGCCTCACAAGAAAAGCAGTCGAAGAAACGGAAACATGAAGACGGAGAGGTGACCAAGGTCAAGAAGCCGAAACGGGAGGCGAAATAACTCGCGCCTCTTTTTTGGGGCAGAGAGGGGGTTATTGCAGTAACAGGCAGACGGGAAGATGGGCAGAGACAGTCGTAGCTTACATTCGCTCTAGATTAATGATACATACCTGCTGCGTCTTACACAGAGTACACTGACGGGAATGACACGGCACACGACCTCTGCATATAGAGGCTCATCCCACTTCACTACGACGAAAAGGAAAGGAAACAACCACAGAACCCGCTCCACTACTGGTGTCGACCAATCACCTGCGCACCCGCATCCTCCGCCATCTCGTAGCACAGCACGAGAATAGCAGGCCCGATGAGGTCGACGAGGCTACTCTGCAAGGGGAGGCAGTACGTGTCAGGATCGAGCGAGAAACGCCAGAAGAGGTGGGTGAGGGCGTATGCCGCCAGGAGGGAGAGGGCGGTCTGAGTCCCAAGGAGGGTGGTTAGCTTGTGTAGCTGCAGCACACGGATGAGAAGGAGACATACGGTGATGATGAAGCCCAGAACGAAGAATAGGACAAATATGGGAGGGAGCGACATCCACCCCATGACCCAGACGAATGCCAGATAGAGCAATGCAACAGGCAAGCTCACTGCCAGCAGGGTAAGGCCCACGACGACCGGCCGTTCTCTCGCTCGCTCGGTCTTGCCTTCCAGCTTGAGGTAGACCCCGCTGCTGCTGCCATCTTCTGTCGACTCGGGGTCAGAGGCAGCTGCTTCCTCCGCTGCGGAATGCAGGGCTGTCGATAGCCTGCTGACGAATACCGAGCCTACCGAGCCTGGCAGTCCGCCAATGACGATCGCCATCATACCGAAGCCTTCGTAGTCTCTCACAAACCAGTCCAGGAGCATGCCCGCACATGCGGAGATGAGCATAGCGGCGAAGAGTGCTGACCAGCCGTCGGAGAGGAGTGCGCGGACGTCGGGGTTTTTGCGCGTGCGGAGGAAGGCCAGGAAGGCGACGAGCAGGAATGCGCTGGAGAATAGGGCTGGGAGGGGAGTACGCACGATGGGTAGTAGGACGCTGGCAAGTAGCGCCAGAAGGGAGAGGGTGAGCAGGTCTCCTAGACAAGCGGCGAGGGGCGAGGTGATGTTGTCTGGGTCGAGCTGCCAGCGACGGCAGAGCAGGACCAGGGCGCACATGAAGGATCCAAGGATGACGGCGCTGAGGGAGGCGGCGCTGAGTGCGCAAGAGAGGACGGTGGTGAACCTAAGAGGATTAGCTGAAGGGTATGAGAGGGAAGAGAGAGACGCACTCGAGGAAACCGGACCGACTCAGCATCTTATTCACTTTCCTTTTGCTCTTCCCCACTGCACCCAGTGCGAAGCTGACGGCGGCTGCGACGGCGCTGACAGCGAGTGCCTGGACTTGCAGGAGCCACAAGTTGCCAACTACAAGTGCACGCCTGGCCTTTGCGGTGTCGAGTGCGCCTATGTTTGCCGATGTCGACAGTCGAGCAGAGAGGTTCATCTCGATGTTTCCCTTGAGGTTGATGAGGATGGGAACGAGGATGAGCAACTCGTCGACGGTGCGGAATGCCTTCCATCCCGCTATCTGCTCGAGCAGCTCACCGGCGAATACCATGCCAATAGTAGTGAAGAGGAGGGTAGGGCAGGTCTGTTACGCATGTTCACTACACCATCAGCTTTGTCGTGAGCAGAGCGCACCTCAAGCAAGATACGCCTGATAACGCTCCAGTTGCTGGCCCTCACAATGCGCCTCACCTCCTCACCACCCAGCAGACGTCGTCGAGCATGAGCATCGTCCCGAGCAAGGGCGTTGTACTTGTTCCCGAATATATCGTCCTCGTCGTGCTCGTGCTCTGACTGCTCTGTGCTGGTTGGAGAAGCGTCGCTGCGCTGGCCGTTGGGCTCATTGAGGATGATGTGGATGGGAGATTCCATTCACTGGTGGAGGTGGACGTTGAGCAGAAAGGAAAAGACGACGAAGATACTTTTCGGTTGAGTACACCGTCAGTACTAGAAGAGTACGTAGCCACGACACAGACTAGGAGAGAAGAAAAGAACAGTCACTTCATTACTTGATTTTTATTATTTACTCCACATAATTTGTACATCACACGCAATATCCACGTAAAGGTAAACAACACAGCAAAATCGGTACTTTCGGCCAATAATAAATACGTTCTTCATCGCCGAATATACCGATAGATGATATATATCAGTATCTAATTTAAATGGGAGGAACGCCGATTGGGCAATTTCTAAATCTAACTACCATCTCATGTTTATTATTGGACATTTATAAACTTATTCGTCAACTAATACAGCGAGGAAAGATGAAAACACTCGACTTCATCATTCGTCTTGCTTCTCCTTTATAGTACTTGGATTCCTTTAGTGAATATCCCAAGCACGCCGAGAAATTGCTAAGAACACCAAGCTCGTCTCGAGAGTTCAACCCATTGACTGCGCATCCGAATCTTACCATCACTTAGCCTGATCAGTCATCACGAACTCTTGGCCAACTCATTGAATAAATCGCTTTCTTCATCGCGCTACGAATTAGATGGGCAAGATCAAGTTGATCAAGAAACTGTTTATCCGCCTGGATCTTGGCCTGCGATTGCCTGTGTACCAAGACCGACACATCTCCGTTCTGCACTAGGTAGACAGTCGTTGTCGTTCTGATTTTGTAGATAGTCGGATAAGGACTTGGAGAGCCTATCTTTCCTAACACCCATCGAGTTATTCGGGCAGATCCACTGCCCACCTTAGGATCAGAGCGATTTAGCACGTCACTAGGAATATCCATTAATGGATATGAGGCTACCGTTTCGGCGATCCAGCTTGCGCTAAGGACCATGATGTGCAAATTAGCAGAATTGTGAACAGATACATATCTGGCACCGCATTTAGCATTTTATAGACGTGTTCATAATGTTCTCTCGGTGCAGCAGCTGCGTCTGTGGTTTATTGTATGGCAAATGGTTGTAGAAGTGAGAGGTCCGACAGACGCGTCGCCAACATTCGCGTACTTTTCATCAACGTCCACCATGGCACTAAAACGCAAAGCCGTCGACATAGACGCATCCGTCCCATGCGCAAAGAGATCCAAGCTCGACGCGCTTAATAGCATACCTGCTTCAACCTCAACTGCAGCTCCAGCTCCAGCGCAGGAGCACTCGCCCAACTCTCTAGCAGCAGCAATAAGTCAAGGCCCGCTCGCACCCCCTGTGAGGGTGACGAAGCTCGCCCCTCCCCGACCTGCGATACCTGAGGGAGATAGGAGTGTTATTTGCGTGACGAGGAAGACGAAGCTCGGGGTGTATTTACGTCGGTGTAGGAAGTTGTTCGACGATGGGTACGTTGTCTGTCGTGCAGCGTGCAGGTGTTGGTGAAGGCTGACGTTGTGCGCGCAGGCAGCAGAAGATCACACTCCACGCTATGGGAGCCGCGATCCCCCACCTTGCGCTGCTTGTCACTTCCCTCCCTCTGGTCCTGCCGGGCGGGGTCTTACGGCAGGAAGTGACGACAGGGAGCGTCGAGTGCGTGGATGAGCTTGAGCCGGAGGACGAGGATGTGGAAGGGGGGAGGAGGGAGAGGAATAAGGGCGTTTTGAGGGTTGTTATTTGGATGAGAGAGGAGGGGGCGTTGAGAGGGAAAGGGGGGAGGAAGGAGGGGAGGGGGAGAGGGAGAGGTAGGGGGAGAGGTAGGGGTAGGGGTAGAGGCGGGAGGGGTGGTTGAGGATGGTGGGATGAGGTGGATATCCTGTACCGCTCACTATCCGGTATTGCGTAACGTGTGGATGACATTCTAATGTACAATTGCTACACATTCTCACAACCCAATGAAAAAAAATTAAGAACACTATTTTGCTGGGGGGTGCTACGTCCCGCTCGTCACAGCGTTCATCCCCACACTAGCCCCCGCTAGCCTGGCAATCTCGTAACAAGCAACCAACAGGCTCTGCCCAATCAAGTCAACAAGTGAGGACTGGATAGGGAGGCAGTAGATGTCCGGATCTAAGCCAAAACGCCAAAACAGGTGGGTGAGGAGGTACCCCAGGCCCAGGGAGATGGCGGACTGCCAGGAGTTAGACGCGGTGTCAACGAGGAGGGGCAGAACTTACGACAATGCAGAGGAAGATGGCGAAGAGGACGACGAAGAGGATCGGGAGCTCCATCCACCCTGCTAGCCAGACGAAGAGGAGATACGCGACTGCTACGGGGAGTGAGACGGCCATGAGGATCGCGCTGACAAGTACGGGTCTTTCAGGCGTTGGCGGGACGGTAACCTTCTCTGATGAACCCGAGGCGTAGTCATGTTCCGCGTGCAGGGCCGTTGAGAGACGGCAGATGAAGATGCTCCCTATCCCCCCTGGAAGACCGCCGATCACGATAGCGAGCATGCCGAAGCCGTCGTATCTGTCCACAAAGCCTTCAAGGACCAGCCCCGCGCCGGTGGAGATGATCATGGCGGCGAAGAGGGGAGACCAGCCCTGCAGGAGGAGAGGACGGACGTGCGGGTTTTGGATGGTCAGGATGACTGTGGTGATGAGGAGCAAGAGCAGAACGATGGTGAGGATTATGGGGAGGACGGTGCGGATCCAGGAGATCAGCAAGGACGAGGTAAGTCCGAGGAGTGCCATAGTGAGGAGGTCGCCTAGGCACGCCGCGATAGGTGCGGAGATGTTGTCTTTGTTCTTATTAAAATATAGTGTCACTGAGGGGAGTGAAAACGTACCTGGGTTGAGTCGGAAGTACCTGCACACGAGGATGAGGGAACACATGAAACTGCCGAGGATTGCACCGCTGAGCGAAGCCGCAGACATGGACGCTGATGTGACCATCATGAATCTGCATCGGCATTAGAAAGGTTTCATGTACAATAGAAGGGGCATATACGCACTCCATAAATCCGCTTTTAGGTCTCGCACCCTCTAATTCTCTCTCCAGCAGCATCATCGCCAGCCCGAAGCTTACACCTGCAGCTACCGCACTCACAGCAAGTGCCTGCACCTGCAAGATGCTCAGGCTACCAAGTATGATCCCCCTCCTGTCCGCTCTCTTATCCAGCATGCCCGTATTCGCTGCAGTCCCTAGCCGGGAGCTCAGATTCATCTCCACGTTTCCCTTAAGGTTGTCGAGCACGGGGACAAGGATGAGCAGCTCCGGAACGCGTGCAAAGGCCGGCCAAGTAGAGATTCGGACGAGTAGCTCGCCGGAGAATACCATGCCAATGATGGTAAAGAGCAGAGTGGGAAGGGTCTCGAGGAGGATTGAGCGGATGAGGTGTAACGCCGGCTCGGGTCTTGCTGACGTGCGAAGCTGGTGTGCGGGGTACGAGGAGCGTCCGTTACTGAGGAACGGCTGAGAAACGTCCGCGTCCGCCGTGACAAAGATATCCTCCTCCTCCTCTTCATCACCTTTGACTCCATCCTCGTGAGAATGTCCCGAACGCTGACGCTTGAGCTCGATAAACTCCTCGTTTGACAGAGGAACATGCTCATTGCTCCTCGAGTGCAAGCCATTCATGGCGTATAATTCGACGTCGCTTGCAGACATTCTCTTTCTCTTTTCATCGGTATCCTGAAGGGTACGCTCATAGGTCGTGTAAGTAGGAGATGGCCGTCCAGAGTGAAGAGTTCACGGTCGCCAACAACGACGAACTCATTTAAATTGGCGTGCTGGCCATCAGGGATCAACGCAGTCAAATAATGAGTGGCTGTGCATTGATTCCGAGTAATTATTCCGTTGTAAGTGGCGATATCGGAAGCAAAGTGATCATTGTTCTTCCTTGTCCCTGGCATTGATCACGGAGGCGACGCTCCTCCTCGACGTCCTCCTCCTCGTCGACGACGACGACCACCAACAATGGCTCCTCTACCTTTCTTCAGGATGCCCCCACCAGAAGAATGGGTAAAACCATTCAACGTCTACGAAGAACCCCCAGGCCCCGTTGTCTACCCAGGGCCTAACGACCCGATGCCATCGATTGAGGACATCACCAAGATCGAAGAAGATCTCAAGATGCGGAAAGAGTTCGCACACGCCATGTTCGAGAAAACTACTGTGGACCTTGCAATGGTAGACCTTATTAGGAGAAAAGTGCGCAAATTCAACAAGAAGCTTGACGAGTATGGCTTGGACAGATTTGGGAATAAGCTTGAGAACGCAAAGCCTGGGCAGTCCGACAAGCCCGACAAGCCCCCTGCGCCAGTCTTGACAGGTCTGTTCATACTCTTGTTATACTTGCACGTCAGCATAGTGATGTGGTTGCAGAGGCGGAACGCGAAGCCCGCGACCAAGCCCGTCAAGCCAGAATACAAGCAGCGCTTGACGTGCCGCGACCGGTGACGATTGCGTCCCGTAAAATGTGAGCCCCATTGTTCACGGGCGTCGCTTGTGCCGCTCACCGCTCATTTTCGTAGGCACCCAAAAGGATACAATAAAAACAAACGCAAACGCGTCGGTAGTGACGACGACGAGTCTTATACACGTATATGCCGTCCCTGTGTTAGGTTATGACAGCTCTTGACTCCTTCTTTAGCAGATCGCAAGGGAACCCCTCCGTCCCCGTCCGTAGCCCACCCAAAGCACAAGCACCTGCAGCACGCACCCTCCTCTACCGTTGTAGCTAAGAAACCTCCACGCGAGCCCCTGCCCAACCTGAACGACGAGTCTTACTGGCGTCTCCCCGAGCGACAATCTCTCGTTCCACCTCACCCTCCCCCACCAGAGGCACCCATTCCCGGTCCTTTGCACCAGCAAGATGTTTCAATAGACCTTTCGGATGCCAAGCCACCGGCGGCCCAGATCACAGCGGACACGTTCTGGAAATCTGTCGAGCACTGGATACGTGACTTGGGGGAAGAAGACGTAGCAGCCATGAGCTACATAGACGATGATCCTGAACCATTTGTCCGGCCACCGCTGGGAAGGCACTATCTTGAGCGCTGGGCAGAGGAGGAGCAGGGAACGTACACGCCTGCAGGACAACGACCGGACGCGAAAGGCATGCCTTTCCCCCCGACGGCAGGGTATGACCCTACGGACTTAGCAGACGGGGACTGGCTGAGCGAAGACAAGTCGCTGGGACCCGTAGCGGAACGCCTCGTTTCTGCGCTTCAGCCTAAACGGTCAGGTACCGCAGCGGGTGGTCCGGAGGGAGAGGGAAAGAAGGAGATGATTGAGGCGATTGCGGAAGAGCTACAGGTAGAAGACGCGCTTACAGCAGGGCCGCTTGGGGACCTTAGGGTCAGTGCGGAGGAATTGGACGTGAGGATCAAGCGGCAACTGAAAGAGCTGGGGCTGTGGTCGGAACCTGAGGTATGCGTCTTTCTTGCTATATGTTTATTCTACGGGCTTGGTCTGACACTTGCTCAGCCTGACTTCTCTGCTCCGGAAGATGACTCCATCCTTGCCGAACTACGGCAGTGCCAGAAGCTTCTGAAAGACCAGATGGCACTAAACGCCGCACGCAAGTACCGGCTACTAAAACGTTGCGAAGATCGACTTGCATACCAGGACTACGTCCACCAGCTGGAAAGGATGGACGAGCAGATCCTGAGCGAGTGGCAAAAGCTGAGCAAGAAGACTACAGCCGACGCCAAAAAGGGCAACAGTTCGGGGCATACGCGGCAGCCGAGCACGTCCAGTGTCAGTAAGACTAAACCTACCGGTACGAATGGGATCAGCAAAGCACGATCGCAGAGCGTCTCTCAGTCTCCTGTCGACCCCCGTTCAACCTCCGCCGCTCCGGGCGAAGGGCAGTCCAAACGGCCCTTAGTCCCTCCCGAGCTCCTACACGTGGTGCGAATTCGCCAGCGGCTGGTAGATGAGTTGGGCACGGTGTTTGAGCAGGGAGAACGGGAGTGTCCAGGTAGGTTTTGGGGGTTGCCGGAGGAGAGCTTGTATAAGGGGATCAGCGTGGAAGAGGGGAAGAACGTGCTCCGGAGGGTTAACGTCGGGCATCCGGCATTAATGTGAATATTGGATGGACTAGGAGAATGCGGACTTGTGGATGGTAGAATGCTAATGCGGGATAATGGTGTGTTGTAGCTTTATTGTATTCCCCGCATTTGTAGATTACCACAAACTGTTACAATCCAATTTCACTGATCAAACGGATACAAATGATCCCTAGTAAATTGTTGAATTGCATGGAAGAGAAGTAACGAAGCGCCGAGTCAGGCACGCTACTTTTACATATTCGTATTCAACCTGTTACAATGCCTCTCCTTCCTCCTTCCACCAACCCAACTCCTCTACCGTCAGTGCCATCCTCACCCAATACTCTTGCTACCCGTCTAGCTCATATGGACCTCCCACCGCCCTCCAGTGTCACAGCACTCGACTCCCCTTCCCGCTCAGGAGGAGCACAAGAAACGCCCGAAAGCGTGGCGGACAAGATCTCCCGCCTGGACCTGCCCGAGCCGGAAGAGATCCGCAACCAGGCAAAGGCGAAGATTCAGACCAAAGGGACGGAGGAGGTCAATAGGGAGATCGCGAAGATGAGTCTGCCGGAGCCTGAGTGGGCTCATGCAACCGCAGCGAATGGAAAGACTGTGTGAGTGATTCTTCCTATTTGTGGGAGGTATATTCATAGTTTTACAGTGCTGGTGAGACCTCTGTGTCTGCGTCAGGCGCTGTACCACCCCCACAGCCTATCCCAGTGCCGAGTGACGCACCTCATGTCCCGGCACACGAGCAGGTCGTCACCCCCTGGGACGTGCAAGGCGGTGTGACAGAGGATGGGAAGCAGCAGGCGATCAACTACGACAAGCTTATTGATCAGTTTGGGACGCGAAGGGTGGATCAGGCTATCTTGGACCGGTTCGAGAAGCTTACGGGAAGGAAGCCTCATTTGCTCTTGAGGAGGGGGATGTTCTTCTCTCACCGGTAGGCTCCCTTCGCTCTTCGATATGATGCAAGCGTTTATGTATGGTGCGATAGTGACCTCGGCGGCATTCTCGACAGATACGAGAAGGGCAAGCCGTTCTTTCTCTACACTGGACGAGGACCAAGCAGCGATAGCATGCATCTCGGGCATATGATCCCCTTCGTCTTCACCAAATGGCTGCAGGACGTATTCGACTGCCCGCTCGTGATCCAGCTGACGGACGATGAGAAGTTCTTGTTCAAGCAGGAGCTGAAGATCGAGCAGGTCGAAGGGTTTAGCAGGACGAACGCGAGGGATATTATTGCGTGTGGGTTCAATCCGGAGAAGACGTTCATCTTCAGCGATCTCTCTTTCGTTGGGTATGTGCGACTGTCCTCCCTATGCAGCAAAATGCTGATATGAGCCACAGAGGCGCATTCTACAAGAACGTCGTCCGTATCGCCCGGTGCATCACGCTCAACCAAGCCCGCGCCGCCTTCGGGTTCAACGACACGTACGTCGTCTCTCCTTTCCCCAATCCCTACCTGACCTCCTCCTAGGGACAACATCGGTAAGATCCATTTCTGTTCGATCCAAGCCGCACCTTCATTCTCCAACTCCTTCCCCCAAATATTCGGTACAAAGTCCGACATTCCCTGCCTCATCCCCTGCGCCATCGACCAAGACCCGTATTTCCGTCTAACGCGGGACACGGCTGCTCGACTCAAGTACCCCAAGCCGGCGCTCTTGCATTCCAAGTTCTTCCCTGCGCTGCAGGGCCCGCAGACGAAGATGTCCGCCAGCGATCCGAACAGCACTATCTATATGAGCGATACGCAGAACCAGATCAAGAATAAGATCCGGAAACATGCGTTTAGTGGGGGACAGGAGACGGTGGAGGAACATCGAGTGCTCGGGGGCAACCCAGATGTGGATGTGTCATATCAGTATCTGGGATTCTTCTTGGACGACGACGAGGAGTATGCAAAACTTGCAGAGGTAAGCAGGTACTTTGCGTCGCCTTGGAGTGTTTGCTCACCGTCTACAGGAGTATCGGTCTGGTCGCCTATTGACCTCTGAGCTCAAGAATATGTGTATTGACACACTGCAGAAGTTTGTAAAGAACTTCCAGGAAAGGAGAGCAAAGGTCACGGATGCGCAGATTAATGCGTTTATGGACGCCAGCCGGAAAATAGATCCAACACCGAGCAAGGTGACACAGTAGAGTGAATGTAGCTTGTATTATTCGTCCTGTTTATCAGTGTCCAGAATACAGAGGCGTATCTTAGAATTCATACGTATGAGAGTCGTGCACTGAGTGAGAGCATCAGAACAGCGTGTCAGGCAGCCTTTTCGTCAGGCTGGTGCGTTCATGACTCCGCATACTATCCTCCAAGGCGATGGTGAGGGCGTCGTTCTTCTTGCCGAGGTCTGCGTGCGCCATAGTCAGGTTATCTAGGTACTTGATGTACTGGTCTTTCACGGCAATCACTTCGTTCATTTGGGCACACCTGCATCTACCCATCAGTGGGCAATCTCGTACATGACATGCAAAAATGTACTTGTTCCTGTGCAACATCGTAAGGTCTGCCTTCGCAGTTATTATAATAGCATTTCCGGCGCATCGAGCATCGTTTGTGACGTATGCAACCTTGTTGAACACATTGGCGACAATAATCTGAGGAGAACATGAGATTTCGTCTTGGAATTGCAAAACGGAGTTACTTCAGTAAATTGTTCCAAGATCTACAGCAGGGTTAATTCATTTGGTGGCACCAGCAGGAGAATGACGCCTTACATGTCGTATGCCAGCCAAGGACGAGGCCTTCTCAGATCCTTCGCCGCCAGTTCCGTCATCCTCGCTTGTGGCTGAACCTGCATCATTATTCGAATCACTCCTGCGAGAACTATATTTCGGGCTGTTTGCAGTTCGTTCAGCCTGCTGACGGCGAACGCGATCTGATGCACTGGCATTAATAGAGATCTCGATATCTATGTGAGCGCATACCAATCTTCTTTTTGGTCGCGTTCCGATTGGCCGCCTCGAGAGATACTTTACGCGCTAACATGGGTCCCGTAGTAGTCTTGCTTGACTTGACACTCTTGGAAATCTTCGATGGGGTCATGGTGTCCGACTGGTGCTGGAGGCCCGTGGCATTGTTCTTGGATCTCGAAACACGTGCCGCGGAGCTCAAATCGATTGTTGGAGGGAAGTCTCTGGAAGGTATCATTTTAGCTGGTTCGGACATGTTTGGTGGTGGCGGGCCACGGAATACATCGTCTAGTTCGGAGTTCAGTGGGCTATCTTCTCGATCATGAATGCGAGCGTTGGCAGAGGTCAGTCCTTGGTTCGCAGTCTGACTATCGGTAAGCTTGATTGAATCGTAGCATGCCCGAAAGACAAACTTTCTCTATGCTGCTCGTTATAGCCTTTGTCCTCAGAGCGCTCTTCAGCGGCAATCCTTTTGTCTCTAACAGCTTTCGTTTCTCTGCTTCATCGGGTGTCGCTGAAAACAATTCGTCCTGTCACAGGAAATCAGGCTCTGGTCGGAACTACATGAAGCATGTACCTCAGGAGGCACAACCACCGCTTTTGTCTGACGAGGCTTAGGGTATCCAAGCAAACCAGCTTTGGCAATGTTCTCTTGTGCAGGCGAAGAAATGATCCTCACTTCTTCGTCTGAGTGAGGATCCCATGTCAGGTCAGACGTCGTGCCCCACGAGCCGATCCGCGAGATTTTGGCGGCCGCTTCTTCCGATTGGGTTTCTTTAGGTACCACAGCTGAGGAAACATCGAGCCTCGGTTTCTTGTGCTCCCAAGGCGCCTTCTGGGGCTTCGTTAGGGGCTCGTCCGCAGCATGGTTAACCTGTCCTTCGCTACTGTCCTGTAGAGGTAGTTTGGAATGGTAATGGGCTTGTGCATCTCGGACCCCTGCTCGAGGTATGGGATGCGTTGAATTCAGTGCTTGCCGGTAAGTCTTATCTCCTAGAATTTGCTCGCGTCTAGTCTGGCGAGCAGCTTCCATGAGATCCTTAATTGGACTGGAAAGAGTCGGTCGAAGAGTGGGGGTATCACTGGCATCCTTATTCTGTAGAGATTTCCTAGAGTTCGGAGATGACGAAGGCTTGCTCGGCGCACCACCAGACTGGGCATTCGTGTTGCTGATGCGGAGAGGGGTAATCAGAATATCAAAATCCATGATGGGAGAGGCAGCCGTGTCAGCAATCTGCTCTGGCGGAGGCGGGGATTTAGAAAGTGAAGTCGTGGTCTTGGCGTTACCCGTGCGGGCTGAATAAGTGGACTTGCCGTTGACCTTGCGCTTTTTGGGAGGAGATCCTTGCAGGGGTGCCACTTCGACATCGGATGCCGCATCTGGCTCTTCCATCTTGCGCTTAGCCCCATTTACCGCTTTGGTTCGAGCTGGATTCTTTTTGGGCTTGGCCTCGACCTCTCTAGCCCCTCCACGGGATGACCGAGTATTGATCTTCTTAGTAGTTGGTCCGAACACATCTTCTTCCACTCTCTCCGCAGATTCTTCTTGGGAGGATTCGAGTGAGGGAACGAGCGCATCAGCTGAGGGTTGGATGGTAGTATTCGACTTATGAGTTTGGACGCTTTTCGCAACACCCTTGGGTGGCGCTTGTGTCACTTCGACGACCTCTGGAGTAGGTGATTTCTCGCGTTGTGCTGTAATCCGAGAGCGTGCAGTTTTCCCTGCCTTCCGGATGGGTCGTTTCGCGATCTCCCTCGTCTCGCGGGCTTGCTTTGTGGGCTTGGGAGGGTGAACAGGCTCTTCCGAATGCACCACTTCGATCTTCCGCATGTGAGCGCCGATTGGCCGCGGGCTATCATAGTTCGGCACTTTTTCTGGCGACTTGGGCGATGCGAGCAAATCGTCGTCGTCCCCCCCCAGGTCGGCTGTATCATCAACAACACCGAGATCAGGCGCCAATTTCTGGGAGCTCGTTTCGCTTGCTGTAGACTGAGACTCTGGGAGTTCGACTTGCTGGACTTGTTTACGACGCAGCTCTTCCTGGTATAAATGATCCTCTCGTATTCCTGGGTCGCTAGCAGCAGCTGCTTCGGCGAGCAGGGCGGTAGCATTGGTATTTATTTTGACAGCGGACGGGATGGATGGTTGAGTCGTAACTGTATTCTTCTGATTGACTTGCACGGCAGGTGAAACGGTAAGTGACGTTAATACGGCCTCCACGGCTAGCGATGGAACGCGTGCCTGTAAACCGATCTCTTTTAGCTGCGCGCTATGAGTGTAACACCGCGCTCAGCAGAGAGCACACACTCACCACAGGGCGTGATTCTAAAACTTTCCTGAAGTATGCGCCATCTATCTTCCGAATCTCGAATACCACCATCTTCTGGGTGTCTGGCAACGTTTGGGGAAAGGTATCTTTGCTGAGTTTTGGTGGGGAACGCGTTCTGCATTCGATGCGTTGCAGGTGCGCTGAGATTCGATCAGTCTGTGATATACATAAAACACAAGAAATAAGGCGGCTCACGCTCTTGGCCCTCTGAAGTTTTGATGTGGGTAATAGTGTCGAACTTAATCTCCAGGAGAGCATCCTCAATCTATCCAATGATAGGCATCTAATCAACCAAGAAGAAACAGCTGCTTACGTCCCCTTTGACGTCTATCAGGAACGAGTCCGTGTCCACGTACATCGCCTGGTCGGTTTCTTTCGGCAGTGTCCACACGTTAAGGTGCTTGATCATAAATGGCTGTGGACTAGTGGAACACGTCAATCCCTTGCGAATTGAGAGAGCAACATGAGTACCGGTTAATATCGCGTCGCGCTATGAGCTCTACAACTTTCTTAATTGTCTGTAATGTGTCAGAAGATAGGCTTAAAATAAGACAAGATAGTAAAGGCGCACCGGCTGCCAGTCTCCAGGATCCGCCTTCCGTATGACTTCCAGCACTTCATTGCAACATTCTTCGGTTAATGAAGCATGCATCTTCGCGCAATGGATACACAACCTGGAGAGTCCACTTTGCGCCTTTTCGATATTCGAACTACGTAGCATGCAAGAGAATATCTCGAACAGAGGGTCGAGCAGGGCATAGCCTATTACGTGTCAGATCTCCTGGGCCGTATATGAGCACGGCAGGTACTCACTGTTGGTATCCGCGATCAGTTGTCCTAGACGAGCGCTGGAGATACGATCACGCTTATAGGATGGAACTGGAGGGGAGTCATAAACACTCACGGGCCAAGTATATGAGGCTTTAGCAGTAGCTGATTACACTGCGTGTTGACTTTGGCGGTATCGCAAAGTAGGCCAGCAATCTACCGTAATGTAGTGAGAAAAAGGACATATATTAGCCAATAAGTTTACTTGTTTCCGTAGGGATATGTCGACCAAGAACGCCTTATCATCTTTCAGGATGTTCGTGAGCGCAGGGTAGAGGGTCTCGCCAAATGCTTTATTGACTGCTGTTCGGTCAGTAGTAGCAAGAGGGTGAAAGATGTCGGCACCATACCATGCTTGGTTCCATGCTCCTCAGTGAATTCCTACAAGAAGGTAAATATATGCGCATATATGGAGTCTGTATGCGCTGACCTGGAGACCAGCGACGATACCATCGTCCAGAAGCTTCTCCCACATCTGCTTCTCTTGTCTGACCCGTTCGCTCTGGTCCGATTTGTCCAGACACGGATATATGCGGTTGGTCCATAACTCGCTCAGCAGCGCCGAGGCCACCTGGAACATCGCCTTGCCATGCTTGACGTAAAAGTCGAGGGCATGCTTGCCCATGAGAGATTGAACCGCGTTAATATTAGGTTGAGAGGTGTTTTTCTAAAGGGAGATGGAGTGAGGAAAGCGAATGGGACGCATATATGCCAAGCTCACGAATACTTTAGTGATCGCATCATTTAGATTCTTCGCGAAAGCCTGTGCCGCTTGCTTCTCTTTCTTGTTGTCCCCGCATTTGGAGAGCTTGTCGAGTGCCTCTTTGAATTCCTGAAGCGCCATGTTGAATCGCAGCAGAAGAGATGGAGAAAAGAGAAAGAAGTGAGGAGCCGGCGGTCGAAATCGTGAAAGGTTTAAGTACGCTTGATTCGAAGAAGCAAGAAGTCAAGCATCACGTGCACCCTAAAACGCGATGGAAATGAACCATTTGCATTTTGGGGTTCAAATGCAGGGTGCGCTCCGGACACTTGAGGACATAAAGCACATATCCGGACAATTGTCATTCTCATTAGACGGATGATCTATAGGGGGACGTACAGAGAAGGACGGAAAAATCGAGCAGTTCATTTGTAAACGGTTGAGTACAACGAGGGTTCCACGCCCAGGTATCGCGAGGGGATAGAAGGTAAAAGAGACAGGATATAGGTCGCCTAGCAGCCAGTATGAAGCCAGTATTGCGACGACTACTTCACGTTGAAACCCTCCAGCATTCACGCATCCGATGGCGACGGAATAGGCGAAAGAGGGGAAGGCTCAGTCTCCGGAAGAGGAAGGACCTTATCATCGACCTGGAGGGTGGTGTGCGGGATCTGAGTTCTGGAGTACAGATAAAAATAGAACACAAGACTAAGGATGAGGGCTCACTCTTTCTTTTCGCTGCGGCGTTTGCCCATGCTCGGGTGCCTGCCTAACCTGATGCCCTCAGGAATATCGAAGTGCATCTTGGCGATCTCTTCCGTGACGTCGTCCGTGTTCCGCCTAGCCCTCCCGGTCTTCTCAGCCTTGCGGATCTCCTCAGGTGCTGGAAGATTGAGCTTGCTCAGCCGTTCGACGATGCTCTCTGTCTGTGCACCGGCACTCGGAACGGAGGTGTTCAGAACTGATGGGGGTGGGAGGTCGAACTCTGCGAGTCGTTCCGCGAGCGTGTTGGGGGACGGAGGAGCCGACAGATCAGGGGATGTAGCGTTGGGGACTGTGAGTGACATGGTGGTTGATGCAGAAAGAGATGTGTAAGACGACGGATGACTTCCCAGGCTACATTCTTGGACGTCGGAGCCGGCGGTGAGAAATGAACCCTCGGTCATTCTTTGGTCCCGTTACATAGCCACAATCAATACAGACCACCAGTCGCCTGTTAGCCAAGAACGTTGTTACGTACGACACCAAGAGAGGGTACGGGGGACAAGGGGTTATGACAAGGGAGTACAACATCTATTCATGCATTTATTACACTTGGAATATACCATTCAACCTTCAAGATTCTGTCCGACAGTCTCTGCCTTGTGCTCCAACGTCCAGTCGAAGTTTCGCGGTCCCTTCACATGCTTCCAATTCTCCAATGCTTCCAACCCCGCCTTGCCCCAATCATAATCACCCGGATCTGTACCCTGTGGGCAGTCGACAAATACAGCTAGTGCAATGTTGTCGGGTGGGATGAATCCGGAATCGACTGCATCACGGATCATCTGCCTAAGAGGCGAATAGAAGCCAAATATGTTGAGGAGGACGACCGCTGATAGCCAACCATGAGTCAAGCACGCAGGACATTGCATATATGATACGCACGCTTCTGATGAATACCCAACTGTGTCCATGTGATCATTTCCATAACTTCCTCAAACGTGCCGTATCCTCCCGGAAGCGCGATGAACCCCGCCTTGGCCCTTGATGCCATGATCTGTTTACGCTCATGCATGCTTTTCGAAACAACCACCTCCATCCCGCCTCCATCCCAGCCGGGGATCGTACCGTAGCCTTCACCACCTAGTGCCATCTGTGCCCTGTGTTAGTATATTACTGGCATAGTCATAGTGACGTGGACGAACCATGGCGTAGGGGATCACTCCTACTACCTTACCCCCAGCTTCAACACAGGCATGCGCCGTAGCTCCCATTAAGCCTTTCATACCACCTCCATATATGAGGTGCCGTCCAGATGCAGCTATGGCTTTACCCAGTGCTAGTAAGGATACAGTCGATCAGAAAGAAGCGGAAGGGACAATGAACTGGAGGTGCATACAGGAGGCTGCGGCCAGGTAAGCGGGCTTGGTACCTAGCGATGACGCGCAGAAGACGCAGACGGCAACTTCAGCCATAGCGGATGGTATGAAGATCTGATAGGGCTGTTGGGGAGTGTGAGGGAGGAAGAGACTCTTATGTCCAACACCTAGTCGTCGTCGACATTCTCAGGTCACCACTCCGCGTCTGGCAACCTGACGCGGCTACGGGGGGAATGCCTACATGGAGTCCACACCGAACCGTAAGAAAACTCGTACATGATACGTAAATTTTCCCCTCCCATACCGCTCTACTTACATGACAGCGCAATTACAATAATAATATTATCGATGATGGCATCTATGGAAGAAAGAGAAACTCTGGGCCGAAACTATGAAATACGCCCTCCACCAGTCGCCCATTTCCGACCAATAAAATTCAGCTCAACCAGGAGGGGAACAATCCCTGCCTCCAGAAGGGGCCATTCATAAAAGTCAAGCAACGTCCAGCCGCTCAGTCGCTTCTCTGAATCCGTTTGCCCTGCCCTGGGCTGGCCCGAGTTCATTGGAAACACGTTGTCTCCGGCCATTTTCTCGAGAAGCCAGCGACCAAATCGAGCGTTGACACCTTCAACTCCGAGGTTCCACTGTGGCCAGCCAAAGCCCAGTGCAACTGTTTGCGGAAGAGCCAGTGGAAAAGTCGCCGCAGAGAAAAAGGTAATGGACAAGTTGTGCGGAAGCTCATGTGCGGGTTTTTCCGGACTCGGCCCATATTTAGGATCCGGCGCGGACGACGATTCGCTGGAGGTTGTGCTTATACGGCTTAGCCCTCCAAGAACAGTCGGCGGCCCGGGCAATTCCCGGTCCACCAGCTGATTCGAAGGCGGCTCGAGTAGGCGTACGGCGCGGTCGAACTTCTCAGGAATGGACAGGAATGTAGGTATTGCGTACCTGGGTAGGCGGGCGTCAGATGACATTGATAGATGAGATATCATCCACATTACGTACCAATCTTGTGTACGTACCACCGTATCCTTGAGAACCCAGGAGAAACCGTCTTTCTCGCTGTTCGGCCATGTGTACGGGTGTATGCCCATGCCCTCTGTGCCGTTGTCCCATCCTTCTCCGTCATCTCCAAACCGGCTCAGTAAAATAGCCTTACCCCGCACCTCCCCGAGAGTGGGCACGCGGTTTTCCAAGAACCAGATGTCTCGAACTTCCGGGCTGTGAATTCCGGCCCGGACTAAATGCGAAAAGAGCTGGAACCGCCCCTGTGCACCGTCCTCTTGTTTGATAGAGCAAATCACCGTCTCTGACCTACCAGCGTCGGACCGTAGGAAGTCCGTCAGTATGCGGAGAACTGTCAAATATGGTGTGAACTGGGGCGATGCGCCGTGATACGCAATGAGAGCGCCGTCAATGATTGAGAACCGAAGATCGAAGACACGAACCCCGGATTGCAGCTGCACGGCAAAGGGTGTTGTAGGAGACTGACATTGCGAAACCGGGTAGCCGTAAAAGGCGAGTGTATCGTGAGTACCTATCGGAGGGGTTACCCAAACAGAATATATGCCGCCGAGAAGCGCCCACTAACCTGGGAGGACGAGGTTGGATAGGGGCATGGAGCTTGGAATATCGGACAGAAAACTTGCGAGATTACGGTATGGGAGAATAACGAGCCGGTGATGGGTGCGATTGACCTGCCAGAAAATGAATTCACGTTTCTGGAGATGAAATCGATCGAACTGCGTTCCGGACCTTGAAGCGATAGAATCGGAATGGCGGCATGCCGGTCGCCGTATTGGACAGTTCCAATCCTTCCCAAGCACATTTTCCACGCCAGGTCTCCGGCCGATGCGCGCGGGTGAGATCCAGCTCCCATGTGCGGGCAGAAGCTAGATTAGTCGATAGATACACGTTGCCGTCGGGGGAGAATGTCGTGTACGCTAGCTCCTTCCATGATGAGTCGGCAGATAAGTAAATGATATCCTTTGATCTATTTGCATGATCGAAGCAGATCGCTTTGTATTCGCTTTGTGCCAAGTCTTTCCAAGAGAGTGCATGAAGCGTCGTCAAAGCAGATAACTTGTGGGATAGGAGAATGTCTTCCTCAGTCAGATTCACAATACCCAGGGTCTTCTTCTTCCCAGACCAGCTGCGCCATTTGGAGTACATCACGGCGTCCGGTGAATCGATAGTAGCCGGAATGTATTATTTGAGAGGAATAGACATGGTAGAGAGGAGAGAGGTGCGTGGAGAGCTCAACCCTGGCCTGTCAGGGAAGGGATGTGCCACGTTCAGGGGCCTGAATGGGCCGCGGCATCGATAATCCACGGGTCATCTCTGCGCCCATATGCATGCAGGTACCGGTGGTGCCAGCGCATCGCACCTTGCCTTTGGACTGTTCATTTGACAATCACCTGATATATTTGAAGCTGCAATATAGCTTCGAATATATCAGGTGATCCCATCACAGTAATGTGATTTGCCTGATCAGGGTATTATTGAACCAAGGCAGTCTCATTCAAAGATGCAAGATGTGGGTAGCTTGTCCCACATCAAGGTTTACTCCCTGTTTATTCTGCCCAAAGTGGGATACCGCTTGGAGGCTTCTCTTTGTGTGTGATTGAAGATTAACAGCACTACAGCTAGTCTGCTGTCAACCTACATCAACACATATCATGTGGACACTAAATTATGCAAGTACAGCACTGATAGCACTTCTCAAAGTGACTATCTATCTATCAGATCAACCTACTAGATACTGGTCAACTCTCATATGCATAGAGCCAGTGGTTTGTTCTTAGGACCACACCACATCAGCAATTCTCCTGTCAAACAAACACAATACTACCACACCACCTGAATTATTACTCGCTCAGATTAATGCCCCCCGGCCCGCCCCCGCGTTCGGCAGCGGTGCCCCCGGACCCTGTGCAGGGACAGGCCGATGTGATGCGTCGGCCGCGGAAGTTCGCCTGCTGCGGCTCATCATACGTAATGTTCCACCGACAGCTCTAGGTCCTGGGAAGTCCAAACGGACATAAGGAACAGAGCTAGCTAAGATCATCGATTTTATGTACCCTGATCCATGAATGGCGGCGACGATGATAGAGAAGCTTACTGGAGGCTGATTCTAGCGTAGGTAATACGCCCGAGGAGCGGAACACGGAAGCCGGCTATGTGGAGATCCTCAAGCCGTAAACTGCTTCTGTGACCCAGTTTGGCAGGATGAAAGGGCGTGCGCTGGAAAGGCGGTAGGTGAAATTGACCCAATCGCGAAGTGATCCCATTGATAGACCCTGGACGGAGCCGCGCGGTTGACCGCATGAGAATTGAAAGGAAACAGCGTCTTCCGCCGACTGGCAGGTCCCTTCTCACCTTCGAGAAGAATGTCTGTGTCGCTGGCCTTGCTGCCGTTGGACAGCTCGGTATTCGCTCCCGTCGATGAGATCGCACGGGATGCGGATAAGGCGCATTGACGTACAGTGTAGGTTCCTGGCATATTGAATAGAACCCACACATTATGTTCGAGCCCGACAGAACAAGCACGATTGATCCGGATGGTGCATTTGGGGGCACCCTGCCTTCCCCTCCTGTACCACTTCGACCCTAATGTGCACCCATAAACTGTATACAAAGAAGGCGAGAAATAAAGAACATGAGTGAAAGATGAAGGTTGCAGAGAGTACTTCGTTGGAAGGGACGGTGCCAAACTGGGACTTGCGGGTATATTCTGCTTCCATTGATTACATCATGTCCCGCCCTCAGCTCTAGACCAAACCTCTGAGACAGACCACATATCCCTTCTCACTTGAGGCGTATATAATCCCTCCAACAACTCCCCCTGCCCAGTGAGTATTTCCGTGCTCCTTCTCGTTCCCCAGAACATCAACTGACCATCGTGTCTGTACATTTCTGTACATCAGGTGCGACACCGACTTTAACCGCATAATAAATTTCATAGACTAAGAGCATATCGTCATGGCCGGTGCAGCCCTTCGTAACATGGCGTACGTCCTTCTCTCTAAGGCCCACCAGCCCATCTCCTAATCATTCCCCATCTACAGCAATGTCTTTGTGAGCATATATCGAGATATGCGCGTCCAGGGCTTAACGTGTCATTCACAATCAGTTCGACATCACCATCGCGTCCAGACCTGCCGGTCGTGTGGTGTTCAAACTAAGAGACGAGGTTGTCCCTATTACTGCTAGGAACTTTCGGGAGCTCGCGACGGGGCAAAACGGCTATGGGTTTAAGGGCAGCGCCTTTCATCGCGTGATCCCTGGCGTATGTCTTCAATAACCAAGCGTCATCCTTGATATTGACCGAGTCCTCCCAGTTCATGGCCCAGGGAGGCGATTTCACCCGGGGGGATGGACGCGGGGGGTATTCGATCTACGGCGAGAAGTTTAAGGATGAGAACTTCAAGGACCGTCACGTCAAGCCGGGGCTCGTACGTCGTGCGTGCATTCATTCGCATGACGCAGCACTCATTGCGCATATAGCTGTCCATGGCAAACTCCGGTGTGAACACAAATGGTTCGCAGGTGCGCAAATCGTGATACAGTGCATGCACAGCGCTAATACAAACCCAAGTTTTTTATTACCACCGCCCCCTGCCCTTGGCTCGATGGGAAGCACGTTGTGTTCGGCGAAGTCGTTTCTGGCATGGACCTAGTAAGAACTATCGAAAGCCAAGGCAGCGATAGCGGAGACCCGAAGTCAAAAATCGTCATTGCCGATTGTGGTGTTGTCAACAACCATTAAAATGTAACGGTCCAACGGTCCGGTGCGCTGGAAGCGGCAAGAGGTGACAGCAACGTAGGATAAAAAGATCCCATGGCCTAGACTGCGGGTGTTACCTCTTGCAGGTGCCAGCGAAAACGGGCTGGGGTCACTGTACGCCCCTCTGTCATGTGTTACCTCTCTTCATTGTGCAATACAGATTCACTTGTTGCCTCATGCTTTTGGCATATTCATGGATCGATGCGTCCCAAATCAAGAACAGACGAGTCAGGTGTTGTTGACGCACAAGGTCAACCAAATAGGAGACACTTCCCGAAGGCAACGCAACTCAAGTTTTTCCTTGGAACATCAATTGCCTTTTGATAACCAATACAACTCAGCACATCTGACGAAGGCTCGATTAATCGAGCCTTCGTCAGATGTGCTGAGTTGTACTTCAACACGCAAGCTGCCGTACATGTTGGTTGTCGAAAGGGACGCAGCCGGGATGTGGATCCTGTGGTACACCACGCATAGAACAGAGGACGCACACAGTTAGCAAAATTCATGGCCGATAAGAGACTACTAGTTCGCTGAAACACAAGTTGCTTTCGTTTCTGTTGTAGTTTTATATGAGATGATGAAAATTTCACTTCCGAAAAAGGCGATGAAAAAAAATGGGAGGGGACCAGTCACGTGAGAAATACAGCACGCGAAAACTGATCGAGTCAGCCAAATCTTCCCTCAAAGAACGAGCATATTCTATGTTATTTCCTTTGACGCACAGTGCCCTGTATGTGCTTCCTGGATGCTTTTTTCCTCAAAGCGAAAGAAATTGGGCTCCATTGACGCCATCCGCCTTCCACGAAGATGGTGGTTTTAGGAGAGAGGCTGCGTAATCTGACGGGTGCAGATGGCGGAAGTATTTTGGGTATATAAAGAGGGGCATGTCGACGTACTCGCGCCGCCAATCCCCGCGGACCCCAGACACCCGACTGCACTCTGCTCCCATCCACCACCTCTCGTCCCCAAATCAACTTTCTGCACATCCTCCCTGGTCGCATTAGCTTGCAGACTCTAATTACTTCTCGATGTCTTATCATGGCCTTTCTCTACCATCTTCTGGCCCTCTAGTCCCTCAGCAACGGCCACCGTTACAGCCGCCACCGGTCCAACAGCTGACCCCACCCGCAACTGAGGGCGCTAAGACGCCAGCTGCCCCACCCACTCTCGAGCAGCAGCACATTACCGCCGTAGATGGTATTGTGCCAACTCTCCAGTAAGTGATACATCTTTTTGTAATGTGGATGGCGTTGTTGGAGGGGGCAAAGGGGGATGGATGGATGGTGGAAGGCCTATGACATGTTTGGTGGTGTCAATGGCGGAGAGCCGTGCTTTTACCGGTTTGTCATCCAAATCCAGTGAACACGTTACTCATAAACTCTCCCTTTTCCTCCTATCCTCCTTGCCCGTTCCTCCAACCACCATTTCACTCACATAGAAATATCGTCGCTACGGTCAACCTTGATTGTCGACTGGATCTCAAGACCATCGCTCTGCATGCCCGCAATGCCGAGTACAATCCCAAGGTACATACGTTCCGTGCAGCCCCAATATGCAGATGTGCTAATCTCATGACAGCGTTTCGCTGCCGTCATCATGCGTATACGAGAACCAAAGACGACCGCGCTGATCTTTGCGTCTGGCAAGATGGTCGTTACGGGTGCAAAGTCGGAGGATGATTCTCGGCTGGCGTCTCGCAAATATGCGCGTATCGTGCAGAAGCTTGGGTTCGACACGCGGTTCGTGGATTTCAAGATCCAGAACATTGTCGGCTCGTGCGATGTCAAGTTCCCTATCCGTTTAGAGGGCCTGGCATACTCTCACGGACAGTTCAGCAGCTACGAGCCTGAGGTGAGTCATCATCAACGTTATCATCATGCCTGTGATATTGAACAACTTGCTACAGCTATTTCCTGGTCTTATTTACCGTATGCTCAAACCAAAAGTCGTCCTGCTGATATTCGTCTCCGGGAAGATCGTCCTCACCGGTGCCAAGGTCCGAGAGGAGATTTATACCGCCTTCAACACGATCTACACTGTGCTTCAGGAGTTCAAGAAGCCTTGAGCGCTCTTTCAAGTGCTGGTCACTGAGCTGCGCACTGTATTATTGTCACGACTTCTCTTTGCATGCTTTTTCTCCTCCACATTCAACATGGAAGACCTCGCAATATTTCTGCTTCCGCTCCCCTTCTCTCCCCCTCCTTCCCGTCATGCAACCTATCTCACGAGATGCCATCGATCGAACAATTCGCAACACACCCTTTCCCCTTTTTCTTTCCCTCCGTCGGGTATATTAGATTCTGTACGAGTAGCTCCTGCAAGGGCATTGCCCCTCTGCACGCACTTCGGTGATTTGCCTCGAACCATAACGATGCGATGGAGTATATTTCATTGTGCAGGTCACTTTAGTAGCTGCTCGGAGATTGTACATAGGGGGAAACCCGTGCAATAAAACAGTTAACGATTCCATTCACGTGTGGCTTATCAGATGCTTAGTTGATCGAGTGAAAATTACGGAAGTAAAACTCCCGTGGTCTGGGCGCACGGAAGGAATTACCGGTTATGGCCAAACCCATAAAGGCTCCGAGACAGACCATCCCGTCCCCTTCTCACACAGCCGTATATAATCCCCCATCCCCTCCGCCGTCCAGCGAGGTTCATCATCCCTTTCGTTCATCCCTCTCGTTCCCACACCCCAACTCCCTGATCTGTACACTCTCTGCATCAGGTACAATATTAGTCTTCCACGTCGAGGGTACGTTCACTAACACCCTATCGTCGTCGTCGTCGCAGCTCCCCATAACATGGCGTATGTCCCCCTCTTTGACGCGCACCAATGCATACACTAACCACTGTCCTAGTAACGTCTTCGTGAGCATATATGATCTGTATGCACGCATCACCCGCCTAACACCTCATTATCTATCAGTTTGATATTACCATTGGCGCCAAGCCTGCCGGTCGTGTGGTGTTCAAACTGTACGACGATGTTGTCCCCCTCACCGCTAGGAACTTCCGGGAGCTCGCCACCGGGAAGAACGGCTATGGCTACAAGGGTAGTATATTCCATCGTGTGATCCCCAGCGTATGTCTCTAATAACTTCCCGTCGTTCTTGAGGTTGACGATGTCCTAGTTCATGCTCCAGGGTGGCGACTTTACGAAGGGGGACGGGACTGGAGGGCACTCTATCTACGGGGAGAAGTTCAAGGATGAGAACTTCAAGTTGAGGCACACTAAGCCTGGTCTTGTACGTTGTGCACGCAATCACTCATCTCGCGCGACTCATTGCGATCACAGCTCTCTATGGCAAACGCCGGCAAGAACACCAACGGCTCGCAGGTACGCAGATCGTAGTATAACACATGTACATCCCTGACATGTCCCAGTTCTTCATCACGACCGTCGCTTGTGATTGGCTCGACGGGATTCACGTCGTGTTTGGCGAGGTCGTCTCCGGCATGGAAGTTGTGAAGGAGGTTGAATCCCACGGGTCCAGGAACGGTGGTACAAATGCCAAGATTGTGATTGCGGACGCCGGTGTTGTGTAAAGGTCGAGTGTGCTGGATGGAAGAGGCAAGAGGTGATAGCCATGTAAGCTGGATAAACCCCGCGACCTAGACCGCGGTGCGGGTGTTATCAAGTGCCAGTTGTGTTTACTGTGCGGTGTTCTAGCATGTGTTACCTCCTCATCGGCGAAGAAATAAATATTTTTCTGTCCCATCATGCGGATAAGGTGCTCCAGACAACGGCTGTTTTCTCTTGTTCGCCAAGTCGTTTCAACATCAGAAGATGTCAGCAGTTTCGTATGGCAGCCATGTTGCTTGTTCCATGCCTGTGCCTCCATGTTTCATCGGAATTATTTCAATATATTACATGTGTTGGGCCTTGGAGAGAAGCAGGCGGGGAGGGGAGTCTGGAGTAGGTGATGTACCAAGCACAGGACTGAGAGCGCATATATTTAGCAATATCTATCTATTGCTGAAAGAAAGTACTAGTATTTCAGTCATTTCTTATTTCGAATTTGTTGTGGTTCTATCCAATGAAAAATTCCCATCAATCTAGACCCTGTCAACAGAAGAAGTTGAGCGTTTTCCCAGGAAGCGAGTCAGCGCATACATGTGCTTCTCCTCATTTCAGGCAGAACACTGCAACAAAATCAGTCGACAACGGTGGATGATACCTCTACAATAACACACCCTCTAACCACTTGTTCGTCGTTTATCGTGCGACATTAACCAATGAACCTCTGCCTGTAGTGCATACACCTTACAATACAACAAGATGGCAACTGATGGCCACATCCGATCCAACGCCGGGGAAGATCGAAGCTTGCCATTTACAATCGGCAGCCCCAAACCACGGCACTGGTCACGAAGGACGGCATTCTCCTGTTTCTCTCCAGCATATCGGTGGCGGATGCTGCCGGGTATCCTGGTTCTGCTGCTGCTCGTCCTCTTCTTCTATCCGACACATCCACCACGACTCGCTCCGCTGCCAGGGGAATGGATCGACCCGATTTCACCGATCGCTCGACTACGAAATGGAGGACCGGGAAGGCGAGGCGATGGACAAGTGTGCGGAGTGCGCGCGAGGATGGCCGTAGAAGGTGGAGGGTGGACGATGAGCCGGATAAGAGAAATGGTCGCCGAAACAGAGGGATTCTTCGTCCGGGACTGGAGTTTACATCTGGGCTGGAATAATGTGAGCATCCGTGTGAATAATGAATGGTTCTATTATCTCACAATGGCCGTAGATGAGATATATCATCGAATCAGGCATCAACCAGGCGTACGTGTTGAACCGTACGCTTGTCCTCCCTTCCTACGTATATGCGCGCCATTGCGAGTTAGCTGCGTCAGTATCCTTATCCTTTTCCAAGTTACTCCGAGCCCCGCTGACACCCCTAGGCAGAGAAGTGTGTGGTTCATATGGGGGAGTTCTGAATCGCACAGCATTCGGCGCTCACCTCCCGATCAGCGTGATCGAATTATATCGCATGCCTCTAGGTGCAATGCTCGACCTGGACATCATACGAGCACATAGGAATGTTGTCCTAATGTCTGAATATCTAGACCTGCAAGACCTTCCTCATTCACTCGAACCCATCACTGGCCGTTTTTCCTCGGACCTCGTGCCTCAAGGTGCCACAGTCCAGACCATCGACCCCTGGCACTATGATGGCGATCTAGTACGGGTAGACCGGCTGCCACCGCCGTATACCGAAAACCGCAAGTGGGAGTACAGCGCCGAAGTTGCGGAGCAGCTAGAAGTGCACACGCACAATGGCATGTTCATGCAGTGGGAGAACGGCTGGAGGGTCGTTAGTGAAGGCAAAGGACCGGGATTCTCCGAACAAGATGCAGAACAGGTCCTCGCGGTCTATGGATATTCCGTCATCCACTCGTACACTGGACGGTGCGTTCCCTTTCCTTGTACATTCGTGCGTATCGCTAATGTTCGTAACAGACGGGTTGAGCATCTAAAATTTGTCGGATTTCCCGTTAAGTTTATCTGTGTACGAGACCGCATGCGGGGGTGGTACGACGATCATGGATCCTCGCCCGCTACTGTCTTCTGGCTGCAGGGAGAGGTGCACGTGGAGCGACGCCCGGTCAGGATACTTTCGCTTCCTACTAATTAGTACTAACTTTCCATATTAGGGAGATATGTGGTTTTCTACCCCTGCGGCCAGGGATGAGTACACTGAACTTGTCCTCTATACTATGCATCGACCAGCCAATATCTTGAAGGTAGCAAGCCGGGTAGATATGCGCATCCGACAGCTCGTCGGAGGCAAGATGTGGATGGCAGTCCACATGCGACGTGGTGATTGTAAGCGTGCTCAAACCCGGAAGCCTGGAAGCGAGTCTGATTGTGATGTAGTCACCCAGGTGGACTGGGTGCGCGTGGGATCCATCCAGGAGCACTGGGGTCGAGTGAATGAACGCCTTAAGCAGGGACGAGCGCTCCTCCGGGAACTGCGTCACAAGCCTAAGGAGACGTATGACGTACCAGCCGTGCAACCGTATTCTGGGTGGAAGGGTGCTTATCCACCCGCTGATGATGATCCGTAAGCGTACTTTCATGGCATTCCCCGACTTGCCCAGACTGAAGTGGGATTAGGTTCTTCCTTGCCACGGATGAGCGAGACCCAGAGTATCTGGCCTTTCTGCGCAACCATAGCGCCATCTTGATTAATGATCTCCTAACATCGGAGGATCGGCAAGAGCTGGGCTGGCCGATCATGATGACAGACTTTCTTGGACTATTGGAGCAAGCGATCCTTGCTCGCAGTGCGTACTTTATCGGGAGAATGGAGAGCAGCGTGAGCGGCGGCGCGCTGAACATGCGCGCGGCTTGGGGCATGGATCCCCGGACGATGAGTTTCGAGTGACGGAAGGGACACTATGACACGGATATTCGGGGATTTTCGCTTTCTTCATCTTCTTGAACTATTTTTCGGGACATTGGTCATCTGGCCAGAGACTGTACAGTACGCCACACTTTTGTTGAACCTGGGTTTTGAGGTGCGTGCTCAGACGGGAACGTGCGTCGTTTGTTGCATGGATATTAACATATTTTACATAATATACCCGGTAAAATGAGAAACGAAAGCAGTGCGAAATGTACTACCGGTTACTGCGATATCTTCCTACTTACGGCGACCGCCGTGCGGCTTGCTTCCGTTGTCGGTCCGCCTTGGTCGGCACCAACGTCCATCCAAGGCAGGACTGCCGGCGACGACGTCGCTGACCTCGACATGAACGGCGACAAACACTGCTTATCTACGTTTGTCTTTACCGCACGAGACATGCGCGCCCCGGGGGGAAACATCCTTGCCCGAAAGTTTCCACATCCACTCTCCTGTACAATCCCCCGCCCCGGTCCATGCCTGCTTAGTGACCAGCCCCCCCATCAGACTGCCCGCAAAAGACTTAATAGGCGTGATATCATCGCACCGCGGGCCCCGCCTAATTAATTTTAAACATTATCATGGACGTGCTACTCGAACTTGCACTCCGGAGCAGCATATCCAGCTTCCGGATGACCTACCCCACCACCATTCAGCTCCCTGCCATACTGCCGATGGTGCGCGCCCCGCGAAAACCGGAGCTGTTTTACGGGAGGGACGAGGTTGTTGAGGAAGTTGCTGCGTCGTTGGGTGGGGAACAAGCTGTTCACCTTGCCATCCTCGGTGCGGATGGGATGGGCAAAACGAGCGTAGCAGCCGCAGTGTGGCACGACAAACGAGTCGAGGCGCGATTCGGCACTCGCAGAGCATGGATATGCTGTGAAGGACTTATGTCGACGGAAGGGCTCGTCCCTGCCCTCGCAGCCGCGTTCAACGTGCCAGACAAACAGGACGGTCCACTTCGAGATCACGTTTTGCAAAGCCTACGATCTCGAAATCATCCCGCACTTGTCGTTCTCGACGGGTTTCGACCGCATTCGAATACCGACGTTCAAAGTTCTAGTTCAGTGCTTGCTGAGCTTGCGGACAATCCGAACATATCTATCCTCTTCGCCGTTACTGGCAATGAACGACCAACCGGTATCACCTGGTTGGATCCCCCTTTGGCGCCTCTAACCGCCCTGGACATCCCAACATCGCGAGCTATCTATTTAGCGCACGGAGGACAGGACGGGGATCGCCTGAACGATCTTCTGGTATTGCTGGGTGGACATCCTCTTGCCCTTTCTTTAATGGCAGTTCTGGGCAAGTCTTGCTCTCCATCTGACCTCGCGATCGCATGCGAGGAAGTCAATATAACCTGCGGACAAAACCTTACCGGTCTCGAGCTGGCCGTCAACCTCTCTCTGACAAGTCAAGCAGTACGCGATCATCCTGAAGCCGCTGCAGTTCTTGACCTCCTCTCGTTACTGCCTGATGGAATCGAATTGGAAGAAGTGTCCAAAGCGCTCCCTAATATACCCGATTGTGTCGCCGCCCTGCATGTGCTCGAACAACTTGGCTTTGTAACTCAACACGGCGATCGAGTGAGGGTGCCGTCTTCGATCCGCTCTTACGTACGTTTCAGACAACCTTCAGACTCCCACTATCTCACGGCATTGCGCAAATATGTCTGCTCTCTACTGAATCCGTTGCAACTCAGCACACCGGACGCTTCTGTTCTCCAACCGATTATAAAGGAATCTGGCAACATCAACTCGCTCCTCGCCATTGCATTGCGCAACGACAAGTTAGATGCCGACGTGATCCATGCAATTCATCAGCTCTGTCTCTTCAGTGCACATGCACATTACGGTGACTTTAAGCCTTTGGTCAATCTCGCCGTCCAACAAGCAAAACGGCGATCAACACCAGACTATGCGGTTATCGCAGCTTTGAAATTGTCCTGCGCTTGCGCACTCATGGTCGAACGTCAATGGAACGAGGCGGCTCCATGGATAGAAGATGTGGAAGCATTGGATATTCCGGCGCCTCTACGAATCGCACGAGCGATCTTGTATGCTGCTCTGCATATGACGCAACATCGATTCAATGAGGCCAGTAAACACCTAACACAAGTCCTCTCCGAAGACGCGGAACCGGCATCACTGTACACAGCCTTATGTGCAGAGCTACTTGCTATCGTCGCTCTCAAAGAAGGCAAGCTGGAGCTCGCCCAGTCCCATTGTAACGAAGCCGAGAGCTATTACATCGCAACTAGCAATACGATCGGATGCTACCGATGCCAAGAGCTCATCGCCACAGTTTTCGTCGCACATCGGCAGTACGCTGATGCTTTCCGGATACTGTACGAGCTCGTTCATCCATACACCACCGCCGGTTTCAATTTCGCTCGAGCCAGGGTGCAGAGAGCGCTGTATCAAATGCATTGCTTGGAAGGTCGATACGAAGCAGCCCTTACTGGATATGCCGAAGCGAAACGCAACGCAGAGAAGATGCACGACAAGTTTGCTATCGCGGACTGCGAACGTGGATCGGCGAAGACGTACGAACTAATGCAACAGCCAGCTGCGGCATTGGCGCTGTACAAAGTGGCGATCGCACTGTTCCAATCACTCAACGAAATCGTCGAATGCGCATACACAAGACTTGCTCTCGGACATTGTATGTGCGATTCTGGCCTTCCAGCAGACGGTCTGTCGCAGATGGCGGCCGCAATGGCTGCCTTCGATTACTTTGGTCTGACCTACTCATCAGCCAAATGCAAGCAATACAGCGGCAAGGTGCTTGCTTCCCTAAAAGCCATAAACGAGGGTCTCTCGCGCGTACGAGCGGCATTGCAGACGTTCGCTGATCTAGGCCGACTGGAGGATGCAGCCGATTGCTACATCCTTATAGGCGGTATATGCTTTCCCGATCGGTTGGACGAAGCGGAAGAAGCGACGAAGGCGGCCATGGAGCTCTACGACACAGTCGGAAGACCAGAGTCCAAGGCCAATTGCACGATCATACTCGCCAGTTGTTACAAGCGAAAAGGAATGACAGAGGAGATGACGCGCGTCGCACATGAAGGCCTTGATATCCTTGCGGGCTTGGATGATCAGAGCCAGGCGGACCAGGGAATTGTCCGGATGTTGAAAGGCTTCCTGGGTCACGTGGAGGATAGTGACGACGATTGATCTTGGTTACTTCAGGTATTATTATTTATCTCTGTGTTATTGAAGCTCGTTCGCATGTAAATACAAGCAATTTGTAGCAAATATCACCTGGACCGTATTTAACCCCGTTATCTATATATCTGCCCTGTTGAAGCGGCGACACTGCATGGGCCTAAGCATCGGATTTCGCACCGAGTCCAGCTTTGATCCTCCGAAAGACCTGGTCTCTCAGCGGCCTTTGCCTGTGCGTTGAAAAGACCTCAAAGCTAACACCAATTCTGGTCACTATGATCTGGAACAGGCGATGGTTTAATACTGAGGCAACTCGTTACAACGAACAACATTCGAAACCCGTAACTAATATGTAGGAGACTGAAATGTACATATCCCCCGCCGGTTGGGGATACGGCCTATGCGGACGTGGTGAATCCACTTAACAACAGCCCTTTCGACGTGCTAAATCGTGTCTTATACTACAGCCCCAGCAGAGTATTCTCCTTTCCCTCCCGCTTGCTATCTCCAATCCTCCCTGTCTTACTCACGAACGCCATGAAGAACCACATCTACAGAAGAGTTGGCCATTACAGTCGCACACTTTGTTTGAACGAGGTATAAAAGTAGCCGCATTTTTAGGATGTTCACCTGAAGAATCATCAGAATCACCCGCTGTCCTCGCTATAATATCCATTTACCGGGATGGCACGTACAAAGGTGAGTTGATCTGGTGGTGCAGACGAGACTTCGAGTTCACATTGTATGTAGCAAACTGCTCGGCAATCAGTTGGGGGTGCGAAACGATGTTTCGTCGCTGGCCAGCTCCATTAATGCTGTCTTCTAGGAAAAGCGCCTCGAAAGCAGCTCACTGGTAAGCAAGCTTGGAAAGAAGTTGTGAAGAATCGGGGCAATGGGGACGATGACCCGAAAGACAAGAAGCCACATCGTTTTCGCCCTGGCACGGTTGTGCTACGAGAGATCAGGAGGTACCAGAAGTTCACCCAGATGTTGATCCACAAGTTGCCGTTCCAGCGCCTGGTGCGAGAGATTGCACAGGAAATAAAGAATGTACCGAAAGGTCGAGGAGAGCTGGATATTCGGTTCCAAAGCAGCGCACTCCAAGCATTGCAGGAGGCAGCAGAAAGTGAGTTTGACAGTGATTGGGTTAGACTGTTAGGCTGAATTAGAGCAATGGCACAGTGTATCTCGTCAACTTGTTTGAGGACACCCAATTAGCCGCGATACATGCCAAGCGCGTGACAATACAGGTGAGGCAGAATGATACCAGTGACGAGACGAAGCTGATGATACCGCCGACAGATGAAAGACATGCAATTGACAAGGAGATTGCGCGGTGATCCGATGTGAAGGGGAGCGAAGATACCGTTCATGTTGTGTTTTACGCTTGCGAGGACGTACAATATACCACCATATGTAGTAATTGTGTACATTATTATTTGTCAACAGCAGATGGCGGCATAGCGGCAAGACAGCGGTGGTCGCTGTCTGGGTGGCTGGCAACATCCTTTTGGGGTACTTTTGAGCCGTTCTTGCCGGGTTTGAGAGAAGCGCAGCAATCCCGCTCAAGCTGTCACCATTATCACCAGATTATGGTGCTAAAAGTGGCAGATTCGGCGACGAGCAAAGAGCGAGTGACGACGGTAGAAGGAAGAAGGAAAGATATGACTGGTGGGGCGGAACACAAAGAACTTCGCGAACTGAAACGGCGCATCCTTGTGACATATCGTATATCTATTCAGAGCGGCTTGCATTCCTTAATTTGTCAGGTATGAATAAACACAAATTTACGGGAGCAAGTATTGTACGCTCCTCTTTCTCTTCTCTATTCTTTCTCTCTACGTGTCGAGTAACGCTGTAGACGACGATATAGACGGCGAACACGACCATACGCACAGCATATGATGCCGTGGGATACACACGCACCCAGTCGGTCACGTCTCTACACCGGCGTCGCTCTCGTCAGCCTCTTTCTACTCGCTTTTCTCCTCTTGCACCCATCTTCAGGTATCGGACTGACAGACATGTCGACCTACGAGCGAGCATCCGCCTTTCTGCATGGGATCAAGACGCCTGCATTCCTCTCTCGCTCACTCTTTCCCGTTCAGCCTATCCGTACCGGTTGGTCAACCAGCGTCCCATTCCTCAACCCTCCGGATAACGTATCCTTCCTCGAGCTGAATGATGAAACGCTCGGGAGCACAAAGATCGCGGGCTCAACGCTGCACCATACGCTCGTGACTGCACCTTCTGGGCTGAGCAAGGACGAGCATGCTTTCCGTGCTGATTACCCCAAGGGGAGCATCAACCCCCAAGGACCTGTCAAGGGAGGCTTCTCCTTCTACGCACCGGGACCGATGCAGAAAGAGCTGGAGGGTGCGAAGGAGGTCGTTTTCAGCTACGCAGTCATGTTCCAGGACGGGTTCATGTTCCGTAAAGGAGGGAAGCTACCTGGTCTCTGTACATTCTCGTTTTTCCTAATCCTGATTCACTTTCTAACAATCCTATCTACATAGATGGTGGAAGCTCTGCTGAAACAGCCTATGCATGTACGGGCGGCCGCACCAACGCTCGCTCAGAATGCTTCGACCTCCGGCTAATGTGGCGCTCGGCCGGCGCAGGAGAACTATACGCCTATCTCCCACCTGCACCGCATAACGAACATCTGTGCCATCAGGGCTTCCAGAGCGAGTGCGACTGGTATGGGATCAGTATTGGTAGGGGGAATTGGCATTTTGAACCTGGACAATGGGTTGTGGTGAGTGAAAGAGTGAGGCTGAACGATGTCGGTGAGGGCAATGGTAGGTCTCAAGCCTCTTCGAGGGGAAAGAAAGCTAACCTTGGTTCAGGAGAAGTGCAGATATTTATCAACGGCGACAGTGTGATCCACAGCACAGGTATCATCATCTGCAAAACCGGCGAATGTGTATTCCGTGGTGCACATATGCAGGTATGACTTTCCCCTTTAATTTCTGCGTATCCAACGCTGAAATTCTCTCACAGACGTTCTTTGGTGGCTCCAACTCTGCCTGGGCAAGCCCTCAAGATCAAAGCGCGTACTTCTCCGCTTTCTCCCTGTCTATTATCGAATGAACGCCCCACCTTGATCACTGCCATAAAATCCGTTCTTGGAGCCTAATTATTACACTATATCGGTACACTCCGTCTGCACTTGAATAGCCTTGTAGGATACCCATACCCATTTATACTGTATACTGTAGTTATTTGTATCATCTTGTACATTGCTATTTATTGATTTTAAGAGTCCCGTCAATATTTGCTCGGGGTCCAGGACGCGTCGTAATATCAACGCGTCGCGTCGCGACATTACTGCCTCCTGCTGCCAACGCTTTAACCTGCTCAACGGTAGTGCTCGCCATCCTCTTGCTGCACCGGTCATGACAGACTTCGATGCTGCAAATCTACAGAGGGGAATAATCCAAGAGTTCGGCACGAAGGTGCAAGGTCAAGATGATGTCCTTCAAGAATGTGCCGCTCTTCGCCTTCTCTAACCGTTCAAGCGATGCTAACATCGCATCCAGGCGTCTCCCTATGTCAGCTCTTCCGCATGCCACCGAACGAACTGTACATCTCCTGGGAAGCATTTGACGATTCCTCCCTAAAGCTATCCTCTTCCACCTCCTCAGCACGGCAGAAAGCGACGAGCGAGGTGAGCGTGCCCCTCCTACGGGAGTTGAAGGAATGGATCCATGGGAAACGCGAGAGGGAGAGGGAGGCAGTGGGGAAACCTAGAGTGGGGATGCCGACGGCGAGGAGGAGCTTGGGGGGGTTGATGGGGCGCACGGGGTTGGGACAGACTCCGGGTAGGCAGGAGAGACCGAGGGAGGCGGTCGCTGTCCGGCCTAGAGTTGAAGTGAAGGATGTTGGGGAGGGAAAACGTGAGTTGATTTCCAGGTCTGTCCTGATTCGAACGGAATCTTGACAGTGGCATAGGAAACTATCGATACATGTACGGGAAGCTGTCTCAGAAAGCTGAAAGTAAGGCTGTCTATTCGTTGCTTTGTCCCATGCTAACAACTTGGCAGTTCTTGACGATATCATCGACGACATCTCCGAGCTCGTCCGGGCGCATTATGACCTCGAAGACCTAGGTGACCCTGCCTCTGCGACGGACGAAGATGTCGTCGTCGTCGGTCGTATATGTTCCGACGCAGATACGGGTGCGAAGCTCACAGAGTCTTCCCTTCTGCTGGAGTCATCCCGGATGGGCGGCTCGGGCGTGCGGACACCGCTGAAGTTTGAACATGGGTTCTCTGTTAGAGGGAAGAACGATAACGGGTTTGGCCTTTTTCCGGGACAGATCGTTGCTCTTAAAGGAAAGAACGGAGGTGGTGGATGGTTCTCCGCATCTGAGGCGCTGGAGGTATACAACTGTCGTTTTCTTGCCAGAGAGAATCTGAACTTTGTCACAGATTCCCCTCCTCCCAGAACCGCCGCTCCCACCTACCTCATCCTCCACCACCTCTTTCAACATGGTGATCGCTTGTGGGCCTTTTACGCCAGACGGTGACCTCCTTTACCGCCCTTTCGAGCAGCTCCTGTCCGAAGTGTCTCGCTCTAAACCTGGCGTACTCCTTCTCCTTGGTCCATTCATCGACTCGAACCACTCCTTGATCCGGAAGGGTGACGTGGACCATACGCCGCTCCAGATCTTCCGCCATAAAGTTGCAGGCCCGCTGAGACGTTGCATGGAATCTAATCCGGGGATGAGCTTGGTGGTCGTGCCTAGTGTGAGGGATCTCATCAGTTTCCACTCTGCGTTTCCGCAGGCAGCACTCAGCGATGCAGAAGAGCTTGGCCTTCCTAAGGTGAGATAGATTCGTGGTTCGTCGATGTGTTTCTCATCAGGTTAACCAGGCCACAATCTGCCTCTCGAACCCATGCACCGCGCTCATGAATGGAGTCACTATCGCTGCCAGCAGTGTGGATGTGCTATTCCACTTGAGAAAGGAGGAATTTGTCAAACGCATCGAAGGCTCGACAACGCCCCTTGACCCGATGGCTTCTCTTGCGGGACATGTGCTGTCCCAGAAAAGGTATGTGCCGATTTTTTATGCTTGCAAGCGTATCTGAGTGAGCCATGGTAGCTTTTACCCTATTTTCCCACCGACAAAAGATGTCTCGTCCGACGTCAATCTTGATGTTTTGTGTTACGAGTTCCTCCGCATAGGCCCCACCGCTCCCGCCGTTCTCGTCCTTCCCAGCATGCTCAAGCAGTTTCATAAGGTAGTGAATGACACGCTCGTCATTAACCCTTCTTTCCTCAGTCGAGGCAGCTACGCCTGGCTTGAATGCCCAGACGCGACGTTTGCGCAGGAGATGGGTGGAAAGAGTGCATGGGAGGTGTATTGGAAGAATGCGACGATTGACCTGAGGCGGTTGCCAACTCAGTGATGCTCTCGGGGGGGGGTAGTAGTATTCGATGCAATCTTTTGTATTTCCAAGCGTTACTTTTCCAACGCGTGTGAGTCGGTTGGAGATGAGTCACATGTTCGTGCCCCAAATGAAGGACGCGTCCGCCGCCATAAAAGCGGTCATCAAGGCACGACGCGTCTCCACGCGATTTCTCACTCTTTCATCATGCCAACCGCTCCTAAGAAAGAGGTGCGAAGCAGAATGGATACTATCCTGTGTCTCCTGACATTCTCAAGGTGCTCGTCGCTGCCTTACAGGACGTGCGCCCGCTTGCGTCGATCCTTCGTGGTGTATCCTTCACAGACTCGCCCGTCCGTCCGCACAGACTTGAGTCAGTCGTAGGCATGTGCTGACATTTGAATTTCAGAGAGCTACAATCGGTATCTCGGACGCCGGACTGATGGTTACCGTTGATTATAAGAAAGTATTGCGCGGTAAGCCTTACATGATACCCTCCGTCTGTCATATTCATTTAATGTTTGACCTTCTCCTCAGCCTCTGCCTACCTATACGCCCAGATGTTCAACGAGTACATATACAACAAACCGGTCACTGAAAGGCAAGAAATGGAGGAAGAAGAGTCCAGTCCGATTATAGAAATCAAACTTAGTCTTTTGCTCAACGCCCTCGATATCTTCGGCGGGGCGGGCCTTGGGGTTCCTGCGGGCCTGGACAAGGAGAAGGCCGGAAAGACGAGAGACGACTGGAACATGAATGGGATCGATAGGATCGATGGCGATGAGAAGAAGAAGGCGACTGCTATGAGGCTCACTTGGCTAGGTGAAGGGCATCGACTGAAGATTCATCTGTGAGCCTGATATATGCGCTCCAATGTCCGCTGATGTGGCTGTAGTTCCGAGGATCTATTTGTCAGCACAGTTTGCGAACTGGCTACGTTCGAGCGTGATCCGCCTATGGATCTTCCTTTCAATCCTAACGATGTGTACGTTTTCCAGATTTGACCTGGTGCTTCTGTTCATCTGCTTTCCAGAGCTGTGAAGATCATCATGAAGTCGACTTGGCTTCGTGATGCACTGTCTGAGATAGACCCAAGGAGCGAGAAACTGGTGATCATGTGTACACCTGAAGCCCATCGCTTGAGTCGAGGCGGGAATCGCAAGTCAACTCTACGACTGAAGGCTAGTGGGACTTGGGGCACGAGTATTGTATTGTCCTTTCCTCTTGTTGTGTAGCCGTACTCTCACCCCTCTTCGGTAGATGGATTACCCCGACACCAAAGACGTGCTTGAAGTTGCCGAATTCGCGACGGATGAACCCATGATGTTTACGTGTGTTTGAGACGGCGTCTTCTTGGCTTTGTATGCTCATCTCATGTCAGCTATCGTTTTGAGCACTTCGCGAAAGCAATGCCGGCCCTTCGCAACTCTTTCAAAACTTCTCTGCGCATGGATTCTAAGGGTGTCCTCAGCCTGCAGTTTATGATACCTTTCCGGAGACCTAGGGCGGGAAGGGATGACGGAGCAGCCCCTTCAGAGAACTTCATTGAGTTTAATGTAAGCAGTCCAGACTCTCCAAACGGCGATACTGATTGACCCCATCCAGTGTGCTGCTTTGCTGGATGATGTATGAGCTTGGGTATCTTTACTCGGGACAATGCCAGATGGGTTCAGATGACCGACAGACTGGGCAATACGGTGACTTCATCGTTCTATACCGCATTCCGTACTATATCCCCCCAAAGTCAAATAGGATTAGCGTTATATTTTAGCCGCTTAATGCAAGCCGTCAAGGAAACCTGCACTGCGCTTAGCAGGCAAGACCGCGCTGACAACGACCTCCTCTACCAGTGGTGGTATGGTGGGCATCGATGGCTTAGCTGCCTTTTTTGGCCGATAGCTGTCCAGTATAGATTCGAAGGTAGGCGTCGCTGTGCAAGATATCAGCCCGAAGATTTCTATGCAGTGGAAGGCTCACGATGTGGGGGTGGCGGCGGGGGCTTGCTCAGATTTGCTAGTCCTTGCGCCATCAACGCCCTCAACCCTAGTGCGTCGAGCGGTTTGACCTCCGACTTGACCTGCTTAGCCTCTGTCGCGTCTGACGCTGCTGGCTTCGGCGCGGAAGGCTTCTGCGGGCCCTCTGCCTGAGCCGCCTTTTCGAAGGTCCCGAAGGGGGTGCTCGCCTTGCCCAGATAGGAGAGCACGTCGCCCTTGGTCAGCATACCCCGCACACCGGTACCCTTGATCTGAGATGCATCGTGGATCTTGTTCTCTTCCAGGAGGCGCATGACAGATGGGAAGAGCGGATGCGTCGTCTGAATCTCGTAGGGATGGTTGTGCAGCGGTTGAGCGGCCGCTGGTGGGGAGCTTGGTGCGGGAGCGGGCGCAGCCTGTGGCTCAGGCTTGGGTTCAGGAGCCGCTGCGGCAGTCTCTGCCGGCACCTCCAGGTTGGAGATGTCGTCTCCGTCTTCAGCAAACAGAGCAATCACTTTGCCAACTGGAACGCCCTTGCTTCCATTAGGCACCTACGAAAGTTGTTAGTGCATAAATCTTAGTAGATAACAGAGAGCTTACCAAGATCTTGCCGAGAACACCATCGTCCTGCGCCTCCACATCCATAGTCGCCTTGTCCGTCTCCTGCACTTTCGTCAGCACGCGTCTCCATTCATCTATTGTAGAGACGTACAATTTCTAACAAGAGATCTCCAGCAGAGAAATGGTCACCCTCCTTGATCTTCCAAGCTGCGATCCCACCCTCTGTCATTGTCGGCGACATGGCCGGGAACTGGAACTGGCTAATACGGAGCCGTCGAGCAGATGTATGCAGCGCTGTTTCCAGTAACTTGAGTCCACTGTTCACATATCACCAACGAGGTGCATACCTCTTGTGCCCAACAGCGCCCTTGTGAGGGACATGGTGGTGGTCGAGTAGAGAGGTGAGCAGGACGACGAATGGGTGACGGTGGAGACGTATCTGAACTGTGGGGAGTTGTCGCCGACAGCGCCGTTTCCGTTTCCTCTTGCGGCCGACGGCCCGGAATTTCAGTCCCTTTGTTTTTACATCCGGAACCGCTGGTCCGTCTTTAAATTCATCAATAACTCTCCTTCTTCAGGGTTAGCAGCAATATGATCAGCATATAAGAAAAAGATAACAAAAAGTTCAAAACAATAGACGTTAAAAAGCACTACTGCTGAGCTTACAAACACCCTACAAAAGGTCAATTGGTTATGGGAGCGATGGGGTTCGAACCCATGCGCATTTCTGCATTGCATCTTAAGGGCAACGTCTTAGACCACTCGACCACACTCCCAGAACAGCTACGCTGACAATATTTAAGGTACCTGTATACAATGTTCATTTCACGTGACTACTCTTCTCACGAACGGAAATCCGATGACTCTAAGCATGTATATCAAACACTTGCAACATCATAGAACAGGAAGTCAGAATATCAGCAGAACTCTCTCTGCGTCACCCATTCCTTGTTCTTCCTAGCTGGCACCGGGCACTTTCTCCTCCATAATGCCGTATATCCCATTATCTACTGCGTCTTCTTCTTTTCCTCCTCGTTCCCTCCCAGAAGCCACAACGCACAGAACAGGACAAACGCCGCGCTCGTACTGAGCGCACCCAGGTAGTATGGCCAGGCCGAGCTGAGGAAGCGTGGATACTCGTTGTGCCTGAAGGGGACGACGGAGACAGTGGTGCTGCTGTGCAGGGCCGTGTATCTAGTAAACAGAGAGAAGGTGCATCAGCCATGTTATTGACAAAGACCCGAGATAACGGAAGAGAGCCTACCTCTTCCTGCGCCAATCGACTATAAATTTGAACACTCCGTGTCTATCTGGTGCCCTAAACTTGGTTTCATACCATCCCTTCTCTCCCTGAACGGGAGAGAGCGCAGTACGGATATGCGGGTCCAGCATCGTGAACTCGAGCTGCATGTCGTCTATCTGGCTGGTGGGCTCCCACTCGCCTGTGGCGGGATTGTAAGCCGACACATGGATGCGGTAGATGAGATCGTCTTTGATCCTGTACTGATCGCGCGGGGAGGACTCGGAAATGCGCCGGTGCTCGACGCTGTCAATGCGCAGGACAGAGGTCTCTTGGAACGTCCAGGATGCGAGGGCAAGCGCGTAGGCGTTGTTCGCCGTCGGTTTACCACTGCAGGTATGATTAAGCCGCCGCGGCCGGAAGGGAAATCAAAAGCTGCTCACTTAATGGCTGTGGCAGCATTTCTAAACAGGTCCAAGCTTCCGACCCATGTTGCCCTTCCTCCACCCCTCAGCACCTCAAATCCAGTGACGAGCCCCATCCTGCCACCTGCCCAAAAACCTTCCCCACCACTCGCTGCCACTTCCACGATCACATCCGCAGGCTCCAACGGATCTGCAGAGAAGCTGGTAGGAGGGGCATTGAGGAAGTCGACAAGGAGGGGGTTGTTTGACCGCAAATGGGCAACGCCAGAGTAGAGCACATCACCACCGTTGAACCCTGGAGTATGTGGTGTGACGGGAGGAGTGAGAAGGAGGGAAGTCGCGTTAGAAGGCGAGACCGCATTGAAGTAGTCGATCAAGGGTGTCGCAGGGGGAGGGAATGATATGCCGAATTCGCGTCCGAGGTCGCGTAGAGGAGAAGAGGGAGTTGACGGCTGGAGGACAAAGAGGATGTTTGTGGGCTGAGTGGGATCGGAGAGTAGGTGCACAAGAGACTGTGGAGAAATATCTGCGGGATACGCTGTAATAAATCACATTAGATGTACATAGGATGGGATAAATGTGATCATTCTTACTTTTTGTAGATGGGGCAAACACAATAATGTGTGAGAAGGAAGGCACATCAAATGATGATGTCGCTGGGGCCTCTTCAGATGTTTTGCGAAATGTCAGCTCGTATCCCCGGTCTAGATAGGATCAGCCTTCGTTCTAGTTATCAGGGCTGACTATATGCGTACTCTTCAACCCATCCCAGAACTGCGAGTACTCTGCAGCCTCCAGCTTCGCGTCGCTCACTACGAGAACCTTATCGCCCGCTGACGATCTCGCCCACGCTGATGCCAAAACAGTGAGGGTAATAGCTAGCCATGACAGTAATCTTTGCTGCATGTTGCAGCTCTTTTTTATAGCGACGAGGAGGACGAGTATGTGTGTCGTGTCACGAACTATTCTTGGCTCAAGGGATTGACGACGTGGCTGTGAGAAGTATATCACGTGATTTGTACCCTGCCAAACTGTATGTTGCTCCGAATTACCCCGGCAGAGACGTCAGAAGGCCGGTCAACTTTCGCTTCCGTCTTTCAGTAGTCTTCCCATCTTTAAGGGTGTCCAGCGTCACTTCACTCCATCTTTCGTCCTCGCCCCCCTCGGTGTCGCCCCTTCACCTTCCCCGCACCACCATCACCCCTCAGTGCGCCCCAGGAATGGCCTCCGACGGCAAGAAGCCCCATGAGGAGGAGATCGCCTACCTCAAGAACCTCGTATCCCAGCTCAATACAAAGATTGAGACTCTTGAGACCAAGGCCAAGGTTGCTGCTAGTCATGTTGCGGAGAGCGCGAAAGCCGCTGTTGCGAGTGCTACGTCCGCCTTGACTCCCGCACAGCAGCTCAGGATGATCTTGGTTGGTCCTCCTGGTGCTGGTATGTCCTTTGACTAGTCGTGTCGCGAGCCCCAGTCATTTATATTTGTGTGCCTTACAGGCAAGGGTACCCAGGCCCCGCAAATCCGCGACAAGTGGTGTATCTGCCATCTCGCTACGGGAGACATGCTTCGGGATCAAGTCTCCAAGCAAACCCCACTTGGCCAGGAGGCAAAGAAGATCATGGACGCTGGCGGGCTCGTCTCAGACAAGATCATGGTGAGGATGATCAAGGACCAGTTGGAGACGAACAAGGAATGTAAGAACGGATTCATACTCGATGGGTTCCCTCGCACAGTCCCGCAAGCAGAGAAGCTCGACCAAATGCTCGCTGACAGGAAAGAGAAGCTGGATCATGTTGTTGAGCTCAAGATTGACGATTCGCTCCTCATCTCCCGCATCACCGGTCGTCTGATCCACATGGCTTCTGGCCGTACGTACCACAGGGAATTCAAGTGAGTCTCAATAAAAGGTGTAGAACTTTCATTGACATCGTTATTTCCTAGTCCGCCCAAAAAGCCTATGACAGATGACGTTACTGGCGAGCCTTTGACCCAGCGCTCCGACGACAACGTCGAAACTCTGCGCAAGCGACTGGTGTCGTACCACAATAGCACGGGTCCCGTATTAGAATACTACAAGAAGCAAGGCATCTGGCAACAGGTGGACGCTGCACAGTCACCCAAGGTCGTTTGGGAGAGTTTGCAGAAGATACTGCTGGCTAAGAAATGAGCACTGCAAGGTGCAGATCCTGTACACGCAGTAGTATTTCAAAAGAACGGACTGTTCCTCCTAACTGAATTCCGGCGAAAAACCCTGCTCTATGCCGTAACACGCAAAAAGGGTTGTGCCCCCGGGAAACTAAGGGACGCAAATCCACACCATGCCACACAATAATTCGCTTTACATGAACAAGAGGCGTGAAATAAAAACAGACCAGGACGTAAACGGGAGGATGAAAACCTAGGACATGCGGATGGATATGCTCCAATGACCTGCTCTACTGCCTACTACGGCACGGCACCTGCCTGCTCGCTCCTCACTTGTATGTGCACCTACGCGGCCAAGCAGGTCTCAGCGGGAAGACGGGCAAGAGGTGAAAGTAGAAGGTGGTCCATGGAGGAGGGATACAGGCGGCGAACAGTTTAGGCGATGACACACTTTCCATGCTTCTTCTTGACAACAGGCGGCTCCAATGCAGCGACGATTGCCTGCATACATCATCAATATTTATAGCATGGGCGGGAGTGACGCGGGCTCACCTCGTCGAACACGTTCTTCAATCCCTTCTGTGTGAGAGCGGAGCATTCTACATACTTGACAGCACCGAGTTCGCGTGCAAGCCTCTCGCCCTGCTCAGGCTGAATCGGCTGTTGCTTCTGCCTTGCCAGCTTCTGCTTCACCTGTGCGTCGTCACGCAAATCGACTTGGGTGCCGACGATGAGGCAGGGTACGCCTGGGCAATGGTGATGCACCTCAGGGAACCACTTCTCCTTGACGTTCTCGAAGGAGGCGGGGGAGGTCACGCTGAAGCACACGAGGAAAACGTCTGTCTGGGGGTATGACAGCGGGCGCAGACGATCGTAATCTTCCTGACCTGGGGAGACGCATATGCCTCAGAAACCGCTCTGGGGTGTGGGACGCGTAATACGAACCGGCGGTATCGAATAACCCGAGAGTGTACGGATCATCACCGATCATTACTGTAACGGCATAGTTATCGAACACCTATGAATCGCCTCATTAGCGACCAACGGAATAAACGACACGTGTGCTCACAGTCGGTACGTATTCGCTCGGGAACTTGTTTGTTGTATATGATATCAACAGACAAGTCTAGCCGCAAAGAACGCACTATTAGCTTCTGCGACGCGCTTTTTTCATAACAAGAATGACGCACCTTCCCAACAGCACCATCTCCAACAACAACACATTTTATCGTCTGCATCCTCGGTTATATGGAGTGGCAATCGCGTCGAGAAAGTCGAGGGATTCGGTTAGAGAGGAGGGAAGGGAGTCTGGCTGAAATGAGTTGATCAAATTATGCGTAGTTTGTTCGTGCACTGCACTGGACACACTGGTTGGGAGATAGGAGCCCGCAAAAGCGCCACTCGTCGTCAACGGCGGACCCTGTAACTCCGTGTGAGCAAATCCGGGCGAGTCTATTGAAGGGCTATTGAACGTACCAGGAGGTTAGAGAAGCGGAGATACGGAAGGAGGAGGAGGAGTGGAGTGGAGGGTAATGTATGTCAATGGTAGTCTGTGTACTGTCAAGTGCTGCCCTTGGGTGAGTGGAGACGGCAGCGAAGGGACAGGGCGTGGTAATTGATTCCGGATGGACCCCTGATCTGTAAATTGGGGTTCGCACTGAGGTGAGTTGTTGCCATCAGGTAAACAAACATCTATGGCCAACGAAGACCATGCAAAGAGAAGTTCATCAGGTCATCAACTCCAGTGTTGGCTTTTTCCACAAAGGGCTCAGAGCTTCTAAGGGTTGAACGTTATCTGATTCGCAAGCTTCATCTTTCCGAACTTTATCTATTTCGCTAGCCGGGTTCTTCCGCCAACATCCTGCGGTACCGATTTCTCTTCAGAGCTCTGGTCCCGATTAGAAGGCGAACGGCTCCTTCAATGAGTCACAGCATCTCTATTGAACGGCGTATCCTCTTCCTCGCCATTGCCATGCGTTGGTCTTTCTACGCATTTCGGCCCAATAGGTCATGCAGCAGGGCCTATATCTCCGCCTAGTGTTCCTCTGACCGGACTCGGAAAGCTCAATCATGATGTGTATTGATATTACGATGATTGCTGCGGCATGGGGGTATACATAATATGCATGGTGTTGTGCGAACCTCGGAATATCTATGCTCATGTACTCTCCTCAGCCACCTCTTCAACAAGTCAAACCTAGACTAGAATCTGCATTGTTCGCAGGCTATGACATGTTCTTCGTCAGTGATTCGTCTGACAACCTCGAGACTGAACTTACATAATACCAGAATACCACTGCAATTATGACATAGAACACTAAAGACGTGGTCTTGTTAGAATGGCGCTGGCTACCGCGGGAAACACGCACTGATAAGGACGACTCCCTCCAACCAGTTGCTCTTCGAATCAGCCATGGTGTAGTTCACCAGCAAGACTGTGATAACAAGCAACTATGGTGGTTCGTCAGCCGCATGGTCATTACAGGAGCAAGACCCACGTACCCCCATCAATAAAGGAGTTGCGAAGAACGACAGAGGGATGCCCATTATCCACGCGATGATGACGACTATCGGGATAACAGCTTGACAGATCTGCAGCGCCGACCCAACCGCGACAGCAATCGACATATCCTGCTTATCCTTCCATGCCACAACTACTGCCGTTATGTGCTCGACAACATTGCCAGCGATGGGCAAGAGGATGAGACCGATCCACTGCTCGCTGATGACGCCGGATGCGGTAACGCCGCTGATGGAGCTGACCAAGCATTCCGACGTGACACCCACCAGCTGGAGAAGGTCAGATGTGTACTCAACTTCCATGTGCGACGCTTACACCCGTCATAACTGTAAGCATCGTCATATCAGCCATCCTTTGGCTCCACGGAACTCGCTCATCGACTGTGGAAGCAACGGCCACCCTCCCTTCTTCCATCATCCTTTCAGAGGACATACCAGGGCTACGAGCCGTTCCCTCTTGTTCCGACACTTGCTGGTCAACCATGCGTAGCTCGTCGGATCTTGTTGGGAGCGCGATCCCAGCTCGACGGTCGAGATCCATAAAAGCCGTCTGGTGACTCTGGCTAGGACCTCGAGCCCGGAACGTACGCTTTCTCAACGCATTCCCTATCGTCTGGATTGGATGCGATATCCCAGGTGGATATGGCTCGGAGAGGGGACTTTTCGCGTTGACGACGTTGGCATGCGATGCGAGGGTAAAGTAGAGATAGAACGCGTAAACGATGAGGAGAATCACAGCGATCTGCAAGATAATCAGCATCAGTTTTTCCCTGCGACCTGAAGGAAAACTGTACCGCGCGACTGATGACCAACATCTAGTGCCCTGTTGCCGTCTTCCATCCCTCGTCGGTGGTGAAAATAGAACTCATGACAGAGAAATAGTAAATGGTGGGGACGAGCAAACCTCCCGCACTCAGCATCAACAGAACGCTGCTGATCTGAGACGGAATGTTTAGGAAGCCTTGCTCCGAGAACCGAATACCGCCAACGAAAACTGGTCGAAGTAGAAGTCATACCGGGTCCGTTCAAACTGTTTGAGCAGGACGTACAGCAGGTTCCCAATACAAGGAGAAGGTTGCTGATCACCGAACCAATAACTGCAGTCCAGTGTTCAGCATCCTACCCACATTGGCCTCATTGAAGTGGACTGACGAGAACATTGGACCACGGTCAATTGGCATTTTGACAATGCAACGATCGCAACATTCAGTTCCACTATGGACAAGGTGTCAGCTCAGGCCATCTTGCTAATGCCATGACCAATGGTGCGTACCTGCATTCCCGAATGCCGCATTCAGAAGGCCTGCGCCAATGCGCCTGTGTAACACACATACTTAGCACCGTCAAAACCAGGCAAAGTCCAACAGAACTCACCCTGTCCATTCCTCCATTTTCTCTGTCATTTGGCACATGAGGTATCCAAGAGGGATAATGCCGGTAAAGGTACCTGAAGTACGTTAGTGAGCAGTCGTGCTTGGGTCTGGGAAACTGCGACTTACAAACGAAGATGGCCAGATCTGGTATCGAGTGGCCTTTGACCTGCAATATTGACAAATCCATCCCGCTACCAGGGGAAGAAGCATGATGTTCAACCCTATGTACATTCAAGTCAGTTCCGCCACGGTTACTATTGTCTGCAAAATCGCCTCACATGTGGCAAACAATGTCACACGCAAGTTCTTGAGGAAATGACACCCAAAACTCTTTAAAGGTTGTATCAAGCGCTCTTTGACGACCATGGCAGAATGTTGAAGATAGTGTCAAGTGAAAACAGAACGGAGGAGGGAAAGTTGGAAGGGCGTCGATGCCTGAATGTGGTGGTTTGTGTTAGCTTTTATATATGGTATTTATGGCGGAAGTCCGGGTTAGAGAGGCCGCCCCGGGAAAAGGATTTGCGTTCGTGTCGTCCAAAAAAAATGACTCCCAGCAAGTTCAATCATGTCCAGCTTACGCGTCTTGCTCATGGCGGCGATGCGGTGTCCCCAGTGCATCGGGTGAGCCAATACGTTCGTTTCTATTGTTCTTCAGTAACACCTTCGGTAATGTCCTCTCCCCCTGCCACTCACCCCAAATCACAGGCCTTTTTTGTAGAGTTAGAACAGGCGAAACTACCCACACTTTTATAGACTTTTATGAGTAAACGAATAGAGTCAAAACAGTCTAGAAACAACAGTGTGGTAATGTTAACTTGGCAAACTCAGGAAAGTTACGTCTGAAATGCGGTGACTGCTGCCCGGGTTGAACGGCAAACTTGGATTTTGAGCTCCGCATGTCGGTCAGTGATGAAGTCGACAGACCGTGCGTATGTCACGTCTGCAATCACATTCCCGACGTCTAGGACATTCTAGGACAGACTGCGGTGGAAATTTTCCACCTTCTCGGGTATTCCTTTCCCTGTGTTCTCAAGCGTGTAATATGCCGTTTTAATTTTCGAATTCACACTTTCACAGCCACTTGGCCTATCCATATATGGTGAACTTGATGTCGTTTGTATGGTGACTGTCAAACCAGTTCTCTCGAGTATCAGCCGAAAATGTACATAAAACATTGATTTACAAGGTCCAGCCGGATGTTCCTTTCCTGAGGATTGACATCACGGTGTGCAGGCCGTCGCAAAATATCAAAATATGAAAGCGTTCTTTCCGATGTGCTGCGCATGGTGTATGTTGATGTATGTTGATACAATGTGTCGTGTATATGCTCGTATGTTCCATCTTTCAGCAGCCAAGATTAAGAGTTTGAGAGGGATTGTAGCCAGGCTGAAACAAGGACAAATGTCAAGTGGCGGCTGGGGGATACTATGCCTGTTACACGTACATAAAACCAGAAAGAGACCGCAACAATGACATAGAGCACTGCATGATAACATCAGCTTCTTCATTGCCCGAAGGACTGAAGGACAACATACTCATGAGCACCATTCCTTCCAACCAGTTGCTTTTCGCGTCCTGAGTCGTGTAGTTGACCGTCAAAACTGCCAGCAGTAAAACCTGCATCATGTTAACTTGATCTCAGCAAATAGTCCGTAACTGCGTACGACACTTTCGAATGGATCAAACAGCATTGTGAGCGGTTTATTCATGATCCAAGCAAGCACAACGGTAAGCGGGATGACGAAGATTGAAATCTGAATGCTTGATCCAACTGCAACTCCGATCGACAGATCCAGCTTGTCCTTCATAGCAACCGTCACAGCCGTGACATGTTCGGCGGCATTACCGACGATCGGGAGCAGAATAAGGCCAACCCATTCCTCGCTGATCCCGCCAGTCGCAGTGACGCCGTCAATAGAATCCACTAGGAACTCGGCCGTGACTCCAACGAGCTGATGATCCATTCAGACTTCATCATTGCAAGTAAGAGAAGAGCGCACAATGGTGACTATTATCAGCAGTGCGAACGTGACAGGAACGTTCATCTGCAATGTCTGCTCTTCCTGTTCGGCAGAATTCTGACCGCTGACATGAGAAGCTATCAGCGTTGTCCCAACCGATGCGTTGTCCTGGTGTGAATGATCTCGATTCCCCCGACGCAAACGTGGCTCAGGGTGATCCGATATAGGAGACGCGGTCTGTGCCATGTCCGTCATAACATGCTCCGGTGGTACTTCTTCAAGAACGGCTTCATGAGAGGATGCAGTCCCCCTAGGACGTGGCTTGGATCTACCATGGGAATCTTTCCAATGATCGTGGATGTCGTGGACCATATCTATCGGCCCTCGTAAGTCGGTGGGATAGGGTGTAGACGCATGGCTTGGCGCGTTCATCACAGACGCATGAGACCACAACGTGAAGACAAGATAGCATATGTAGATGAAGAGGAGAATGACGGCCACCTGAGTCTCCCGCATTCAATTCTTCATATAAGTTATGGGCGTCGAAACACTCACTCCGTGGCTCATTTTCAGAATATCGGCGCCAAGCACGCTTGCTGAAACGTCGTCGTTTGGATTGTTGTCACTGTTGTTGCTACTTTGTACGGCAAAATTAAACGCTCCAGGGAGAAGAACTGCCACCACGCTGAGAAAGAGCAGTTCGCTGTTGATTTGAGAGGGTGTAACCAGAAATTCTTGTTGAGAGTATTTGACTCCGCCCGCAAAGACTGGCTACGCGTGAGTCGAAGATGCTTTCCGAGTGGGTTGTATGACTTTACAGCACATTCCCAAGACAAGCAATAGGTTGCTAAGGATAGACCCAATGACTTTGAGGGGAATGAGCGAGAGAACATGAGGTGTTGTACTACGCACGAGACGATTGGACAACAGTCAATTTGCACTGTGCGAGAGCGATGATAGCAACGATCAGTTCAACTATCCAGCATCAGTCCAGACCCGTCGACTGCAAAAGAACTCAGATCCACATACCCACATTTCCAAGTGTCGCATTGAGCAGGCCGCCCAGGGTTTCGCTGTAAAGGACTTATTCAAGAAGAATCTGCTGAACGAACGACCCGACACGTACCCGACCCGGACAGCTAATTCTTCCGTCGCGAATGAAAGTAAGGCAGCTAAAGGAATAATAGCAAGGAACGTTGCTAAAGGATTGACTCGCGCCTGTTCAGTAAAATGATTGAATATCACTCACTAACGAAAACAACAATAGGGGGAACATTCACAAAATGCAGTGCCCAACCGATAGGAATGAAGACAAGTAACAGGTTCAGCCCTACAGACGCTATAAGTCAGTGCATCACAATCCAACCCTAGGAGCTCACAGCTAGACTTGAAGATAGTCAAGATGCTCATCCATGTGGAAGGTGCAGTTGCTGGGAGCCGCCTTGTCGGCGTCAGAAGGCGCACGAGAGCACGAGTGGCGACTATGGAAGTGATCCACCGTTTGGCCGCGGTGGTGCTCTTAGTATGGTGAGATGGCATATCAGTTGGCAATGATTGAGATGTCCTCAGAGGCGGTCCTCCGTCGCCCTCCTCAGCATGATGGTAGTCGGGTAAAGTCGCATGTCGTATCTTGACCCCTGCTATTCACCCCTGATCATGAGCGCCCATTCAAGACCACTTGTTTAGATGACCGACATGAGTCGCCTCTTCCCTGCGACATAGCGCTCGGTGTTCCAGTAAAAATAGGTATCGATATGCTGGTGTGATCGGGGAATGAAGTGGTCAAATGGACGTTGCTGGCGAGGCACGTTGTGTCCAGACCCTAAACACAGCCTGGATGTGGTCACTGAAATGCATGAAGCCACGAGGCTGATTCTTTTGGGAAAGAGATACCGAAAATAAGGACGATGGCACAGAATCTGCTTGTTCTCGAATATCAACAATGAAGGAAACTGGGCGCTTTCTTGTCTGCTATGATCCGCTGGCATCCCGGAGGCAAAGCTTCTTTTCTTCTGCATCGCCACCAACTCCAACCCCAGGAGTATTACTTGTCTCGTGCCCACGAAAGCACAGATACACATGATACCTTACATCTTCGCTTGACTTAATAGCCCTTACGGTTAAATTTGGAAACAGTCTCTAACAAATTGCATGTTCTGTGAATACTCACTCTCTCCAATGAGATCATGTTCCTGGAGCTTGCGGTGGCACTTCCTTACCGTATTTTTCGGGCGTCGCAATTCCGGTTACCCAGCAAGGATAACTGTACAGAAGCCCAATTCGCTCACAAATGATAACTGGACAGCACGTAATCGATTTCATATTCACGGCACGTTTCTCTTTGGATAGTGCTTATCTGGCCCTGTTATCTTCTCCAGTTCAGAGAGCTTCTTCTAGGGCCGATCTTCTGATCTTCTTTCACTATAATACTTCTTGGTCTTATCATGCGGGGAAATCTCACGTAGCGTCTTGATCATTCCCCACTGGAGTGGACCATCTCTCTCGGAACTACCCCTAGTATCCACAGTTCAGCCATGGCAGACATCGAGAAAGGCGGGGACAAGGAAAAGCTGCACACTGCGGCCCAACTGCATGTCACCACAGTGCTGGCTGATAACGACCTGCCCGTCGTGACCGACCATATCATGGATTCGGACGAGGAAGTGCTCGTCGCCCTGGGCTACAAGCAAGAGTTCAAGCGCGAGTTCTCCTTACTCTCGAGTTTCAGCGTGTCTTTCTCCGTGCTGGGCTTGTTGCCCTCAGTGGCCTCTACCCTTCAGTATAATATGGGATATGCTGGCCCTGTAGGCATGGTGTGGGGCTGGGTGGTCGCTGCCACACTAATTCAATTCGTGGTGTTGGCTATGGCGGAACTGTGCTCCTCAATGGCAAGTTTATCGTACCATACTGCAACATGTATTGACTTGCTGACAAGATGTTTCTGTAGCCCACTTCTGGTGGTCTATACTACGCCTCTGCGGTCTTGGCACCTGACGGTTGGGGACCACTCGCAGCCTGGATCACTGGATGGGTACCTGCCGGTCACCTTGTTGTGCCTTCTCACTCTAACTGAATTGCAGTCAAACTTCATCGGCCAAGCGACTGGCCCTGCCTCGGTTGACTATTCCCTGGCAGCTATGATCATGGCGGCTGTTGCAATGGGCGTGTTTCGCATTTCCTGCCAAATTCTTTCTTGACACGCTAACAGATATTGTAAGCAAACGACGAATTCGTCCCTACCGTCTGGCAGACCTACTTGCTTTTTCTGGCTTTGCTCTTCATTCATGGAAGTGTCACCTCGCTAAGTACCAAGTTACTCGCTCGCATCAACGTCTTTTCAGCTGCGTTTAACCTCATCGCACTTCTTGTGGCATATATCGTCATTCCCGCCGCGAGCATCCAGGTTCCTAAGCTTAACTCCGCACAGTATGTGTTCACGACCTTCGTCAACGGCACTGGATGGCCGGATGGCTTTGCGTTCCTGATGAGTTGGCTTGCCGTCATTTGGACGATGTCGGGCTATGATGCACCCTTTCATCTCGTGCGTACTCTATGAATTTGGTTGGGTCCTACCGTAATATCTTTGTCAGGCCGAGGAAGCCTCCAATGCGAACATTGCCGCACCCCGGGCTATCGTGTTGACAGGCATCTCAGGCGGTCTGCTGGGCTGGTTCCTTAACTTAGTTCTCGCCTATGTTGTTCAAGATATTGGGGCGGTAATGGCATCCCCTGTCGGGCAACCTATGGGATCCCTACTGCTTCAGGTTCTTGGGCCATCTGGCGGTGTTGGGATGTTTTCCCTCGTCATCATTTGCCAGGTGTGCATGGGTCAGTCTGTATGTGAAGCACCTTTGGGGATCGAAACCTGATTGACATAGATTTCAGAGTCTTACAGCGGCCTCTCGCGTCGTATATGCGTACAGCCGTGATGGTGCTCTTCCCGGAAGCCGTATTTGGGCCAAAGTCAATACGCGGACAAAGACACCCGTGAACGCCGTTTGGTTCATCGTAGGGATTGCCGCCCTCCTGGGATTGCTCGCCTTTGCTTCCCCAGTTGCGATTGGAGCCATCTTTGCCATTGGCGCGGTAGCTCAGTATGTTGCTTTTATTATCCCGGTATTTTTGCGGGTCTTCATGGTGGGCAATCGCTTTCGCCCTGGGCCTTGGCACCTGGGACGCTGGAGCCGTCCGATTGGTTTCGTTGTATGCTGCTATGTTGCCCTGATTACCCCCATCTTGTTCTTTCCATCTGCGCCGAGTCCGATCCTGACTGCTATGAACTGGTAAGTCCTGTCGTAACTGCAAAGGCCATCTGTTCACCACATGCCTCCAGGGCTTGCGTCGTCTACGGCGGGGCGATGACGCTCGCACTGCTCTGGTACGCGGTTGCTGCTCACAAGTGGTTCCAAGGACCTAGGGTGAATATCGAGCATCGCATGTATGGAAGGGAGGACATTGCTGCGGTTGCCGGAGAAGGCAAATCCGACTCGTACGAGAATGTACTTGTTGGTGGAGTAAACGAGAAAGAAGAATAACAGCGAGTAGTCTCGAAAGAACGCACCCCTCTATTATCAAAGACTTTTTATCCATTTACACAGGAATGGGGTGCGTGGATTTTCTTTGAGGAAGATGCACTGCGCATGGATATGCTCGAGTTTGCAATGAGGTTCTTATGCACCACAGGAAGAAGAGCCCGGAAGAGGGGAGGCGGTGTGGAGCTTCTGCATTGCCACCAGGGCCAGAGAGCTTCGCCTTTTGTTTGATGCGTGCATCACGACGGATTGGACCAATTGGCCTCTTTTGTACTTGAAGCTGAATATCCCAACGCCATGTTATGGCCAGTGCGCCCTTCTCATCCTTCTTGTCCCCGTAATTGGGGCATTGCGTTCATTTTCCTTCTCATCTCTCCCCCATTATGATGCTCTTCAGCTGGGCGCTTTCTCTCTTATACGCGACTTACGTTCTTGGTTAGTACTTGATAATCCGGCAGAGGTTTCTGAATAACACTGACACGATGGATTAGCTGAGAATACCACTTCTCTTAATGCACTATGCGTTGCCGGACAATGCATACAAGGTGATTTCAATGTGTCGATCGGAGCAACATTAGCGGGTCCCTCGGGGTCGAAGATAGTTTTGCTACCCGATCAGTACACTGAGGCCAATACTCCGCAGCTAATCAAGGCCGCTCTTGACACGGCATTCCCCACGCCCATACCGGGGTTCAACCTCACTAATGCCACCTCCCTGCCTTTCACCATTGGAGCGAACGTCGCTTTGATCGCATATGGAGGATCTCACTTCGGCAGCCGCTTGACATCCATGAACCCCATCGCGCCCGCCCCCAACACAAGCTTCGAGCGACCAAATGTAACCCAGATAAACTTAGGATCGATTGTCATGGGATCTGGTGCTTGGGTGGCATTCGAATCGCAGGTTGGAAACTTGAATCAGCGAACGATCATTTGGGAGACTGTCCCCGATATGGGGGAGCTTCCATCCGGCGCAATCGGTCAGGGGTTAACGTTGTTAGACTTGGAATATGGTGAGCACCTACATTTTGATTTTCATACTCCCTCTTATAACTCGAATATCAGGTACCTGTTCTCCTGCATGCGCAGGCGCCGGAGTTTGTACCTCGACTGGAGTCTGTGCATGTCCTGTCGGCTTCACTGGAGCGAGCTGTGAGACGTGCCAATCGAGCTTTTTTGGTCCGAATTGCGACGCTTGTCCTGCCGGTTGTAGTGCATGTGATGATGGGACTACGGGATCCGGCAAGTGTTTGAGTGCTCCTGCCGTCAACCCGTCTGCATGTAAGTCTGGTCATCGATAGATTTGAGTTTCGCTTCTCATCCTTCCATCTAGCCTGTAACTGCCTCAACGGGGTATGCACCTCGACAGGAACATGCCAATGTAATGCAGGATGGGCGACGGGGGCTAATGGGACAGCCTGCTCCACATGCGCAACTGGCTTCTTCCTCGACGCAGCAGGACAATGCGAGATCTGCAAACTAAGTTGTGCGGCATGCGCATCCGGAACCGGAATTTGCACTTCATGCCAACCTGGTTTCTCCGTTAGCCCCACCGATAACACCGTCTGCGTACCCAACACGCAACTGGCAGCAGCAACCACTTGTCCTGATGGTCAATACTGGAGTGGTTCTGGGTGTGCATTGCAAGTGAAGTTCTTCCGCCTTCTGCCAATGCTGATAGTCTCCCAGCTGCTCACCTGTCTGTCAAACGTGCAATGGTCCCTTATCCATCAACTGTATCGCATGTGGCGTGGGCCGCTTTTCACTCAATGGAACGTGTGTCAACGTTGGTTCGGATGGCACTTGCACGCCGCCGGATGCTTCGAGCCCAGCGACACTAGTTGCAAATAATGGCAAGAATGAATGCGACGGTATGTTATCACTTTCAAACTCTGAACAATGGTCTGACCATTTTAAGCTTGTCCGCCGAAGTGTACCAAATGTGGAATACCGGGCTTCAACGTCGCTTCACCCTTCAGCTCTGTTCAATGCACTAATTGCTTGCCTGGTTTTGTACTGTCACAGGGACAATGCGTTAGCCAGTGCCCAACTGGCACCTTTGTTTCTCCCACTGACAACCTCACTTGTGCCGGTAAGTCTCTTCGTGGCGCAGGAGACCATAGAACTGAAGGTTACGCAGCCTGCGATTCGACCTGTTCTACCTGCGCTGGATCGGCAACATACTGCCTTACATGTTCCCAAAGCTCGCAGTTTGCCCTCAACGGTACATGCTCCTCGTCTTGTCCTCCTGGGACGTTTGCCTCTTCCGGTGCTTGCTTGCCGTGTCATTCAGATTGTGCAACTTGCAGTGGATCTAGTTTCTCCCAATGCCTTTCCTGCGCTGCTTCGAGGCCAGTCATGTCAGGAGCAGGCAGATGCCTACCGACCTGTGGGCAAACCCAGTACTACGATTCTGCGACCTCGTCGTGTCAGCCTTGCGATCCCTCTTGCTCGAGCTGTTATGCGCCAGGCTCTTCATCATGCCTAGCCTGTGCCGACAAGACGAAGGTGCTCAGTGCGGGGAGCTGTGGCTCTGTATCCTGCTCAAGCAATAGCACTGTGGTGGCGGCGCTGGGATTGTGTCTCTCCGAACTCGTCACTGTTGCACCGAGTAATACCACGACCCCAGATACTCCACAAATAGGCACAACGCCTGACGGATCTCAGACCGTGACAACCGTGAACACTCAGTCTTTAGCCTGGTGGCAGATCTTACTCATGGCGCTCGGAGGAGCGTTCGTCCTTCTGCTCCTAACGATGATCTGGCGGCGTTATGCCAGGCGACGACGTGCGCAAGAAACACGCGACTTTGCGCACGACATGGACCGAAAACGATGGCATCATCGGCTGCAGGACATGCTCTTCCTGCGGAGAGAAAAGGTTCCCATGCAGGATGTCCGACCACTGTACCGCGAGCGGATTGACGACTGGGAACTTCGAAGCCTGACTTCCGGAGGGCGGTCCGGGGCGAACGTATCCCCTCGCAGGTCGAATCGCTCAGAGACGCAAAGGGATTCATGGGATTCGATCTCCACCTTCCAGATACGCGGCGCGACCCCTCACGCAGACAGGTTCGAGTACCGGGACCTGGAGGGCTCCGTCCGGTCCAAAAGGAGCCGGGGCGAACCGAGGGAACCGATCCGCGACCGCGAACTCCAGCGGGCCTCGGCAGCGACCTCTTCCTACTACGCCCCGACGAGGAGGACTGCGTCACCCCCCGTGGTACCGCCGCTCCCGGAGAGAGAGCGGTCGACGACGCCGTTCAGTATCCCGAGGAAGGCGCCGCGGTACCCGTCTGGGTTTGGACCAGATGCCCCGCCGGCGAGGAATGTCGACTTGTTCGCTCCCCTGGAAGAGGATGGTGCACATGGTCCGCCGGGGTCGTACCTCACGCCTAACCTCACGGGTAGCTCGGGCAACTCGAACAACCCTTTCCGCGCAAAGGCTTTCTAACTCTGTTTCCCTTCCCCCTACATATCATCCTCACTCCCTGCACACAGACGTGGGTCTCGATAAATACGAGTATATTAGCTAGAGCAAGAGTACAATGTGTGCACAACGGTAACATATTGATCACAACCCCAGAGGGATCCCCGCGCATGCGCTCGCGCTTAGCAGCATCCTCCTCCTTGCTGCTGCGGCTTCTGCCCGCCTTGGGGTGTAACAGTCACGGTCGTGCCTCTTGAAGGCTGGATGACTTCGTCGGCCGCATCGAGAGATTTGCTCGAGACGATGCGGTAGATGTCTGGCGTGCGTGTGTGAGCGTGTTAAGCCTAATAGCTTTAGGGGTGAGGCGCACCAGTAAGGATCTGCTGGAAAGCAGCCTCGACGTTACTCGCGTCCAGCGCAGAAGTCTCGATAAAGCTAAGTCCGTTATCCACTGCACCCATGTCAGCCATCAGCCGTGAGCGCACTCCCGCGCAGGTCGGCACTCACTAGCAAACTGTTTCGCCTCATCGGTCAACACCGCTCTCAAATGCTTCAAATCGCTCTTATTCCCCACGAGCATAACGACAATACTTGAATCCGCATGATCCCGCAACTCCTTGAGCCACCTCGCGACATTCGCGAACGTCGGCTGCTTCGAGATGTCATACACGAGCAACGCGCCTACCGCGCCTCGGTAATAGGCAGAGGTGATAGCGCGGTAACGTTCTTGACCTGCTGTATCCCAGATCTGGGCCTTGACGACTTTCCCGTCAACCTCGAGGGAACGGGTGGCGAATTCGACCCCGATGGTGGACTTGGAATCCGGGTTGAACTCGTTACGTGTGAAACGGGAGAGGACTGTGGGCAAAGGGTGGGTTGGGAGGAGTAGGGGAGGAGAGAAGAGGGACGTACGGTTCCTGTGTAATGGGTTAGTGGGTGGGAGGGAGGAAGAGGAGGACGTACGATTTCCCTACTCCAGAGTCGCCGATTAACACTACCTAGACAGTTATATATAAGCACATGCGCCTGCTGACGTTGCTGATGCCAGCATACGCCGAATCCAGCCAGATGCACGTGAACGTACCTTGAAGAGATAATCGTAGTTTGATCCTTCTGCCATCCGAGTGGTTGCGTGGAATGACAAGTAGAAGTAGAAGTAGAAGTAGAAGTAGAAGGAGAGGTAGAAGGAGAGGTAGAGGTGAGAAGATATGTATTGCAAGTGTACCCTGCACCGTGTCGACTCTGTGCGTTGAAGTCGGAGGCTGACCGGAACCGACCGGCGTTGATCCGCCCTATTGTGAATGAATAATATTAATGAACAATGAACAGTAAATAATGAATGAATATTTCCCCTATGACTCCCAACAATGTGACAACGTAGAACGTAGCAACATAGATACACGTAGTCTAGAAATATAACGCACTCCCTTTCCATGACTCTAGTAATTCTGCCTCTCTCCAGGGCATAACCTTGACGTTCATCGCCAGATATCCCATGCTCACAAGGCCACACCACCCCGCCAGGGAAAGGACGAGCACGGGCCACATCCAACCCCTCCGTACCGTCTTCCCTTCCGTATCCGCCTTCCCCTCACCCTGTGCAGCCCTTCTCGAGGGAAAGCGCCTAGCAAGCGCCCGCTTCCCGCACCCATACGCGTGCCACAGCCCCGCACCTACAATCCCCGCATACACCACTCCCGCAGAAACGGGCCACGCGCGAAGCCCGGCAGCGACGTATTCCATACTAGCGCCCCCGAGCTTTGGGGCATGGAACCGGTTTGCATCGAGGTGCAATGCCAGGAGGCCTAGGAGGGGGTAACCTAGGAAATGGGCGATACTGGGTGGAGGATGGGGCAGGAGCAGCAGGCGATGTAGCAGGCCGGAGAGGAAGTGCGTGCCCAGGGAGGCAAATAGGATTGGCTCGATAAGCGGGGTTTGGTAGACTTCTCGAGCGGTGAGGAGGAGCTGGTTGGCACTGTCTGGACCTAGGAGGGGGACGACGGCAGGGGGGGCGAGGTGGATTGTGAGGAATATGGCGAGGGGGATGGCGGAGATGTACTGTAGTTGGGAGAGGTGGTGCAGGAGGTAGGAGCGGGTTGGTGAGTGGGCACGCCAGAATGTTGTCCACCTGCTGGGAGAGGAGGAGGAGGGATTGGGTGTCCACAGTGGCATTGCGGTGGTGAACAGGGAGGAGGAGGAGGTGAGGGATGCAACGCAATTCCGACTGAGATAATTGGCCGATATCATCGGTTATTCAATTAGACTACAACAACAGTACATTCCCACTTCATTCTTACAATTCACAACAAATATCATGATACAGAAGCACCAACTCCCTCTTTATCCTTTCTTCCAATCCATTGACACACCTCTACGCCTTCAACCTCTTCGGATCCCTAAAAGCGAGTGTAGCCCCCCTCGCCCTAGATCGCGCATCAGCACCTCACTTCCCACCCAAAAAAGCGCAGCACTCACCCCCAGTTCTCCCACCCAGGGTCGAAGTACGTGCTACGTACCCACCGTCAGACTTACAGCGCAGACGAAGAGGAAAGAAGGAGGAAAGGCGCACATGTACCCTCTGTCTTTCGGCAGCGCTAGCGACTGTGCAAACTCCCAGTATTCGGCCGTATACCGTTCATTCGCTTCGGCATTTATAACTCCCAGCGCGTACTGTTCCCTATCAGCTGGGTTCCTGGTACTTCCCTACGATTGCCGTGAGGAGGGTGGGGGGGGGGGGGGGGGGGACGCACGACTTGCAACATCCACGCAGGGTCGAACGTCCCCGCAAACGCGAGGTTTGGGTCGTACCGGTACTGGACGAGGAAAGCAGTGATATCCTTTCCAAGGATCTGGGCTGAAGCCTGGGGTGCGTGAGCGTTACCGTCAGTTTAGCTTTGAGGATGTAGGATGAGGGATGAGGGACGCACTTGACCGAGCTTCTGGACAAGAACTTTCTCGTCTTCGAACTTGGGGACATTAGAGGGCGCAGAGCGGGGTTGGGAGTTGGATGCGCACCTGTACGTTTGTGGAGAGGACGACGTGGGGCATCTTCAGTCGAGGCAGGAGTGAGTGAGAGGGAGGAGGAGGAGATGTCCAGCATGCCTCCACTATGTATATATCTTCGTGTGTGAACGCTCACCCAGTGACCGCCATCCACTTAAGGATATTGTGACAGTGACGATGACAATAAATAGCCGTGACAGTGACGGGGTAGAATGATGTAATACTGGTGGCTTTCACTAGGCCGCTCTCCTACCAAACTTTCAGTGGGACAATTGCATTCGCATTACCTGGTAACGCACCACACAGGAGGGTTGGACCACACAAGGGAATGTTACTAACTGTTCATGCGGGAAGCCGCATATGCTGTGAATTGTACATATAGGGATAAAGACTGTAGTACTGTAGTCCAACTGCTAGCAACTCACTCATTTCGCTGGATCCTGAATGACCGGCTGAATCTGTCGCGTCCACGCTTCGATCCGGGACTGCGTGTCATCCGATCCTCGGATATAGCTCTCCGTCGGCTTGATGTCTGATTCGAGCTTTTCCCGAGCCTCGGATAGCTCAAGCCACCTAGCCTCGTCTGCAGCGGACATGACGCCTTTGGTGGAGAATAATGTGTTGCAGACGTGAAAGAAGTCCTCTGCCGGGACAACAAAAGGCTGTGGCTTCTGCGGTGGTGCTCTCCCAGACAGGCTCTTCTTGAGAGTCTTCCTCTTTTTCGCACGGGGCGATGCTGGTGATTCCCATTGAGGAGGCTCGTCTTCAGCTCTCCACCAAAGTTCCCGCGGGACGGTCGTCAGCCGATCGATAGCCAAGTCGAGTTCATCGCAGCAGCTTCTGCTTGACTTACGACAGCACGGACAAAGGAGAAGCATCGGAGAAGATCGCCAACATTGTGCGGGTCCCAAATTGCAACCCTGTGGAGTTCAACATGCTGGGATCATGTGTCAGTCAGTTCGGGGTTCGAGCGGGAATATCGCGCACGTTATCACTATTGAGCATACAAGCGATTACCGCGATATGTGCGGTACCGCATGCCAGACCGTACTGCACTCTCTTTGGAAGTCCCAACGCCGCTCGTTGTCGCTAGAGGTAATGTCCGGCAGGGGTTCAAATGCTCTACACATCCGTACCCTCTGCTCCATTCTGTACGATGTGAGAGTTAGCACGTCATCAAGAAGAATAGACTGCTGTGCTCACAAAATCGCCACATTGAACGCATCCTGGTCTTCTTGGCTGTTCAACTTATCGTCACAGCAGATCCGCAACATGAAATCAATCGGGCCTCGCATCATTAGCTCGGAAGGGTGGACTCCGATTTTCTTGACTTCTTCCACCTGGTGAATGTGCGTGTATATGACCGACAGGTGCGGGATATCTGCTGGACCTATGTTTGAGGTTGACGTGGACGATGGCGGGATCCAGACGCTCTCATCGAGCTCAGACAGAGCACGCGCAAAGCGCACGTCCCTCTCACTTATGTGTGTATCTTCGGACCACTGTGCAAATCCGTTAGTCCGACGAGTTGGGGAATAATTAGAAAGAACTGACGTTCTTGAGGGTCTGTGGAAGGAATGGGCCACGGTGGCCTTCAGGGAGCGAGATAAAGTCTGAGCGAATGACATCTGGCATATCTGCCCAAGGAACTCCTGTGTCTCCTGCTCCCTCCCTGATGTACATACAATCTGCATGGACGGAGCACAGGTAGTCGTGGAAGGCTTCGGTATCTTTCAGATCGGCAAACTCCGATGCCGCCATTGGAGAACGTTGAGATGTTGCATGCCTAGACCATATATTAGCTATCTAGGGCTGCCCGAGCAGGGGGGTATCGCAGACCTGCGCTTGGATGGCATGATGAAGCTGTTCTAGTGTGCGACCGCACCACAGTCACAATGCGTATGGTTCGGACGCGAGGTGAGATGAGGAGCGCAATGTTTCGGGATGATGAGCTGTTTGGAGTTTTCCAAACGAGTAATATAATTCAGTGCATTCGGGGTTCAGAGCATTCAAGGTCAATGACTTGTTGTTGTAAATGAGAATATGTAGACATGGAGGTTCAGGGAAGAGGTATCACACTCAGCAGAGGGGCGGGTACGGGACGCCATAAGGGGACGACCATGATCGCAATCGCAATCGGAATGGGAGTCGAAATATCGAGATCGAGATCGCTGTTTTCTCAAGATGAACATTAGTGCTATGACGTTTGCAATATGCATGGCTGGCGATCCCCATCACATCTCACTAGCGTGACCTCACAGGAAGGCGTCCAACAGCCACAGCCAAAAGAGGTATAAGAACTCCGAAGCTCAGCAACTTCCTTTCGCCAACTTCACCGTAAATTCCCATCTCAGCCCATTCACTTCCACCAACAAGCATAACCATGTCAGATCAGATCTCTGAGGGCGACACTGTCCAGTCCGTTTTTCCATTCCCCTCCAAATTAAAGCCTAACTAATCCCCCAAACCCCCCGTAGCTGGAAATGGGGCACCAGCCACCCCTCCGGTACCGTAGCCGAGATCGTACCAGATGGAGAAGCTAAAGTGACGAGCCAAAAGGGGAATGTGATCAGCCGGAAGGGAAGGGGGGAGGAGGACCCGGCGGTGAGGATTGAGCGCCAGGGGGTGAGTGCCGTCTAGAACAGGAAGCGAGGTTCTGACTGGAATGAGTAGAATGATGTTGTCAAGCTTGCTCACGAGTTGGAGGAGGTGGACTCGTAGGCTAGGCGAGCCATGGCCGCAGCAGCACAGCATTAGAGTTCGAAGATGATAGATAGATGCTACATTACGGCATCATATTGTCCAATGTACTGATCGGAAGAACCCTGGCTCCGGAGGTCAGATCATCATCAGTACATGTTCTTGCGTGTTTCACATCAATGCACAACTTGTCCAACCCTGGGTTTATAGGCCGATGATCAGCCCATGCCATTGTACTGCACTGCTCTCTGTACAACTGTACAATATTAATACTCCTTTCCTGGCCAGCTGAGACGCACGCTGGATATCCAACAGCTGGCAAACCAGTGCTCAAAATCATGCTCCTCTATCAGCGGGGCGAACTTCAACTGCTGTAGAAGTCTGATGTAGACGTTCCGCCGGTCGTGGACACAGAATGATCGGGAGCGAGAATGGAACTGCTCTGCTTGCAGCAGATGTTGACACAGGCATCCTGATCAGCTGCAGCACAGCACCGCTCTGCGCTGCGCTGGGGGGGGTATAACTACCCTCGCCCCACCAGCGCGGGAAGGGTATATGGCTTGTTTTTTACGCCGCTTGCCTGGAGAGTCAAGCGACTGCCTATCGTTCAGTCCTAGTGTCAAGAGGATGATCCGACTTGCCGGCGGCTGTTTTGGGCGCTTGAGGGAGTTTAAGGGGAAAGGAAGGGCGAGTGGACTCGAAGAGCTCGGGTGGGAGGTGCTGGACCGTGTGTTAGAGCTGGTAAGTCGTGTTAGGCCGCGTGGGGAATGTTGACCGCTGACGAGTGTAGGTCGCTACGGATATGCGGGCCTTGCTTGCGCTAGGAAGGACGAACCACCACTTGCACGCGCTGTCCCTTCCGTACATCTATCGCCGGATCCGGATCTGCCTTTCACCCTCGCCTGCCCGGATGCGTAGCTCTAATGAGCTCATTCGCTCCCTGCTTGCGGATGATATTCGCCGACCGTATGTGAGGGAGGTGGAGGTGTATGGTGGTGGTGGATTAGTAGGGGATGGAGCGGGAGGGGGGAGGAGGTTAGAGGGCGCCGAATGGGGGACGGTACGATTCCTCTGGGGCCTGCTGTTGCGCCTTAAGCATCTGGACAAGTTCGAGTGCGCATGATTGCGTCCGTGCTGGGGAGTACGCTTTGCTGACCATGGATTGGGAACAGATGGCTCACCCCACTCCTCCCGCCGTCGAATATGACGGCTTTCCTCGCCTCCCATTTTCCTACTTGCCTCCTCTCTATAGGGCACTGGGATGGGCTCCACCCGCGTTCCTTCCCCCTCCGACCAGCGAGGTTGTACAGCCTCACCGTCGTCCTCTCGTATGACGCGCTCGGTTCGTCGGAAGAAACGTGGAAAGACCGGCTAGGGGCAGTACAGTGCGTACTGAGAGAGGGGAAGGACCTGCGGCATCTGACGCTTAAGCTTGTCGGTCCACAGGGGAGTAGGGGAAAGGGGAAGTGCGCCCTTGACCTGAGTGAGGTGAAGCGGTTCCCACCCCTCTGCAGCCTCAAGCTCGAAGGATACCGTTTTAGCGCGTCGCATGCCGCCCACTGGCGCTCGGCGCTCGACGGCCCCAAGCTGGAAAGCCTTTCTCTCCGCGGGTGTAAGGGTGTCCCCCACTTCCTCGGGGCGCTGACAGGCCGCTTGCGGCGGCTGAGCAGCCTCACTCTGGCCGACAATTACTGTCCTTCTGGGGAGAGGGGCATGGCCCCCATCGTGCTCGCTTCGTTCCTTATGGGCCTGTCGCTGGAGGAGCTCTCCATCCCTGGGGAGTATCGGGCTGTGCTGGCGCACGTACACGGGGAGACACTGCGGGATCTTACCATCCACACACGGGAGCGGGGGGACGGCAAGCCAAGGGATACGCTAAGCGTAGATGAGCTCGAGCGTGTGGCAGACTGGTGCCCTTCCCTACGCTCGCTCAGTGTCGACCTGGACAGGAGGCAAGGCTGGCCAGGAAATTTCATCGCCGCGCTGGCACTGTTGAGGTTGGAGAGGCTGAGTGTGTTCTGCGAGCTGGGCCTGGGGTGTCCGCCTGTGCTCCAGAAGCCGGAGGTGGGATGTGAGGAGGCTAGGTTGTTGTGGGCGATGGTGAGCCGGTACAGGGTTCTGCCTGTGCTGGAAGTTTGGGTGGGGGAGTGGGAGCGGCCTCTAGGTGTTGGGGAGGAAACAGGGGGAGGGAAGGGCGAAGGGAAGAGGTGGGCAGGTTGGGAGACATATAACCGGCGCTGGTGGAGGGCGGAAGCGCGAGGCGGGGAAGTGGAAGTAAGGGAGATGGGGGAATGGAAGGGCCGCGATCGTGTGCAGAAGGAGGGGAAGGTGACGGAGAAGAGGGTCGCTTGGTATTTGGGAGGAGGGGAGAGGAAGATCTTGCAGGAGTTGAACAAGTTGGGATAGAGTGGCGGCAGACCAAGTGTTATGTGGCTCTAAAGAGATTTTTATTGTCAGAAGTATTCGTTATGTATCGGGATGTTGTATTGTAAAGCAGTTTGTTGTACCGGGACAGTCGCAGCCAAAAAAAAATCTCGAGCAAGTCTGTCGCCAGTGAGATTCTTGCCCAGCAATTTTGGAGTATTATGTCGTACAGACAAACAGCCAAGAAATCGAGTCAACCCAAGAGCCTAACAGCTAGCGGCGACGCCGCGAGGCTAGTTGCCATCGCATTTCCGAAAGAAGGCGCATTGACAATACAAAACCCCGAGAAAAGCGGGGTATTCGATCTCCCACCGGGTTCACTTCTGGCTTCTGGTTCTTGGATATCACGGGATACGGATCTCGCAGAGTTTCATGTGCGGAAAACACACGTGTGCTATAAGGGGGCGCGTTGGTGAGCTGACTTTTGACCACACGCGTAGGATGAAAGTGTCTGCGTGAGGAGGGAAGATGTTTTCGATGGTGTTCAGAGAGGGGCGGGTGATGGCGTCGAGCGACATGATGGAAGGCTTATCGGTATCGTGTGCGGATTCATGTGGAGGTTATCATTTCGAGTCACCGTATGGGATAATACATACAGACATACAAGGTTGCAAATGCTCTTGCACAGGTTGGACCATATTGTTCGGGTGAATGATTCGGAGTTGTCCGGTCCTATTGTTGAATTACCATTATGAGGGCGTTTGTTCCCAAGCAACCGCAAGTCAGTCCGGGCAGGGTGCATCCTGTGCATAGGAATTTATATAGAAAGTTACGGGCGCATCAGATATTTCCGACCAAGGCGGAATGTGTAAATAGTTGATGGAGGAGAGAATGGAAGGAATAATTATAATCAAAAGGCTTGGCCTTGTGTTTGAGGAAAAGGATTCACCGCCACCGAATCGCAGTGAGGTAAGGCTGACCATCAGACCGCCCGTTCATGTTGCTTCTACACCACCACCATCTGCACCGCTTTCCATTCTCTGCTTTGCTCCTCTTGTTACTGACGACGACAACGCTGACGACGACGACGAGCACCGTCTGTTTGGGCTGGTACTCCTGACTTTGGAACGCTCCACGGACATACCACACAGTTCCGTACCGAGACTCGTCATCATCCCCTCGACGGCGGGCGGATTCCATTAGGCCGGACAGGAGCTGCGGAAGGTACAGGGCGTATCCGCGAACGAGCACCGAGTACTGGGCACGTTGACTGCGGCCCATGTCGCGTACGCTTGACGCTGCTCACTCGCCGATACAATAACGCTGCGTCGTCTCTTTCTGACTGTTCAGTCTTGCTCATCTTGTTACTCCTTTACCTCGACAACTACAACCACAACAGCTAACGATGGACGACCTTTCAACACGCGAGATCACTCGTTTGCCTACCCCTGCCCCATCCGATAGCGGTTGGCCATCGACCTCGACGTCTTATCTCGCCCTCTCTCCCTCCTTCTCTTCCACCCCTCTCCCACCAAGCGCAAGCGGGAGCAGTACTTACCTGTCGCCAAACATCCCAACTCAAGCGCTCATGCAACAGCATGCATTACCCAAGTCCCGCTCCGCCCTCTCCCTCAACCTCACCGGCTGGGAATCTGGCGCCCAGTCCCGGTTCATTAGCGCCCTCCCCTCTCCGAGCCTCTCCAACGCGGGTAGCGTGAGTGATTTTGCCGAATGCGAGCGGGATATGGACAGCACTCCCGGAGGAGGGGGTAACAAGACGAGCAGCTTCTTCTCCGCCTCCTTTGCTGCTACCCCTCCACCTCCTCCGTTATCCATCCTCCCCCAACGCTCCGTTTCCGTATCCGTTCGTGGGAAACACGCTGATGGTCAGATCCTCGGATTGTCCTCCTCCCCTGCGTATCGCTCCATTTCTGCTGAGCGCAGCCCTGCACGCGCAGATAGCATGAACGCGATATTCTACACCCCGACTGGACTCGGGAGCATGACGCCGGCACCACCGCCCGCGTTGCGCCCATCACGCCCTGCCTCTCCCCCTCTATCCGACGAAGGTGACACAGGAGAAATGGAAAGGGGCCAGATTGCGGGACCCTCCCAACCCCGCGTCTCCCTGGAACTGTATGAGGACGACCTGACGCCCAAAGCGGAAGCGGCGCTTAGGCGAAGAGACAGGTTGCGACGTATATCCGGCCATGCGCACTCACTTTCCGGAGGCAGTCCATCAAGGAGGAAGATTATTCTCCTCGATGAACCTTCGCCGTACACCACAAGCCCGGATGGGTCGCCCGTCCGCGCCCCACACGCGCATACACATGAACACGAGCATTCACACTTGCACGAGGCATCATTGTTGCCGGAAAAGGAGTTTGAGAGACCGAGGTCTGCCACGATCAATAACGGCGCAGTGGGCTTCACTTTTGCGCCTGAGAAGCCATTGCCACCAACGCCCTTTACGGCGCCTGCGGACATGGGGAATGGGGACGGGGAAAGACAAGAGAAGCAAGAGCCGGAACATCATGCTCCACATCTGCACCGAGAACCCCACTCCACGCTCGCCGAACGTGTTCCACACGAGCCGCTCCACCGCGGCGCATCACTCGTATCGGACGACCTTACCCTCACTCTCGTCCGGGTCCTTGGACAGGGGGCATTCTCTTCTGTCTGGTTAGCGCGGGACTCCTCTGGAGCCTTGGGTGGAGGAGACCCGAAGGAGCGAAGAAAAAGTGAGAGCTGGGCTAGGATGAGGAAGGATCGGAAGATGGCGGGATTATCGCCAGGTCCGAGGGCTCCAAGCGGTGGGTTCTTTAGCGGGAGAGTGGCTAGGGAGGAGAGGGAAGGTAGCGTGGTGCTTGATGAGGAGGATGGGGAGGGAGGAAGTGCGCCTGGGCGGGTGGGGGAAAAGAGGGAGAAAGATAGGATGCTGCATGTTCCCGGTGGTGGTGGGGTGGAAGAGAGAAAGGAAGGCAGGCTTGTTGCCGTCAAGTGCCTTGATAGGGCCATGTGCGATGCCAATGATCGGACAAGGATCAGCTTTGTGCGCGAGGTCGAGGTGCTTCGGGTATGTTCATCAGGGCGCTTACGCGGTTTGGCGTCTCTTGACTCACTTTCCCGGAATAGCATGTCTGTCACCCATCGATCGTCTCCTATCTTCACTCGTTCACCACTGTCACACATCATTGCCTCGTCCTGGAGTACCTCGCTGGCGGGGAACTCTTCTCTCTCCTGGACAATGACGACAAGTATAGGCGGATGACCGAACCACTCGTACGACGAATGTTTGGTGAACTCGTCAGAGCTGTCGGGTGGATGCACGGCGTAGCGCTCGTGCACCGGGATATCAAACTTGAGAGTGCGTGCGCCTAATCAAAGACCCATGTGCTTAGCTGATCGCATTATCTAGATATCCTCCTCACCTGTGACCCCTTCTTGATTTCCTCCTACCCATCGCTGGACGATCTCCCGACGCCGCTGCTCAAGCTCTCAGACTTTGGGCTCTCCAGGTTCATCGATCCTGCCAAACCTCTATTACAGACGCGATGCGGGTCAGAGTCCTATGCAGCACCCGAGATCGTCATGGGTCAGAAATACGATGGCCGCCAAACAGACGCCTGGGCATGCGGAGTGGTCTTATACGCGCTGGCCACACGCGTGCTGCCCTTTGACCCGAATGCTACTGACGCCCATGCCGGCACGGGGGGCAGCTTCCGCGGAGGCCGAGAAGGGCGCAAAGCGCTCCTCTTCCGGATCGCCAAAGGCGACTATTCCTGGCCGAAGGACCCACGTCCGTCCTTCCCCGTGCCCGACATGCTTACACCCCACGGGACGATTGACTCCGATCCTGTTCGCTCGCTCAACCTTGCTACTCCCGGACTAAAACACGTTGTCGCCCGGCTCCTTGTGCGCGACCCCGCCAAGCGAGCGAAGGTCATCGAGTTATGGGACGACGAGTGGATGCAAGGCCCAGGTGCACCGGCTCCGCCGCATCGTGATGCAGATAGCAAGCGCGCGGAACTGGTCGATGGAGATTCGATCGGGGAAATCGCACGGAACGAGGTTGTCTAAAGCCCGTCCAATCCCTATCCTTCTCTGCCTATGCGGTGGTGAAAGAGTTGGTTGATGCGTGCGTCCAAAAGGGCGCTTGTATTTTTGTTGCTATACCTGCGGTTCCATCTGGAAACCTAATACATGCCCTGACATAGCTTAGAATACCCTCTACTATCTGTCATTGTGCTTGATTCCTTGCTTCTTCCTCTGATGTGCGTAGCGTTCTTTTGTTTCTTTTGTTTCTGTTCGCTTCAAGTGCTGGAGCTTGCACGAGGTTTGTTGTACTTGTTGTTGCTCCTACTAGGAAAAAAGGTAAGAACAGATAAGTTATGTCTGATAGGACTAGGCTGTACATATCTTTCTATAGAATGACTAATAGATCAGTGCAGTACAGCAAAGTCAACACGGAGATGCGCTGCCCTAAGATGATCAAGTGGCGATGCTTCCAGAATGAAACTTGCTCCATCGATGCCCCGGTACGCGCCATTGCTTTCACACATCTCCGTTCTCGTCACCCACTGGATCTACAACTCCTTCTTGCTGACGACCACACTTCTAACTGCGTTTACTTTTGACTCTTACCATTTGCAACGAACCCCCAAGTATTCAAAATCTACTAAAAGGACAAAACGATGGCTGAGGGCAGCAACTATGACTATCTCTTCAAGGTACAATGATGAACCCAGAGATTGGAGATTGTGTTCTCATGTGCTACAGATCGTGTTAATCGGGGAGTCTGGAGTCGGCAAATCGTGAGTCTTTCTCACTCCCAAAGTACGTCAACTTCCGCTAATTGTTGCGCAGGAACCGTAAGTGTGCATCAACAACGTGGAGGACGTGTGGCTGAGCATGTGACTCGAAGTGCTCTCGCGATTCACGAGGAACGAGTTCAACCAGGACTCAAAGTCCACAATCGGTGTCGAGTTTGCGACACGGACAATCAATGTTGATGGCAAGGTGGTCAAGGCGCAGATATGGGATACTGGTGCGTATTCTCTCTCCCCACGCCATTGCTCCTGCTCCTTCCCGCGGTGACTGTGCTAATGCCTGTGCAGCTGGACAGGAACGGTATCGCGCTATCACTGCTGCCTACTATCGCGGCGCAGTAGGCGCGCTGTTGGTGTACGACATTTCCAAGCACGCGACATTTGTGAACGTAGCAAGATGGCTCAAGGAGTTGAGAGATCATGCGGACAGCAACATCGTTATCATGCTTGTTGGAAACAAGAGCGATCTCAAGCACCTACGGGCAGTCTTGACGGACGAAGCGAAGCAGTTTGCCAGTGCGTGCTAGTGCATCAGAAGTTGTGCACGTGCTGATGTGTTCCGCAGCTGATAACGGTCTGTCATTCATCGAAACGTCTGCGCTGGACGCGACGAATGTCGAGGCAGCCTTCCAGACCATCTTGACCGACATCTACCACATCGTATCGAGCAAGGCACTTGAGACGTCAGCAGACGCAATAAGGCCATCAGGAGGGGAGAGCATCACCGTTACGCCGAGCCAGGAGCCGAAACAGCAACAGAAGTGCTGCTGAGCGTGCGTGCATTCAAGGGATGGTCATTATCATGCTTTCCGGTCCTCCCCCCTCCTCTGTCCTTGTATTCCGTTCGCCCCTACCTCCCGCTAGAGCAGTGCCGGTATGATATGCATAGTCGCGTCGCCAGGTCATTCCCGGGTTCAAGCGGTTACGTCTTCCTTGTACTAGTACCTGGATGAGCTTCTCCCTCTTGTTTCATTCAATTGTCATTCAATGATACCATTTCTACTTCTACATATTGACTGAGGGTACGCATACTGTGCTACATACGAGCAAGATGAGCGAGCGCTTAATCGTCTATCGGAGGGTGACAAGCTCCTCAGACGACGTCGGATGGATAGCGACGGTCCTATCCAGGTCCTCCTTCGTGCATCCCATCCTGACAGCGACACCAAAGCCCTGCATCATCTCATCGCTCCCCATGCCGATGATGTGGATGCCGACGACCTTCTCCTCTGGACCAACGCAGATGACTTTGTACGACGTGGGCTCCTTGTGCGAGTCGTCGTTGAACATGCCAAAGTACATCGCCTTGAACGATGTCTTGTATATCTTGATGTTCGCGTCGCCGTACTTTTTACGAGCCTCCGGCTCAGTGAGGCCAACAGTACCACAGGGCGGGTGACTACCACACGTCAAAATGATGCCCAACTGAGTGGTGAGAGGACTCACGAGAAGACAACAGTGGGGATGTTCTCGTACGACAGTTTGTCGTCCTTGAACTGGGGACCACCGTACAGGCGGTTCGACGTCCTTCGCCCAGCGGCAATCGCGACAGGGGTAAGGAGGTACTTGCCCGCACAGTCACCCATGGAATAGATGTGGTCAACAGACGTCTTCTGGAATTCATCCACGATAACATCGCCCTTCTCGTCAACCTTCACGCCAATCTTGTCCAGGTTGAGGCTCTCGGTGCTTGGGTGCCTGCCAATAGCCCAGAGGAGACAATCTACTTCGACGCTCTTCCCGTCATTGGTGAAGACGGTGAGCGGCCCACCCTTCTGGCCCTCAACCTTGGTTACGAGGGTGTTCTTGTGCAGGTCGACACCGGTGTGGACAAGCCAGTCGGTCAAGACATCCTGAAGCATCGGGTCGAACGTGCGCAGAACCTTTTCGTGCCGGATCATTAGGTGCACGTCGCTTCCGAGGGTGTGGAAGATCCCAGCGAGCTCAACTGCGATGTACCCCGCGCCGACGACACAGACACGCTTCGGGCGGTGCTCGAGCTCGAAGAACCCGTCTGAGGTTATGCCCAGCTCTGCACCGGGCACGTCCTTAGGGATGCCCGGTCGCCCGCCGACAGCGATGTAGAACGTATCGGCAGTCATGTGATCGACAGTGCCGTCACGGCGCTTGACGGCGACGGTGTGCTGGTCGACGAAGGAGGCGAACCCATCATGGAATTCCACACCCTCCTTGTTGAAGTTGCGCTCGTACACGCCGTTCAACATGTGCACGTAGGCATCGCGCTTCTTCTTGAAGTACTCCCAGTTGAACTCTTGGCTCAGAGCCCCTGCGTCCGGATATCCGTAGGACGCGGCGGCACGCAGACGCTCCGCCATGTCAGCGGCATGCCACATGAGCTATGAGACTATTAGAGTGTGCGAAAACGCATATATGCGGACTCCTGACCTTTTTCGGCACACATCCTACAGGTCAGGTTAGCATGTAGCTAGAACGACAGCTGTTTTTCTACTCACCAACATTGACACAAGTCCCACCTAGCTTGCCATCCTTCTCGATGACAGCTACCTTTTTGCCATACATCGCCGCTCGGCGCTGTAAACCGAAATCGTGATATTAGTCATGGTTTCCTCAACGTCCAGCTGAGCCACTCACCGAGGCCCCACTGCCGGCGCTTCCTCCACCGAGGATAATCAAGTCATACTTCTCGTTCGACGTCGACTTTTCGATCGGGGCCATTTTTTCTGGAGTGGTGGTGGTGAATGTACGAGAGATCTACGAACAACAAGTGTTGTCAGTAACGTAGTCCCCATTCCCCGGATACGCGAATTGGGGAGGCGAGCACGCGAGCAAAGGGAAAGAAGGTATGCTGACCGAACGAAGTCTATATGCAGCAGCAGCTGAGCTTGTCAACTTTGATGTCGTTATCTGAGAGGGATGGGAGTGAGATGAGAGCAGTCTGGACGTGGACGACAGCAGGCGCATAAATAGCGAAAAGGATGAGGGACACTACCGGAAACTCGACAATAGGGATGCCCTGAGGTGCTGACAAGGCCTTGCTTCCCAGAGTCCCTCAATGGATCTGATGCTCACGTAAGGTGTCACCCCCGCGGACAAACTCCATATTAGCAAATTTAGATGATTGATAACCGGATTAATTTTTGCACCGGACAGCTTTTTTTCCTTCCTCTCTCTCTTACACCCTGTTACAATACAAAATGCATACCGCCTACAACATCGACGTCCCCGGTACCTGCGGAAAGCGCGGCAGAACGCCGATCTGCTTCCCTCCGGTCCGTGCTTGCTAAGCACGGAAAAACTGCGCGTTTCTGTTTGTGGAAGGATAACAACTGTGTTTCGCCAACGTTTGAGCATGGAGGGGGCCGCACAAAACATCGCCGACCCAGAAGGTGTGGTGTGTGTGAAGCGTGTCGGGCATATCGGTGACGTTGCCCATTGTTGGCAGTCCTCCTATGCACTGCCATTTCATCCCCATGCTCTGGAGCTTTATCCCACGACATTTGTATGCATCACCCCTCCACACCATCAGAACTGCATTGTACGAGTGCGGACAAAAGTGCACACCCACGAAGGAAGGAACACCATCAAAAGATATATCTTACGTGCAGAGAACGCATCCCCTACAATAGCTGGTCACACTCGAACTATATCGTACACGAACTATGGCGTGACGAGGGATGATGAAGGGGGAGAAAGCTTGGGATGATCGTATGAGGGTACAAATTCGCGGAGTGCAGTGTTCGTACACTACGCTTCGTGCCCGTGAATGGTGAATTGGGGGGATTTCGAAGGGTTGAGGTAGTACAATCGGATTGAGAAGAAAGCAAAGGGGCAGAAGTACGAATCCCGGAAATCGAAACCGAATGGACGAACAGTCCGGCGTTGAGACGTGTAGTGATGGTGAACAGATTGCATGGGGTGTTTGGTGTGGATTGTGGGCAGATTGTACACTTGCAGAGCCGAAGAAATGGGTATTACACCGAAGAAAACGACGAACGAAGTGAAAATCACAGAATGTGTTGTGTCGCTCTTCTGCCGCTTTCGGCGCTGCACAGCGGCGCTATAGGGAGAAGAGAGGCGGTTGTTTTCGGGTGACCAGAAAGCCGAAGACGAAGACCGGAGAACGGGTATGCCAAAGAGGAGATATCGGCGCCGAGATAGGACTGGCAGGTTGCTTGCAGTGCGAGGCACGAGTACAGCTGGGTGGGGTGAGTGAACCGCCCAGGGACAAAGCCCTGCTGCCAGCGTCCTGCGTATGTTATCCCCGCCTGCCTTTCGTCGACACTTTCTCAACGCCCGCGCTAGCCGACGTGAGCCTAGGCTTGTTGTCTGGTGCATCCTCGACGTCGCTCTCCGTCGAGTCTGTCTCGCTCGAAGCGACCCTCTTCTTCTCACGTGCGATACCAGGCTCGTCGTCGTCGTCGTCGTCGTCGTCGTCATCTTCGTCGCTGCTCTCCGAGTCGCTCGATTCGCTTGACTCAACCACGTGCGGGTTCGGTACATGCATGGAATTAGCTTGTTGCAAGGAAAGTTTATTCTCCTCGTGTTCGGGTGAAACGGGGGTTGCGGGCGTAAGCTCCAGCTGGAGGGTGTTTGCTTTCCCGATTCCAGCTTCCGTTCCAAGCATGTCTTGCTGATTGATTGCATCAATCGCGGTGACAGGGGCGAGTGGGGGAGGCAGTGGCCGATGATCCTTGTCGCCATGATGTTTGTAAAGGTGATGATGATGATGATGGGTAGTAGGGGGTGGGAGACTCACAGCCCGATAATGATGTTCGTCATCGACGTGTGGAGTGCTTGCGCCGGTTGCAATGCCTGAGTTAGCTGCGGCTGACCCGATACTAGGTTGAGGTGATTGAGAACGGGATGAGAGCGCGGATGACAAGGTAGATGCTGTCGGGGTAGTGCGAGTCGAGCTGTGAGCGGAGGGTTGGGTCTTGGCATTTGTCGAAATAGGTGGTACCGACTGGGCCTGCGGGACGTTCTCGTTCTCTTGTCCGTTCTTGGCCTGTTCTTTCTCCTTCTCCATTTGGGCCTTCAATTCCCTCTCTCGTCTCCGTTTGCGGACCCAGGCCATCCCGCTTCCGTCGTCGGAGTCCTCGTCTACTCCGCGGGAATTGCCTCCGGAGTTATAAACCGTCTTCCCCTGCACACTTTGCCACCTGGTCTGAGCAGCAGCTTTCTGACTTCCCATTCCTCCATATCCCCATTCAACAAATTCGGGCTCCGTATATTTCTCCTGCTTCTGCCTCCCACCGCCGTACACCCTTCCGTTCAGCAGCATTCTTCTTTTATCGGCACTGTGAGCCCGTGTATGACTGCGAGAAGGATTTTCCACGTCAGAATTCGCGGAGATCATCTGCTTTAGCGCGCTCCCGCCAAGAAATTCCTCTGCGCGTTTCACCTCCCACTGAAATCGATCCGGATTGCTTCCGCTGAGGCCCCCAGTAGAGGTTCTCCGCGTCAACTTGGTTGACATGTAGTCCTCGCCGTCGTCCGTGTCCGGAGATAGGAAACCGCCTTTAGACGATGATTTAGCCAGGAAAGGAGACAGGAAACTCTTGGTTGCGGTACCCCAAGAGCGAGGTCTCTCCTTGCGCGTAGCGGTGTACTCTTCCGCTTCTTCAGTAGACGCAATCGACTCTGGGCGACTCGATGCGAGCTGTTCTTCGATGCTCACTGGAGGACTTGCGTCCTTCGTGATTCCGAAGCTTATCGTTCCCTCATCCTCGACCATTTCGACCTCCTTTCCATCCTCGTCCACCGCGATTGCTCGTCTCGGATCTGGAAAGGGTGCGAACCGGATCTTGCGTGGTGTGCCGAGGGGGTTCTGCTTGTCCTCCTCGGAAGAATTCGAGGTTGGGGTGAGTGCACGGGGTGGGTGGTGCATGACAGGGCTGGTACTCGCTGGTGGGGAGGGGAGTGGAAGGGGAGTCGACGTCGGTGACTTGTAAGCATTGAGGAGGATGCCTCCAGCTCGTGGAGATGAACCGGATGCGAAAGTGATGAATGTGGGTGGAGGGGAGAGCAGGGAGGGTGAGAAGTGATAAGACGAGGGACTACTTGCTGTTGCCATTTAAGGTTATAGATTTGTTCGTGTAGTAGTTGGGGTGTTGTATTCGTGTAGACCGGTCAATTATAAAGGGGAGGTGGACAGGACGGAGATAAAGAGAGAAGGGGGGAAGAGAGGAGAGAGGAGATGATGGTTAAAGAGAGAGAGAGAAATGAAAAGCGGGATCAAGTGACGGTCTATGTGGTGTCGAGGGGGGGGGGAAGAGGGAGAAGTGACACTCACATGCCAAGCCCACCCAACTGAGACAATCAGGGCTTCCCTTCCCCGGTGGCGCAATCCCGCTATGGCTCGAGATCTTCCTCTTCCTTGCGCATGAATCGGCGTTGTATATTCAATACACACAGCATCGGTAACTTTCTTACTCTCTCTCACTCGGAAATCGCCGACTCATCATATTCCATCTTGCCCTTGCACCATCCCTGCAGACAATTCACCATAAGGCAAGACTATCAACATCCGCGGTGTTGCAAACCGCCTGTTCCTGTACCTCGCCTGCCGATGAGGAAATCTTGCGTGCTCGCCGTCTTCGAAGAAACCGCTGGCACGCGATGGCATCTATAGAACAAATGTGGTCAACCCCATACAGATCGGTGGGGAGGCGACGGTGGGGTGCTCGACTCAATGGGTAATCGACATTCTAGGGCTTCTCCGGGGGTGAAGGCTAGCGCACGTGTGCAAAGTGCACATGCTGCCGGATCCGGAGTCTAAGAATGCTTGGCTCCGTCTTGGACCCTTTACACACCCAGCCCCTTATTGGATATACTGAGACATTTCCCTCTTCAGGGGCCATCAACATCCCCCGCCCGACCAGCAGTCCGCAACATCCGCGATACCTCTGCTGTCTGCTGTCACCGCTGTCCCCTCCACGTCCACCTAACCTGCTCGCCTGACCAGTCGGCGGACCACAGCACATCCGCAACAACTGGGAATCCATCTGAACACGGACCGCTGTATAACTCGGACCTCGCGTATCGCCCAAATTGCACTAGTTTCGGAATGGTCCGCAGTCGTCGTCATCCATCTCGCTCTCCTTCCCTTGGCGCTCAACCTATCTCTTCTCACCTCGCAACATACGTGTACACACTGCGCCGCGGATGCTCTCAAACACTGTGCGAGATCTAGACATCGACCCTGTACAAGCGAGCCTGCTCCAGAGTGATTCAAGGCTGTGTTGTACGCAGGCCGATCGTACATCTCGCTTCTTCCTGTCCGAGAAACCCAGCGTTCTCGATCTAGCCCTCGCATAAAACAGCGTATTGGAAGACCCTCCCCCTTCCGAGCCTTATCGCTTTCCCGGTACTGACACCGAGCCACGACGGCACGTGTCGCCGGAGCCTGAGTCCAAGCTTGGCAGTCCCTGCCCCGATGTCCACGCATTCTGTCAAACCGCCACATAATGCTTCAACTAGGGATCAATTCTAAACATCGAGCTGTATCGCTTTCAGAAAAGTCTACAGACATCTACCCTCGTATACGCACAGTGCTGCAGGTGCAAACCGGAACCGCCTCAACATGCCAATCATGCGCAGGTTTGCAACATCGACTTGTCAAAGAAGCCCTAGATAGCTCACACATTGTTCAAGCAGCCAGCATCTGAGCAATCTTTAATGGCGGCATCGGAATTTGCCGATCGGAAAGATATCGAAGCCTTCCACGACTACCTGCGTTCCGTCCATGCCGATTGTGTGCAACTCTCAGGTGAGCACCTTAGCAAGATATTCCAGATGTCATTCGCTCAGACTTTGCCTCTCTAGGGCCAGCGCGGCGTATTCCTTCCGCAGATCCTCGAGGAAGTCAGCTTCTTTCTAATCATTCCGCAAATTCATCGGACCAACAGCTTTTCACAGTGGGGGAAGGCACGCCCAGACATGCGCTTTGCATGTGCACTGTCTAAGCTTGATGAGGGCGTCTGGATCGTCCACGAGCCTGCCCCCGGATAGCAACACCCTACAAACCGACCCCTCTCTTTGTTCCGGCAGAAGACTTCTTCCACGTCTGCAACTCGTTATAATCTAAGAAAAACTGGAATCAGACTTGAGACCAACACGTCAGCACAACGTGTTCTATATCTGATGGCCGCTCTCTGTCGAATATACATATTCCCAATCTAAAACTATGGGCATCGGCATGTATCATCCGCATTCGTCCTTCTCAACAATCTAATCACTTGCCCTGTGTCGACACGCTCCCCATCAGTTGCCTTATTTTACCGATCTTCAGTGCGGGAGTGAACCACTGCTCGGCATACCTATCTTTCATCTTAAAGCGTCCGTTTCACTCCTGGTGCTTGACAACCCCAGCCGCAGGATTCCTCCTTTTTCTGGCAGGAGGTTGACGAACTCCTCGGAGCGGCACACTCCGTGCTTCTCCTGATTAGTTGGTACTTCCTGCCGTTCTGCTGGTTGTTCAGGCAGTCTTAGGAAGTCCCCCACGCGGAAGTCCGGCTTGGTGTCGGAAGCAGAAATCTGTGGCGAGGAGTCACGATCGACCAAAAAAAATCCCCAACTATCTCTACAGTCTTCAGTGACCCCCGGGTTCCCATTTGTCTATAGAACGCCTGCCATGACTCCAAAACGAAGGTTTGCTGTCACACATCGAACAAATTCAGTAGCTAATTGGGCCTCTAGACACGGTGCCACTGAGCCATCACTGCTCGCACCGTCGAAATTTGCCCTCCTTGTAGGAACTGAACCCTTCAGACACTATTTGCACTCAATCCGCGCAACATGTACATGCGACAACAGCCCAGTCATCGACTTGAAGATAATACCAGAATCCATTCGTCTGGATTTCAATTCACTATGTAGAGAGGAATCTGGATCATTCCTCCCTCATACCCTCAAAACTGTTAGCTCTTGCTCTGCGCTGTGTATCCAATATGTTGATGATCATGCATAGTGGGCAGAAGCTCATCACGAGAGTAACAGCTTCGCTCGTGCTGTATCTTCCCGCCCAGAAAATTTGTGGCTCCCACCATCCTCATCGAATACGAGCATTCTCCCAACTGACCCAGGGGCTCTATCGTGGATTTATGAAAGAATGCAGGCGCTGAAGCACTGGAGGACACGTGAGTATGCAATGAGCGAGGCGATGGTCCGAGCCCCGGTGGATGTCCTAATATCATTGGGCTGCTACCATGGGAGTGGTTGTGGCGACAGTCACTTTGGGTATGACGTTGATCTTTTGTAAGCAATGTATCATCTTGCCCGGTTACCAACCTGATATTTTACAGTATGGAGCAGAAGCTGAGAATATCTAGAGCGTTTAATCCATCCAATACCAACTTTCCTCGTCCGACGAGCACCAACGACCTCGACGGCGCAGTTATTCTCGTACCAATTCAAGACAGCTTCAGTCTCAAACAGGCTCCAATCCCTCCCGACATGCACGCCCATTTCCGTTGGCAGCAACATATCGATGCCCCATTCAGTATCATCCTGTTGTCGGTTGAACACAGGGCGGGTCAAGAGCTGACGGCAAAGATCATGTATGATCTGATAACATCACAACGACAACGGGCGGCTCTGAGATTGCCGCCAAGAGTCCAGTATGGGCTGGCGGTCGATATCGAGTATATCTACGTGATAGCCTCAATAATCAAGGACAATGGTGTATGCGTTTCCTGCCTGAGCATTTGTATGGCGATGTTACTGACACTGGAGGCTAGGTTATCGAACTCTAAAAAGTGGCAAGCTGGGCCCGGGAGAACGCTGAGCATATCCTTCAATGCCTCTATTTCATCCGTTCTATCTGCAGGCGGGAGGAGGTCTACCAGGAGGAATTGGAATTGATCTTGGATAAGCTCGGGACGTTGCCGCCTAACCTTTGCTGGAGAGCCGATGTCGATGTGGATAATGCACCCTCGTCAGCCTCATCTGAGAGGGGCAGTTTTGAGGATCCTGACGATCCCGACGAGCCTGACGAGTCTGACGAGCACGACGAGCCTGACGAGCCTGGCGAGTCTGACGAGCTCGATGGTCCCGACGATCCCGCTGAACCCGACGAGCCTGACAATCCCAACCAGTCCAACGAGCTCGACGAGCCCAACGAGTCCACCGAGTCCGTCGAGCCCGACGTTTCTGGCCCATCCCAAGCTGACGATCCCCACCACCCTCCCCATTCGGCCGATTCTGGCCCTCCGCGCAAACGAGCCCGTCGAGATCCTCCTAATCCTCCGCCTACGCATACGCCTACGCCTGCTCCCTCCAAACCTGGCGAGTCCTTTGCGTCACGTATCGCCCATCTGCGCAAGACGTGGAACAGACGTGAACGGACTGCGTTGAACCGCGCTCCCCCGCTCATGCTCCCAGCAGAAGACTTCGTCCATGTTTGTTGAGCGTTTTCTCCCGAAGGGGTGATGTGCCAGGCGGATGAAGCGAGATGGGAAAGGATGTTTGAGAGCTCGGGAAATGAAGGAAGGGGAAGGGGAGATGAGGCCGACGCCGATTGAGAGCGAGAGCGAGAGCGTTTTGGTTGGAACGGGAAGGGATGATAACGATTGGGAGTCGCGTATCGTTGCGTGGACGCGGGCATCGAGCATGGCTGTTGATCCACGGGCTCTCCGAGGATGAGAGGAAGGGAGAGAAGTGCGAGTTCGGAGATGAGGAATTGATTTGTATTCGCAGCGCCCTTGGGCTAATGTCATTACTGCACAGTTCGACTAAGGGTACTGTACTGATGAGTGATGAGATATTGGGACGTGCAGAGCCTTGTCAATCAAGACGCGGCCAAATGTACATATCGAGGAATACTTGTGTAGCACCACGGCATGGGCACAAGTGGAACTGAAGACGTTGGGGAGAACTATTCGAGAGGAACAGATATGCGCGACCCAAGATATCCTCTGTGCCTTGATATACACTAACGCACCTCCGCACTCTGTCCTTAGATCAACATCGTCATTCAACTCATTCACACGGAACGATGGCATCAAGATGATGACATTGCCATGTCTACAAACTGTAACAGTACATACGTGTATGACATATTGTATCCAGTTTACGCAAGGCGCAAGGCGCGACACAAGAAGTAAAAAAGTGGGAAAAAGGAGTACGTGTAGTCAAATCAAGTGATAAACAGCCCCGTCTACTATACAACGAGTACACTGGAGCGCCTGCGAATCAAGCAACAGACAATAGGGAGAGGGGCTTAAGACCTCTCGCCACGGAGACGACGGGCGAGCTGGAGGTCCTTGGGCTGGATCGTGACGCGCTTGGCGTGGATGGCGGCAAGGTTGGTATCCTCGAACAGGGAGACGAGGTACGCTTCTGACGCTTCCTGGAGAGCGAGGACTGCCGAGGACTGGAAGCGGAGGTCGGTCTGCGATGGGCGGGTATTAGTGACAAGTGCTTCGGGTAGGGGTGGAGGGGGGAAGACGAACCTTGAAATCCTGGGCGATCTCACGCACCAGCCTCTGGAAAGGCAGCTTACGAATCAAGAGCTCGGTGCTCTTCTGGTACCTGCGAATCTCACGCAGCGCGACCGTTCCTGGGCGGAACCGATGGGGTTTCTTGACACCGCCGGTGGCGGGGCCGCCTTTGGTCGCTGTCTTGCGGGCGGCTTTGGTAGCGAGTTGCTTGCGGGGCGCTTTTCCACCGGTGGACTTGCGGGCGGTTTGCTAGAAATTCAAATAAATAATTAGCGTGTGTGCGTGTGTATGAGGATGGATGAAGGATGATGTTGAATAAGAATAAGAAAATAATGTAATGTTGTGATGTTGAGTGGCGATGCAGTGTGATTACCATAAAGGGTAATCGAAATTCGAGGTGTAAATACGACAATGCAAAGATGCGGATGGTATGAAGCGCGTCAAGGTGTATACGGAAGCAAAAGTGAAGATGAAGTGGTGTTCAAGGGTGCGAAGTGTGATGCGCGGGGAAAGGACGCGCGAAAAGAGGGAAATGGGGAAATGGGGAGAGAGGAATACCTTTGTACGAGCCATGCTGTGAGTTGTGAGAGAGAAGGTGGTGGTGGGGGAACAAGATGTGACGGGGAGTGAGGATGGACAAGGCTGGGGCTTAAGAGGCTTTTCGAGGGGGACAAAGTAGGGGGGGAGTGATGGAAGATTCAACGGAGTACCTTGCAACCCACCGACTGACTGGCGAATATTGCACCCGCGTGTGCCCGAGTCTGCGAGGCTCTGCGCTCTTGTGAAGCAACGGATAACTCTCTTCCACCCTTGCATCGCCGTCAACATACCGGAACCGATGTTTATCCGCTCTCACCCCACCGCCACTCAACCCACATACCAAGAGATTCGGGGAATTTCTAGCTCACTTTGGTGATCGAGGTTGATGACTCGCTTTCTATCCAAGTACAGTCACGCATGTCTGTACTCTTCCTCCTAAACAGCGCAATGGCACTCACTATACCATTTAATGCCTCGCTCAGCGAGAGAGGAACACTGAATCATACTCCCACACCACCCACCCCACCACTTTAGGGCAGGATCTTCCCAGACCCACACTCCGCATGATCTCTCATTACACAACACAAGCATAACCACATTCCACACCAGATCGGACCAATCATACATCACACGACGAGCTAGCGTCTCCCGACCCTCCGGTTATCCTTCTCATCTTCACTGGCACTGTACCTTCTCCTGTCTCTTTCTCTCTCTCTGTGCCGTTCTCTCTCCCTCTCTCTTTCCCTCTCCCTTTCTCTCTCACGATCATCCTCCCTCCGCCTAGGGGGCGTATCCGGCGTCCGATCCCGACTATCATCACTCCCCCCATTCCTACGAGGCGTCTCATCCCTCCTGGGCAACCTCGAGCGCTCCTCCCGCTCATCACGATCACGTCCACGGTCGTGGTCGCGCTCCCGCTCCCGTTCACGATCGTAGTCACGTTCGCGATCCCGTTCGCGATCCTCCCTCTTGACAGGAGGGGAATACCGTCCGCGAGGCGAACGGTCTCTCCCATATCCACGCTCCCGCGCATATTCCCTCTCCCTCTCCCTCTCCCTATCACCGTCTCTCTCCCGCTCTCTGTACCGGCCCGCATCTCTCAGGGGCGGCGAGCGTTCCTCCTCCCTACCGTCGTTCCTCTTCCTCCCACTCCGAGGGGACTCCTCCCTCCCCCTCTCCCGATCGCGGCGGCGTGGTGGCGACCGCTCGTCCTCCGAATCGTCCTCTCCGTATCTCCTCCGCTCCCGCTCACGAGGTGGAGGGGAATCACGTCTCCGCCTAGGAGGGCTTGGCTCAGAGCTCGAGTCAGAATCGTCTTCCGAGTCGTCGCTGTCCGTGTCGGAAGATGAAGACTCCGCTTGCTCGTTCATGAGCGCGCGTTGTTGTTCCATAATGAGACGAGGAGCATTCTAGTATATGGTCAGTGACAGGCCCATGCGAATGTAGATATAAGACAAACCTTGAGGTGCTCACGCATCTTCTCCGTCACGATACCCAAACCGATACTGGTGAAGTAATTAATCGAGAACCTCGTGTTCTTCGGGTTATCCATCGGGAACATAGCCTGGAAATACTGCTGCATCGTCGGGTCCTCGAACCTCTCGGCAAGCTTTTTCAAGCCCAACGCCTCGCTCATCTCCTGCAGCAAGATCTTGACAAAGATACGGCTCGAGCTGGTGGTATCGTCCTCGTTCATCTTGACAATACTGAAAACTGCCCAGGATATCGAGTCGGTGGCTAAAAGGTGGCCGAAGAACCGCGCGATATTCCGCAGCCTATTTGTTTCGTACCGATGGATGGTGTCGTAGTATGTCTGGAATGCCTGTTCGAACGATTCGCACCAGACTCGGTTGATCTTGCAGAAACGCTCGCCAATCAGACCGTAGAAGTTCGAGTAGGAGCGTTCTTGAGAACAACATTCAATGATCATGTTGCACAGTTCGATCTGTTCCGAGAATGAGTGATTTGCCATTTGGCGAGCCTGAGAACGTACCTCTTGCCCCTCCTCAATGTTAACCTTCATCAACTTATGCACCGCTTCCTCATAGCTGAGTGCATTCATGATAGTCAAGTAGATGACCCTGCGGAGGTTGACAAGATTTGTGCCAGTACGATCTTCGATACCCTCTTTATCCGGTACGACCTCTTCTGCTTCTTCCTCCGACTCTTCCTCGTTGCTCTCCTCTTCATCGTCATCGCCATCTTCACCCAGTATCTCCGCCTTGATCTCTCTGTATTTTTCCTCATTTTCGGCGTAGTTCGGATCGAATTTGAACACATCTGACACCCGTGAATATCAAGGAAACTGCTGCAACAACATGGGTACTTACTAAGACCTTCCTGAATCGGTAAATCGTCATCCAACATGATTTCATGCGTGATCTGCTCGCTTTCTTCCACAAGATCCAAGCCCTCCGGTAAAATCGGGTTATCCTTGTACTTGTCCTTCCTGACTTGGAACAAGACTTCGATCATATACTGCACTCGCTTGTCGATCTTGCCCTCGTGTAGCACTGCGCGGAATCGCTCGAAGACACTGTTGTTGGCGCGAGGGGCAGCATCGGCGAGGAAGGCCCCAACCTCTCTCATCAGACCAACTGCGATTTCCACGCTATCGTCTGTCGGACGCTCGAGCAACAGGTACAGCATTTGTAGGCCAATGAAGTCGTGTACGACTTGTTGGTTGACGAGATGGGCAAGGAACATTGTCGTCGAAATACAGACAGTCTTGTCATTTCGCTTGAAAGCGCGGCGGAACTGACTCAGTAACCGGTAAATCAACAGTTCTCCGACTTGAGGTAGCTTCGTGTTGACGATGGCAACAAGCGCAGCAAATACGGGTGTGAACGGGAGAGAGGATGACTGGGCCTTCATCAGACTCCTGCAGAACAGGCCCCTGCCGCGAATGAGGTTTTCAGCGAACAACTCAGGAACAACATTCTTGATGTTCGTCACGTTGACTCGGTTGACAATACCGGTGATACTCTTCCTGAGGGCGTCCCACGAGAGGCGCTGATATTCTGGGCTGCTTTTGTCCTGACCGGCAGCAGCCTGAAGTGCCCTCAACCGCGCTGGGGGCATATACACGCCTCCTGTGCGGCTGGAAATGAGCTTTTGAAATTCCGCTTTGGCATCGTATCCATCGTCTTTCTTTGCGACCTGCATGTCTTTCTCCTTGTCTTGCAGTTCGCGTTCGGCCTGTTGGACAGCAAGCGCTCGCTCCCGCTCGCGTCGCCGCACGGGGTCGTTATCCACCACGCGAGGGATGTCAATATGTACCCCGCGAGTTTGTGGTGATGGTGATCGAGGTGGAGGGCTACGGGATCGCCGGCGTCTACTCACGGGCGGTTCGTCCCTCGTTGGGGAAGGTGTCGACCTAGAAACCCGAGATGCGCAGTCAGCATGTTGTTCATTTATGAGAGAAGATAAGAGAACAAGGTGGTGGATGAGATGAAGACGCACCTTTTGCGCTTGAGTGCGCTCGTTTCTGGACGGTTGTCCATCGGTCTGATAGCGACGTCGGCCATGGCACGTTTGTACAGTTTGTCAATCTGCAAGTAAACGTTTAATAGACGCGTTGAAAGTGATTAAACAGCGAAAGAGTGGCGAACGGAATCAAAGGAACATTCAGGGCATTTAGGGCAGGCCCCACATAAATTATCACACGCTTCTTGAGCGCCAAAACTGTTCGGCATGATCTGATCATCAACCAACGTGCGACTCTACCGTTCCCACAGAGGTCACAAGGCGCAGTCATGAGTGGCTATCGATACAGCATTGCAACTATTTCCAAATAAAAATACAGCAATCCTTTGTTAATCCAAGCTCAATGTTCCCCCAAACCTCCTTTTTACAACCTCATCCAGTCTTCTCTTGATGCCTGTGAACGCATCCCACCACAGCTTTCCAGCGCTCCTATGTGTGTCCGAAACCCACCTCGCCTCAATCAGATGCTTCCACCACTGCATCACCACAACCCCCTTCTCCATTCCCACATCACCCTCAAGGCACTTGACCAGAAAATCACCGATACGCTTAAGGTCCTTCTCGTGCGGGCCTGAATCTACACTTGAGACAAACCACTGCTCAATCAGTTCTCGAATAGCAGAAGTCTCGCTCATCCTGCCTAGTTCCGGATCTTGTGGGAATACCGCTTGATACACTTGTTTGGACCGGCGGGCAGGCACAGATGGGGAGCGCGATTCGCGTGCAGGTTTTGTGGACCTGGCAGCCACCACTCGAGGTGGGAGATGCAGTGTTCCCTTATGGGCTGCAAGCTGCTCGCGCTGCAGGTCCCCAGGAAGAGCCCGGAATACCTCAGGATCGATCTGGAGCTCCCGCAACTCCCCGTCTGTAATCTCAACTTGCACCACTGGCGTAGTTTCGCGCTTTTGGAAGATTGAATACTTGGGCGGTGGACGATTGCCGTTCCGCTTGGGTGCCAGTTGGCGGGTAATGTGTTTCACATCTGGTGGGCTCCGCTCGGCTTTGACTGGGGAAACGACCGACGGACCCGCCTGGGGAAGCTCCGATGGGAGTCGAGGGCGAGGACGCACGTATTCGGCTTCTACCTCTGCTCGAATGTCTGCTGGAAGAGCGTCCAGGACCGATAAATCGATCTGCGCAAATGATGGAAGCTCGAAAAGAGTGACAGGTCGAAGGACTTCCTCTTGTTCTTCAGCCTTGACTGTCATTTGTTCGTCCTCAGTGGACATGCCCGATTGTGGACCTGTTGGTATTTCATTGTCACCAGAAGCCTGACGGCTTCGCTTGGACGGACTGGCGACCTTCTGAAAGTCAAGGATACCTTGCCCAACAGGGGGTGTATTTTGCCCGAGACCCCCTTCTAGCTTTTGGATCTGAATACCAAGACCTCGCAGCTCTTTGGAATCAAAACCGAAACTTTTGAGCAGCTTCCAAGCTTCTTCTCCAATAATATCTGGGTCGTCCGTTGCTGTTCCGCCTCGAGCAGTGATCGGTGCCGACTTGCTAAACGTGTCACATATGCCATGTCCCATAAACTTGGGTGCTTCCAGGGGGGCGTCATGGTGTCGTTTCATGAGCTTGAGAGTCATGAAACGCCCCTTCATACCGACATTCTTCAGCCTACGAGAAACTTCGCGCCCAAGGTCATGCATGAAGCGTTCTGCTTGCTCTTCGGTCTCAAAACGGATTCCGTACTAGCGGAGCGGTAAGTTAACGTATGCGAAGCTTTTTGGCAACATACATTGACTTCGGCGGAAACAGACTTTCTCTGCTTGTGAGATTCGATCTGAGCATTATCGATACCTCGGGCGGCATTGAAGAGTTTCTCCCCCATCTTCGGTCCAAAAAGCTTCTGAAGCGTAGCTTTCGGTTGTTTGGCGAGCTCTCCAACCTTCTTAATTCCCAGATTACTGTCCATCCTCTCACTGATACTCCATCCAACACCGTGCAGATCCTTGATGTCCAGATCTTCCAACAAGGCGGAGACATCCTCAGGAAGGATGTGGCATGAGCCCGCCGGCTTGGCCCTTCTCGTGGCCAGTCTAGCAAGGAGTATGTTGTGGGATGCACCGATGCTGACTGATAAGATCCTGAGTTCGGATACAATGGAAGAGATGAAGACAGCTACTCACTTTCGCATCCAGTGGACTTCCGCACGTCATCACGGATTGCCTCTGCAAGTTCCTTGACGTGATTTGGGGGCCCGCCCTCTCCATCCACACAAGGAACGAATCGAGCACGAGCAACCGCATTGCTGACATCTATCAGGGCTTCGTCCACTGAGACGGCTTGTACATCGTCCGCATATGTCATGAGTATTGTGTAGAACTTCAGTGAGAATTCCTTGTATCTACAAGCGGTAAGCCTCCAGGCCACGCGGAATTGATTTCCACTCACTTTTCGAACTCGTATGGAAGGGTCTCCAGTTCAGGACACAGTTTACGTGCTTGTCCCAAACTACAGATCCGCGATGAGGTCTGGCTTATGTAACAGCACACCCTGAACGCACCTCATACCATTCCTGATGCCAAACTTGCGCGCTTCATAGCTGGCGCTGGCAACTTCACTGGTGCTAGACCCTGTCCTTCCTGTCCCCGCATCAGCGGCCTTGCCCTGGGAATGGCACACGACCACGGGTTTTCCTTTCAGGTGCGGACGGTCGATTAGACTGGCGGCGACGAAGAAAGAGTCGAAGTCACAATGCATAATCACGCGGTCTTCTGGCCGGACTCTGCCCTTGCTGTCCAGTCTTGCCTTTCCCTCAGGAAGCACATGACCCGCCATACTAACACCCTTATCTGGTCCATCTTCGTGCTCGCGACTCTGGTCGTCCTCCAGCTTTGCTTGCGCCTTCGCTACCAACTCCTTGAGCTCGGCCTTCCAAGTGCTGAGGTGATGCAGCCTTGATTGTTTATAGAAACCTTCAATGAATTCGGCACCTTTGGCGGAGGTGTGCTTGGCCGCCCAGCGAGGGTTTTGCATTAGCCGAGCAGCATTGGGATTGGACTTGAAAGAAGCGTGAGCTGGAATATGTGCCGCTGCTTCATGAGTGACTGGATCAGTTGAGCAATCCACAGTTGTTGGAGAAGTCTTCTTCTCAGGGCTCTCTGGCGTCTTTGTACCTGCAACGAAGGGGCCATCTAAGATAGATCGCTTCTGCTTTGTAGGGGTCTTTGGACCAGACATTTCGTTCATCAAGCGGACATTGGCGGAAGTAGACTGGCCAATTTCCTTCCCATCGGAAATGTTGGAAGAGCACTCAGCCGGATCCACCGCGGTACCGGATGTGGTGGCAACGTCATCCAATCCAGACAGTGATTCTCTCGCATGAGAATCCGAAATATCGGGGGGATTATTCATCAGGGTATCTGTAGCCGGTTGCTGCACCTGAGGTGTTCCAGGAGAACTTGGCTTCTGGCACCCAAGAATAGTTGTGCGTTGCGGACGGTGAGGTACTGAAGTCTGCTGTGTCGCTCTTCTTGCCTGAGTCTGAAATCCCTCAAGCAAGGTCTTCTGAGCCGTTCGCGAGCCTTGAGCCTCGTCCAATCGATCCATCTCGCTCGGGTGGAGAATGAAGTCCCGCCATGGTAGCAACAGTCCGGCCTCGACGCTCTTTGTGATCCAGTCAGGCGTAACGATTTTCATGTGCTTGAACTCGAGCACCTTTGCAGGTGTCAAATTTGATGCCACAACATGGGTTCTAACGAGAGAATTACGACCAATCTTAGGTGGCAGTGAAGGATCAAACATACACGAGGCCTTTCTTATCGAGATAGGCATGGTATGTTCCGCCGTTTTGCGTGATCATCCCGCGGAGGACCTGCACGGATGGAATAGTGAAACCATTGATCTGGGAGCGAAAAAGGTCAGACCGATTACTGCAGAAGTTGAAGTACTCGACCGACGCACATGGATGGCCAGACCCCTGAATATTTTTGGCTTGCCGGCAGACCCATTTGCCTCGTTCTGTTCCTCCATTTCGTCGTTCTGAACTTGCAATTTCGCCCTCTTCCTTCGCATGTAGTCTCCCCATCCATTGAATTTACTGGCCCCGTAGGTGTCCGAATCGAGATAGCTGCTCGGTTCCTCATCTTCAGTATTGAGATGGATGATAGATTTGAGAGATCCATATCCGCTGCGGAATAATCCCTCATCCAGCGGGCTAGGACTCCGAGCAGGAGGCGGCGACCACGAACGTTTCGTTCCTCTCGGGCCCATTTCCGCCGGGAGGGCAACGAGCTGTCCGAGATTTTCAGCTTCGACATCGGGCATAGCGACGTCGCCGGGCAGAACAGCTCTAGCAAGCGCTTCAAGAAAAGTGGGATCGTCGGGGCCGAAAAGGTCCGAGGACTGTGAGGCCGCATTGTCCATCCTCCCATCCAATTTATCAAAGAATCGGATAGTGCTTTGCGTGCATGTCGCGCAAAAGAAAAGGTGTTCAAGGCCGGAGCGACGTGAGGACGATGACTGTACGTAACTTGAAGGTGTGGTGGCGTTCAGGGACATCAACAGTCCCGCCAGCACGTCCGCAAACAACCTGGCCTCTTTCTCTGCCACCACCCGTTCCAGTACCATCGCCTGCCAACGAGGACATAGGACAAAAATAGCTGAATCTTTGGTTGGTATTCGGATCAGCGATATTTTGAGTATCGTATATGCGTGCACAGCACGCCCCAGGAATTTCGACCAAACAAGGGCTGTTGCTACATTGTCTACATTTGGCGAAAGGGCACCGGAGAACCAGCGATCCCGTTCTCGTGTCATCTGGCGATATTCTTGACGCGTTACATCTGTCTGCAGGTCTTCGAGGCGTTGCGGATGGCGTATCATCCCTTGCTTCGCACCCCTAAACGTGGGCACAGCGAAGCTGCAAACCGACTTATGTTTTTTCTCTTTACGTTCTGCTCTCATTTGGCGCACCGACCTGTCATCCGCTGCTGCGAAATAAGCATCTGAGCGGGTCTGACATGCGATGCATACATACTATATCTTCCTGATGATATCCCTCGTATTGTTCACTTAGGTTCGAATTCAGTCTCATTGGAACGCTTAATGGCCAGGTGCTTGCCTTCTTTTCTAGCCATCGGGCAACACAATGCACTGCTGCCTGGTGTCTCCCCTTCCACTGCTGATGACCGACTAGCTCATCGGGCGTTGTAACCATGCCATCACCCCATATTCTGGGTTTCCGTGGAAGGGGGGGATACTTTGTATCTCGTGCTGTTCTGCCTGACCCCATAATTTGCGGAAACGAACACAGACGATCATGCTAGCCATTGGCGACCGCATGCCGTATATAAAATCTCGTGGATCTTGTTCTATGTCGCCATGTCCTGTTCCCTATAGCATTCGTTCCTCCCGCATCCCTCCAACACTTGGATCTCCCTCGTCAACATGTCGTTATTTCTTGTCCTGGTTGCTTTCGCTCTCTCTGTCTTTTCCCTTCCCGTCCTGGATGACTCCGTTGACTCCATCACGATGCAGAAGAGATGGGAGCAAGGCATTTCCGACAATGCTATGATTATCAATTGGTGAGTTTATTTCTTGACTACATGGCCGCTGCTCAGTATCTATTCTAGGATTGGCCTTGGATTTCTGCCTGACTTCGACGTTTCCAGTGTCAGCGAGATAAACCAAGCGCTTCCACTTCCCATGGCGGTTGTAGGCGACTACATCCCCATATCCTCTGACGACACTTCCCTGGGTGGTTTCTGGTATCACTACAACGATATTGTCGGCCAAGCCGTTAAGCCAGTCTACATGGCTACCATCGAATTATCCGACGGCCTGTGGGACTTTGATTCTGACCAGGCCGATGTCATCTCGCAAGCTATGGCCGACCTCAACAACGCTGGCGTTCCGGTCTGGGTCCGATTTGCCTACGAGATGAACGGTTGTCCGGCCTGGAACGCTTGGGGATGCGATCCCAACGGATTCTTCCAGGCATGGAATATCATGGCCAATTCATTGCATTACTGGGCCCCGAATTCCAAGATGTTATGGAGCCCCAACATCGATACCGATAATAACAACTGGGGCAACTACGATCAGTATTATCCTGGTGATGATACGTGAGTCATTCATATATCCGCCTTGAATATCCTGGGGCTGATGTTAGGACATAGGGTCGATCTTGTCGGTCTATCCTTTTACTCTTTCGGCATTGATCAGCAGGAAAATACGGTTCCTAATTCTGGGTTTCTCATCCAGACGGCGGGGCCCTTCTACGACACTGTAAGATTAGTTCTGGCCAAGTTGTTGTTACTGACCCTGGATGCAGTATTCTGCAGCGAAGGGCAAGCCATTCGTGCTGAGCGAGACTTCAGCTGCCTACCATTATTATACTGGTACCCAGGTGGCTGCAGCTGGTGGCTCCAATGAACTTCAGATCAAGACAGCGTGGATGAACGAGGTCCTTGGCTGGAATACTCATTACAACGTGCGTTCCTAGCCGTAGCAGCTCCCGATATCACGCTAACTTTCCTCAGTTCCCGAATATGGTCGCGGCTGTGTGGTTCAACTACCAGAAGAACGAACGTGACCAGACGATCGATTACCGCGCGATTCTGGGCAACCCTTCGGTCCAGTCTATGGTCTACGCCTTGAAGAACTGGTGATGGGCCGAGCTCTGTTTTTTTTTCTGGGTCTTTGGGTTTCAATGGGTATTGTTGTATTTCTATCCCCCGCTTGATGCGGTGCACCTCTCTGTTGTAAGCAAGAATGTCCTAGTGGAATGAATGTCATTTAGTAGAGTGTACGCTGGAATTGCCCACCCCGCTGATCGTGTACAACAGAAGTGTCATTCATTTGCTCAAGAAGCAACGCTCAGGGTGAATCGATCATGGAATGATATCCGCTGAAAATCCCTTGCAATCAGTATTAACCCTGAATGCGACTATAATGAACCCAGATTTTTCGCTTTATTCTATTCCAAGGGTTGCAAACGGCTTCTTTCACTTGCGGAACGAAGAGTTTTAACACTTTTTTTTTTGTCTTCTTGCTTTCCGCTGCCATTGATCCCGCGGTGAGGTCAGTAGTACTTTATCCAGACGACCCGCATCTGTCTTCTCTCAGTTACCTACCACCGCCTGGCCGACCATTCATCCGTCTTCAACGGACTTTGTCATTCGGCACAACACTTGACGACTATTCTTGCTACTAATTTAGGATTCACTTTCTTTCTCTTCTCAACCACCACCTCTTGGGGGACAAGTTAGTGAGGACGCGACGACACCGAAAGGAGGGACAGCATGATACCATCACGACGTTCTCCACGCGCTGGTCGCCTACTAGCTGTCCTCCCTATGCTCGCCAGCGTACATGCAACCCCAACACCAGTACACGTTCCCCGTGGCGGTGGCCAAAACCCAGTAACAGACGATCCCGCAACCGTATGCACGCATATCCGTTCCTAACACCGTACCGGACCTCATCTTTGTAGATACCCACAACACCCCCAAACTCAAACTACCATAACGGCGTACCAACCGTCGCAGGCTCCGAGGGCGGTATGTCCCCTTCTTCTCTCTTCTCTACCCTATCTGACATATTCCAGGCTTCATCGGCCTCATAGTCGGTCTGGGGATCCTCGTCATCCTCACCTGCCTCGGGATCTGGTGGTTCCTCCGTCGGCGTCGGCGTCAACGCGAAAAACGTCGTTCAGACGCGCCTCGTCCCTCCTCCGGCCTCGGGGCGGCGTACGATGCTCACACGTCTTTCCCAAAACCAGGGGAAAGCGGGTTGTTTGGGCAAAAAGCGGCAAAGCGCGGGTGGATCCAGACTGGCGAAGGGTCGAAGGGGTACGACGACGGGATCGAGCTTGAGGGAGGGAGGAAGGGGCAAGGACCGTACCTTGCTTCGGACTCGGCGGGCGCGTTTAGCAGCGCTAGCACGATAAGGCTCGCCCCGCCCGAAGGGTGGAAAGAGGGGTTCTCGGCGAGTAGGGAAGAACTCGTCAGTCCCGTCGGGCAGCCGAGTCCGGTCGTGGGGGAGGTGAAGGGAGAGTATGAGATGGTAGAGAATGCGGGGAAGGAGGGAGAGGAGAAGAGGAAGAGCGATGTAAGTGGCAAGTTCGCAGGAGGGACGAGGTTCCGCGAGAGCTTGTGAGTTGTGGACATGAGCGTTGTGAAAGGATGTACACTACCTCTGTTTTTCTCAGCTTGTTCTCGTCTCAACCGTAACACCGGACGTTGTCTCCAACGTTTATTCGTCACGTACACATGCCCTAACGTCGACTAGCCGTGTATATATAGTCCGTCTATCTAGCTACATGATGCCTGGCTTGTGCAAGGGAGTGCTGCGCCCTCAGTGCATGGCGAAGGGTATGCTACATTAGGGGTACAATACTGAAGGTATGACCTATGTACATCGTGTGGTCCATCAGGAGCAAATAAACCAAGTCCTTCAGTCCTCAGTCTGCTTAGACCAGAGATTAATGGAACGGGGAGGGGAGGAACGTCCCTGCCGCTGACTGTTGCTGCGCGTCATCCTCTTTGAAAGCGACGATACCGATGATGATCGCAGCCGCAAAGAAGAGGAAAGCGATGAGCAGCCAGAAGAAGCCCCACACTAGTGCGTCCATTAGCGACGAGTGCGAGCACAGGAGGGGAGGGAGGGGGGCGTACCTTGGGAAGGACAGCAGCCACAGACGTGCGCGAACTGCGACGCGTCCGAGGTGTTCACCTTTCGTGCGATAGTATCGTCTATCACGTCCCATAGAACGTACTGCGGTCGTCAGCGGGCGATACCAAACGGCGAGACGGAGGGAATCACCATACAGCTCATCACGCCGATAAAGAGGACAAAGAACCTCAGCGCAACGCTGTTGTGCACGAGCCAGAAGAGGACTATCAGCCCGCTCATGCCGATGATAAGGATCCAGCTCAGCCAGTTCCTCCTCGCCCACCAGAGCGTGAAGAGGAAGAACACAGCCAGGACAAGACAGGCGATCTTGCTAGCGACAATGTCGAACCCGCAGGCGATGAGGCATCCACCGATGAAGGATGAACCTAGGTACCCGGCGGGGAGGGTGATCCACGACACCCCCCCGGACATTTGGGTCGCCCCGCCTTCGTCTGGGTCGAGCTCTATCGAGTGGATCTTGGCGCAGGTGAGAAGGCCGGCGATCGCGTGTGACATCTCGTGGAAGCCGACTGTGAGCAGCCTGGAAGACAATTATTCGCCATTTTAGAAGCGTAGAGGGAGAGCGCACTTGAATGGGTACAACAGCCAGCTCAGGATGGGGATGTGCCTGTTTCTGCATCAGTAGTGGCTCAGTTGGTTAACAAAGCACGCACCATAGTATCGCGATTACGACGACGTACACGCTCGCGACTACGAGTGTAACCACCTGGGTATGGTTAGGCGTGAGCAGTTGCTGGGTTTGCGTGGGCTGGGGCTGCGCATTCTGTCGCGCAAGGAGGGAGAAGCTCAAGTCAACAGAGGACGATTCGTACGGTAGTGCAGGCATCGTTCGTCGTCAAATTCGAGGAAAACGACAGTCCAGCTGCGCAGTTATAGATAATAAGCAGACAGGGCGTTATAAGAGAAGGAAAGAGGGAAAAGAGTGTAATGAGCAATGAGCGCTGTGCTGATTATCACCAGTGCCAAGGGTATCAAGGAGAGCGCAGTACTGTGGCAATGTTCACCGGGAATACACATGCCAAGCTCCTTTTGTATCTTCTTTGTCACTTCAATAACGTTTTACGCCAATATAAGGGAACTAAGAACTTGTAGCACAGGATGGGAATAGATGGTCGATTGTACTCTGGATATTATATTTCCTGCTCACAAGTGGGTCCCAACCTCGATGGGAAACGTCCCCTGTCCCCAGGACAGAGAATTCTTGGCAGCCAAGCATTCCATCCTACATTTCTCCTCCCAAGACATCATGTTCCGGAACTTCCGAACTTCGGAATCCATTGGTAGAAAGTAGCGTGTCGGATCTACCCCAAACCCAAGTCCCATACACGCACTTTACCCCCTCACAAGCCTCACGCGATCCACGGCCAAAATACCAGACACCTCAGCGGGGGATCAACGGCACACAAATACATGACGGTTAGTTTACACGCGCTACTGATACAAATTAATTCGTCATCTCCGAACTTGCCTAACCAACATCTACACGCTTCCCTGCCTTCCTCTCATAGTCGGATGGTCCGTGGATCAACGGCTGTGCTTGATGCGTGCGTCCACGCTTCGATGCGCGACTCACTGCCATCTGTTCCAACCAAATAGCTCTGTGTCGACGTCACCTCGCGTTCTTGCCTTTCCCGAGCTTTCAACATCTCTGACCATCTCGCTTCATCCGCATCCGACATGACCCCTTCAGGAGAGAACGCCCAAGAGATATGCTCGAAGTCTTTTGCTGGGACAATCATTGGGAGAGCGCGTCTCGCCGCATTTCGTTCACACCTATTCCACGTCTTGCGCAGGGTCGCAATGTGTGACGCATAGGACTCGCGAGGTTTGGCGGAGGGAGGGCCAGGCGTAGGCTTAGAATGATCTCTCCGGGCTCGTTTGCGGGGAGGGCCAGAATCGTCCTCCGAATGGGGATGGGGATCACCATCTTGGGATTGGCCAGAATCGTTCGGATGGTCGGGGTTGTCAGGATTGTCGGGATCCTCGGAATCATCGTTTTCAGCTGAGGTTGACAGGGAGGGTGCGTTGTCTACATCGACATCGGTTCTCCAGCAAAGGTTGGCTGGCAACGTCCCGAGCTGCTCCAGGATCAGTTTCAGCTCCTCCTGGTGAGTCTCCGGCTGCCGGCAAACAGAACGGATGAAACATAAGCATTGAATGAGATGTTCAGCGTTGTCCCGGGCCCAGCTTGCAACCTTATAGAGTCCGATAACCTGGTTTCAAGTGTCAGTACATAACATCGCCATACAAATACTCAGGCAGAAAACATTGCATACATCATTGTCCTCGATTGTTGAGGCTATCACATAGATATAATCGATATCAACCGCTAGCCCGTATTGAACTCTTCGCGGCAATCTCAGAGCGGCCCGCTGTCGTTGAGTTGTTATCAGATCGTACACGATCTTTGCCGTCAGCCCTTGCCCCGCGTTGTGTTCAACCGGCAATAGGATGATACTGAATACAGTTCCAGGATGTTCCTGCCAACGGAAATGGTCGTGCATTCTGGCAGGGATTGAAAGCTGCTTGAGGTTAAACCTGTGTTGCCACTTGGGACCTGGTATGAGAATGACGGGACTATCCAGTTCATTGGTGTTCGTCGGGCGAGGAAAGGTGGGGTCCGGTGGATCAAACGCTCTAGACATTCTCAATTTCTGCTCCATACTGTAGACATCAGTTTGGGAGGGGGGACAAAAGAATGTATTTATTTGCTTACTAAAGATGGGTGCCATACGCAAAGTCATTTCCACCAGCACCACTCTCATAGCGGCACCCTAATGATATTAGTGCATCCACTGGCGCTCGAACCATCTTCCCGGTCACTGCAGAGTCGAGTGCGTTCAGCTCCTTCAGCTCTTAGGTTTTATCATAAATCCACGATAGAGCATCTGGGTCGGTTGGGAGAATGGTCGTATTTGATGAGGATGGTGGGAGCCACAAATGTTCTGGGAGGGAAGACACAGCATGGGCGAAGCTGTTACTCTCGTGATGAGCCTCTGCCCACTATGCATGAGGATCAACGTATAGACACACAGCACAGAGCAGGAGCTAACAGTTTTGAGCGTATGAGGGAGGAATGATCCAGATTCCTCTCTACATAGAGAGTTGAAATGCGAACGAACGGATTCTGGTATTATGTCCCAGTCGATGAGTGGGCTCCTGTCGTGTACATACGACGCTCGGACCGAGCGCAGACACGCGTTGAAGGCGCTCGTTCCTACAAGGAGGGCAAACTTTCACGGTGCCTGCAGTGATGGTTCAGCAGAATGCTTGCGCCTAACGCTGATATTCAACATCCATGTCTGTTTAAATTGGTGACATTGGACTAACCGGGGCATGATAGATCATGATAGGAAGAGGTCAAGGGATAATTAATTCTACGGAAGCAACATGGGACCCCTAAGTCCCGAAATGGAAATGGAACTAAATATAGCCTCACGATCAACGGCCAAAATATTTGATCTCTAAATACCTCAGTGGGGGGTAGACGACACCCGAAAAGACGGCGGCTAGCTCAAACCCCAAGTCACCGCCAAACGGGCCGATATGCGCTGCGATCGGGCCGACGTACCACGTTTCTGCCATGCCTACCACTGCACCTGCCACACCGCAACAACCTGCGAATATCCCTGCCAGGCCTACGGGCAGCCGCGAGGGGCTGTCATACGCTGTCAAGTCGTACCCTCCCAAAAGTCCATCTTTGCGGCGAAAGATGAAGTGCTCTTCGGCGACGATGACGATGAAGAACGCTGTCCAGTAGCCCAGGACGGCAAGGAAGTTGGAGAGGATAGACGAGAAGTGCTCTCGCCCCGCTACGCCCGCTACGGTGTATATGACGAAGACTACGACTGTCCAGAATGCGCGGGGGATGCGCTGGAACGGCGGGCACAGGGCTTGGATAGACAGCGCAGCGGAGTAGGTGTTGGGGATGTTGTTCGCTATGACGGAGAAGGCGAGGAGGACGAGGAGGAATTTCCCGAACCCGCCCCAGGGCGCGAGCGTCTGCGCGATCAGACCCCCCGCGTCGCCCGTCTCGTACGCGCTTGTATAGGCGTCCAGGGTGATCGTCATCAGTGCCGCGCCGAGTGTCTCGACGAAGATGAGCTGCTTGGAGTGAGCGTGTTGTGCGAAGTTGGACGTGCCGTGCTTACGGGGATCATGAGCCCTATGAAAGTGAGCCAAAAAACGCGGTAAGAAGGCGTGTTGGCCGGAAGACGGCAGTTGAAGTCTGCTGCTACGGGCGCCCAACCACTCGCGGAGGAGAAGATGATCGCCCCGAAGCTGAGGACGTCGCCTGCCAAGTCTACACCGCGATCTTCCAACGGCACTTGGGCGGCAGCGTCGTACCCCGCCTTGCCACCCAAGCCGTACATCATACAGAATATGAGAAGCAGGAGGATCCATGCGTACCGCTCGTAGTAGTGCAGTGCGTCGTACCCGATGAAACAGATGATGAGCGTGACGACGGCGACGATGATTACGCCGACGACGAGCGGCAGCTTTTCGGAGATGTTGTACAGCGTCTGCCCGCCGAGGATGACGGCTATAACGGAGAACCTGTACATGTACATGTGTTTGATCAGCCTAGGCTCGCTCAACTCAAAAAAGGGCGCACCCGAGCTGGGTAAGGATATTGAAGATACTGAAGATGCTCCCCCCGACATAGCCCACACTGTACCGAGTGATCACCATCGTCCTGAGCCCTGTCTTGGGGCCGAGGGTGGCGATAAACGCGACTGTCGCACTGCCAATCGCGGAGAAGACGATGATGACTGCGATCGCGTGTGGGAGAGTGAGGGTAAAGAACGCCTGGGCGAGCATGCCGATCGGGACTGTGGTGAGTACCTTCCCGCAGGTGAGCAGGAGTCAAGTGCGGAGCGGGGAGTGAGAGGGAAAGACGCACAGCGTTAATGCTTATCCACATAAGCAGGTTATTCCACGCATGCCTAGGTTCCCTCTCCTCCTCCGGGACGCGCTCGATCCCCCTCACCTCTACCCCTCCGCGGATAAACAGCGTACGGAGGAGAGGCACCCGTTCGACCCATGCGAACTTGTCGACTATCTGGGCTTCTTGGGGCGCTTTCTCGCTCGAGGAGGAGGATGAGAAGGCCCGCGTTGGAGGTTTTTCTAGGGGGTGGGTACCAGGGGGAGGGAGGGGAATACCCAGCTCGCTGTCGTCTTTCGCCATATGGGACTCTCTTGTTGAGAAGAGGCGTCGGGATGCGCTCGCTCAGAGTAAACAAAGCAAAGAGCAGAAGAGCAGAAGAAGGGACGCGGGTATCCCCCTTAGAGTCCCAGTTTTATCCACCTTCCCCGGGTGATGACGAAACTGTATATTGGTTGAGAAGATCTTCCCCAGTGTCCCCGGAAGTTTACGCATTAACCGTTATCATTTCTGTGTCGTCCGACTCCCACAGTAGATAGTCAGCTGAATAACGACCATGTGGGAGATAAATTGTTCAAAGCTCAAGACGGCGCGTGAACAAGCGTGAGCGTCGGAGCGAGGCGCGTGCGAAGGAACGACGTGATTGGTGGACGTGAATTGATCGTGTGCTCATCTTGTTGAGAATCGGTCTAGTCCATGTGCTATTCTCGGCGACCGAATGGGGAATAGGCGAATTAGGTCATCAAATAGGCGCTCAAATAAATTCGCGTTTCAGCTATCCAAAATACAGCTGATAAGGAAAGATAATCATTATCATTATCGTAACAGCGAATTCGAACAGAACATCCTTAGCATGCATCTCACACGTCTATACCACCTCCCACCTCTCTCCGACCCTACGCACCCTTCCCTCCCCCTCCAACTTGAGCAAATGCAGCCTCACGCCCCTCTCCGCTGCTCCCCACAAACTCTCCTCATACCGAGCATACACGACTCTCACGATCTCCCTCACTGTCCCCCCTCTCTGTCTTAGGACAGCAAGTATCTCCTCTTCCCTCTCTTCTCGATGGGCGATATACTGCCCTATATGCCCTCTTCCCCTTTCGACGACCGGCCCATGTCCAGGGTACACGTGTTCCGCGCGCGGAAACCGTTCTAGCAGCAAGCGCAAGCTCGACATATACGCCCCCAGGTCCTCGAACACCGTCGTCCCCTGCCCCAGCACCGCATCAGCCGTGAAGAGCGCCTCCTCTTCCTCCAAATACAGGCAGATCGAGTCCTCCGTATGACCCGGCGTGTACAGGATACGCAGGGTCACTCCCTCTCCCCTGAGTACCTGACCGTCGGAGAGGTCAGCCCACGTTCTCTCTTGAGCTGGGAGCTGCAGCCGGGTGGATTCTACGACCGGGTCCGGGGAGGAGAGTGGGAATTTGTGGATCACCGGAGCAGGGGAGTGATGCTCAGCGAGCAGGGAAAGCACCGACGGGAGACCGGCATGATGGTCCGCATGCTTATGAGAAAGGACGACATCGCTCACCAGCTGCGCACCCGAGTTCGAGGAGCTCATGAGTACCTCCTCCAATAGAGAGATGTAGGCGTCTTTCCCCTCCCCCGTGTCGAGCAGGATGTAGGGAGGACGCGTGCCGAGCAGGTAAGTGTTCGTTCCTTGTAGCGTGAACTTTCCGGGGTTTTGACCGAGGATACGGGTTGTGAGCGGGGAGAGCTAGGAGTGGTTAGTGGTTAGTGGGAGATGATGCCTGGGTGGGGAGGGATGGACGTACTTTAGTTATTGGGGGAAGGGGGACGAGCTGCTCCATCCCTTTTGGCGAATGGAAAGTGTCCAGCACTGAGCAGTGATTGGTTATGTACCCAAGATTTATTAATAGGATTATGACTTGTCTAGCATAGGGGTAACCGGTAAGAGATCAGAGACGCCCAGAATGCGGCTACTCACGTGTGTGCTTACGTACGCAACCAGGAAGGTCCCCCTCCGACAATGGATGTTGTCATCGGCGCCCTCTTTTCTAACGGTACGGTATATATACCCCACACCGACCAACCTCCCGCAGAACCCCACACACTGCGCAAGAGTAGGCAAAGATGGCGCAAGCGTATCATGGTCGGTCGGCACATGCGGGCATTTCACCTAGCACGCACGTTATCCCCGCCGCCACAAGCGAACAGCAGCATCATGAGCACCAACATGAGCAGGAGCACGAGCACGAGCCCGAGCACCCGAGCACCCACCCATTCCACAACCCCTCAGAAATCCTCGTCCCCGCCGTACTCGCCTCCCACTCCCATGCCGAAGCCAACCGCGCGCACTACGATGCCAACGCGGCGAACTACGACAAGATGGAGATGGCGAACGAGGTTGCGACTCAGGCTGCGAGGGGGATACTGGGTGCTTGGGATTGGACGGACGAGGGGACGGTGTGTATGGATTATGCTTGTGGGACTGGTGAGTTGCTTGCTGTTGCGCTTGTGTGGGAGGCTGATGCGCTCTGGAAAGGACTGGTCTCCCGCCAGCTGGCAGCGCACTGTAAGGGCATTATAGGGGTCGATATCTCCCAAGGCATGGTAGACTACTACAACACACGCGTGTCAAACCAAGGGATCCCCAGCTCAGAGATGCGCGCTATCCGCGCAACCCTGCCCGACGACCCCGGCGAGCTCCAGGGCATGCAATCGTCGTTCGATGTCGTCGTGTGCGCCCAGGCGTATCATCATATTACCGATATCGGACTTGTTACCCAGTCTCTCGCTACTTTCCTCAGGCCTGGGGGAGCGCTGCTGGTTGTGGATTTGGTGAAGAGCGAACATGGGATGTTCATGCATTCCCGCGGGGACGCGCCTGAGCATGTCAAGTATACTGTGGCGCACAAAGGAGGGCTGGAGGAGGGAGAGGTGAGGCGGTGTTTTGTGGATGCGGGGCTGGAGGAGGTGAGCTTTGAGGTGGTGTACGAGAAGGAAGTGGAGGGGAGGAAGTTGCAGATGTTTTTGTGTAAGGGTGTCAAGCCCCGTAAGGAGGCGTGATGGAGACGAGCAAGCGGGGATGGAAGTGTAACTTACTTAGCATAACTCAAGGCATCAGTGTTATCCGGGTATAGCATACATGGGTATCCTACAGCATACTCATAGCGCGTCAAAGTTGATATGATGCAGTCCTCTCCTCCGTTCCCTCTCGTCCTCGCGCTAACCGATGTCAGCCTAGCTCCTCCCAGGCAGAAGCCAAAGAAAGACGCACCTTCTCGTTCAAATGCAAGACAAACACGATAATCGCCAGCAACCCACAGCTCGCGAGCGCCACAACCGTCACCCAGGGAATCCAATCCCCCGGCCTTAGGTAGAGCTCGTATTCCCAATTCGATTTCCACACGGTAGGGTTGACCACCAGCCTGGAATTGGGGATCACGCCCTCGAGGTTGATGTAGTGCGCTTCGGCGTGCGACGTGGACCCGACGAAGAGGTTCTCGATGTAGTTGTTTGTCCGCCCGAGGCCGAGGTAGGCGTATGGCGTGTGGAGGGCGTGATACCCTGTCTGCGGTTGTTGCCCGACTGGGAAACGGGTTAGAGCAAGGCAAGGCAAGACGATGTTGGGTGGGGAACATGCCTTGCGCAGCAGACCGTTTCCCGGTCGTGTCGAGGATCGTGTACTTATACGACGCACCCGGGAACCCAGTACCGAAAGGCTTGTAGTTCTCCCCGTCCCTCTGGCAGAACCCGGAACAGGCGCCGTTCAGCGCTGTTCTCGTGAGCTCAGCTCGCAACCAGGATAGGAGGAAAGCACGCACTGATGGCTTTGAGGAAGAAGGCGTCGTGGAAGAAGTTGTTTTGGACAAAGGTGAGCTTGGTGGTACTTTGCGTACCGGTGCGTTGGATGAGCAGATCGAGCGTTCCCTATTACCAGGTTAGGTTGAGCGGAGGTCTGCGCGATAAGCTCACATCTTCGTCCAAGTCGATCACGGTGACTCCTCTCACGTCATGAATCGCCTTCAGCACTTGTGTCCCATCTGTTGCGACAGCGAACGCTCTTCTCCCCTTGGCGATTCTCTCCCCCTCGCAGCCAGGGATGCCCTCACGGCAAGGCACATTATTCAGCAACTGGACGGACGTTTCTAGACTGCTCCCAATTCCTAGCACCCCACCAGGGGTCTGGGTGGCGATTATCGGGAGGAGGGAGGGGTAGCCGGAGAGGGAGGTGTCGGCGATCCGGATTGGAAGGGGGAGTGGGGGATGGAACGTCGGGTCGAACATCAGGAGGTTGGCTGAGTGGGAAGCGCCTAGAGAGGTCAGGGGGATGCTCTGGAATGCCTGTATGCGGGTCAGACGGACCTTCACGTATGGAAAGAAGATACACACGTCGTTGTCAGGGGAGTTGGTGAAGTCGAAGGAGAAGTTTGAATCCGCAGCGCAGAGCTGGGTTGGCAGTCTGCAGGAGCCGACGGCATGTGGGTAGATCACTCCTGTAGATCCTGCACAGGTCGGTATCTGCTTGTTGTATGCGATGTTGATCGCGCAGTTCGTCCCCACCCCTGTGTCGGTATTGACTGACTGGCAAGTGGGGAATACGAGATCGATCGTCCCATCCCTGTCCATGTCCGCAAAGGTTATCGGCCCAACTCCAGGGGGTAGGTCGCCTTCGCGCGAAAGGGTGAATCCGCCTTCCTTATTGTTGATCCAGATCTGGTAGGTCTTTCGGTTTGCAGACGTTGGGGAATCGCACACGAGGAAGAGGTCGGCCAGGCAGTCGCCGTCCAGGTCTATGACAGCGCTGCTGTGCGGATTGGAGAGCTTACAGACTTTCGAGGTGTTTAGAGGGGGACTTGTTCTAGTGACCTAGTTAGCGAAATAGCTGTAGTAGGTACTGAGACGTACAGCTCAAACATGTCACCAGCGTTTGCTGTCGTGTTCCATATGTTTTGCCATAGACGCCAAGTGGGAGGTCCAGGTGCAGAGGACGTTGGGAACATACCGAGGAGATCCACCTTGATATCTCCGGTTGCATCGAGTACTATTGGTTCTTCGGCCGCAGAGCCGGGAACAGCTACCGGAGATCCCGCTTTCCAAGTCTCAGTAATCCTGCTATGCACAAAATGGATACATGACGTACAGAACATCCCGTTTCCCTGTCCGAGATAAACCGCCATCCCCACCTGGATAGCCTGGTTCCCCCAACTTCCAGTGTTCTGACTCATCATAACCAGTATGTCCAACCGACCATCAAAGCTGAAGTCTCCGGCAACGACGTTAACAACGTTCTGTGAGAAAGGTATAGATTGAGTCTTCGTGAAGAGGTATCTGCCTGGTGCATACTTCAGGCCAATGAAGAATGTCAAAGAACTAAACGCACTGTGGTCCCATATGTAGACCGTTAAGGTCCTCTGATCGGTGCTTAGAGTGACTATATCTGTACTAGAATAGCGCATTCCGTCAACGTTGAGAAGAAATATCTATTAACAAGGACGGACTATTGGTCTCCATTAAAATCTCCAAATGCGACTACGCGTCCATCAAGTTCGGCCAGTCCCAAGCTCCCAGCATCAATGAGCATATCACCAGAGAATCGTTTCGCGGGGAAAGGCCACACTGCTGCAGCTTCATCTAGAATCCCAAGCCACAGTGAACATAAAAGTAATAAACATGTCGGTCTCCGTCCTCTTCGTTGCCAGGACTGCATATTGCGAGTAAATCAAGAGTGCTTTAGGGGACCGTTCATCTTCAGCTGTTACGCTACGTAGAGGTGGCGCAGCAGAAGCGGAGACTGATCTGACGTCTCTCTCCTCAGCACTGTTCACATTCAATTGCGTCTAACTTCTACATTCAACGCATTCTCTTACCCTCGTCTTTCCTTTCCTGTTACGCTGATTGAGCCAACATGCCAGGTTATCCTAGCTTGTTCCGTGAGTTTGACTGAAGTTCGGGATTGTCCTCGCCGTCTGACCTGAGATACACAGGCTCGGCGGCAATGAGCTACGTTCAGCTCTACATCCCGACAGAAGTGGCCCATGACACGATTGCTGAGCTGGGAGAGCTTGGGATGGTCGAGTTTAAGGACGTGAGAGATATTGACTGCCATGATATTCCGCAAAATGATTAATTCGATCTTTGTGTAGTTGAACCCCGGTGTCAACGCTTTCCAAAGGGCATTCGTCACCGAGATCAGGCGATTCGACGAGATGGCCCGTCGCGTACGATTCTTTGAATCTCAGCTCGATACCGCCAGCATCTCCACTCGCCCGCTGGAGGACAGTGCACCGATCATCAGTGTTGGACCTCGTGCAGCACAGACGTTTGACGAACTGGAGGTCACACTGAAGGAGCATGAGGATCGCTTGGTGCAGATGAATGAGAGCTATGCTATGCTGAACACACGGTCGCGCGAGCTGCATGAGGCGAGACATGTCCTGCGTGAAACTGCGGTCTTCTTCGAAAAGGTAAGAGCTGTCATACCTCTTGTGAAGGAGTACGAACTGAATGCACATCCCAGGCGGAGTCGCAGGAACACGACAGACGTCATTCGCTCGATGAACCGACCCAACCACTACTAGCCAGCGAAGAGGCAGAAGCAGGACACTATCACCATCCTGACGCTGCCACCAGTAGTGTTGGATTGACGATCGACCTCGAGTTCGTGGCGGGCACGATCGATCGCCAACGACTCCCCACATTTGAGCGTGTGCTGTGGCGCGTTCTGAGAGGAAACCTGTACATGAACTATACCGACATCGAAGAGGTATTCGTCGACCCCCAGACGGGTGAAGAGACACGCAAGAACGTGTTTATCATCTTTGCACATGGCGCCGCGTTACTTGCCAAGATCCGCAGAGTGGCAGAAAGCATGGGCGCAACGCTCTATCCTATTGACGCCAATTCTGATAAGCGGCGCGAGGCTCTGATTGAAGTGACAAGCCGGCTCGAGGACCTGAACACGGTCTTGTACAACACTGGTGCGACAAGGAGAGCGGAGCTGACGAAGGTTGCTGAGAGCTTGGCTGTGTGGAGGGACGTAGTAAGGAAGGAGAAGATGATCTATGAGACGCTTAATCTGTTCAGCTATGAGGCCAGGCGGAGAGGCTTCGTTGCTGAGGGTTGGGTGCCTACCAGGGACATCACTCCTGTTCAACTTGCTCTCAGGCAAGCTATGGTCCGTATCTCCCGTTTGCCCTTTGAAATATGCGATAACCACAGGAACAGGAAGTATCAGGCACCAGCGCGCCTGCCATCCTCCAAGAAATGCGCACACACAAAACCCCGCCCACTTATCACCGCACAAACAAATTCACTGAAGGATTCCAAACAATCATCGACTCCTACGGTATTGCCACCTACCAGGAAGTAAACCCAGGTTTGTATGCTGTTGTTACTTTCCCCTTCCTTTTCGCCGTCATGTTCGGTGATCTTGGTCATGGGTTCATTATTTTCATGGCTGCGCTTATGATGGTGATCTTCGAGCGGTCAATGGCGAAAGCTCCGCTGGATGAGATCGTGGCAACGTTCTTCTTGTAAGCAATTAGCTGCAGCGCCGGGCTTGATCTGACACATCGCAGCGGCCGTTATATCATCCTTCTCATGGGGGCATTCGCGATGTACACTGGCCTGATGTACAACGACATCTTCTCATTCTCGATGCATCTCTGGAGACCTGGTTGGTACTGGCCACCGACGAATGGGACGGCGCAGGCTGTTCGGCTCGATCGTACATATCCCTTCGGTGTTGACCCAACGTGGCATGGCACTGACAATGGTCTTGTCTTCACCAACTCGTACAAGATGAAGCTATCAATCATTCTTGGTGTTATCCACGTATGTTGCCTATACTTCTCTCCACTCGCCCAGTTCTCATTGCCGTTCAGATGACATTTGCTATTTGTCTCCAACTTCCCAATCACCTTCATTTCAAGAAGCCACTGAACATTATCGCCGAGTTTATCCCACAAATCCTTTTCCTACAGTCAATATTCGGTTATCTCGTTATCTGTATCATCTTCAAGTGGTCCGTCGACTGGACCAAATCGCCCACATCCCCTCCGGGTCTGCTGAACATGCTTATTTATATGTTCCTCTCCCCTGGCAAGATCAACCCGAACGAGCAGCTCTTCCCTGGTCAAGGGCCCTTGCAAGTGTTTCTCCTGTTCCTTGCGCTGATATGTGTACCCTGGATGCTCTGCCTGAAACCATACATGCTCTGGAGGGAGCAGAGGAAGATAAAGGGACAGGGCTACCAAGGAGTGCAGATGGGCGATGGTGTCTCCGATGTCCGTCAGATGCATGACGACGACGATGAGGAGGAAGGCGCTGGTGTCCCTGTCGCTGAAGACGAGGAGGGCGAGCATGTACGTACCCGATCTTCGTCCCTAGCTATCAAAGCTAACGCTCAATCAGGAGGAGGGCATGAGTGACATCATCATTCATCAAGTCATTCATACCATCGAGTTCTGTCTCGGCTGCATCTCCAACACGGCATCCTACCTGCGTCTTTGGGCGCTCTCGCTAGCACACGCGCAGCTTAGTGAGGTACTGTTCAACATGACCCTGCGTCTTTCTTTTGGACGGCCCGGGATCATGGGTGTCGTCTTCGTCGTAATCATGTTCTCCGTATGGTTCTTTGGAACCGTTGGCATTCTCTGTGTAATGGAGGGTCTATCTGCATTCCTGCACGCTCTGCGTCTACACTGGTATGTTTCGTGTCCCTTCTCTCCCGTCTGATCCTTCTCACTTCGTGCGCGTTTAGGGTGGAAGCAAACGGAAAGCATTATATGGCTGGCGGCTACGTAAGTCTCGTTTCATTCCCTTGTGGAGTGGGGTATCAGCCAAGTGTCAGACGCCCCTGGCTTGTACCCCTGTCCCATAGTGATCTGTCACTAACATATTCTTTTGTAGCCCTTCCAACCACTATCATTCGCTCGGGTCGAAGCTGCTGATTAGATTCACTAGTGGCACTGGAATGCGGGTCAATCGGGGACTGCTCGCATTCTGGCAAAGGGACCAACAGAGTATGACACGATACCCGAGTTTCCTACACTACAATAAATTGCTATACCCTGGCCTTCTGGCGGGCATTGTGAATAAACTGCGATAATGCGAAAAAGGCATCCCCGAGGCCAGACCCAGGTAACGAGGAAGCTCTCAGGCCAGACCTGCTGTCAAAACAAAGGCGGGGACTGAATTGACCCCGGAACGGCGTTTTCCCACCTGTATCATCGCACGGCATCGCCCCAGTGATGGGTAACGCTGTGGAACAAAGCGCTGCAGAAACGCGGGGAAAATACGGTCGTGCGAGTAATACTTGCCTAACGTCCAGTGCAGCAGATAAGATAGGTCAGAAACAGTTATCATCGGTGTCATTGTTATCATTCCCGGGCGGTGTACACATCACATGCGGCGATCGCTGTCAGCTGTTCACCGCCTGGGGAACGTGCGCCCAGCACGCCCCCACGAGCGGACAACGCAAGTGGTGGACTGTAGAATTAATGCCCGGAACTTCCGGACCCCCGCAGACCGACGACATCCGGGCACATGCAGATCTAAATGCGAGTCACAAGAGTAGTTGCCTCATGGGTTCCGCAATGGCCCGCCGGGGCGCCGGGTGGTTATAAATACCGGAAGTGGGTTGTTCGTGCCTCCGCCGTGCATGGAATTGTGATTGGCCTTAGTGTGTGGATGGAGGAGGTATGGAGGTTGGTGGATGTATGGTTGGTGCTTACCCATTAACGAGTTTCCCCGTTGTTGGTGGGGCAGAACCTGAACCTGAGACCCCGGGGGTCGGCGTTGGGTCTCACCAACCAAAGGTCGACGCTTGGATGATGAACGCGGGACTAAGCGGTGTGATTTCCAAATAGGGTAAATTACGGGATCAGAAATGAAATGCACATTTTTTACACCGCCCAAAGAAGTGTGAATTTGAGTCCGTTACATGAGTCTCTCATAAAGGGGTTGTCGCGCCTGACAAGGATCAGCCCCACAGATCTCTTTTCTCTCTCTCTCTCTCTCCACTCTGCAATAGAGCCTATAGATTCGGGCACATTAATCCGTCCCCTTCTCTTAACCCTCTACCGCAACCATCAACTGCGGTTTAGACTTCTCGAAGTAACAGTCCTATTCGAATCAATCCTGCACTTTGTGCTAGTAATCGCTTTCGAGCAAACCTAGAAAATCTTCCTTACGGTTGAAACTATCTGCATTACCCCTTAGGTGAGACATGTGACCTCGATCACTATATGCGCATACACTGACTATATGAGCTCAACAGATTTTAGCTATGTCTCCTGCTGTCGCTGCTGCTACTCAACCTACGACCGCCTCTATTGCTCAACTCAAGCAAGCTAACGCCGCCAACGCCGAGGCCGTCACATCCCAGATGGAGAAGCTCAGCATTTCTTTCGACACATCCCGCCTCTTCGGAGCGGACAAGGCAGAGCGCATTGCCGCCGCCAAGGAGCTCGCAGAGCTCGTCAAAACGCAAGGACCGTCGGTCTTCGAGTCCATCAAGATCACCGACGCTCTTGTCGCTGCCTTTGCAGACAAGAAGTCCACCGCTGCACGCGAGGGTGCTTGCAACACCATCGCCACGCTCTGCGACACTGGCGCAACCGCTGCTTCTGATTCTGACGTAATCGCTGCCTTCGAACCGTTCATCATTGATACCCCTGCCTATGCATCCCTGATCGAGACCTTCGCTGACAAGATCCCGGCCGTCCGCACAACTGCCGTTGCTGCTGCAAACGCTCTCACTTCCCAGCAGAGCCCTTGGGCCGCACCCATCGTGCTGCCCGCCCTCCTCCAGCAGATCAAGACCGCTGGAAAGTGGCAAGTGAAGATTGGCTGCCTGTCCGTTCTTGACATGCTTGTCAAGTCTGCCCCCACGCAGGTCGCGAAGTTGACTCCCGATATTGTCCCCGTTCTGGCCGAGGCGATCTGGGATACCAAGGCTGAGGTGAAGAAGGCGGCGAAGGAGTCGCTCACAAAGTCTACGGCCCTAGTTTCGAACAAGGATATCGAGAAGTTTATTCCTGCACTTATCGACGCTCTTATTCAACCGGTAGAGAAGGTGCCGAGCACCATCCAACTTCTCTCATCCACCACATTCGTTTCCGAAGTTGACTCCCCCACGCTCGCTCTCATGGTTCCCCTCCTGGAGCGCGGTATCCAGGAGCGTCCCACCGCCACCAAGCGTAAGGTCGCTGTCATTATCGACAACATGTCCAAGCTCGTCGATAACGAGATCACCGTTCGCCCCTTCATCCCCAAGCTGCTCCCCGGTCTCCTCAAGATCGTCGAGGTCGTCGGCGACCCTGAAGCCCGTAGCGTTGTTGAGCGCGCAATCAAGACCCTGCGCCAAATCGGCAACGTTCCCACCGGTGACGGCTCCAACCTCCCTCCATTCAAGAACCTCGAGCCCAAGGCTGTCGTCAACACCCTTATTGGCTTCTACCAGAAGGCTGGTGTCACCCCTCCTTCCGCTACCGACGCGACCCTGTTCTACGCTGCCCGCTTGGCTGCGAACATGGTCACTCAGCGCAATTTCGACGTCCCCGTCTGGGACGCCGCTCTCCCGCAGTACCTGTCCCTGGTTATTCCCGCCGGGACTCACAACAACACGGAGATCTCCCGTCAGCTGCTGCTGAAGTCGGCTACGATTGACGATGACACTGCCGAGGTCCCTGATGATGAGGAGGAGGGTGAGGATCTTTGCAACTGCACGTTCTCCCTGGCGTACGGTGCTAAGATCCTGCTCAACACTGCTACCCTCCGCCTCAAGCGTGGCCACCGTTACGGTCTTTGCGGTCGCAATGGTTCCGGCAAGTCTACGCTCATGAGGGCTATCGTCAACGGCCAGGTCGAGGGCTTCCCGTCCCCCGACGAGGTTCGCACCTTCTACGTCGAGCACGACATCGATGGTTCCGAGGCTGAGATCGGTATCCTTGAATGGGTCCTGAACGACAAGCGTCTCGAAGCCTCCAAGGAGGAGATCATCGAGACCCTCGCTTCCGTCGGCTTCAGCGATGAGAGGCAGCAGTCTGCCATCGGCTCCCTGTCTGGTGGGTGGAAGATGAAGCTCGCTCTCGCTCGCGCCATGCTGTTCAAGGCCGACATCCTCCTGCTCGATGAGCCCACGAACCATCTTGACGTTGTCAACGTTGCTTGGCTCGAGAACTACCTCACCAGCCTCAAGACCTGCACTTCCATCATCGTCTCCCACGACTCTGGTTTCCTGAACAACACCATCACGGATGTCCTCCACTTGAACAGGTTCAAGGTGAGGCGTTACAAAGGCAACCTCGAGGCTTTCGTCCAGGCTGTGCCTGAAGCCAAGTCCTACTACACCCTGGAGGCGGCTGAGGACTACAAGTTCAAGCTCCCCGACCCGCCCTTCCTTGACGGTGTCAAGACCAAGGAGAAGGCCCTGCTCAAGATGCGCAAGGTTGGCTTCCAGTACCCGACACAGCCCGTCCAGCAGCTCTACGACATCACGCTGCAGGTCTCGCTCTCGTCCCGTGTCGCTATCCTGGGTCCCAACGGTTCCGGCAAGTCGACCCTCGTCAAGCTGCTCATTGGCGATATGGAGCCCAACAAGGGTGGTGAGATCTGGAAGCACCCTAACTTGGTTATCGGCTACGTTGCCCAGCACGCTTTCCACCATATTGACCACCACCTCGACAAGACTCCTCTCGAGTACATGCTCTGGCGCTACCAGACCGGAGAGGATCTTGAGGAGATGAGCAAGGCCAACCGCGTCATCAGCGAGGAGGAGCTGGCCAAGATGAAGGAGGGTGCTATCTACGTGCACGAGGGTCAAAAGCGCACAATCGACGAGATCGTCGCTCGTAAGAAGTTAAAGCAGTCTTACGAGTACGAGGTGACCTTCAAGGGCCTGAGCTCATCCGAGAACCTCTGGATCGCTCGTGACGAACTGGTCAAGCGTGGTTTCGAGAAGAAGGTCATCGAGCTCGATACCCGCGAGGCTCAGCGCCTTGGTCTCATGCGTCCTCTCGTTCGTCGTGAGATCGAGAAGCACTTTGCCGACTTTGGTCTCGAGGCAGAGTTCGTCTCCCACAACAACATGCGTGGTCTCTCTGGTGGGCAGAAGGTCAAGGTCGTGCTCGGTGCCGCTACATGGCGTCGCCCGCACATCATCTGCCTGGACGAGCCGACGAACTACCTCGACCGCGAATCCCTCGCTGCCCTTATCGAGGCTCTCAAGGACTTCCAGGGTGGTGTCCTGGTTATCACGCACAACCGTGACTTCTCCGAGTCAATCTGCAAGGAAGTCTGGGCCATGCGTGACGGTCGTCTGGAGGCATCTGGCCACAACTGGATTGAGGGCCAGGGCTCTGGTGCCAAGATTGACACCAAGGCTGAGGACGAGGAGGACAAGTTCGATGCAATGGGGAACAAGATCGATCCTACTAAGAAGGAGAAGAAGAAGACTTCCAACGAGGAGCGGAAGGCGAAGAAGGCGCGCATGGCAAGGCGAAAGCGCGGTGAGGATTCGGAAGGTGAGGATGCGTAGATCATCATGCACACATCCTTGGTTTCTCGTCTCCTCTTGTTTCTTCTCCTGTCATGTCACTACTACCCCTCATGGTTGTTTTTCTTCTATATGGTCATGTATTCTTCTCAGCATCGGTCTCTCAATACATATGAGTTGCGTAGCATTTATGGACCCCAGAGTGCACACCGATTCAAAGATCAAACGGATAGCTCCAAGGTAAAGTATCGGTCTAAGAATAAAATCGATCACAGTGGTGAAGTGAATGGGCGTCGCAATCGCATACTAAGACGTGTTTGATCATCATTACAAAAAGGACATAGACATTCATACAATCCCCCTCAATCAATCTGCCACCGCATCTTCCGAGTTGGGGAATGCAGAAGCCACAACCGCACTAAGCAAGGGAGTACTCAGCACAGGTGGAACAGCGGCCGCCGGACTAAGCTGCAAGCTGAGATGAGGTGTATGCGTCCCCGCGTCCTCTGATGCTCGTCTTGACCTGCTGCCCACACTCGATGTTCCTTTTGATTGTGATTGTCGAAGTGAATCGCTTGCTGATAGAGGGGTTGACGTGCTGGGCGCCGAGTCGAGCTGCATACGTAGCTCGTGTATCATTTCCTGCGAGTTAGGCATTAGCATTACACGACTTGCAAAGCAATGTCTCGCACAGCCTGCTCATCATTCTGCTTCGACAGCTCCTCGTTCTCTTCTCTTAACTCTTTCATCTGTACTTCCATAGCAGTCATCTGTGCTCGGACTTCCGCCGCATATTCCAACGCGATCGGGGAGAGGGCCTTTGACTTCAACGCTCGGTCTGCTGCTGCTAACTTTGCCTTCAAAACAGCCGTCTCGCCTTCGTTCTCCCTAATGTCAATGAGTACCGTTTCAGGCCACTTGAGAATACAGGAACATACCTGATTGCAGTTGATAGCAGGTCAATTTCATGTATCCGTCCTCGGAGGACCTGGCTAAGACGTTGAAACTCGTTCTCTTTCAGGTCGATGAACTCCTGCAAGTCGCTGAGCTTGCGAATGTCTTCAGCCCTGACAGAAAATCAGAGAGCTTAACAAGATCCATTATATAGATATACCATAATCGTTGAGCAGCCATAAGTTGATCTATCCGTCTCTCGAAGTTGGCGACACGTTCAAACTTTGGTGACTCTTCCAATCGCTGAGCTGCAAGCTTGAATGCCCTGGACAATGACTTAGCATTTAAATTTACTCATTTGGATAGTATACCCACCTCACACTCTCCTGAGCTAACTGCTTTCCCTGTGCATCCAGCGCTTTCTGGGTGCTTGTGAGATTGCAAGGTAGATATACTAGAGAACCTTACCTTCAGCTCGGACACCTCACTCCTAAGCTCGACAGCTTCGGCCACCCAGCTTTTCTTCTCCTCCCTCAGCCCTCTTAGTTTCTCTTGAAGACTCTCCACCCATGCTCTCGATTGTTCCTTGGCAATATCTGCCTGGTCCCGTTGTCTTTGTACCGCCAGTTTCTCCCGCTGTAGCTGCAGGCGAAGATCCCTCATCTCCTGATAGAGGTCTTGTCGCTCCTTCTCCGGAATTTGCGCAGGCTCTTTGGTAACTTCATCGCCTTCCTGATTATCGCTAATCCGTGACATACCCAAATCAGCGCGAAGCTGCCGGATGAGCTCTGATTCAGGCTGTGAAGCGCCCTCGAGAACGGGCGAACGAGGCTCGAGAGATAACGGCGACACCGGGGAACGGGTATCGAATTGGGGTGCCAAAGGAGAAGGACTGGCTGTCGGATCTACGGCCATGTTGTCGAACGAATCGGAGATGAAGAGTCGCGAGGTACGAGCCCGAGGGCAGAGATGGAGATCGTCCAGCGCCCAGCAGGGATGTCGATTCAGGGATGTATGGTGCGGGTTCATCTCTGTCCGTCATCTGCCCTCAGGGTTACTAGCCCGTGAGTCATTAAAGCGTTCAGTATTATTCTCATTGACGCCAGACAGGTTCACATTCGATTTGCAGTGATTTTAGTCTTCCAGCAATTTTTTCTGAGCATAACAAGCGCAAAAGCACGACAATGGGCGTGTGGTAAATGACGGCAGTTCGGCTCGCTACACTTGGTGCCGACGGGACTCGACGACGCGTACTCTTTTCCCGGATTTTGGCAATCAATTTCAAACTTGTATGTGAACCTATTATTCGGAGGATGACCACGGGCGTGAATACCCCCAGAGGCGGCGCTGGCCAGAGGACAACCGCCACGCTGGCATGATGAAGGCACATTTGGAGATATTGGACGCCTTGAGCTGTTGGCTCCATGTTCAACCCAGGATGCGCCTGAGGCTGGGAGAAGATCTATAACAGTCGACGAAAACCCATGTAAATATTCATACTGACCCCATTCTCCAGACATTAGACCGATCCCCTCGATTTGCGCACTTATCACGAAAGTTCAGACTTGGATCCTGCCAGCTGTCGGTTATCGTATCACCTCGGCGATTGAGATAGATTCGATGCGACACTCCTTCTGGGGAAAAGTGTGTGAAGGGCAGGGTCATTCCAGACTTGTATGTGAGCCTGTTGTCTTGCGGATGTCACAGACGTGGATAGCGCTAGAAGAAGCGCCGACTGGATGCCAGTACTGCCATGCTGGCAAAATGATCCGGAAATGCAGCCGACATGAAGGGCTCATCTGACTGCAGGACCGCAAACGTGTTCGGCCCCCTTTTGTGACGCCCTAGAAGTCTCCCATCAAAGTTCTGACCGTTTATGAGGATATCACGGTCATGCCTGCCGGGAAAGGCCAATCGCTGAGTATGATGGAACTATCCAAGTTGCTGGGCCGGCTTGTGCAACACCTGGGCGTGAAAAATAGCACGCACACTGGCGCTATATAACGCGCAGATCGCGGCAGGCTCTGGCGCTTCACGAACTTCGAGTCCACTTTTGCCCTGCTCAAGTCAATCCCATGAACATTCCTCTCTGGTCTTGTCCCCCATCTCCCGAACCAAGCCCACATCGGGCGGTTTTGAAGGAAAGGCGCTCCAGACACCCATTCCTCTTTAGAATTGAGGATGAGTATTCACAAACAATAGTGGATCAAGAACGCAACCGCATTGCGACCTGCTACTCCAATGTTCTAGCTGCGGAAGCTGCGATTCGTCGGCATTCGAACAACAACACCGACCCGTTCCAGTTTGACATAGCATGCGAGCATTGCAAATGGAGATCAGAGAAACCCTCCCCTTACATCTCCGCAACTCGGAGCCCGCGTTGGGCCTTTTGGGAGTGCTACAGCCGTCTCTTCCAAACCGGTAAACGATACAGGAAGTCCGACAAAGTCCGTATCGTGATTGTCGATGCAAGCCGCTTAACCCATGTCGAGGACGCCAATGCAATACTCGATACTGATACAGTACCGACCCTGCGGAGGTTTACCAATATGGCACAAGAGTCCCTTGTGTTCGCCATCATCCCAGAGACTGCGATTCTCTCGATTGTAGACGTGAAGAGCGATGTCTTCCGTGAAGCAGTCGAGCGGCTATATCCTGGAATATGTACCGATTCCGATGTCGTGGACAACTCTTTCCGGGATGCGTGGAAGTCTGACGTCCACCGTTGGAAATACTCGACCAGAATTGGCAACTACGGACTGGGCAGGCGGGGAGCCGCCCTCGCCGTGGTGTTGCTCGACGATGTCTGGAACCTCGACTGGACCGGTTATAGCGAGGACAAAGGCAATGGCATCCTTCGCACCACTTTCTTCTTAGCCGAGCAAATCCTCTTGGACAAATTCAACTTCTACACAGAGGAAAGTCATCAAAACCCCGACATCTTCCATGGTATCAACGACTACATCACTGAAACGGTGGAAAAGCGCCAAGAAAATTGGCACACTTCTCATGAGCTACCTGTTCCAGAGCTGGACGTTTCAATATCTCCTAACGCTACGGCGGACGATACAGATATTGAAGCGCTTGTGACCTCACTCTCAAACGTCGGGATTCATGATGAACCTAAGGGGTTACTCGGTATGTTGTGCCAGTTCGTAGAAAACAAGCGCTGATAATACCCTCTCTTACCGCAGTCGCTGCTTGAAGTACAGGATGATGTTTCCAAACACTACCACATGGCCAGTCTTGTTTCTGTAGTATCGACAATTCATTTTTGTCAAACACAGTCTAGGGGATACATTTACCACTGACCCACACATTTATCCCAATGCGAGCGCGGGCACGAAGGTTTGACAAACCCAGTTGTCCAGAATGATTGACACTCGGAGGTCGTGCATCCGGACAGTACCCACTGGGATGTCCCATCAATGTATCAATCACCAGAGGGCAATCGCCGCCCTGCCATGACGAAGGCTAACGAAAGAACATTTGAAGGACCTCGTCAGATATTAGACGCCTGGAACTGTTGGCTCCACATTCAATCCACTAGGCTGGGAGCAAATCGAGAACGGCCCGCACATATCACGGAACCGAGATAAGAATAGCACAGTTTGCGGTCATCCTGACCCCGTTCCCTGGACATCAGATTTTCGATGCCCTCGATCCGGGTACACGAAAGTCTAGATTTGTCTATCTGCCAGCTGTCGGGTCTTGGATCACCCAGAGGTTGAGATAGATTCGGTGTGACACCCCTTCTCGGAAAACACGTGTGAAGGGGGAGGATAATATGGTATTGTACCCACCTCGCACTCTTGGCTGACAGAGATATCGTTTTATCTTGACCCCAGCAGACAAAAATCCCTCCTCTTTTCGTCGTCGCAACTTTTGCTCGTCTCATGTCCCCTTTGTGTGTGTGGCCTAAACCACCGGCCGACGATGCAACACTGCAAGATCGTTTGATAAGCAAGAGACAAGAATACCCATTTCTCTTCCGAGTGCAACCCTCTGACTGGCACTCATCCACACGCTTTGATAGGGATGGGAATCTTCTTGCAAGCTTCTTTGAAACTGCGGCAGAGGCAGAATATGATCGCCACAATGGGGGCATGGAAGAGGTGGACCTTGCTATATTGTGTAAACACATGCACTGGGGTTGCAGGGAGCCGTCTCGTCTGATATCCTGTTCTGCCAGCCCTCGCTGGGCATTCAGAGAGGGAATGCGACGTATCATGGGTAATATCTAAATATGAGATTGGTCCTGGTCTAACCCAATGTCAGACGGGGGATACCTGACAAACCTTGTCATCATCGATGGGATGAAAGTGCGGGAGGATCGGAATGCTTGCGAGCTCCTGGAGGAGTTGGCAGAAGAGGAGTGTGGGAACGAAGAAGGATGCGGGGATGAGTGGGAATATGAGGAATACGGAGATGACCCAGACAAGTTCAACAGGGAGAGGGTAGAGCACGAGGTGCGGTGTAATCTCCAAGAATGTAGAGGGAATCAGCTCACCAGGAGGGAGTGATACAGAACAACCTGCCTTGGAACTACGAGAATGCCCTGAAATTTGGGAGCATGGCAGAAGTTGTTCTTGTCTTTGGTATCATTCCCGCTGATGCAATCTTAGCAGTGGTTGACATGACCAGTCCTGTGTTTTGCCACGCACTGGATGCCCTCTATCCACGGCTTAGCAGGACACGTTGTGCGGTAAGAAAAAGCTTTTCAGATGCCTGGAAGCGGCAAGTCAAGTATTGGCTGAAGCAGGCTGACGTGTCCGAGTTCGAACTCGGGGAAAGAGCCGCCAGGCTCGTTGTGGTCATGCTTCACTCGACATGCATGGAACACCTGTCCCACATCAAAGAGGTCCAGAAGGCCAAGGAGTACTGTGATGCTGCATATGGTCGTATGGTATCCTTATCCGGCCAGATGCTCTTGGAAATCTTCGACATTTCATCCGAACATTTCTTCATTGATCAAGGAATCCAAGCTATTATCACGATGAAAAAGATGGAACTGATGAATAGTTGGGAGTCCTCCCACTACGCGATTACATTGGGTAACTTGGTTGAAAGCACCAGAAGGATGAGTGTAGCTGATAAGTAGTGAACGAGTCAGTGAACAGTATTCAACTCTTTGATCTCGTGGCTAACCCTGACTTGTATCCATGTAGTGACCTCGCTTGTACGGTCTACAACGTTCGAAATTGGAACTCCAATATTCTGGCCCGATACATGGATTGATGTTCTAAGACATCGATCGTTGTACCGAACAGAATAGGAACGAAATCTCGTCATATGCTGCTCCTTTTCTCGCTCTTATGAAGGCTCCATATTGTACTCGCCTGCATTACAAAGAAATCCATACTGATATCGAAAGACGGGTCAGGCAAGCGTGAGGGCATTTATGGACCAGCAAGTTGCCACACCAGCAAGCAGAGATGTGAAGACCATCGCGATGACCTTTCGTCTGTCGCCGTGCAACGAGCTCAGGCCGACATAATAGACATTATATAGAGTAAATCAGTCCATTCCTAGTAGATAACTTATCACTCGTCGTTCCTCATTTCAGTGAAGGTGTTTGGTGATGAACCGTCGATGCGGAAAGAAAGCGCAAGCACTCGAAATTCACGTGCATTGCTAAGAATTGAATCCGCTGCCCGGCCGGCGCAGCGCGCGTCCCCTGCCGCCCACATCCGCCTCATCATCCTTGGTCTCCTCCTCATCATTCGACCACCACCTTCCCCCTGCAGGACCAGCGAACTCGCTGTCTTCCTCGACGTCCATGCAAGCTCGACTGCTCGTCAAAGCAGTCCGGCTGGCCCTGGGGTCAGGCAGGCCGCCTCCCGCTCAGGCGGGAGCGCGGGCCTTGCACACAGGCCACCGGCCGCCCACCACATTCTTGGGCCGCCTAGTCCAGCGTGTGCTGCCAAATTCTGCACCTCATCACACTCCTACGCACGCATCCCAGAAACCTTTTGCCTACCGTGGTGTACACACTCAACGCTCGAATCTGTCGCTCTCAGCGAGGACCTTCATCCAACAGAATACTGCTAAGTCCCTTCACTACGTCCCACGCCCTCCTATGGCGTCAAGGGGTATCCAGCAAGTCGGTTTGGGCAAAGCGAGGAACTTCTCTACCGCGAGCCCGCTATTCCACACGACTGTGAAGAATGTACCCATTGTCGTGCGTGCGTTCGCTCAGGCGGATTTGGACCTCAAGACGTCCGAACGAGAGGGAAAGGTCAAGACCACGCGGAAGGGAAGAAAGGCGCAGAAGCGTACCCGTGCGCTGCACAGGCTCGCAGCCGACAATGTACCTGTTTCTTCTACGTCCAACGTCCCGGAGGACCTCGAACACTACTTTGTTGACGCAGTCCCCACCGTCCTCACGCAAGTCACCATCTCTCTGGAACCCTTCCGTCGGTCCCGCGCGTCGTCCCGGGATGACATCAGTGACTCGTCAGGTTCAGACGCCGATTTTTGGCAGTCTCTCGCCGATATCCACGCGCTGTATCGTCCACACATGCGGCGTGTGGAAGCCGTCATCCGTCGCCTGGAGCCGTACGCCCACCTACGGAGAAACGAGGACGTCATCGGATGGTCTTACACGTGTGACGACGAATTCGGCTTGCCAACAGCGGTGAGGTTTGCATTCGCTGCTCCGGTTGACGAAGTGCGGGGCTGGCTAGGCGACTTCGCCTCGGCGAGGTGGTTGACGATAGAGGATGTCACTCCGGGGAGAGAGAGACTGTTTGCCAGTTTGAACACCGAGCTGGATGCAGTGTGGAACTCTGACTCTCTCTTCCCCGATCCGATTACGTCGCACGCGCCGCCGATGGATGGCTCGCTTATCGCTCTGCCCGAGTGGACGACCCTTCCCGCTACGCCTCCGAACGACCTTCCCGCTTCAGGCGCGTCTACCCCGCCGGATTATCTCACCGACCTCGGCGAGGCGTGGATGAGCGGATTCGGGACGCCGAGCGAAGAATGGGAATACGATAATCAAGAAGAAGACGTCCTCAGTGAAGGGGATAGCGTGTTCAGTTTCGCTAGTACTGGACCTGGGGGAACGGGAATGTCCCTCCAGTTCAGCGCGCATTGGGAAACAAGAGCACAGGAAGCTGTTGCTCGCTGAACGCGGCCAAGGTGGAAGGAAGATGTATACCCAATTTTAGTATACACGATGGTTTCAATCATGTCTGACTATGGCTGTTGTCTTGATATGCATTATATGATTTAGTGTACGACTGTATTGGCCAATCGTCCACATCCCTATCGCTCATTGACAGACCTCGTACGACATCTTTATAGGATGGCCACTTGCTGTGAGGCACGCGGAATTCCGAGTGAATGACGTGTAAGCCAACTGTAACATCGCTTTGGTACTGTAGAGAAAAGCACGCAAAGCGGCTTAAAGTGGAATATGTTGCAGATGATACATTACTTGAAACTACAATAGATGTTCGTCTAGGCGACAAGCCACCCAGGCAACGAAAGGATGAGTAAGTGCAGGCATTCATAGATCCTTCGACATCCGTTGTAGATGGTAATTGATCGACGGGCGCCGCACCTTTGGCTTCTTCGACTGCCAGGATGTGTTAGAGCTGACGACTCAGTATTCAGACCAAATGGAACATACTGCATTCATCATACACGCGTGAAAGAAATCGGTTAATGGCTTGCAAGCGCCCGTTCCTTGCCAGTCCTTCCTCAGGCTCCAGCAGGTGAGCATGCCGACCATTTCTTGTGCGCAGGGTGTTCCTCCTGGATCTGAGTATTGTTTCAGATAGGTATTCTAATCAAACGTTAGAGAAACCGCTTACCTCTCCGTGGCTTTACTCTTAATCTTGTATGCTTTCCCATGCTGTCCGCTCTCAATGGCAAGAATGAATAGCACACGACAAGATGGCGATGAAGAGACGAAAAGCGCAGTGAACCCTTTGGTATTCACGTAAGGCAATTACTTCCGTTTATGTGAATATGAAACCTATCCGCCACCGAGCCGCGCATCCGACGACACGTCCTTGGCGACGATATATCCAGACTGACCACCGCCTCACTCTCCTCTCTCCTTTATATACTGCTGTCACCATTGCTGTTGGACTGCTATCACACAACTAACTAGACTGAACTGCAATCATGGCCTCACGATCATCTCACAACAAGAATAACTCAGGTACGCCGGTCGTTGTCTAGCGTCTATCGTCCGTGCTGATAAAGTGCATATAGCCGTCAAGCGCATCCTTCAGGAGGCTAAGGAACTCGGTAACGATACTTCTACGGACTACTGTGCCGCCCCACTAGAGGTATGTCTGTCCCCTATCGTCGTGCAACACTTGTCTGATTAGGAGCCAGGAGGATATCTTCGAATGGCACTGTACTATACGCGGTCCCGCCGATACAGAATTTGCTGGAGGACTATACCACTGCCGCGTTCTCCTTCCCTCGGAATACCCCTTCAAGCCCCCAAGCATCATGCTTCTTACGCCGAATGGACGATTTGAGCTCAACAAGAAGATCTGTATTTCGTTCACCGCGTACCACGAGGACCTTTGGCAACCAGCGTGGGGAATTAGGACTGCTATCGTTGGGTTGCAAGGGTTCTTCCCTATCAAAGGAGAGGCTGCGATTGGTATAGGAGCCTTGAAAGTTTCTGCGACAGAGACGAGACGGCTGGCAGCGGCGTGCGTGTTGTTTCTCCTCTGGAGATCGAAAACTCACATGAGGTGTAGTTCGAGAGATTGGGTATGCCCGAACTGCGGAATACCAAACAAGGACCTCCTCCCGGAGGTTCGAGAAAAGCATTCGCATCCAAAGGAAGACTCGCACGACTCACTCGTCGCTCAAACTAATCCACAAGGAGCTCATGTGCATGCTACGGTGAAGGCTGGTTCACCTCAGGTTGAACCCGCACCGTCGAACGATGAAACAGGAGACGTTACGAAGACAACGCCTTCGGTTCCCGTGGACCTTTCTGCACCTGTCGTTCTTCTTGCACCGTCTGCCGGCCCCTCGCTCCAAGGTGCTTCACCCTCAACCACACCAGCCGCCATCTCTCCTCCTGCCCCTGCTCCCCCGACGCCCGTTCCGACACCAGCACCTTCGCTGCTAGAACGCCCGCCCACCTCGCGCACCACCGCTGTTTTGCGGCTCGAACCTCTCCCTAGCCGTCCACCACTCTACCTTGACGGCCTTATCGTCGCTCTCGTCGCGGTGATGGCGTATATTCTCGCAAAGAAAGTTGGGATGCAGCAAGCGATATTCGCGACGCTGTGAGATGTATGTTAGGAAGTTTTGTATGGATGTATGAATCATTTCGTTGTAAGACTCGTGACAATCAATGGTGTATTATACTGCTCGATTTGTTCAGTGTGCGTTCAATGATGGGGAAACTTCGACAACGTGTTGAAGGCATGTCATTGCTATGGAAGCTTTCGAACATTTCTTGAAAGACAGTTTGAACCTTTGTATGCTAATCTCGTCGAGCAGATCACTCGATTTCCTGCTTGACCAGCAGCGGCAGCACGGACGACGGCGTCTCAACGTGCGAATGGCCATTGCGAGCACGTTCCGACCTCATCTCAGCCGCACGCATCCTCCGCTCCTCCCGAATACGCTCCAGCCTCGCCAGTTCACCATGCATATTGAGCCAGTTCCACCCATGCCACGTCGTCACAGCATACGGTTCTTGTTCGACTCTGAAGTCCGGCAGGAGAGGGTGGCCAATGGTCAGAAGGGGGATATCGATGTCGTTCACGTAATCTGCCGGAGGGGAAGGGGAGCGCTCAAAGATGAGTTCTTCCATGCTATATGGAGTGCGTGACATGTACGGAGAAAGGCGGATCGGATCCGGAGCTGGAGGAGGAGGCGGAGGGTAGATGCTGGCCATGAAGTCTATACGGTAGGCCGTTTCAACTTGTCGAACCCAGTGCTCCCACCGGAGGTGCCGGCCCAATATTTCCATGTTCATGATGTCCTCGTAATACTCCCTTGGTGGGAGTACATAATGATATGGCCAGCTCTGATAGGGTGTCTGACCATTTGCCGGTTGGTTAGGGCCAGCCTCTTCTATGTCGGACTGATTAAGAATGGGTCAGAATGACTGAAAAAGGAAAGTCAAGGAGTTCATACCGGTGTGGATGGCCTTAAGGCATATGGATTGGCCTTAGCTTCTACTGGCACTGCCACTGGAACCGTGGTAGCTGGAGTTGTTGCCAGTGGGGTAATGTCACCTGGCAGAAAGTTAGTTACATGAAGCAGAAGAAGGAAGAAGGAAGGACATACAAAGGTCACCTGATGGTTTACTTGACCTTATAGTCATTGATACCTTTTTTTCCTTGAACTTCTTCTGCTTCTGTACCCTCTCCGGCAATATGTCCATCAGGATAATGTCACATAGATAAGGAAATAAACTTACCTTGAGTATACCAGCTCCAGTATGTATTGGCATAATAAGATCAGAGGAAAGGTCGAAGGGGGAAAGATATTGCCAGAACGGGAGGGGCAGAAGGAAAGAGGCAGAAGGAAAGGGGCAGAAGGAAAGAGACAGAATGATCCTCTGATCAGCAGAGGGTGAATATAAGGGAATTCCCTGACCCCAGGTTAGGTTGACAGTTTTTCTCTCTTTGGCACTAGAAGCACAAGTTTTGGGATTGTTCTTGCTGAAAAACCGGTGTGGCAGTGAAATTCTTCCAACATCTTCGCGGAGTCACCCTTCTGACCGGTGATGCTACCCTGAAAAGGCTGGAATCATCCCCGAGGATGAATAAGGGCAGAGCGGCATGGTCGACATGTGTTGGCACGGCAAGGTCCTATAGAAATTGCCGGATGATTTGCTCTGACCATACGCGCAGCGCAAAGGCGTATGGTCAGAGCGATAAGGCCGGTGCGATTTCTGACATCCGGCGCGAGAAGTCGACCTTACAGGCACCAGTCCTTAGCGCAGCTCCGATAGGTGCAGTCACAGGCGTGTGCGTAACGGTATTCATTGCGTAGTAATACATCTAGAAAAGTCCCCATCCTGTCGAATATGAAATCAAAGTACGATGTAGCGTCCGAGTGAACAAATACCTGTCATTATACCCGAACCAGAAACATAATCACACAGCCAGAGAGAGTGATGAAACGCTCAACGCGTCTCCCGCAAGCCGAACCAGACCGCAGTGATGGTGGCGATGCCGAAACCAATGATGAACGCGAAAAGAACAAGCACGTCGCGATAGTAGTTCGAATCGCCGAATCCGAAGAGCTGTAGGCACGCGTCAGTGTATGCACAACCGTGTGAGGAAGAACAACTTGCAAGGTTCATGATCAGCTGGGCGGAGACGTCGACGGGTACACCCGAGAGCGTGTCCTGGATCATAAGACCCGAATTGACCTCGTTCACGCTGAGTGCCTCGAGGGTATATTTGAGCGGGCAGAGCCATTGGAGCCAGCGAAGTACGGGCGGGATAGAATCGAGGTGAACGAAGAAGCCCGCGAACGTCATTTGAGCGAGATTGAATAGAGCAGAGAGGAGGATGGCGATCCCACCGTTGGAGAAGATGGCTGCGTAGAAGAAATTCTGAACATGAGATGAGCACCAGATTCGCTTGCAGAGACGGGAAGGTGACTCACAAAGAGCGTTAAGACAAGTGCATACAAGATGAGGATCAAGAGGAACTTGAAGAAGTTGGCCGGGGTGGGACTCAGCCCCGTCATCCAGTATGTGATCGTGGACACGGCAATGGTGGGGATGATCCGGAGGGGGATGACGTCCCAGATGACGCGGGAGAGGAGCCAGGCCGTAGGGCTGTAGTACCCGCCTGCGCGTTCACGTAGGAAAAGCGGGCGGATGACACTCAGGTTGTGCAACGCTGAAAGAGCCGTGAAACTCAGTAGTGAGCCCTGGAGACCGATAAGCACCGTCCAGCCCAGAACACGCGAGGAACTCACCAAGAAGAACAGACACCCAATGCGGCTCTGGAATCCGGCAATCGTGATTCCCGTCTTGAAGTACAGGCCACCCGTAAAGACGCCCAGAACGATCGACACCGCCAGATGGGCAAAGAACAAGCTCCAATCCCTGCACAGGTTCTTCCATTCCCTGCCAGAAAGCACCTCGAGCTGCGTGAGGAAAGTCGCTGCGTACCTGCCTGATGTGCGCAGATTGCCACGGTCGATACCTGCTCCGGGAGGGGGGATCTCGTCTGCTCTGTTGTGGGCGAACGCGAGCGGGTGATCAGCAGGGAGGGATTTCTCGCCTTCTTCGCTCGGTGTATGCCGGAGCCCGTTGCTCTCTGTGCTCGCGTTTGCTGGTGCTTGGGCAGGCGGAGCGTCCATCAGCGAAGGAGGGGGTGCGCTTGCAATATCCAGCAAATGGTCTGCGACGTTGTACCCCTGTGCGCAGGGCAGTCCCTTCCCTGCAAAGTACTCCGCCGCGGCGTTGCCCCCCTCGCCATAGTACAAACTCTTGCCTTCAGAGAGGAGCATGACCTTGTCGAACGTTCTGTACAATTTCGAGCTTGGTTGATGGATGGAGGCGATGACGATCGTAGGGTTGTGCGGGTCGTGGCAGAGGTCATGTAGCACACTAGCGACTTTCTGGGCAGAGACGCTGTCCAGCCCACTCGTAGGTTCGTCAAGTATGAGCACTGCAGGCCTAGCGACGAGCTCGCAGCCGATAGATACGCGCCTCATCTCTCCCCCCGAGACGCCACGTCTTTCCCCAGAGCCGATCCGTGTTTCCGCTACGTGGGAAAGGCCGAGCTGGTCCAGGACTTCGAATACTCGAGCTTGCTTGGACGCGTCGGGCATCGTCTCCGGCAAACGGAGGCGAGCGGCGAAAAGCAGGGTTTCGCGTACCGTCAACTGGGAGGGGAGGATATCTGCCTGGTCTACGAACCCTACTCTCGGGATACGCTCGAGGGGATGGCCATCCGCACCGGAGAAGAAAGTGATAGAACCCGAGGATCGCCCGGTCTTCCGTTTGCCTGCTAGGAGCTCGACGACCGTGGTTTTCCCCGCTCCGGAAGGACCTAGAATAGCGACCATCTGCCCGGGCTCTACCCGGCCAGATACATTCCGGAGGATCCACTTGCCTGACCCGTCGGGGAGCTCGTTGTCCTCTGAAGTCGCGTCTTCGCGAGCTGCACGACGACCGCGGAGGAACATGCTGAGCCTGCTGCGGAGGGGAACGATGTATGTCAAGTCGGTGAATTGGAGTCCGATCCCTCCTGGAGGTTTCTCGGTCGCCAAGGCAGCTTCTGCACCGGCGGCGGCGCCCTTGCGTGCTTGACGCTGATCCCATAGGCCCCAGAGAAGGAGGAGGATGGCAGCGAGCACGATACCGCCTACGACGGCGAGACCGGCTATCACCCCCCCGCTGAGACCTGAGGAGGAAGCTGTAGTTGTGGAGGTCCCGTTGCTGTTAACGAGGGCGTTGTCTATCACCCCCTGGCGTACGCATTCCCCGAATATGCAGTTCTGGAGACTGAGCCCGTTGGCACCGAACAGCTGGTCAAGGGTGGTCTGCTTGAAAGTGCATCCCGCGCCCGTGCTGGAGGTGACGGCGTCGCAGGCAATCTCTAGGGTGCCTCCTAGCTGGTCAATAGTCCCAGTGAGGTTCATCGCTGCTGTTGCACCGCAGAAGTCGGTGCCAGCACGACAGTGGCACTCGAGGTCGTTGCACATCCAGTCTGTTGATCCTGGGCCGTTGGTGTCCAGCGTCTGAGAGCAGGAAGAGGCGGTGCAGAAGAATTGCTCGACTCCGGCGTACCAGAGTTGGGCGAAGATGGTCGCGTTCGGTACGGGGAGGGAGGAGACGTTGGGGTAGAGAGAGAGGGAGGGATTCAGCACGCGCAGGATGGTGAGTGAGGATTGGAGGGGGAAGAGGGACTGGAGTGTCGGGTTCTGCGATTTGTTAGCGGGCTGATGGGAGGAGAGAGGATGGGCGTACGTTAACGTCGCAGCTCATCTCTGCGCTGGTGTACACTCTGCTATCCGCACTGCAGGTTATCGTCTGATTCCCCGTCTGATCAGGGCTGACACCCGAAAGGTCTGGGGTGCTCTGGCCAACCGTGGTGTTGAAGTTGCTTGCCCAGAAGCCGGACTGACAAGCCCCAGCAGACAGGCAGACGTTGCACCCTTCTCCGCCCCATCCTGACTGGCAAGTGCAGCCAGAAGAAGTGAGGTTGGAATATTGCTGTCCTTGTGCTGGCTGGGCTGAGGCACGAGTTGAGCCCTGGAAGAGGTTCCCACCGCAGGAGGGGAAAGAGCAGGTTGGACCTGAGAACCCAGGGGGGCAGAGACAGGTTGTGGATGTTTGAGGAAGTGCATACTGCTCGCAGGATTGGGAGAGAGCGGGGACTAAGAGCAGGAGGAGGAGGAGATGAAAGAGCAACATGGTAAGTGTGCGGTGGGTGTGAGAGCGCTTGAGTTTAGTGTATGAGTATGACTAGCGATTGGCCAACCAGAACGGGTGATTCCTCCGATTCCCCGTGCAATTCTCCGACTTGCAAGTGGATCCAAATAGGGTATTCCAGTAACAGCAACTAGAGCGATAAAGGCAAGAGGATAAGGTAGAGAATGGAGAGAAGGAGAGAGAGAGCGCAGTGCCCCCCCTAGTAGGGCAGTGATGGTCAGCGGCCTTAATCCCTTCAAGTTGTCCCTTCTGCCCCCAATCCGCTCCATTGTCAGAAAAGACGCTTCCTTTTAGTTCCGAAGCTTCCTTTTAGTTCCGTGAGAGTTTGAATCCGTGCTATTCTTACACCTCAAAAGAGTCTTCCCTGAACGGCGCTCTTCTTAGGCGCACTGACAAAGTGCATACACTCTACCTCTCTGCAGCTGTACTCTTACTCTCTTACTCCCAAAAACTAAAATGGCAGACGTAGCCATGCAATCCGCCGTTTCTACAGCTCCCAATGGCATCAACGCTCATCCCAACGGCCACGAACACACGAACGGCACCGAGGAGCCAAAGTTCGCAACAGGGATGATCTACCCTTCTCCAGAAATTAGGAGTGCGTACCACCTTCCTTCATATACCTTAGTTACTAACTATTCCATGTGTTCTGTTACGGTACCGTGTTGTAGCTATAATCGACAGGACAGCACTGCACGTCGCGCGCTCCCAGAACCCGCAGCAATTCGAAGACCGAGTGCGCGAGTCCCAGCGTACCGATCCCAAATTCGCTTTCCTCGCGCCGACAGACGCATTCCACGCATACTATCGGCACCGTGTAGAGCGTATCCGTGCAGGGGAGGACGTGAACGCCGATACTGGTGCCGCTGTCAAGACGCTCCCTTCGGAAAATGCGCTCGAACCGGAGCTGGTGAAGAAACCTAGTGGAAGGCCGAGGGCTGCACCGCCCGAACCGCCCGAGATGGAGTTCGTCGCTCCTACACCTAAAGTTCCGCCTCTCGAGCTGGACACCGTCAAGCTCACAGCTCTGTTTTTCGCTGTACGAGGAGCTACGTTCCTGCAAGCGCTGAGCGTGAGGGAAGGCCAGAACCCGCAATTCGAGTTCCTCCGCCCTAATCATCCCCTCTTCAATTACTTCTCGCGACTTGTGAGCCAGTATAAGGCTGTGTTGCTCCCTACTCGCGAGGGGAGGGAGACGCTCCGCCTTGAAGCCGGGTCCGAAGGTAGGACGCGCCTTTTGGAGAAAGCGAAGGCGCGCGCAGACTGGGAGCGCTGGAAGCGGGAGAGGGAGAAGAAGCGCGCCGAAGACCAGGAGGCGGAGCGCAAGGCCTTTGCCGAGATTGATTGGCACGATTATGCTATTGTGCAGACTATCGAGTTTACTGTTGCGGATGCGCAGGCGGAACTGCCCCCGCCCCAGAGCGTGCAGGATGTGGAGAATATGACACTTGCACAGAAGAGGATGACGAAGCTTATCAACGAGAGTACTACGGAGGAGATCAAGGCTGCGAACGAGAGGGATGTGAGGGAGAAAGCGGAGGCTGAGGAGCTCAGAGTGCGGGAAGAGGAGAGACTCAGAGAGGAGGCGCAGGAAATGCAAGTTGCGGGTGTGAAGAGGAAGGCGCTGGAGGCGGAGAACGAGCAGGATGTGGAGGTTGCTAGGTTGGCGCAGGACGAGGCGGAGAGGTTGAGGAGGGAGGCGATGGCCCAGGCACAAGCGCAGTTGCCGGGACAGATGAAGATCCGCGAGAACTATGTTCCCAAGGGTGAGTTCTCTCCCCTAAGTGGTAGTATATGCGTGCTAATTTGCCTTGCAGGCATCCAGCGCGGAGCGAAGAAGATGACGATGTGTACTATATGCGGCCAGCAAGTGCCTATCGACGAGCTCGAGGAACACATGCGTATCGAGCTACTCGACCCCCGCTGGAAGTCCCAGCGGGACACGCTCGAAGCCCGGCGTACGCAAGCCAACGAGCTCCAATTCGGCGCCAACGTCGCTTCCTCCCTCCGTACGCTCGCGCGCACGCGTGTCGACATCTTCGGCGCAGAGGAAGACGAAGCCTTGCGCAAGAGCGAGGAGGAAGCCGAGAAAGCCCGCGCGAAGGAGAGGGAGAAGATCGTCTGGGATGGGCATACAGCCAGCAAGGAGAGCACCGCGGGCAAGTTCCAGACAAACGTCAATTTCGAAGAGCAGATCGCGGCTATCCATCGTGCGAAAGGTCTGGGCGTCATGGCCGATTCTGGCGGCCCGTCCATCGGTCCTGCCCTAGGACCGGGGATCACCCCTTCCTCGTCTGCGGCTCTCGCACCCACCCTACCAGAATACGCGAACGCAGTGATCAGCGCTGCCCCGCAACCTGCCACCGCACCGGTATACGGTGGTCCCGGAGCCTCATCCCTCCAAACCTCCACCTTCTCCCCAGCAGCAGCAACAGCCGCAGGCTTCGTCCCCCCCGGGATGCACCCCAGTCGTCTAGCAGCACTCAGCACTCCGTCCGGCCCGACGCCCGAGGGGAGTGAGACTCCCCCGGAGGGCCAGCCGCCAGCCAAGCGCCAACGAGTAGAACGCTACGAAGGGCACACATACGCCGAAAACGACTGGATCTCGCTCCATCCCGAACCAATCAGTCTGCAAGTCCAACTCCCGAAACTGGACCGGCTTCCTGAATATCACTTTGATGGCCAGGTGGCGCTTATCCCCGATTTACCGCTGACGTTGTTAGTCAGCACCCTCCGGGATCGGATATTGACCCAGGTGGACAGCGCGTGTCCTGTTGGGAGGATAAGGCTCACTTATGGAGGGAAGACGCTCACGAATGCCCAGACGATCGCGAGCTATAACTTGGAGGAGGGGGATGCGCTGTATTTGACTGTGAGGGATGTGAAGAAACGCTGAGCTGAGCTGTATGTAGGCAGGCGTGTATTTGTAGCGAATGGATGCGGTTTTGGCCTTGGATGAGGGTACGAGTATAGTGTTTGCCCGACTTTCGTTTGCCTAGCGCTCTGCAATATTAATACCGGTTAGCGTGTTGAGTGTTGATCATCCGCTCCTGAGCCGCACGTCCTTTTCCATATGAAGCAACAAATAAGAATAAAACAAACCGATGCTAATGCCAAATGCTAGTGTATGATGCTAGTAAACAATGCTGACCGCCGGTGCCCGGGAGTATTTTGAGAGGTTGAGAGGGAGGTGAACGAGCTGGATGGGGGGGGGGGGTCGGGAGGGCGTGAGCAGGGGGGGTAGTGGGCGGCCGGGGGGGGGGGTTATGATAATCCTGCGAGATATTTGACTTGCTTGGTGCTTGCGGGGCGGGCTGTGGGATGTGGGCAGGTCATCTCTGCCTCCGCCCCAGCAGCAGCAGGACTGTCCCCCCCAAGCCTAGAATGCGCGTATACGGTGCTTCCGGTACGGGCGTGATCTGGTGCTGGTGTGGGAGGGGGTTGGGCGGATGTGCCTGCTCCTATTCCCCTTCCTACCCCTGCCCCTGCTCCTGCCCCTCCCCCTGCTCCTGCTCCTGCTCCTTGTGTGACCCCCGTACGTAGGGGAACGACAGCAGAACTACCAGTTCGCCCCCATCCCCCCGTCGGAGTTGGAGTTGGAGTTGGGTGAGCGCGTGCCTGGCCAGTTGTAGAAGGAAGGAAAGAGTCTGTCTTCGCTCGTTGGAGTTCTTGTCTTCCCGTGCCTGACGGTAATCCCGAACCATCCCCATTCCCGTTCCCGTTCACGCCATTTGCGCGTGGTCGTTCTCCGTCCCACGACGCGTATGTCCCACTACTCGTGGAGGTCGATGCGCCATACGCATACGCGGTCGAAGCACGTAGCGGCACCTGATCCCCAATACCCCACGCGTCTCTCTCCGCACCCTCCCTCGTCCCTCTTCTCTCTTCCAGCGTATGCCTCTGGCGGAACTTGCTCCCTTCCCTCAGGAGGGGGGAGTTGACCAGTGTGGGGGGGACGGGGGGTGCGGGGAGAGGTGTTGGGAGACGGAGACGGGTGCGGGTTGAGGGGCGCCGAGGTGGGGGTGCGGGTGCGGCCATGTGTGGGAGGGGAGAGGGGTAGGGATAGGCGTATTGTGAAGGAGAGTAGGAAGGGGAAGGGAGGAGGATGCTCATGAGGCTATTATGGTGTGCCGTGCGGCGATACTGTGGGTTGTATACCGTTAGAATGGGGGATGTTGGTGAATAGCGCGGTGTTGAGGTGTTTAAGTAGTAGCGTCGGGGATATGAAGTAGTATTCTAAGAGAGAGAGATGGCGGGTGTGCGGGTGAAAAGGCTTCTCGATGGTCACTTATTTGTGGATTCGAAGTCAAAATGAGTTGCGGAAGATAGGAAGCAACACTTAGTTATCCCTTCTTGGCTAATAATAACAGACGTAAGCAGTATTATTCTCAATTGACAGGATATCTCTCAACAAACACAAGCGTAGGCAGTGCTTTACCTTCGATACACCTCATCTTATCCCTTTTATTGAACTCATTCCCTCCCTTCTTCCTTCATCTTCCTTTCCTTCTCTTCGCCTTCTTCCTCAAGCAGGGTTCGACCCTTCACTCTCACCAGCCCACCTTCCACTCTCTCACCAACACACACAGTACCCAAGAACCACCCAAGAAAAAGAACCCATACAATGCAACACACCACTCAGGGTCCCCTTTCCCCCGGATCTCAGATGTCCACAAGCCCATCCAGTGTGCCGAACAAGCCGCGGCTTGAGCGGATCGGGCCGCTGACTCGGCTTCGCGCACGGACCACATCAACGTACTTTGAGGGTACTTGAGTGCCAAGCTGCTGAGCCGCGCAGCAACGCGTTTCTCCGCGCTGCGCCCAAGCATTCCTACCCGCACGCACCAATCCCGCCCAAGTCATACCCGAAACCCAAGAAAACACCCCAATAACATCTACCAACTCTCATGTCACCAAATTTGCTCCTTATTACCTTACCGCTCTAGTCCGAGTCCGAGATCCTCCGCTACAGCATGGCGAACGCACCAACGCACGCACGCACGCGCAAAATTCGGCGGAGCACATGCGCATGCGCTGCGCGCCAAACAGGAAATTTTCTGCGTTAAACCTACCGGCGTAAGTCGGCCCCGATCGGTGCTCGCTCGAAAGTTGGTCAACGGCGAGTCCCAGCCATGAACAGATCTAGAGAACGAAAAGCACCGAACAGGAAAAGAATCATCTGGCGCTTGCTAATTATGCTAAATATATTTATCTTTCCGGTAGAAATGGCCCAAACACCGGCGCTTACATACATAGCGTTCCTTCTTCCACGTTTCTAGATTTCCTGCGGTTTCGGCATTCCCCGAAGCCGGTGCCGAACAAGCTTCCACCAGCTGAGCAACAAACAGCGGACGGTACTCAGCTGTCCTTATCTCATCCAACTAGAGTTCCCTAGACATCCAGGGACTCTCAGGCTGGTTCTTTCGGCTAATTTAGAGCCTCTGCGCGTCTTGCACCTCGTGCTTGTCCCCTAGACCGGTGAGTCGAAATCAGCGAGCCTGAGCTTCTTGAACTCTGGGTTAAAGCTAGCTTCTAGCCTCCACGCGCTTCTTGCTATTGCACCTTCAGATAGGTGCTTCCTTACTTCCTGACTTCTAGAGGCAGTACTAGTGGAGGACACTCCGGCCACTTCCGGGAACCCTCTCCTCCACACAGGGAGGGCTTTGCATATCATTATCACCGGCTAGGCAAGGTGCGCGAAGTGCGGGGTAGGTATTTTCGACATCAACATCAACATTCCAACATTCTGCTTCTATCTTTGCCGCTTTGCTGCGGTCTCCGTGTGGTTCAGGCTTCTGGCTTCTTTCTGGACGAGTCAGCCTCTTGCTTTCTAAGGAGGACGAGTCAGGGCTGGCTTCTCCCCTCGCCTGATACAGCACATCCTACATAACCCCTGGCTTCCTGAAACCCACTAAGCCGGGTCAACACCACAACCTTATCCCTCCAACGCAAGACATGTCCGGAACCGAGTACGAAAAGACCCGCGAGAATACCGTGCAGCGGAAGAAAGACCGGGCGAAGTACGACAAGTCCGTCGTTCACTCGATCGTGCACGACGCGCATGGGGTGTGCCATCTCGCTTTCGTGGACGAGGAGGGTATGCCTCAGTGTATACCTATGATGGGGGTTGTGGATGATCGGAGCGAGCTGGGGGAAGAAGTGTGGATGTACTTCCATGGTGAGCCATCCTTCCGCCCTTGAGGCGGGCTTGAGGCGGGCCTGACGGGCAGAAGGTTACACCTCGACGAGGATTATGAAAGCGCTTGCGGACCCAGGGACGCCTATGGTCGCCACTTGCACACTGGTGGACGGGCTCGTCTTCGCATTGAACGTCTCGCACCACGCTGTCAATTATAGGAGCGCGGTCTTTCATGGAGTGTCCTACCCCCTCCCTGCTGGGGATAGAGAGGCGAAAGAGCATGCTCTTACTTGCGTGATGGAGAGTGTCATGCCCGGCCGGTGGGCGGAGGCGCGAGCGATGAACAACACGGATTGGGCAGACGTGGGCGTGATTAGGATGAAAGTCGAGAGTGCGAGGTTTGGCTCTCTTTATCACTCACTGTTGCGTTGCTCATGGGATTGTAGTGCAAAGATACGCAAGGGCATGCCTGGGAATGAGAAAGCTGTGAGTCCGGTCTCACTGGTTGGGACATCACTCATTAGACGTGTAGGATGCAGCGAACGAGGAGCTCACAGCGAGGGTCTGGTCCGGTATCCTTCCCTTCCGTGTTGTCTCCGACCCGCCGGTGCCGTTGCCGTTCTGTGCTGATCGCCCTGTACCGGAGAATATCAAGATGCTGGAGAGGAAGTAGGTGGAAGCGAGGAGTTGTTTTGTCAGTGCTGAGTTGATGGGTGTTTGCGTTTTTGGACGATCGTATTTGCCGTAGGAAGTTGCAACGATATTTCATTTCGAGATTTGATACATTGACGGTTGTACAATGTCAGTCACCGAACTGCGATGGACACAGCTACCTGAGACTCTGTTACGCACGTACACAACCCTTTCATCACTCAAGCGTCAAAGGCCACGCCTCGTTACACACCGAACAACTGATCGGATGTTGTCTCACCCATTCCTCACTTTCGACTATCCAGTCAAACCCGGAAAAATGGACCAGCCCAGGGCTCTCACGCGCGAACAGTTTGGCAGCCTCGATCCATTCTTGCTCGATCCAGGGATCGATCGCTAACAGGTGGAGCGAGGTTAGGGAGCGGAAGTTGCCCATGGCTTGCGCTATAGCTGCCTAGAGATGGGTGAGCCGAGGCGCCAAGACTCCAAACAATGGACGTACCATGGTATCCGTTCCCGGCCAGGCGCGCAACGACAGCAAGACTTCTCGTACGGAGGGGGCCATGCTTGCCAGCTGGGCTAATTTGGGAATGCCCGATGCACGTTCATTCTCTAGCCCTAGAATGCGAAGCGTTGGTATCTCGCCCAGGAGCACACAGAGCTCTTCAAACTGCTCGTCAGAGAGGAAACCGTCTGACTGGTGGGTGACGATGGTAGGGTCGAGGTTGTCATACGTTGTTATTGTCACTTGTGATAGAATCTCGATTGGGCGCTTTGTGCCATCGGGAAGAGGGCGGAGCAGCGTGAGAAGTGTATTCGTGTCTTGCTTAAACGGCCATGACACTTGGCGCAGGTTGGGCAGGCAGGTAGAGTCCAACTGAAATGGAACGTCTTCCCATGGATAGGCATGACGATCCAAACAGAGCGTTTCCAGCTTAGTGTGGTTATCTAAGAATGTTCCTGTGCTCTCGTTTGTCGCAACTCGGTCGAGTTGGAGCCACTTCAGTTCCGGCCAATGGCCTTCCCACAATCGGGTGCTGGCAGAGGGTGGAGACTCGGCGAGTATTCGAGGATCGAATAAGAAACGCAGCTCAAGATGCTCCAGAAGCGGACAATACTTCATCAGCTGATCTTCCACTGCCGTAATAATTGCTGTTAGGTGTCAGCAGTGCCGTGGTGACTGGGATAGACTCTTACGATTCTCAAAATAGTCGTCTGAATCCCAATGGAAATGAGTGAGACCCCCAATGCCAGATATGACCTAGCTGCGGATGAGTCAAAGAAGTCAAGAACAAGCGGATTTTACTACTGCCAGTGATCGTTCCAGAAGTTTTTCATGTGCCTCGCCGACGACCAATGCAGCAGAGATGGAAAGATTTGTGAAGAATGGGCTGGCCGCCCGCAGAGAAGGAAAGAAGCCGTCGAAGAGTCCAAAGTCCAGTGCATCAAGAATGAGTTCTATTGTACGAAGAGATCGAAGGGATTTGGATATAGCCGCCAACGTCTCGACAAGCTCTTCTAACTTGGGTTCTCGTCGACTCGTCGGCCTAATAGTGCGGAAGCCGGTAACTGGTGATTCGTCCCCATAGCTTTCAACCCTAAGACGTTGAACCAGCAGTGTTTTCCTTTGGCTATTTAGGAGCGCATATAAGTAGGGAAGATCTTCAAACAGAACGTTGACTGATCGCCAGTTCAGATGATCATGGAGAACCAGGTCACAAAGTCGTCTGCACGTGCAAGCCAGAGATACCAAGTCCGCAGGAGCGTATATGCGCTCTATAACGGCATCTAACAGTTCCGCTGGGAGGTGAAGAAGGTCCGGCATAATTGACTGTTCATCTGCAAAGGTAAGATATGATTTGAGGAGAGAAGACTGCGGCGTGCCAGCGAGAAGCGCCGGGCACAGCCCCTAAGACCAGTCGCGTGGGTGTCAAGCGCGTCGAGCTCGCGTCGGTCGTCGACGACCTACTAATAATTTCAAGCAAACATGTCGTGGGTAACTGACTCCAATGAGGCGCTTCACCTGAGGCTAGGTGAGCATCCCTGCAATATGGATTGAAAATACCGTCTAACTATACCTAAAGTCCGCGCTGAAGGGGAGGAGACACATGATGGGCGGACGGCCGACTTCCATCCCAGCTTCACATATCCGGTACGTCCCTCAAACCTGCTGATTAAATGAATGACGATCTAAATAATCGCCAGATATATGGAGAAGACGAAAAAATCTTTGGATATCTGGACCTCTACATTGCTGTGAGACCGTCTTACGGCTTGGATAGGCGTGTGCTAACAGGAAGCCAGCTGTATTTCGCCTCTGGCAGCTTAAAGCAGTACTTCAAGGTCACTTCAACCAAGCAACCTGCTGCCAAAGCCGATGATGTAGAAGGTGCACTATATAAGTTTATCCCCCCAGGTGCGTGTATGCGTCCATGCTACCCTAGCCATTGATTGATATCTGAACAGATTACACGAAGGACGAGAAGATATTCCATCAGCAGGTGGAGAAAGACGCAGATGAATTCAGCCCTTTTGGGAAGCTGGTGCACTCGTATACCCGGCCATCCAACAACAATAAGGGAAAATCCGTGAAACACATCCCAAGAGACGATGATCTCATATATGAGGTTTATCATGTATGTGCTCAATCCTCGTATGGTTCTATCACTTGACTCCTTTGGATGCAGTCGGCGTGGGACACGCCTGGGTTTCGAGATTACCACAGGCATATGCAGATCTTCATTCCGCTCTACATCGAAGGAGGCTCCTACATTGTAGAAGATGAGGAGAAGTGGGAGTTTGTTGTACTGTGCGCGGACTCTCATGTCCTCTTAACGTGACTTTCTGACAAGGTGACAGGTATGAAAAAACTAAGAATGCAGAGGGAAAGGAGAGATGGCACTTCGTTGGATATTCCAGCCTGTACCCGTTCTGGTGCTGGCCAAACAACGTCCGGCTACGACTGAGGTACGTCCTCCTAGGGTGGAACGGCCAGCAGCTGATATATAACTATCAAGCCAATTCGTCATACTTCCACCTTTCCAAGAAAAACACCATGGGTTTGAACTGTACAACACCATATACAAATTAGTCCGAGGTTCAATTCTCACGACAGAGCTCACAGTCGAAGATCCTAGTGAAGGCTTCGAGGACATGCGAGACAGATGCGATCTCGCCACGTTGCGAGCAAACGCAGAGTTTATGGAAGGTTGGCAACCTAAAGGAGGCGGTGAAAAGGGCTGGAGATCACCGATCAACAGAGCTTGGGAGAAGAAGTGGATGAGTGACTTGAAGCTGGCCAAAGTGGGATTTCATCATCTGATCTTGTTGTTTGTGACCCTGATCTTTGTGCCAGCGACAATTCCAGAGGTTGACGGAGATGCTGATCCTCGACCATCTTCAGCCTGGTGATGAGGAGGCCGAGCGTGCGTTCCGTTTACAAGTAAAAGAACGTCTATACAGGTTCAACTATGTGAGCAATCCATCCCCCTAGATGCATTGTGCTCACGGTCGTATAGGAAATCCTCATGCAGATGGATAAACCTGATCGACTGGACAAGCTGGAGGACACGTTCCAGGGAGTCAGGGAAGATTACCTTCGCATCCTGGCAGGGAAAAGGAGAGAGCCGCCAAAATAACGCTGTGCAAGGACCTTGTTGTGTCAGTATGTTATGAAGCAGCCAGACATTTCCTGTACGCGTACATCCGAGGATGAGTTAATGTATTATGGACTCAGGAATGACTCCCAATGGAGATCAATACTCTCGTCATTGGTATGAACAGAGTCTACGTGCACTTCAGTCGGCGACACGAGGAGGGCATGTCATGATATTACGCGTTGCGAACTGCGGACAACATAAAGTAACCCGATTGTTCATGGACCACGGCTACAGGTCATACCAACGACTCGCTAAGGACAGTTTTCACCTTCGGGTCCGCCTTCTCCAATATCTCCTTCGTCTCCTCCCACACCCTGTCCTGGATCACCTTTCCCTCCGGGCTGATAACGAGATCGCTCTCCTCCGCCACAGCGCAGGCATTAGTGAACTTCCCCGTCAGGCCCTGCATATCTTTGCTCAACGCCGCATGCAGGAGCGTCCTGCTCCCGACCTCCGTACTGCGCCCGTTCACGAGCTTCCAGAACCAGAAACGCCAGGTCGGGTTCTTCCTATTTCTTGTGAGCTCCGAGTGGCACAGACCGGGATTCACAGCGTTGACGGTAAGCGCGGACGTCTTGGGGATATGTTCCGCCAAGGAACGAGTGAAGAAGACGTTAAGCAGCTTGCTGACGCTATAGCGCTTGCCGAGAACACCATCCTTCTTGCAGTGCTCTTCCGAACCAAGCAGCTCGAGGATGTTTGGCGCCGATGCTTCGGGGAGGTCGTACACCCAGTAGTGTACATCTGAGGAGACGATCACGAGCCGAGGGAAGGGAGGCGCTACGGTAGCCTTCATCAGGCAAGGGAGAAGGCGGATAGAAAGGAGCGCAGTGGAGAGGTGGTTGACCTGAAGTCTATAAGAAGGTCAGTGTGGGATCGGAGTATATATGAGCTAGCGCCCGTACACTTGCTCATAGCCATCTGGCGTCTTCCGGAACTCGCCAGCCATGGATAGACCCGCATTGGCGATCTAGTGCAGAATCAGCGCAGTTCTATCATAACCCAGGTAAGGCTACCAACCAGCAAGTCCAAAACGCCGACCTCGCTCTCAAATCGATCCGCGAAGGCAGTGACGCTGCTGAACTCAGCCTGGTCCAGCTTCCAGCATTCGATCGTCGTGCACCCTGTGTTCTTGACGATGCTCTCCTTCGCCTTCTCTGCCTTCTCCAGATCCCGACACCCGAGGACGAGCTTGGCGGGGTTCATGCGGGCCAGATGGCGTGCGGCTTCCAGCCCTAGCCCGACGTTGGATCCAGTGACAATGACGTTCTTCCCCGTGAGGTCCTGCTTGAAGGAGGCAACAGAGGGCAGAGGTATCCATTGCAGATAGTGGAAGTACACAGTGCCGACCTTCATGTTCACGGATTGAAGAGTACACACGAGAGACGCTCAGAGGGCCAAGGCACGTTGCAGCAATCTAATTTTATAGGATGCGGATAGACTGCCGGTCGAGGTGGTTGCCCTCCACACCGTCGCTGAGGGTCTATGAGAACATTTGTCTCATTAGTCCTTGTCCTGCCCGCCCTATCGCTGTGACTGTGTGCGGCAGTGGAAACAGGCAATTTAGACGACGAGCCCGGCACCTTCAGCTGACTACGGCAGCGTTGTGTAGAACACTGTGGTTGGTGGAGGACAAGGTGGAGGTGTTAGTCAGCCAAGGAAATTACGAAATAGACCAGAGGATTTGCCGAGAATAATCATTCTTACAATCTTTCTTATGTAAAGTAGTAATTATACAGAATCGTATTCTGGTATCGTTGATGCAATAGAGTTATCGTTGCTGCTCGCCTCGTCCCCTCCTACCCGCCTCCCACCAGTTGCCACATACGCTAAAATCTCGACGCTCAACTCCAGCATCTCCATGTACTTCGACTCGACTGTCCTGGTATGTCGCTGTTTGACCAACGACTCCAAGTCAAGTAACCGCTGAGATGCTGCGTTCCTTTTTTCCTCGTCGTTGGTGTTCTCATAAACGACCGCAAGGACGTACAACACTTGCTGGCTGGACTTGATCAACTCGATTGCCTCATAGTCTTTCAGTGCACGTTGAAGCCATGGTATAGCTTCCTCGAGTTTCGAGACTACAGCGGGTCAGTAAAGGATCGTTGGGATCTAGTTATTGCTCACCATCTCCCTCCGCGTTGGCAATCATACACCTGGCGAGTGTAAAACAAGCATATGCCCTTTGCTCCAGGTCGTCCCCGCGCAGTATTTGCGGAAGGTGCTCCTCTATGAGTCGCTGACCACTCGGGGCCATCCCCAGGCCAATACCAAGATCAGCAATCATGATGAGTGCAGTTCTGTGTGTATGCCAATTGCAGGCGTATTCTGTCAGCGTGGCGGCCGTCAGAATCGGAGACATGGCGATGAGATATTGACGTGAATTCTGCTTTTCCATGAGCAGTGTTAAACTTGTGTAGGTGTAAAAGGACGAACGATATAGTTATTCCCCACTCGCAGGCACTCTCCCGCACCGAGGTCACCCTTCTCCACATCATACATCTTTCCTCGGTAGTTCTGCTGCGAAGGATATCTTGGCATTGTCTTCCGGAGATAGTCAACTAATCCCTTCCGCTCGCTGGAAATATCTCTGAATATACGAGAGAACCCTTGAGCAAAGCGCGACTGACCTGCGTATAGCAAAAGTGAGCATGTTGCACCATAGTTCCCATTGCCATTGTTGGGCTTGTTGCAAGGTGAGCGGTCGCCAAGTGGAAGGATCTATTATTAATGTCCATGCCTCGTCATATTGACCTTGCCGAACAAGCTGCGTGTCGCATGAGCTCTGGCAGCAGATTTGACAAGCATGTTACGAACCGAGGTAGTCCGCCAAATGATGTTTGTAAGCCTCACATCCTCTGCATTTTCGTCCATGTGAAGCAAGGAAATGTCTTCCCATAATCTACCGAGACTCTCGATTCCTGCTGTGAGTCAGTATAGTAATACGGCTCAGCACCGCACACTAACCGCTCAGTTTCCACATGAAAGAAGAGGCACTTGCAAGGCTCGCTCGATCCCGTGCCTTCCCTCCGTCTGAAAGGTCTTTTGCTCCAGCTGAAGCGAACCAAAGAAGCTTCCAGCATTTACTGACTGGTTCTCCTGATTCCAGACTTCGGCGAAGATCCCAGAGCACATCTAGCTGCTTAAACCCTTTCCGCAATGGAGTCGGCTCATGATCGGGATAAAACGAGTTGATGCGTCGTTGAAGGCTGCAGCCGCTGTCAGCATGTCTCCGAAAGATTGACATGAAACTCACGCAGTGCACGATATCAAAGTATACCTGTCGCCTGCATTACGACACACTTTCATGGCTTCCTCGATTGTTTCTTTAGCGGCTTTCATTTGTCCATTCAAATAGTACGTAGATGACAGCCGGAGCAAAGTATACTGGTTAAAGCCCCTATTACCCGTCAGCTGACTGGTGATATTATCTTTTGAGAACTCACGAGTCGTTCTCCTCGCTGAACCGCTGGGCAAAAAACCTCCTCAAACTCTCGATTGCGGTTGTAATATCGCCGACGTGTTCTGCGTGCTCGTATCTGGTCGAGGTGTCAAAAAGAGGACCTACCAGCGGATATGTCCACATACTCTGCGAAGGAATCCGCAGTCGCGCGGGAAGCATCATCATCTGACGTCGGGTAGCTTAGAAGCCCTGAGAGGTGTAAGCTCGTTAGATATATGCTCAGTCCTGGACGTACCAGGAATATCCCAATTGCTCTCAATGGCATATCCGTCCATATTTGTAGCATTTGCCCATCCTTGGAAGTCGTCGATGAACTTGACCATGCCAGAAAATGACAGCTTTTGCATCGAAAGTCGTGTTCTTCGAATGAACATGCCGAAGTATGACCGGCGCTCAAAGACAGCAGAAGATTGCTACAGCAATGAGCCCCAAGGCAAGATAATTTCGCTGCAACTTGCCAGATTCTCTCTTTCCCATATTAGACCATCCAGTTCTACTTCAGGTCAGCACATCGCACTTGTGTACCATATTCCTCCTTACGAGTGAACAAAGTGTGTAAAAAGTCTGGGTGTGTCATCTGCTTAATCTGTGACGGTGATCAGTGGGGAGGTTCTTCCACGAGTACAGCTGACATACGAAACCATCCAAGCAAGAGGCCATAATTTCAATGTCTCTCGGATAGACTTTCTTTCCTCCCTTGTCCAGCTCCTGGATCTTGCGATAAAAGTCCCGATATGGGAGGGGTTGATAGATCTATATCATGTCAATTGAGTGTTGGCTGATGAAGATAACAGGCGGACCTCTGAGATTTCTTGCATCACCAGCTTGTACACCTCTAGCAAAAACAGGTCGGTAAAGGTCCACTCCGGCGTGTGAGTCAACCTCAGAACCGCGGCCATCAACACATGATGTGGTCTCAGGACGTGCGTCCGAGTAGCAGGCGCGTCAGCCATATCGAAGTTCAGCGAGTACGAAGTAGCAAGGAGGTCCCATAACCGAGGACGGTCGAAAGTGACCACCTGTCCATGACCAAGAACGCGTGTCGCCAGCTTGAATGATCAGATTTATGGCGAACGGGATACTGAGACAAGAAATAAATTGCACCGCGTGCGTGGTCGCGTTCGGTGGTGGCGTGGACGACGAGGGACGCGTTGACGTCGACGATGTGCAGCGCGATTTTGGCATTGCCCCCATCACCCCTGTTTTGGATTAACACCGATTGGGACTGGTTGTATGTCCAAGGAAGATGAGTTTATTGCAGTCATGCGTAAACGACGAGGACGAGAGAAGATGTCCTCCCCCCAAAAGTCTCTTGCAGAACGCATGGCTGAGGTTGAACGCGCGTTGGAGAAGGGTGATTGGTACCAAGCCTTTCTGGGTGCGTTCTCCATTTTCCCCCTCGATATCTTCACTTACTAAGAGGACGACGCAGGTGTTCTGGAAACATTTGAATCGCAATGTACCATCAAACCAACTCGTGTGCTCTGTCTTGGGCTAGGAAGCCCAACAGATTGGTCGCCAGCCCAGTACCAGCTCGCCCTGTTGATGCGACTATGTCAACACTTCAACATTGTGAGACCCACACCACCATACTGTTTCTTGCCTGATTATGAACAGCCTCTTGAAAGGGCTGAAGTTTTTGACCCGGTCTTCACCGAAGAAGATGAAGACTATCTTAGAAGCGTGGGCTTGACAGTCCCTTCAGAGGACAAGGTTCGTTCTTCACATTATCGTAAAAACAATGCGTGACACTCTACAGGATGCGCGATATGAGCTCCTGGAACCAACCCTCGTGTATATGCCACATTGTGACTTGATCTACTACAATTACCTTCTCGAAGAGAATTGGAGTGCGGAGCGATTAGGAAACCTCCTCATGTTGGGCAACAACCTAGAAGACTACGTGACGATGTGCGCATACATCTAACTTGGATGTACTTTTTCTAATAGGAAACAGGGGCCCAATGAAGCGTCTTCGAGTTAAGGGACCCCTGGTCGAGAAGATCGGTAAGTCGACGCGCCTGATCATGGGTTTAAACTGATTTGGAACAGTACCATATATAAACGCAACATCTTTCCCCCCGAAGTTTGAGCTGGAGAGCGGGGCATTCAACGACACGCAATTTCAGTTCGTCAAGCTTTCAGAGCTTCCTTCTAAGGGAGACGATTTCTGGAAACTGGACGCTAGGGAGACGGAGAGAACAGCAATTCCTGCCTGAAATGCCTGAGATATATCCTGTATTCGTTTTTGGCGGACAAAGCATTTGTAACAGGTATTGGCTGTTGGGCAACCATGACAGACACTTACACCGTGAACATAGTGTCTGTGTGCTTTAACTCCAAGGCGACAGCCTAACGCCGCCCATAGAGCTGTCTTCGATGAAACACCCGCCGTAGATAAGACCTTCATTGATGTTCGACTCCTGGTAGCCCTCGGTTGCAACGTCCGCTGTAAGTTGTATCAGCACAAGTGGGGTCTGATTCCAGGTAGCAGCTTACCAGAAGGCGGAGTAGGCAGCTTGAACACACCCATATGGAATTGTCCGCCACCGGTATTATTGTTTGTTACCGGACCGGCGACGAGCTTCAACGGCTCGGAGTCCGTCGAGTAGTATATGGTCATCTCGCTAACGGCCACATGTCAGGAGCGCATAGATGCATAAAGGTACAATACTCACTTAGAGTTCCATCCTAGAGTAACCGCGAAATTGTGCCACGTATCCTCCGTGAACGGTACCGAGATATAGACAAACTCTGGCGAAGTCTGCCTTCCCGCAAGACGGAGCGTCTTTGGGGTGGTAAGGTCCAGACCAGGATAATAAGGAATCTCATTGCTCTGGTTGAAGTACGTCCCGGTGTGGAAGGTGAATTCGCTCGTCGAGTAATCATGCGTCTCGTGCCACGTCGGGTGATATTCGTGCCCTGTGTAGTTGAGCGGACGGGTCGGGTCCGTGCGCACCGACCAGTGGAAGGTTGTGGTGCCCTGGACCGTCGCGTCTGTCCCGTTGTTGGGCGCGGGGACGAGCTCGGAGCGCCGGAAGCCGTAGTCTGGGCCTGCGCCGCCAGGCTGGAAGATGCTGTTGTCGTTGATAGTCACTTCGACCGAGCGGGTGCCGTGCGGGCTTGATAATGTCACGTGAATCCTCAGTATATGACTAAAAGAATGACGTACAACACTGTGTTGGGAAGATCGAACATCGACGGAGTCACGATGGGCAGCTTGATGATCTGGTCCCAGGTTTGATCTGGGCACTCTATCAGCGAAAATCGATGGGCGGATTGAACAGCACTCACTGACACCATGCACGTTGTCCGTGTTCTGGTATATCGACGAGTTGGCATCGAAACTATACGGCGTGTAACTCCACGGCACCCTTCCGTCGTAGATGATACTGCCCAGCTTGGGGATAGCAGCCGGAGCAGCGACCACAACCGACGCAGAGAGAGCCAGAGACAAGAGAGGGAACATCTTTGGTCCTGAGCCCTGAGGACTTGAGCCCAACCCCAGAGCTGCGCTTTAAATAGCTCTGCAGGTAGCCAGCACGTCCGGAGCATGCCTTCTATCTGGGGTAATAATGCGCAGATGTCGTGCAAGTTGAGCCAGCATAGTTGAGAATGAATGATCTTCTGTACAAAGGTTCTGAGGAGAAGTGTATGGAAGAAGACGGAGGTTCGCAAGCTAGGTTGACCCAGAGCTTCCCCGCAATGCCATATGGAGCCGGAGGTTGGGCTTAATATGAATACAAGACACCAGAAAAGGTAATGTTGCGGTACTTGTTTGCGGAACGTGAGTCGACCGAGAGAAGACAGGTATGTTAGAAGTGGTTAAGTACGAGACCACCAGAGAAGACGTCAGCATGGTTGATTCCAATCGACGAGCTGCGTGTCGGGTACGAGTTCGCGTTCATGGTGTGCGGCGAAGACCCTCTCAAGCACAAGTGATTGATGATGAACACCGATGTTATACAAATGCGCACAAAGTGACAAGCGCGTGCAACAGCAGAATAGCAGTTTAGTGGGAAAACGCCAAGCCAAAGACGGCAGCAATGACGGCAGACCCGTCAATAATCAAATGAAATAAATAGGTCTTGTCTCCCCACACACTTCTTTCTTTCTCTCCATCATCCCTTTCCTTCACCGCCTTCATCTGTCTAGTCTACTTTTACTCTCTTGCTGTTCGAAAGTCGTTCGTTCATTCGACACCTCTTGCAATCATGTTCTTCTCCCTCGCTTCTCTTGCTGTTCTCCTGCCGGCCGTCCTGGGCCAGATCGTCGACGTACCTCTGGAAATCGAGTCTATCGAGGCGCTCTTCACAAGCGCCCAGCTCGTTCCTGAGCTGCTCCCTACATTTACACCTACTTGGGGCCTACACTTCTCTTTTGACAACAGCACCGACAACAGCGCTGGACAGTCTCTGACCGTTGCTCGTAAGCCAACGTTTCATTTCAAACGACACCGTCAGTTATATGCTCACACGCGTTCAGAGGTCGCAACCCCTCCCACTCTCCATCTCTACACTACGAACACCACAACCGCGTCACCCTTTTACACGCTCATGATGGTTGATGCCGACGTGATTGGGACGGACGAGTCTGTAGGACAGACGCGTCACTGGCTTGTGAACGACGTTTCTGTGTCTGGCACCGGCGAAACGCTCGCCGTCAACATTGCTAATGCTACGGCTATCACGGATTATGCTGGTCCTTTCCCTGCCGCAGGCAGCGGACCTCACCGGTGCGTGTCATGCCCCCCACACCTTTCTGCTCATGATCTGATGGACCCCATTAATAGCTACTGTCTATTCCTTTACGCGCAGCCCTCGACCTTCCAGGCGCCCAGCGACCTCAGCACCCCCGGTACCCCGCTTGCCAACAACTGGGATTTCGCAGGCTACGTGAACTCGACCGGCCTCGGCCCCCTCGTAGCAGGCACGTTCTACATCGTGGAGCAAGGCACCGCGACCGCATCCATCCCCGCTATCCCGACTGTCGTCTCCTCCACCCTCTCCCTCGCTAAGGCGAGCGCAGCTAGCGCGGCCGGCATGGGCACCCAGACGGGCTCTGCTGCTTCCCCCTCTGGATCCTCGGGCTCTGGTTCGGGAAGCCACAGCGGCGCGATGAGCAACGCTGTTAGCGCTGTTGGCGTCATGGCGGTCGCTGGCCTGCTCGGGGCGATGCTTTTGTAAAAAGCTCGGAATGTGGATGGTGCATATGGACTGTCAGATTGAATGGACTATGGTTTTGAGCCCAATGACTGCTGTATACCTGCTACACTAGCATTTACTTTCCTGTAAACGTCAATCGTTTGCAATGCACATGTTTCGGAATGATCCCCGAATGTTTGGATATAGCTCTCGTCTACTGGTACAATATCAACACCAACATCAAAATAAACCAACGCCAATCTAAGCTCCAACATTCCTCTTAATCTGCTCCAACAACACGTTCATCCTCAGCCTCATATCCGGCTGTCCCTTCCCCTTATCCCCCTTCCTCTGCCCTTTCCCAGCCGTCTGCCTCCCGAGTGGATCACTCCGATAAGTGTGCAAGCTCCCTCTATCATACGCCTCTTTCGCCCTTGCCCGTCGGCGCGCAGTTTCTTCTCGCTCTTCCTTCTCCTTCCTTTGTCGTTCTTCCCGACTTAGAGTGGGGTGCTTGCCTACTCTCCCAGTCTTTCCGTTCTCTTCTATATGACTCACACTCCCTTTCCTGTTGACCCTTTCTAGCGGACTTCCCCCTGAGTAACCTTTCGCACCTGCCGGACGGGAGGAAGGCACTCGGGCTGGTAAGCTCCGAGGTTCTTGTGGGGTGGAATGTGATGATTGCTTGAGGGAAGAACGTCTCTGGTGCGAGCTAGTGAGGGAGTCGGGCCGCTCTTGGATATCTTCAGGCTCTGAGACTTCACCATGGGTCGGCGAGTCATGCATAGCCTCATCATCCCCTTCTCGCAATCCGAATCCGACAAACTCTTCCTCGTCATCTTCCATCCCTCCTCTGGTAGTGTTACCCACCGCTCGCCCACCATCTTCGCCACCATCCTCCTCGTCACCTCCTGCCACACCCTCCTGATCCTCTTTCCGCCCCTTCCCTTTCCCAAAATACCTGCTCTGAAGCTTCTTCCTCTCTACCCACTGCTGCTTCAACTTCCTGGCTACGTACACGTCTCATCAGCTCGACTGAATGAGGCAGGATGATGTACGTACCAGTAGCGTGCGGGAGGTGCTGGAACTTTGGGGGCGTTTTCCGTTTGTGGTGCGAGAGGGTGTCGGTGGTATCGGAGGGTCGGCGGCTTGACGGTTTCCTCATTTTGAAGGACGGGGAGGTTGTGGAAAGACAGCGATATTCGCTTCGAAAACGGTACAGAGGGTCTTCCGCTGACTCTGAGTGTTTAGCTATGCTTCAAATCCGGTACTATGGGAATTTGAAGAGATCCGGAGTGCCTGCAGGTCAATATCAATCTAGTCGCTGGATGAAGAATTTTTTTTGACAGTTTTTTGGTGTGAAGAATTCTTCGAGCCAGAGGTATAGAAAGAAGATCAGGGATCAGGTGAGGTCACGTGTTCAAAATCTCCGATCGGGCTCGGCTTGAAGGACACAACGATCTCTCTTCTCTCTGTGATCAACGCCATTCATGCTGCCCATCCGCCGTCTCTCTCCTCTTCTCGTCCGCGCCTCTCGTGCCGCCGCTACCACCACTACCAACCTTTCCTCTCGCTATGTCAACCTCCAGCCTTCCGATCCCAGCACGTCCACCACCCCTCACCTCAACGCCGCAGAACGTTCACAGCTCGGGCAGATAATCCGTGTTGACCAGGCGGGGGAGATCGCCGCAAATTGGATATATGCGGGTCAGATGGCGGTATTGGGTAGGGATAAGAAGACGAGACCGCTTATCCAGGTGCGCTGTTTTGCTGCCAGGAAAGGGCGCGAAGGCTAATCTGCACTGTAGGAAATGTGGGACCAGGAAAAGAAGCATCTCCTCGTTATGGACCGGTTGCAAGCGCAACACCGTGTTCGTCCTACTATCCTAGCTCCTGTAGCGCAGATTGCGGGCTTTGGGCTGGGTGCGGTGACTGCTCTCATGGGACGGGACGCGGCGATGGCATGTACAGAAGCAGTGGAGACAGTCATAGGAGAGCACTATGATGAGTTCGTATCTTCATTTTCTTGTACTCTCTGATCTAATTCCGATATGCGCCTTCACAGTCAACTCAAGGCGCTGGAAAGCATGCCCCGACATCCGAGTCTGAGCTTACTCAAGGATGTCATCGTCGAGCTGCGAGATGACGAACTGGAGCATCTCGGTACGGCGGTAGAGAACAATAGTCAACGCACACCACAGCATGCGCTGCTTACCACCATCGTAGAGACGGGGTGTAAGGTAGCGATCGAGCTTTGCAAGCGGGTTTGATGTGCTGTACTCCTGTGTGTTTTTAGCCCACCTCCTCCCGCACACATCTGTACAGAATTCTGTGGACCACACAATCTCAAAAAGGGCTTTTGCGCCTTGCGCAAGGCGTCACTTATACATTAGTTCTGGACATGATAATGTGCTCTTGAGGAGCAGCTATTGTTTTGGAGGAGCCTCACTCCCCGAGCGCTTCATTGATTCGCCCCGGTACCTACCACCCCAACTCCACTGGTCCTTTGCGCTCATCAGCACTTACCAAATAAGCAGAAAAGGAGAATCGTACCCGTGTAAAGTAAGCAATTGCGAATACGCTAAGGGGGACAAGAGCGGCGTAGTAGATTGCTGGCCCGGTGTTGTACCGCGTGAAACGGAATCCTTTGTGGATGCTGTCGCGCTGAGGGTACCGTCAGAGGCTGCAGGCACCCCTAACCGCAAGAGGGAAACGTACCATCGTCCGCCAGCGCTCTATCGCAGGATCTTGCTATATCCCAGCTACGTCAGTACCGACCCCGCTCATCGCAAATGCACAGCATACCAACAACGTCGCTATCACGGTCCACTGATCAGCCGTTCTCCGCATCGAAAACAACGACAAGACTTACGTTCATGTGGACGCGGGAGTTTCGCATTCTCAATCAATGCAGCTTGCTCTAATTCCTTGATGATACCTTCGGCCTGAGCGTGCTCCAACACACCCTGATCCCTCAACTTCCCGACCGTGTCCATGTCGTTCAGCGCTCTGAAGACAGCGATAGTGCGATGAACATGGTGTGCTTGGGAGTGCATAGGAAGTGCATCGTATTCCTCTGCAGAGAGTTTGAACTTGGCCAGACTGTCTTCCACTTCCTGAGGTGTGAGTTTCTGGCCTATGGAAGGTTAACGTGTTGGACCAGATGTCGATTGATGGACGCACCGTCTTGCTCTGCGGTCATCCGGATGAGTGTAGTCATGAGCGCATCGAACTGCTTCATCTCCTCATCATCGGCAGTACCCGGTATCGAGGTCGACATCTTCGTCCCTCAGGAAAGGTAGGAGCAGGGGAGTTTGTCCGACGTCGAGGCAGTTCACGAGTGAGCCCGGCTCAAGGAGAACCGCTTCCAAAGTCAAGCGGAAGTATTTGCGCATGGGAGACGGCCGCCCTCGTTGTCGTCGCCTCGCCTCACACTTCACTTCCTTCTGTTCACATACACTCACCTACATCTGCTGTTTGGCTTGTGCTTTTCACACCTTGGATTCATAGCTGGTATTAAAGATGAGCTACCGGAATGAGCACGGTGGACGCGAGTGGGACCAGGGAAAGGACTGGGACCGGGAGGGGTACGACTCTGGACCCCGGGGGACCCGGAGGGCAAGAGAGGACGACTGGGGTTATGAGGGTGATGATTGGAAACGGAGAAAGATGAACGACGACGATGTTCGTACCTTTATTTCTTAGACAAAAGGTCATACAGGCTAAAAAGACATAGTATGCATATGAGGACTATTCTGGTCCTTCTGCGCACTCTGGGCCGCGACAAGGGCCACCGGAGTGGAGCGGCTATCAAGGACATGATGGTATGGGCCGTGGTGGTGGTGCCGGTTTTGGACCTCCAGGCCTCGGGGCGAACTTCAACACCCCTGCTGCTTATGGTCGGGGAAGGGGAAGAGGCCCGAGCGAAGCGAGCGAGCATGTCATCTTTTTAGGCTTGGATCCTGACTTCACAGAGGACGACGTAAGTCTCTTACCTAAGCAACTCATGACTGGAATATTGAGATGGAGTTTTTAGTTGAAATTTTTTTTGATTGGACAAGGTCTACAGGTGGTCAATACAACAATTATTCGGGACCGCAATACCGGTAAGGGCACATCGAAAGTTTTTCTGCGGCATAACTAATGCGACTTACAGGTCAATCCCGGTCGTTTGGCTTCGCGCAATTCAACACTGCCGCTGAAGCCTCACGTTTCCTCACTCCCAACTACCCGTTCGTTGGGCTTCCTCCACCCGCCTCTCACGCCTTCGGCGGGGTTGTCAATGACACCCCTGGCCGGCGAGTCAAGATCGACTTTTCGCAGAGCGCACAGCCCAAGTTCCGCGAGCAGGCACCCCCGAATGACGGTAGCCGGGATATGGGCAGTCAGCAAACCGCTGTGCTCTTGCTCCGCGGGCTTGACCCTCTTACGAGTATCGATGAGATCGAGCAGGCGCTCAGGAACGCCGCGGGTGAGGGGAAAGAGGGTGCGGAGGGTATGAAACGTATTGCACTTATTCGGGATCGCGGGACACGCATGGGATGGGGCTTCGCCTTTGTCGAATTCAAAGATGTTGCTGTATGCGCCTTCCTTTATTTCCGGTGGTCATTGCTGACTTTACTGCAGTCTGCGGGAGCTGTGCTAGGCTACACTATGATGCCCCAGCTGCATCCCAATGGATTTCGCATCAGCGACAAGCCCATCGCTGTCGCGTTTGCGCACACGATGTCCTTCCAGCCCCTTCCACCAGGTACGCCCAAAGACGAATACTGCATCTCTTCATCGCTCGCCATGGGCGGACAGGAGGGGTGGTGGACCAAGTACTGGGACGAGGGCGCGGGTATTGGAGAAAAGAAGTTTGAAGTCAAGGAGGACCCAAAGCAGTCGAAGGAAGACAAGGAAAAGAAGAAAAAGACGAAGTTGAAGGAAGTTGGTGAGTACTGGCGTCACAGGTCGAAGGGACTCGCTGACATCGGCTGGCTAGACGAGAGCTCGCTTCCTGCCCCGACTAAGTTGTCTATGACTGAACATGCACCGCTCAAGATCAGTGCTAAGAAGCCCGGTGCGAGTATCGCTATCGTCCCCAAGAGCGGAGATGCGAAATGTAAGTACAGTAAGAATCACGCGTGGTGCCTGATGGTTGACACATATCCAGCTGCTGCGCCAGCAGCAGTGAAGATACCCGTCCTTGGTTTCGGGGGAGAAGAGGAGACGGCGCAGTTTGAGGATGCCGAGGATGAGGAGGACACTTCGGCCTTTGTCAAGGGTTTGTTCCCCGCCATCGGGCGACATGTACCCATCGTCATAGACGTGTACTGATACGTCTTCCGGCGGACCAGTCAACAAAGGTACCAAATTTGCCCCTATGGCCGGCAGTAAGAAGGTGCGTCATTGTGACCTGTATGCTAAATCCCCTGCTGATTCAACCTAACACAGACATTGGGCAACATCAACAAGTGGAATGCCAAGCAGGAAGAGCTGGCAACTGATGCTGAACAGCCTGCACCTGCCCCCGCGCCAGCAATGGTGATACCTTCCTCCATGCTCTGTTACTACAGACGCTCTTTTGCAACACCTTTCTCACGGTCGTCCTGCATCGTCTAGGCTCCCGTCAAACGCGCACCCGCCGCGGCTGTCAAAGCCACGTCAACACCCACCCGCAATTCACCCGCGGCCGAGGCGGATAAGTTCGAGTACGGTGACCCTGTCGCCTTCGCATGCTTCCTCTGCTCGCGCAAGTTCACGAGCGTGGATCAGCTGCGCCGGCATGATCAGGAATCAGATCTTCACAAGGCTCGCGACCAAGTCCCACACCTGGTTTTCATGACACGTTTGCTGACGTCTGCTTCTATTGCCTTTTCCCCGCACTTGATTATGTCTCGCATTTGCTTGCGATAACAGGCCAACCTCAAGGATGAGAAGCTCCGCGAAGTCGCCCAGAAGAAAGCCGACACTGCACGAGCAAAGCACCAAGAAGATCAAGCACCGAAATATCGAGATCGGGCTTCCGAGCGACGCGAGATCTATGGGCAACCCGATGTCCCGCCTCCGGACGCGCTGAATACCAGTACGTCGGGGAAGAAGCGCAGGGCTTCATCGCCCTCCCCTCCGCCACCGCCGGTGGCCCTGGGCAAGGACGAGAACAACATTGGGAACAAGCTGCTTAAGAAGATGGGCTGGGCCGAAGGGACCGGTCTGGGTACGGAAGGCGAGGGCATAGTGGACCCAATGTACGTCGTCTTGCTTCCAGTCTGGGGAGTAGTGCTCATACATGCAGTGAAACGGCGCTTTATGCGTCTGGTGTTGGGCTGGGAGCTACAAAACCCCAGCCGGTGGGCAAGTATGAACCTGGTATCAGGGGATATGTTGCCAAAGCGAAGGATTCGGTGCGTGAGATTATCAATTATTATAGGTCTATTCTCATACAAGTCTAACAGGCCAGGGAACGCTACAATCAGTAGGGAGGGCTATATTCTTGCATAATACCTTGTGGAGACACCTCACACTTTGCATATGCTTCCCACTCAGTTTGTACGATGCTACATATGGTTATACATCCCATTCCATCACTCGGGTCCCTCTGTCCAAGGCACTTCGATCTCGTCCCGCCAGAACCTGCCCGTCTTTCCTCCAATAGTCCCGATGGCGAGGAAGACTGGTGTTCGCGCGCCTTCCTCTGGTGTCTTAGTGCCCAGAGGTGCCATGTCTGTCTTCACCCTGTTAGTCGATCAGCAACTTCATCGCCGGCGAAAGAAGGCACCCACCACCCAGGACAACACGCATTGATAAGCACTCCCGGAGTTTCCCTCGCCAGGACCATACTCAACCCCGTCATGCCCATCTTACTAACACGATACGCGTTATCCGTCCACCCTTCCTCCTTCCATCTCCCCTCCTGCACATCCGATTCAAACTTTCGCATCAGGCTGTCCAGCTTGTCCAGAGTGAGCGCCGGATCAAGGAAACGCGCACGCAGCGTAGTAGAAGGGAGGTTGCGCATCGCCCCTCCTGTAGAGGAGACGTTTACTACTCTCCCACGAGGCTTGATAAGGGGCAGCAGGGCGAGCGTGACGGACTTGGTGCCGTCATAGTTGCATTGTACGACTTCTCTTGCCAGGTCCGCGGTAAGTTCGCGCACAGGGAGGATCCCGGCATTGTTGATCAGCACGTCCATGGCCCCGATCTCCCTTTTAGGTCAGCAGTGAGCGCGGACACAGAAGAGGGGCTGGTGATGTCCAACTGGTGGAAACAGACATCAGACCCAGCTGAGAGGTTACTGCGCAGCTTGTCGACGGCTTCTTGTCCCAGGGCGGGGTCGCGCGCGGTGAGGTAGAGGAGTATGGGCTCACTCGAGCGCAGGAGGGCCTGGGCGATCGCGTACCCTATACCTTTGTTCTTCTCGGTGTGAGGATCGGACAAGGCAGGGAAAGGGAGGCACTTACCCCTCCTGTGAGAACGATCACGCGCGGGTTGGGGCTCACCATTGGTGTCAGGTATTGAGGTGCCGGTGGACTTTGGCCTTGTCGTTAGGGTTGGGATGGGGGCGGTTTAGGTGGATGAGTCAAAGTTGACTTTGTAGCAGGGATAGGTAACTAATAGTGGGCACGCCATTACTATGATCCTCGATCTGTGGTCATCCAGGGAAGTGTGGAGGTAACGTCATCACATGGAGGAAGACGCCCCTCAACTTGTGGATGCTTCTTTTTCTCCGGCTGTCTTTCTCCGGTCAACACATTCATGCTTCTCTGCCTCCGTCTGACTCACACGCTTCTGTCCACTGAGGAATCCGCCGCTTCTTTTGCCGTGAGTGTTTATATCGTCAACTCACTCCGGACGTCCGGTCTTATTCATTCCATTCGAGTCCTGACTGAGTTGCTGCATCATTCCACCTGGTCCTGTCCACAATTATTCTCACTGGCCTGTGGGAAAGGTGCTTCTGATCTTCTGATCTTCGGAGAGCGTAATTATCCCCCGGCGAAGCTACTTGACTACCCGGTGAACAACAACGCCGAGGTCAGCGACGTTATGGGCCTTAGCTCCCTGGTGTCCAGCTCACCATTTCCCATACCGCAACAGCACCGGCTTCCATACCGTGCTCCGCCCTGGTACCTCACACCGTAGGCACAAGGGCGCACAATCCTCCGCCGAGCATCAGTATTTGACATTTTTTCAGCTTCTTCCCAGGAGACGCGCACGAAAAATGCGGCGCGTTCAGCGGGCGTAATGTTCAAGCACCGCTGCATCACAACGCACCGTCGCAGCTATTGTCTACCAACACCGTTTCGGGTCGTTTCTATGCACGCTTCTTCCTCAGTGTACGCGCCGGCGGACAAAGGCGGCGGCGGTGCGATGCGGCGGTCAGGAAAAGCTTAAATCCGCTCTCTCTCCCTGGACTGATTCTCTCAACTCTCATCCCTCTAGTCCTGTGCGTTGTGCGTTCTCTGTCCTGGGAAAGGTATATAAGCCCTCTGGAATATCGTTTTGTTCTGATTTTGACGAACGTCCCTAGAGCTTGACTCGAACGCGCGCGACCAGCAGTGACTCACAACGTCCGACGTTTACTCATCGCTAAATTTCCATCCTACCGCCGCACCATCACTCCATCACGGAACCAAGTCATGCACTCTTCACCGACTATAAAAGCACAGGGCGGCACAGGGGCCCGCCAGTCACACTCTTTCCCCCTCCCTCATTTCGCTCCCCGTGTGCCTACCCAGCACTCGCTCAAACCGCGCTACTCCCCTTGGCCTACTACACCAGAGGAGGAAAGCATGGACGCACAGTGGGCGCAATGGTATGCACCTTATCTCCAACAGCTGGGCACGTATGGCTGGGTTTGGGATGGGAAGCGCTGGAATTGGGGCGCCCAGCGCGTGGAGTGGTTCCCCATGAAGACCGAGGAGACGTGGTTGGACAGGGGGATCGACCCGCGACTTATTTACCGCTCTCCCTCGCCCGAAACGGAAGAAACCGTCTCCTCCCCCTGCACTCAACGGTCGAGCTTGCTAGACTCCCCAGATGGGTCCAGTCAATCCTCCCTCCCTCCTTCGCTGTTCGACTTTGGGAGCGAAGATGAGGAGGAGCTGGAGACTCGGATGAACGAGTGCTTCACTACCCCCCCAACTGAGTATGAGCAGAGAGGCGGGAAGAGAAAGTACCTCGAGGAGCTTGGTTCGGAGGGAAGCGAGGATGGAGATGATGAATGCGACGACCAGGATCTAAATTATACGAAACCGAAACCACCCAAACGCCCGCGTCTTTCCAAGCTGTCAGGCAAGAGACGCCCACAACGTCGTCGTCCTCCCCCCTCGAGGGATGTCAAGCCTCGCGCTATCCGCCGACTGGTAGCTCATCCCCCCCCTGTCCGCCCACAAAAGGCCATCCACGAACAAACCGAGGTCGTCTTCTCCTGCCCGTACCACCTCTCTTCCACCCCACATCTCACATGCGGCGCCTGCTTCAGCAGCGAAACGGACGTGAGGCGCCACGCTGCCACGCACCTGGCCAAAGAATACTACCAGCAGCTCAACTCCTCTTTACCTGCCGAAAACTACATGTTCGCTGGTCTGGCCCCGAGGTTCATCTACTGCTCACACACGTGGTGTAGTCGGCCGTTCCTGCGAAAAGACGCGCTCCCAAGACATATGGCTGGCTCATGCTTGTGCATAGCAGACCGTAGCAAGAAGGGCAAGAAGGAGCGGCTCGAGCAAGCACGCGCGCTCGTCCTGCGGGGAAAAGAGCACTGGGTGCACACCCCAGCTCGTATGCCCCATTCCGTCGAGGCAGTCACGGCCAAAGTCGAAGGGCAGCAAAAGAGGGTCATCACGCGTATTGTGAGGGTTCTCAGTACCTATGGGGACTCGTTTGATATTAAGCGGGTTAAGGATGGTGAGGAGATGGAGGTGTGGTGGGCCCGTGGGAAGGGGAAGGGGAACTATAAGGTCTTCGAGCGTGCGCTGGACGAGTGAAGTGGTTTTGGACTTTTTGCTGTGCTATGGCCTTTCTGGCCTAATAAAATGTAGATAAAGGAAAGATAACTAATTACATCTTCTGACAGCTATTTATAGTCAAATCCTTGACATTAATATTATAATGTTCTTGACGACGCGACTCCACGCGTTTCAGTCGCGTCCCCTTTGACGTATCCCCACTTCCGTTCCCTGATCTGATCACATCGGACAGGGCAGTTAATACCTTTCCTTCCTTCCTTTTACTCTCTTCTTGACCCCTGTTCCTATCACGATTCTCACGATATCCTACGATCTCACGAATATACCTATTCACTTTGCGTTTGACCTGATTCGCCATGGTTCACACGCGCCGTACGATGACGATCACGAGCATCATCAATGTGAGGCATTTCGCTCCAATACTCACTAGGTATTGACCTGCCCAGACTCCGCTGGAAGAGCATCGCAAGAATTTGCGTAAAGTGCGTCCTGTTCCAGCACCTGATCTCAAACATACACTGATCGGGCGCAGTATTCCTGGCTCCCCGACGTCTTCCGTATCGATGGCAGTGTGATCCCCCACATCATCGGCCCGGTGCTAACGGTGACGGTATTTGCGGCTGTTGTCGCGGCGGTGGACCAGCATACGAAATTGGACATCAGGCTGAGCAACAATGTCGTCCCCTTGCTGAGCGTTGTCGTTGGTTTGATCCTCGTCTTCCGGTGAGAGTAGTATATCCGTTCATAGGTCGGAATCATTCGCTGACAGGACGTTTAGGAATGGGTGAGTGATACACAAGTGATGATGATTGTAGAGGGCTCAAGGATATGCAGAACGTCTTATGACCGGTATTATGAGGGAAGGAAGGACTTCGCGTCTCTAACGTCGCAGACCCGAAATCTGGCTCGGTGCGTCACGTTGCTTGCATTCTGACGTGCGGTTCTGAAATTCGGCTGTCTAGGTCAATCTGGGTCAACATCGCGTCCCCATCTCCTGCAGGAGATGGCAGTGCCAAGTCTTCTGACAAGGTGCGGGCGAAGATCACCAAGCTGAAGATCCGCGCTCTCCGGCTGCTCATCGCCTTCCCTCGCGCGGTGGTGCACCATCTGCGGCAGGAGAACGGCAGCGACACGACAGAAGAGACTCAGGTGCTCACCGAGCAACTAAAAGCCCGGGCGAAGATCGACACATATAGGAAACGCAGCCGAGATGGAACCAGCGTCAGTTATGGGACAGTCAGCGAGGTGACCAGCCCTATTGGTGGGAAGGAGAACCCCTCGAGGAGCCGGAGCACCGATTCGACCATCACGGCTGGGAAGGCAGTCAGCCAGGAAACACCATTGATGGTAGACGTGGATGTCGAGCGTCAGGACGAAGTCGAAATCCAGATTGATGAGCATCAGTTCATTCCGAATATGCCCTTGGCGTGGGTATTCCTGGTTTTCACCAGTTGGAGGTTTACTGAAAAGTCAAATCAAGCATTGCTCATGAGCTTACGCGCATGATCTGGAAGTTCAAGCGTGCAGGCATGCTTGATACCGTCGGACCAGCCGGAACAAACGCGATGACGGCTTCGTATGTCTGTCTGGTTGCCGTCGCGATTCCTGCTCATTGCATTGTCAGTATTCAGGGGATGGTCGACATGCTTACTGCTATGGAGAGGGTGAGCAACACCCCTATCCCAGCTTCTTGTGAGGCGGATCTTGCTATGTTGCTATGAGCTGGAGTTGACTAGAAGCCAAATTTAGACGGCATCCACCTCAAGCAATGCGTTACGTTGTACCTGTTCGCACTCCCATTCACCATGGTCAAGGATATGGGGTACGCCGATCACTAACCCCAGACGAAAAACAAACTGAATATGGGCATCAGCTACCACATGGTTCCTATCGTCACTGTTGTCGCCTTCACTCTTATGGGCATTGAGGGTATCGCCGATCAGATCGAGATGCCATTCGGGAAGGACATGGACGATCTTCCTCTCGGCGAGTCTCGCTCTCTCTAGCTCGTATGTACTCTGACAGTGGTGCAGAAAAGTATTGCGATGAGATGCAACGGGATATCGAGTATATCATGGACTACTTGCCGCAAGGGGACGAGGAAGACGCGTTTATGCAGGGCATGCCGCAGCAAGATGAGGATGATGCTGTCGTATTCTGAGGGGCTCCCTCAGGAATTTCCATTTCGAACCGGTACATCATAACAGCGCAACCTAACCCCTGTGACGTGCATGTCACGGTTTTAACTCTTATTTTAACGTTAAACATTCCCAATTCTCAAGCGGCTTAATGATCATAAGTCACGATGCCACAGAAAGAAGTCAGGAGATGCCCGGAGGTTTTGAAGCTCCGAACGATACGCGTACAACAGGAGTCTACCATGCCGCTCGTCTGTTGCGCAAATTCGAAATACGGCGAGCCTTAATAAAATACCTGATGAACAGCTTTAGGAGGACATGGAGTCGCGCGGTCCTCATCGAGCATGCCCTAGATAAGTAAATGCATGTCCGTCCGCCTCTGGCAGGGGAAGGGACAAAATGAGCGGCACCGGTTTATCGTCGTGGATCTTACGATAGTATAACTTTGTGCGTAAACATTGTGTGTTTTGTGAACTGTCTAGGAGAACTCTGGTAGACAATGCTCTCCCGGTCCATAGGGCTACATGATGACTCGTTAAACCCAACACTTCCAGAGAAGATGTTGGACACACCTTGCTTGTGAGTGACGTGAGACCTGCGGAATTCTCGCTTGTATGCCGTCCGCTCTGCGGACCGGGCTTTGGCTTTTGACCCTTGGCAAAGGCATCCAGGATCTTCTTGGTCGTCTCAGGAGTAAGGTCTTCCTATAACAGATACGTCAGCTCAAATACGGCGCTAGCAAGTATTTGCGACACACATAGAAATCATCACCGACCACCATCATTGGTGCATTACTGCATGCACCCTGGCATTCCACCTCGACGAGCGTGAACTTGCCGTCCTTGGTCGTCTCTCCAACACCGATCTTGAGATGATCCTTGATCACATCCAAGATCTTGTACCCGTCCCGGAGCATGCATGGGGTAGTCGTGCAGACTTGGACGAAGTTATCCCCGATTGGCTCCCTGTACGTTACAAGAACCCCGTAAGCATCAGCACTTGCCAACCGAGGGAGAGCATGCGCACCGATTGAACATAGTATAGAATGTCGCAACTTCATAGACGCGCATAGGGGGGAGATCAAGAAGCTGCGCGACATAGTTCATCACGCTGATGCTTGTCCAGCCCTTATTTTGCCTCTGTCCCAGGTCAAGCAGCGGGATGACAGCCGCCTTCTTGTATTGGGATGGATAATGTGATATGATTTCTTGGGCAAGCTTGAGATTCTCAGGGGTAAACTTGAAAGGAATCTAGGCAACAGCATCAGCTTTCAGAGGGATTGTGCGGTTCAGGGGTTGATACCGCACCTTCGAATTATTGTAAGGGGTGTCACGATGCTGCCAAGGGTCGTTAGAGACCAGATCCCGACAACATTCATACCACATACCACAAAGAGAGCATCGGACCGAGCTATCCTCGTAGTGGAGAATGTTCTCCGGGCGGACAAAACAGGCCGCAGACGCAAACAACGGAGGGCCATGGTCGTTGAATGCACCGGTGTTGATCAAGACGTCCGAGTCGACATAGTCTTAACACGATTGGTCTGTCCATCTCCTCACAGGGGGGCATCGCCACCCGGATAAACTCCTAGCTCCGACAACTCCATCAACTCTGCGTACCCGCCCTGATCGATATCGCTCATCTGTTATTTGGGCGCGTTTACTCGCACATCACGCCTTGCTGTAAGTCAGTTGCTGCTAGGAACTTCTGGCTAGAAGGACTGGCCAATCATCTGCTATCTCAAGATCGATCACCAGGGGCGTACTCTTGTTGTTCTCGGGGCTTCTACATGATGGGCTTGCGGCCAAGATGATCAAATCGAAAAAGAATCCATCCATGGAATGATACCTTTACATGGCATTGGACTCGTTTCAAGCGCTATCAAAGCCAATCCATACCGAGATATCCGCAAGACCAGATAGGCAAGAGAATACTATTGTTTGCAAGGCCGGAGGGACTTGCACCACTCATGCAACGGTAGATTTCTTGCGAATCTGTGATACCTGGGCGCTTTCCATCTCCTGTAATCCGGCGTGGAGCCATCATATGGTTGTTTTTGTGTCATAGTTGGGCCGGGTCTTGAAAGGGGTTACGACCAACTTCTTTTGCACCAAGTGTATACATGCTCAGTCGCCTTGCTCCTTACTCCTCAACCTCCTTTTTACATCGTCAAATGACACCCGTATAGTCTTGGTATGCGGCATCAACAGTATACTTTGTTCCTTCGAAGAGGACTGTCGACGAGTTCTGGACGGATCGCGCGGATTTGATATGCGTCCTCTTATAGGGACCAGCCTCCATATTTATGGTTCTTGACCGAACGTCGGGAAAACTGGTCGTAACCGTTTTTGGAACCCCCTCCAGCAATATTCCTTGATGGCCGCCTTACACAGCACATTAGCCACTCTGGTTGCAATTTTTATGCTGGGCCAATGGGGAACGGTCGGAAGGATGCGCCGACGCGTGCTTCTTCGTCTTCTTTTGACGCGTTCTCGGTCATGCTGCTTCGCACATACAATGTCGCCCCGTGACACAAAGTCGCGCTCCTTGCTGGCCCTCTCCTTTTCCGCCTCTTGTTCTCTTTTCCCCTCGTCTTCCTATACCACACGCTCCTTTTTACCAGCGTGTCTATAAGACACTCTTCGTTCGTTCAGAAATCGACCAAGCGCGTCGTCGAAGTCACTCGTTTGACTGGCTACTTCAACATGCAGACCATCATCCAGAGCTTACTTTTTGGCCTGTCTATTGCGATCGGTGTAAACGCACTCGCCCTTCCTGCTCCGACGCACGCGGCGAGGGCGTTCGCACCTCCCGCGGTTCCGTCCTCCAACTCGGCCAATGTCGATCCCAGCAACCTGCCGAACTACGGCTTCATCCGCCCATCCAACGGACATCTATATGACGGCCTTGGTAATCTGTGGGACTTTGCAACTTTCAATTCCCCACACTTACTCACCTGCGAGCCTTTTGAGGTAGAGTTCCCCGGAAATTCTGGAGCACATGTGTTTAACAGAACGTTTCAGGTGGTGGACACCATGCGAACCCTTGCCGCCGGCTTCGCGCGCCCAGTCTCCAGAACCTATGTTCTGCAAGTGACCAGTATCAACATCCCTGCTGACCAAGCCCATATCGTGTCATGGGACAACACAACCATGGACTGGGTGTACAACGAGGCCATGTTTCAGAAGATGGACTTTGTTTTGGCAACCGCCGCACAATGTATGTGCTAAGTGACCGTGACTGCACGTATCTCTAATTCTGGAAACAGATGGAGTCAAAATCGTGCACCCCATCATTAATCAAGTAAGGCTATGTGTGCTACCTCACTGTTCCATTGAATTCTGAACACTGTGCACAGGACTACGGCTCGCAGGATACTAATTACGCTGTACGTCATCCTCTCCCAATGTTAATGATCTACACTGAACAACGACTCTAGGGTAACTGGGCGGATCTCATTCGGATGCGCTATGGTTTTGCTACCTACGAGGATACCTATGCTGTCAATTGGTTCGCTGACCCGATCATGTTGGAGTCTTTCAAGCTCATTATCAACTACTACCTGAATCGCATCAATACGGTCAATGGTATCAGGTACGGGGACGACCCCACGTTCCTGGCCCATGAGACGGGTAATGAAATGAAGTGAACCGATGTTCTTCTGTTGTTCGGAGGCGATCTGACTTCTTTTCGTAGCTACCTCGGGTACCTTCCCGCTCCCGGAAACGTATGTGGTTGGGCTCTCTTTTTGTCACCATTATTCACGTGATCTATAGTGGACCGTTGCTGTTGCTACCTTTATCAAGTCACTCGCACCAAGAACTATGGTTCTTGATGGTAGCTTGTGAGGACTCTTCTCATTCCGCGTGGCTTGACTGAACTCGTCTTTCAGGGCTAGGAACAACTACACGGATCAGTCCTTCGCCCTGGAAGCTCTGCAATCTCCTCTTGTCGACCTGTTCTCCTGTATGCCTGTTGTTGGTTTGCCGTTAGATGACGAGACTTACTCGGCTTCTTCAGATCACTACTATCGTGATAACCCGCCTGCGTACGACTACAGGCGCATCAATGCGTCAGTATATCAATGTCATTCTCGTTCCATGACTGACACCCCCAAGTGACTCAGCATACGTTCAAAGCTTCGGCAAGACTTATGTTGTCGGCGAGCACGGCTTCTACGCCAACTACTCAGAGTTCTCGGACTTCTTCTATCGACAGAAGGAGTCTAACACTGCCGGGTCGATGGTCTGGTCTATTCGACCCCATTCAGCAGAAGGCGGATTCATCACTCACGGTGAGGGCGATGGAATCTTCTCTTACCATGCACCTGGGTGGTCTCCGCAGCAGACGGCGGACTTCGATCCTCTTGAACTCGGGATCATCCACATCACCCGTAACGCTAGCTATACCATGGTCAATAACAACGTGCCCGCCTTCTTCCCCATCCCCAATGCTCCTGAGATTTGGGTTGTTAATAATGCCACCGCTGGCACTGGGCTTAGCTGGCTGGGTGGAGCTGTGAGTGGCTCTCAAAACATATTGATAATAGAGTCTGGCTAAACAAGCATACAGTGGGCTCAACACTACGAAGTTTGGGCCGTCCAGTTTGGTAACCTGTTTTGGACCAAGGTATGGCGCTGTGGGACTGACTCTGTTCCTGTCGCTGAACCTCTGTGGACTAGATTGCCACGTACGTTCTGGATGATGTCGACGCTGGCACCGCATACTTCCCGATCGACGTGTATGCACCAGAGCAGGCAACGACGATCACCTACTCTGCACTGCCAACCAATGCACCAAACATCCCATGGTCTGACCCCAAGCTGCCGAAGACGACAGGTCACCCTGGCTGGTTGCCTTTCAAGCGTGATCAGATGGGTGAGGCGAGGGATACACCCCAGCCCGATTTGGGTTGGAAGAGCGGGTTCTATGTCATGCGTGGCGTGAGCGTGGATGGCATCCCTGGTCCATTCTCCAACGTGGTCATTGCTTACTGAGCCATTGTTGTCCAATCTCATTCCATAGCTAATTGTTGATCGTCAGTATCTGTCGCGTACGCGACCCTTGTTCTGTATACGGTACGAAACCTCGAAGTGTTTGTCACGTTTTCGGATGGTAGAAACACGAGGACCTTACGCGCAACCAGGCCACAGATAGGCACAACACTTGCATGAGCAGAGGTCATTATTGTTGTTCATTGTGCACAGTGATTCACAACAACTAACCATATTGGAAACAACATCGAGCACGGATTAGCCGGTCCGCCACAATAAATCTCACTTGATCTTGTCGAGGGGCCTAAGGTTCGAATTAGTGACACAGTTGCGTAAAGACAATATTGAACCCATACCGGTTGAAACCGCCTCGCCTGTTCATGTACTGTCTCCATGTCCGCTGCTTGTTGACATTGGCAGCACCCACCTCATTCCCCCTAACCTCCTTCCCATGCGTGCTCCCGAACCCACCAAAGCCCATCATCGTCATCATCGCCTGCTCGTCCGGATTCGGTCCTTCTTCAACTACCTCCCCCTCGTCTTCTTCTTCCGCTGTGGTCGGTTTCCCCACAGAAGGTGCCTGGTTCGACGTGACTTGAGGGTGTACTGGTGCGGGTGACGCAGCCGCAGTTAGAGGCTCTGCCCGGGGGGGTTCGGGTTGCTCAAAGGTTCTTTGCTTTGCTTTGGGTCGCTCACGGTCTCTATCCTCTGGCCGTGCTCGGTCTCTGCGATCATAGTCCCTTCCAGAGTCCCGTCGATCTCGACCATCCCGTGCGTCTTTCCTGTCGTAGTCTACGCATCCAGTCAGCATTTCGAAAGAAACCTGAAGATATACACACACCCTGTGGCCTATTTCGATCTCTTTCTTGCCCTCTATCATTGCCCCTACGTGGACTGCGCGACCTGCTCCTCGGGCGTCTATCCCGTTCCCGTTCCCGGTCACGCTCGCGATGAGTCTCTCGATCTCGGTAGCGGTCGCGGTCACGGTCACGGTCTCTATCCCTGTCATAATCCCTCTCTCTCCTATCACTGCGGTCGCGGTCACGCCTCTCTGGCAGTTTCGATGACATGGTGGTTGTGATGATGATGCTTGACTTGCACGCGCCGTGCTTCGAAGGCTTAAGGCGGGACCAAAATTTCTATACCTGAACTACTACCACGGCTTTCTCGCCAAAATCGTTGTCCTGTGGAGTTCTCTGACCATGAATCCACGAATATGTACTCGACCATTCACCAAATGTATACGACCTTCAATTATTGGTCGGATATCGTCTCGAAGTCTTGCCTCTTTTACACCTGCTGCACGTTCGCCTAGGTCAGAGGCAGGCTCAGCTGCCCAACCTCCCCGACGCCAACAAACAGCAAGTAATTGGATGAGGCTGCTTGAGGTGCCAACTACGGCCTTACACAGTGATATTCGCCAAGCCCTTTCAAGATCGGGAGTAACAGGGAGGTTTGACGGTGCGTCTGAAACTGAATCTCTTGCTCCATTTTACTCATGCTCGTCCAGTATATCTCGAATATTATCGGTTCCTCAGACGCGATAGTGCATACATCAAGTTCGAAAACAAAATCGATGCGAAAACCGCAAATGAGAAGATCGGAGGTCGAGGGAAATTTCAAATATCTGGTCATGACGTGGTTGCCATTGCCGCAAATCAGCCGAGCAATGTCCCTGGCATAGACCGCTCTCTCAGTCTCGATTTTGGACCGCGAGGAACCTTCACAACGGGCTCTGGTCCCGATGCCGGGCTATTTTCAAGAGGCACCTCAGTTTGTTTATATGGTCTTCCTGGAAGGATACAGGCGGAAGATGTGGAAGCGGCGTTGAGAGGCTTTGCGTTGAGGAAGCCCACTCGCAGGGAACAGGTTGTCGACGACGATCCTCAGGCTGCCGAAGAACATCTGCCATCGGTGAACAAACTGGCACAGTGTGTTTAAATCTTTATCCAGTTGCGGGTTTACATTGACGTCGCTCCGTAGCAATGGCCGTTCGCTCACATCACGACACCTTGTCCAGTTAGAAAACATCTCCGAAGCCCATCGCCTTGTTCGCCAATTGCATATGACTTATTGGGACGAGCACACCTGGGGAACAAAGTACATATGTCGAGCACGAGTAGTGTACTAGGTAATTAATATACTTGCCACTATTCAAACTGTCCACATATCAACGACAGAAACGATGCATTGTAAGAATACAACATAATGTACGATGTCGACAACTACTCATCATCCTCCCTATCTGCCCTGAACTTGGGGTTCGCCCTCGGCCCTTCCCCCTCCCCATCTTCCTCATCCTCATATTCTCTCTTCCGCTTGAGAGACTGAGGCGTATCAGTAGGCTGCTGTTTCCATCCCTCTCCACCTGTCGCGACGGCACCCGGTCCAGTCTCAGCATCGCGATACACCGCTTCTCGAGCAACCTGGGCACCCCACCCGCCTCGACCAGCATCATAGTCTGTCCGGTGCTCGTCTCGCACCTGCCCACCACTCTTTCCTCGTCCGAACTGCCGTCCTTCTTGATACCCTAGATCAAGATCACATCGGATGATGCGCTCGTCAAGCTTCGTCCCGCTTATGTAGCGCATACATGCTAGTGCCTCTGCGTGAGTATAGAACTCAACAAAACAAAATCCACAAGGAGTTCTGTTGGAAATATCAGAATTCGTGAGGTCGGTTATTCTGAACAACACGTTACTTTTGATTACGATCCAGGCCCATGATGATACGTTTGAGTCCGCCGCCATCTTCTGGATTTGCACATTTAGAGAAAAGTTCATATATTTGTTCCTCTGTCGTGTAGAATGAAAGATTTCCGATCTGAAAAGGACGCATGTTAATGTTATCCAGAGTGTCCTCGTCAGTGGGGCTACTCACGTAAAGAGTACAAGACTTTGAGAGCATCTCAGCTTGATGCGAGCGCTCAATCTGTTCACATGTCAAGTGAGCCATTTTCGGAGATAATGACAGGCGCACGTTGCTCCTCGAGTCCTTGTATGTCGACGGCCGATCTAAAGGCGTGACAATGTGAGCCATGATGAGGGAGAATACGCTGCAAAGTGGTGATCTTGCTTGAAGTTCAAGGTAACATCCGGTGGCAAGGGTCCAACAGTCCGGATCTCTGTTTTTTTTCCGTGCGTGTGTGGGATAAATATCATTGACAGTACGTTTTCGTTTAATTGGGCATACATTCTGAGAAGGAAGAAAATCATGCGATAGTAGTACAATGCAGAAGATCTCGTTACACATCAACCACGCTCATTCTCAAGAAGCTCCATTAAGTTTTCACTCAAAACGGGCAACTCGACAGCATCAAGCTTGTCTTCGGGCGCCTTGCTACCTCTGCGCTTGCGGATGCCTTCAACGGCATCCACAGATGCATCCTGTTCTTTCCGTCTGGCTTCTATAGCGGCGACGCGCTGCTGGAAGCTCAAGAAGAGCACCTCAGCTTGCGCAAGCGTCGAGTCTAAATCAATGGTCATGCTAAGGTCGTTGCAATATTTCAGAATCTCGTCGAACTGAGGTGCACATCAATTTGACGCCTCTCACAGGATGTGCAAGGTGTATCATACCTCGACAAGATAGCGAAGGATCACGTTACGATGTGATTCCAGCACCGCCAGCGCGACGAACAGGACGAACTGCGTGCTGTAACAATCCGTCCAGAGAATCTCCCACAAGCTCATGACTTCGTCGAACGAGAACTCTCGCTTGAAGATTATGAGAATCCATCGGAAGCAGAAGAAGAGATTAAGAGATTCGGTTTTCTCTGTGACCACATCAGAAAATGACAAGATACCAAGCAGACACTTCGTACCAAAGTGACGATACAGTTCAGGATCCATGACTGCGATCAGTTGCTGCAAGGTTAACAGCTGCTTCTTCATGCCACTCTGATCTCGCAAGAAATTGGGTTTCTGTCAGAGGGGTGAGCCAACTAAACACCGTGCTTCATTGTTAACGCACCATCCGCTCCATGAATCTCGTGAAACACCAGAATGTCATAGACTCATCGCCCTCGAAGACAACATACAACGGCGAGCAGAGGTCGGACATGCCCTGAACGTAGCCTGTCAAGAAACAATGTCAACTTAGCGATCTCTCGCGGTCCTTACCAAATGTTTCCCACCCAATTCTTTTTCATAGAAATTGTAGGTCGTGAGAACGCTCATCAGGTTCTGGACGTGCTCATTCGCTGGTGATTGTCCAACGGGAGACTGGGGGAACTCGGACATGGATCCAGTCCATTCTTCTGGCATAGCAAAGTACGGGTGCGTGCGATCAGTCCGCCGACAATCCACATCTATGCGATGACGTTCCTGTGGCACGGTGAGCGGCCATTGAATTTCTATTCAGGATGGTCATACCTCGACCACATCCTCCCGTTGAAGTACTTCTTCGTTGTCCTTCCAAAGAGACTTGATCTGATTATACTGAGCCCTGAGTATTGGTTAGCAGAGCTTTAGGTCTCGTAACTAGACACACTTCTGTTTTGCGAAAAGTGTTGCACGCTCGATTGCATCAGTCGTCCAGGAAAAGACTCCAAGCAAGAATGGCCAAGCTTTCGGACGAACTTCCGGAGTTAGCCCCTAGACGCTTCTTAGTGAGAACTGAGTGACATCAAGTGTTCTTTACTTACCCTCCGGAATATTTCCGTCCTCACAAACGACCACTCAACGGTCGGTCTGCCTGTGGAAGAGAACCATGCGTCCCACTCGTGTTCTTGAATAGGAGCCTTCGGATTCCGTGTGGGCTTGGGCGGTGGAAGATTGTTCGAGGTTGCCAGCACTTCGAACACCCCAAGATCAGAAGAGACATGCAGTAGTGAACTGTCCGGGTCAGCAGGAGACTCCTGTTGGCGTGCCCGTTCTCCGGCTTCCGCAACAATCTATCCAAAGATGAGCCGGAAATCATCGACGGACAATCTACGTACCCTTGCCCACCGAGCCAAGTAAACCCGCGCGCTTTCGTATTCCCCGACGCCCCCTTTCTCAACCCAGCCAGACCACTCACCATCCGCATGCACCAGACTCTTAACAGGTTCTGGAAGATGGGGTACGATTGGCTGTGCCAAAGGGTGCGACAGGATTGTCTGAGCCGCATGTCTCGCCTGCTGTGTGATGTGGGAAAACGCGGTCAGAACACCTCGCTCAAAGGTCGAGTTAGAGCTTGAAGAACCAGAGAGACCCTCATGAAGAATGGAATTTCTCTGGCTGGGTGGGGCAGACTGTGACTGTCCAGATTTGGATGGCTTGCTGGGCCTTCTGTGTTTGGGCACGGGGTTCATGATGTCATCCACCGCCCCATCGTCAAATAGGATAGTCGAATGTGCCTCCTTGTCGGATAACGATGGGTCAATCAGATATAGTCCGGATTGCAACGAAGACTTGAGGACGGTACAGTAGCTTCGAAGGCGGTGAAGGAGAGCTTCCCCACCCCACTTAGGCGTCAGGCTTCCTTCGCGAGGACGTTCATGCAAAGACCGAGACTCGTCGTCATGGAAGTAGAGTTTTGGGAGAGTGGAGCCACTGATCAGGTTGAGAGTCATGGTGCCATCTGAATGGTCGTTAGCCGGAACTAAAAGAAGAAGGACAATGTACGGACACCATGCTGATAACGTCGGCGCGCTCATAATGATGCTGTAAATCATTGACAGCGGGACTGAGAACGCGTACAATTCCCCTCTAGGCACTGGGGGACTGATCAAGACGCCATCTGTAATTTGTATGAATCACGGCTTCCCGTCGATCTCTATACGCCAGCACATACCTTGTTCGTCATACTCCTCCGCCTCTACATGCACGTACTTTTCCAACTCCTCGTGTCCCTTCCGCTGCAACAATGACTCGGGCAGCCAAGAGAGAAGATAAACTGGTTGCGGGGCCTCCTAAGGTGCCAATCTCAGCAACCTTCAAGGAAGGAGTAATGATACGCGCACCTGCTTGACTAGGGCCACCCAGCCAGGTACATTATCTCTTGCGTAGGCTGTTGGGTAGATATACACCTTAGAACGCGCGTACAATAGCCTGAACTTCTCATCCTCTTTCTGCGGTTCTGGTACAGTTAGTACAGGGGTATTCTCCAAATTCGTGTTTTCGAGATCCCTTGTAATTTCAACCATTGATCCGGTCTACAAGCAGCTTGCAGTAAGTAATGGAGCCTGATGAAACATCTTCACGTACCGACTTCATAGACAAAGATGATTGAGAGCGAGAAAAGGGAGCCGGACCACCACCCATGCTCTAAATGTTAATGACTTGAAAGATCAATTGAGAGGGGCGATGACGGCGGCAGCAGGAGAAAGTATCCCGTAGTTCGGGACTCCGCAGGCGTCTCTCACATCAGGCGCTTCGCCACCTAATCGGAGCCAGCACGTGAATGTAAAGCTTCTGACTTGTGACAACACGCATCGATCTCAAGGAGGCCTCGTGCAGCTCATTCATATTAACGACCTACCGACCGATCACCCTCAAATCAACATATAACGACCGTGTTCTTCGTGCTATAATGTCACAGACCGAGCTCTCCGGTCTACGAAACCTACAAGCAGGAGGGTCCGGGGCAGCTGGCCAACCGGAAACGGGGGAAGATGAGGCTGCTCAGCAAGCGCAGCAACGTCAACAGCAGGAGGAAATGAAGCGGGGTATGCTAGCGACCATCTTGGACGCAGGAGCGAGGGAAAGACGTGTGCATATTTCTTAGCTGAGCGCAGCGAGGACACTCATATCAACCGTTCAGTCGCTCGCATATCGCTGGTGAACCCTACGTTGTCTAAACGTGTGGAAGACTCCCTTCTTCGTATGGCACAGTCGGGCCAAATTCGAACCAAAGTTACAGAGCAGCAGTTGATTTCATTGCTAGAAAACGTGAGCGCGGCAGTTCCTTGTTGTACGTGAAGTCCATCAACTGAAAACCGATCTAGGCCGATGGGAATGGTCAATCATCTCATGCACCCAAGAAGACCATTGTGGTATGTATATATATCGTTTCTACTCCGCGTATGCTCATGTTCGTGGGCTTCTTAGTATTCGCGAAGGAAGCATGATGAAGATGATGACCTTGATTTCGACATATGAGCTTCTAGTGCAGGCACATCGCTTCCTGTTAGTAGTCGTGATCTGTGATTATCAGATAATGTACTTTCATAATGAATCATCGAAATTCATGTATGATGACTCGCCATCGTATTGCATCGTCGTGAAGGACTTTTGACCTCCAACAGCGCCTGTCGTTATCTTAGTAAGCAAGACTGACAAGCGACCGCACGGAGGCAAAGCAAAGGCCTGTTAGCATCCTTCGTCGTTGTCCTCGTTCACCGCATCGTCCATTCCCCTCATCCAAGGGCAACTCGTTCTCCATTCCTCTATCGTGCATCATGTCGACACGGAACGCTGTATCAACTAATCTATCGCTGCCGCCTGCGCCCACCACCGCATCCACTACGGGCTTATACCACAAGGCGAACGTTCTGGCAAGTGTCCAGGACGCGTATTGGAGTGATGACGAAACTGTGAGTCGCGCTCCTCATATTCATCTCCTGGATTTATTTCTGAAAACACGACAGGAGGATAACGAGTGTCCTTTGTGCCTGGAGGAGATGGATCTCTCCGATATGAATTTTAAGCCCTGTCCATGTGGATACCAGGTACCTCGTTCATAGGTCAACGCGTGCGGACTGAATCAATGACATCCTCCTTACAGATATGCAGATTCTGCTGGCATCATATCAAGACGAACTTAAATGGTAAATGTCCTGCATGCAGGCGTGAGTACACTGAAGAGGCGGTCGAATTCAAACCTGTGGGTAAAGAGGAGTACGTAGGCTTGTGGCATCACCTCAACAGCTATTGACGTATATGCTACCTGCACAGACAGAAACGGCTCGCACAGAAGAAACGTCAGAAGGAGAAGGAGCGCAGAGATCTTGAGGCGCTTGGACGCCGCCATCTTACGAACGTGCGAATTGTACAGCGCAATATGATCTATGTAACTGGTATCGGACCACGGTTCGCAAAGGAAGAGGTATGTTCGACACAGAGCAATATGCAGACACGCCTCCTAATGCCACTGTAGCTTCTCCCAACTCTCCGCTCAAGTGAGTACTTTGGTCAGTACGGAAAGATCACCAAGATTCTTCTCGTGAAACGAACTCCTCCGTCCAATTCTGCATCACGTGATCCGGTCGTGGGCTTGTACATTAATTACTATCGAAGAGAAGATGCGGTCCGTGCGATAGCTGCTGTCGATGGCGCATCCTCTCCTAGTGGAGGTGGTGAGGTGATGCGCGCAAGTTATGGCACAACGAAGTATTGCGTTAACTTCTTGCGTGGCGTGGCTTGTACGAGTCAAGGCTGCTTGGATCTGCACGATTGGGGAGATGAGAGAGACTGTTTCACGAAAGAAGACCTATCAACGTTGTTAGTGACTGCGGTGTGTATGAGTAGGTCAAAGATGCTGATGTGTCTTGTCTCCAGGAAACATACACTTAAAGACGGCGAGCATCGACCGAGACCACCAACAACAGTAACTGGCGCATCCAGGAAGTCCGAAGATGCGGAGCGTAAGGCTACCTCTAGATCATTTTATCTTGCCATTTCTAACCCTCGTATGATAGAACCTGCTGGTTTACCGAAGACTGCGTCATGGGCAAGACCTGGCTCTGTTGTACCCCCGGTCTCACCCATCGGCGTGACTTCATCTGGACTCCAATCTTCACGACAAAGCGCTCAACGTCCTCCTGTCAGAGTACGAGACGCCCCTCCTGTTAGCAGGCCTGTCCCTATCTCATCGGTTTCACCCAAGCCGGTGGTTACCACTGCCCCGGACAAGAGACTTCCTATAGGAACAGTTCGTGCGGTAGAAGCGACTTCATCTGCTCCCACAGCGGCCGTGGAACCCACCCCGTCTTTACCAAAGCCGTCTGTACCCCCAAATTTGGGCACTCCACCTCCTGGCATACCCACTGTTGTCCCATTAGCGAAGCCTGCTTCGTCTAAACCGTCTCGGCCTCCAGCACTGTCAACCCCGTCTGTGGCTCCACCACCGTCCAGGCCGCCCGGAATCGAGCCGCCGTCAACCTCCGGCATCGTTGCTTCCACCTCTTCATACAGGATGACGAATCAAGGGAAAGCACTCCTAGATGATGTTCTCAATCTGCGTGAAACTGCTCCAGCAGAGCCACTCAGCCCCTTCCCCGAATTCGATCGTACTCTCATGAACCTTCAGCGTGGCAGTTTCAGCTTCAGCCTGGATCTAAAGTCATCAGCCGCGATGCGCTTGGCTGATAATCGCAGTACGTCAGATTGGAGTGGGCCTGGCAGTCCTACAGTTGCCAAGTTCGGTAATACTCCGATCAATATCCCGTTCGGGTCTGGGGAACTGGAGCATATGGCAAGTCCCGTGTATTCGGGATCTTTCAATCCGTTCGATCCAGCCAAGGATGATCGACCTAGCTCCCAAGGACGTTCAGGGCCTTCAAGTAGGGCACAATCCCCCGCTGATGACGAAATTCGTCGCAGCTCTCGCTTCGGTTTTGCAAGGCGTCCGGGCGGTGGCCTTGGCACTCCTGGATCTAGTTATCGAGTTGTCCCCTCTCTGACTTCTTCACCGACCAAGTTCAGTGAGACTTTGGCGACTTCGTCCCCCGGTGTCTCATCTTCTGTTCTTTTGCCATTACAACAGCCTGCGCCTCCACAGAATCCAGCAAACAATTGGTCGTTTGGAGAGTACCCAGCGGATACCCGGCCATCAGAATGGAGATATGCAAATCATGATGTTCATGAAGCATTGTCACCCCAAGCCGAAGCCCGTGCGTTCAAGAGCTTAGACGTTGACTCTGATGCCTATGGACGGCAGGATCAGATTTCCGATAATGCGATGTTGCATAAGGTTTTGAACATTGGAGGTAGCGTGCCCCTTGGCCACTCTCCGCACTTAGGTATGCGCTTTGAGTTCAGCACCAACTCATTTGGCCCTGATGCAGTCGTAGACACCGTCCGCGCGACGCACACATACAACTCGCAACAATTTCAAGATCCTGCCATCATGTCAATGCACCCGAACGCACCATTCCAAGTTAGCTCCCGCTCGGTGTTGAGTGCCGGTCCCCCTCCTGGGCTTGCCGGTCCCACGCCTAACTTTCAAACCGATCAAGCAAGTGTCTTCACAGGATCGTCTCGTAGTGGTCGCATGCCAGTCGGAAGCAGCGGTTCCTCTCGTATAGGTGCTGGATCGCCGAGCTTCAACAGTGGTGGGTACTCTCATTCATACGGCCAGGGGAGGGTGCGCAACGCGTGAACAACCACTATCGTTTCCGACAACTTTTCTCATCTTCACGACTTTCCTTTCACAACCATGTATCAGTATGCATGACCTGTTTTCATATTCTCCTGCAATACTCTTTCCTGGCGTTGCACCGTCCTGCCGGCTGTCTTAGGGACGTGGCACGGTGGAGGATTGATTTGGTGGATGATGTGCGTGCAGTCATTTCCGCACCCGGCGCGCTCTGAAGCATGTTGCCCTCCCCTGTGCTTCGCTCGTCCGGATCTGTTGATGTCCGTAGCTAATGCATATTTTCCAGCCATGTCCGTTTCCAACGCCGGTGATGGGGAAGGTGCATCTGTATCCGCCGAGGGCAACTTGCCGGATGTGGAGAGCAATCTTGAATCTCAGTCAGTTTCAGTTGTTGCATCTGCTCTGTCATCCCCAGTACCCCCTGCTCGACTTCTTGAAGCTCCTCCTACTCAGCCAACCTTCCCTGCTACTGTCGAGCTGCCACTAGTTTCCGAAGTTGAAGTACCGGCTTTGACTGATGCGGACTTCCCTGCTTTGCCTACCAACCAACCTTTTGTGCCCTCCAGAGCACCCAATAAACGATCAGCAACACCGAAGCGTGTAGTCGAGCCCAGAGAGACCCCACCTTCCCTTGGAAAGACGCTTCTAATGACGAAGAGCGTGGCGGCTACAGCCCAGAAAACAGCGCAGGTCATGAACACTATGACGTCGATGGAGCCTGTTGTTGGCAGAGCACGCAGCGTATCTTCGAAGAAGGAATCCAGAGACAATAAACCGACGTCTGTCTCGACTGTTCCACTATCGCCCGTTACCACATCAGTCGAAAAGGCGGGGTCGTCTAGGCGGCCCGTTTCTCATACTGCTGCCCTTCAACCTGAGCCAGTCATTGTCGCACCATTCACAAGTCGTAAGACCAAGAAGGTAAAGGCCAGTCCCGTGATCAAGGCCCCGAAGAAGCCGTATAAGGAAACGACCCAGCCAGTGGAAGATCCCGAAACGGCGGAGCTGGGCCAGCCTACGGAGACCATCGACAATGGAACAATGTCGTCTGACTTGGATATTGCTGCGACGGGGGCGACGTTGACATCCATTTCTGAGGAAGTGCGACCGTCTCCAGCGTCTTTGGCCAAAATGCTGAATGAAGTCGGGCGCTATCTGGATGTGGAAGGACTGGCGTTCTTTGACACTGCCACTGTCAACACGAAAGGGCAATCAAACATTCGCTACGCACCGCTCGTCCACGCTCTCTCCACGCTTTCCGCCGGCACCACGTTTACTGGAAGCATGCCGAACACATCTATCGATTCTGCTGTCTCGTCTTTCCAGCAGTTGCTGGAGACGCTCACACAGACCATCTCAGATATCCTGCATCTTCTTCCAAGAAACACTTGGGACGATAGCTCGTCCTTCGATGGGCTACTTCGTGAGATGCTGAGGGCGGAAGATTTGTTGGACGACGTGCAGGAAAATGCCGAAATTCGAGACGATGAAGTAGCCAACCTGACAATAGCGCTTGAGAAGCGCGCTCGGTGGATGGAACACCAACTAACCAAACTGGAAGACCTGCACCGTGACATCAATTCAGCTGCAGTCCGGGCCGTTTTATCTATGAATGATCGTGGCTGGGATCCCACAGGCTCTTTGCCACGCCAAGGAGATTCTTTGTCCAGGTTCGATGGTATGGTGTACGTATGTACAGAGGAAATAGAGGAAGCTTTGGCTGCTTCAAAGGCAGCTGAAGCGGCGGCGGAAGCAGAGCTTAAACAAACCATGCACCGTAACTGTGCGCAATTGTGGTGACGTACCAGACCATATACTGTATGCCACAGTGGCCAGTCAAGTATATTACTTCAATAATATAGTGTCGTGAACAGCGTGAATTGAAAAAAAAACCTTGAGTATGCGAACATGTGTGGGTATAGAGAACATGCAAGGAATTCCGAAGACAGCAATGAAAAAAAGGATGAATCGTGATTACCATACAATGTTCTAGAACATCAATCAGAAAGGAATAATGAGACATATAACAGCCCCTAGTCGGCATCACTCATGAAACCTCGTACTGCGGCTCTCGTTGATTCTTCATCAGAAAACAGGCCATAGTCGCCGTCCTCCGACAGTGTTTGCATGCGAGAGTTCGGCCTGGAGTCGCTCAGACCACTCATAGCTGTCTCAAGCAAGCCAGCATAACCTGCATCTATGGATCCATTTGTACTGTTCGTTTTCGTCCTCAACCGGGATCGACGAGAGGCGCGCTCGGGGCGGGCCGAAATGGGAGTAGACGGTGTAAAGCCGTCCTGTTTCAACTGCGCAAGCATATTACTTGCCAATTCGACTGCATCTCCGTCGGATGCACCTTCGAACGTGGGTGATAAGGGTGGATCATACTGCTTCTGGTCGCTTTGTTGACGGCGCCGAGACTTGCGACTGATCGTGTCGCCGTTCCGCAACTTCTCCAATAAGCTGTCTAGCACTGTGGTGTCTGCTGATTCATCTTCGATGGCTTCATTCGCTTGTTGGCGCGCTTGTCGAGCTTGCTGTACAGCAAGTTTGCGACGCTCCAAAGCTGCCCGGTCAGCTTCCGTTGCCTGGTTTTCCGCTTTGCATTTCTGTGGACTAGTCAGTGACCGAGCGGTATGATGTGAGCACAGACCCACCTTGTAGGAGGTTACAAATGTTTTGAAAATGCCATAGAATTCGTACGAAGTCATGTTCTTTTCATCTTCACCATAAAATCTCAGAACTTCCGTAAGAGTGGTGTCAGCCAATGTAACATCATCAACTAGGTCGGCAAGACGAGCGCCCGCCTCGCCAACAAATCGCCACATTTTCTTTGCCCAACGATCCTCCGGAGGGAGGGCGTCGACATCAGAGAAGAATTCTGTAAGCTCTTGTCGAATGGCTGTCAGACCTTCACGGAGCTCGCCTAACCCTTTACGGATATCTTGCAAATTAACCCTGTAAGCATCAGCTGGTTTGGCCAGCTCGTCCAGGAATTCCTCCATATCAGGGAAGTGACGTGACACTGTTTTCTCCAGGAAATGCAGCAAGGTGGTGCTGTTGACTGATTTAGTGTCCACAAGCTTGTTGATGCTACTGACACGGAAACCGTATGCACCACCCTTGATACCCGTTCCGTTCATGTAGTTGCCAATGAGAAGAATGAGCTAATGGGACATTAGTAAACAGGGAGAGAAATACGGGTGTGACATACACTGAGAAGCTCCTTGAATTTCGCTGCTCTCTGCAGAGACTCTCCAGCATCGTGGAGTTTCGTAGCGCCGTCCTCGATCAGAGTGAAACGTTCCTCGAACCTCGATTGATAAAGCATCCCTTCTATGCGTGGCGCTAAACGATCAATTTTGATCAGTTGCACCATCAATCGATCTGCAGGATGTAGCTCCGCCAGCTCTTCAGGATTTGAATTCCGGTACACGTTCAGTTTTCCTACTTGCTCAGGTGAGGGCAACACGCGTTTGAGTTCGCCCAAGAAGGTTTCGGTACAAAGATCCTGGTCATACTGCAAGATTTTGAGGGCGATTTCTTCCGGCGCGAGCGTTTTCACACGTTGAATCATGATTTCTGACAATGCGGTTCAGAACACATTGTACCCTCACAAGGAAGGATGAGCTCACCAACTGCCTTCTTCGTCTGAGTATCCAACACACTCTTCAGCTCAGCTCGCTTTTGCTTGGCTACAATTTCGTCAGAACACATTGGATATCGAGCCGATGCTGGAATGCACCCATCAAATTGATCACCAATTGCTTTGCCTTAAAATCTTCTTCCATTTCTTTCCATACGCCATCTTCCAGGAGCTTTTCCACCCACTCTTTTTCTCTCTCAGCCTCCCTCTGTGGGGCACTGCCCCACAATGTCTTCGATACTACTTGCTGGGGCAATTTGTCCCACTGAAGTTGTTTCATCCTGGTTGTAGACGAAATCGGTATATCCTTGCGAGTGAGAGCGCCGGACAAATGAATGATATGTGCATTTAAGCCGGAAGCACGAGAGGGATTGGGCGGGGGCGGAGGTGATGGCATTGTCGGCGAAGAAGGATCCGTGCTACCAGGGGTATCCCGGGAAGATGTAGCGCGAGAGGCGATTGCAGCCTGCAAAGCAGAGGTCATAGGCACTCCAGGAGGTGGCGGAGGAGGAATTGGGCTTCCCCGGCCACCAGGCGGGGGCGGTGGCGGCGGTGGAGGGGGCGGAGACCTCCTCCATCGTTAGCTGCTCCCTCTCCTCCCCCTCCTGCTCCCGCTCCTCCCCCTTCTGCTCCCGCTCCAACCCCTCCACCCCCGCCCCCGCCCCCGCCCCGCCTCCCCCGCCTCCGCCTCCCCCGCCTCCGCCTCCCCCGCCTCCGCCCCCTGGTGGCCTGCGCCCGGCGGGAGTCTTTGCTGTCGGTCCCAACTGCGCTTTCCACAGGCTCACCTTGTGGGGGTTCGCCCTGGTTAGGTCCAACGACAGCGCTACTGGGTCCCTCTGCAGGACTGCTGCCGTCATCTGGGTCCTTACCCATGCTTGCCAACCTGTTTGCGAGCTGCTCAGAGAATGAATTTCCCCGAACCGCAGTGTTTTTGACTCGAAGAAGGCGAAGACTTTTACCGTCTTTCGAATCTGTTGCCGATGCATCAAGCGAGAATGACCCCAAGGACGTTGGCTGTGTGTCGCCAGAAATCCTAGACAGGTCCGTTTCGCTCTCGCGTATGGTTCCAAGCTCACTGTCATCGCCGTCAAAAGAGACCGCGCCACCATTGCGCAGACGACTTCTCTCCACAACCCCAGAGCCAGCTCCCGCGGTAGGTGCAGAGACGCTGCGCTGTACGCGAGACTGCAAATCCTGCAGCAAGCGTGGCGGCAACCCAGCTCGGGGTGGCCGAATAGGTGTTGATTGGGCCGGAGCAGCTTCCGACCAGGGCGGGAGAAGCGTCTGAGGAGTGAAAGGAGAATCTAATTGCTCGCCCTCGCTTGCACCCTGAACACGGGTATGCCGCTGAGCAGCAGCCCGCCTCAGTGTGGCGTCAGGATCTCGTCTCCTTGCACTGCGAGGTGTTATGCTCGAGTCCATCTGCGACTTTGAATCAGCAGCGGAACCACAGTCGCACTGACATCACTAACCAATGACTCCTCGTCAAGCATCTGCTCTTCCAGCATTCCTCGTTCCTCGTCTGCATCCATGAACTGACTTGTACGTCCGCCGAGGCTAAGGCCTCTGCTATGCACAGCCCAACTGGGCCTCTTGCCTTTCTTAGCCTGCTCCCGCCTTCTCGCGGCACCTACTCTCTCCGGTTCCTCTCCACTCTCGCTTTCATCCACGGAGCCTACCACTGCCTTGCTCGCTCGCTTCTTCTTGCCCCGTCGTCCCTCGAGTATCTCGATCGTATCGTCCCGTTGCATTTGAGCAGCGACACGTTCCACGAGTTCCTGCCGTCTCGCACTCTTGGCCTCCTCCAGCACAGTATCCAAGCTACCCCCCCTAGCCTCCCGCAACATACGGAACAGCTCCCTGATGTCCCTCTCAAGGCTCGCAACTAATCTCCGGTGCTCTTCGGCCATGATATCCATCCGCTGCTGAAGCGCAGCCGTGAGTGCGCGGCTCTTCTCTAGCTTTTGTTCCATGTCCTTCAGGTCGGCTTTCAGCCTACCCACCAGCCCAGCATCACCCATCTCCAGCTCTGCTTCGAGTGCTTTCCCTTTGGCCTCCTCCTCCCCTGCCTTCTTCCGCCAGAATCTTTCCCCTTCTTCGGCCTTCTGCAATCTTTCCTGGTCACCAAATCTGGCAATCAACTGTGTAACACTAGCGCCGAAGCGGTCCCCGAATGACATTTCGCCTCCAGGCTGCCTGCCCTCCAGAACAAATGAAGCAATGAATTCAGCGAAGATCTGGAAGCATTTGTCGCGGTCTTCGCCTTCACGCCTCAGTAGGAGCAGGTTTTTCATGAGGAGTTCGAAGTATTCTCGGCTCTTTGTGTCTCCAAGTTTAAGCAATATACCTTTGAAGACGTCCTCAGGTTGCTGCATGTCCTTCATCACCGTGCGATCGTATTCTTCCATCACGGCCCGCTCGTCGGTCTCCCAGAGGTCGTTGAAGTTCTTCAGGCGATTGCGCAGCTTCGACCAGGTAGAAGAGTTTGCGCCATTTTCCGCTGCCATCCGCTCAAAGAGTTCCAGCAGACGACGAAGGCCAGCAAGCTCCATTTGCGAACGGAGATTAATGCGAGTATCAGCACTTGGCTGCTTGCGGATGAGTCCCTCGATTGAGATGAACGTCATTTGCTAAACGGTATCGGGTCAATAAATCGACCTTTAAGGAGATAAACTCGCACATACAGCGTAATCATTCAGCGCAGGATCCATCCCAGCACCTCTTCGAACCTCCTCCGTCGCACCAACCATTGTTCCCATTCTTCCACGCCCCTCGAGGGTATTCTCCACGGTCCTAAACCATCTCCCAAATCGTCCCTCAAGACCTGCATCGCCGGACTGTGTCTCCTTCGATGCCTGCAAAGGGCTTATTTCGATGTTATCAAGTGCGGGGACGACCACTTTCCACGCATCAACGTCCTTATATTCGATGAAGAAGGCGAGGAGTTCGGTAGCCATCTTGCGTGACGGGAGGTGAGGAGAGCACACAGACGATATGAGAGGCGTGAAGATTGTGCCACGGCGGGGAACGGCTGTTTCAAGAGTTCCGTGACGATTCAAAAGTGTTTTGAAGCACTTCAAAATCTCCAGTTCTAGGAGATGATCCTCAGGCCGTCTGAAAAGATATGGTTAGGAAACTTCGCGGAGGGGGGAGAAGACTGCTCACGGGTTATTCTTCACATGTATGCTGGTCAAAACCTTGCACAGAGCAGGCATACCCTGTGCTCTAACGAAGGTGTCCACCCAATCCACCGTGCTCGTCCGCAGACTTACACCCAGGCTGGTCAAATCCTTCACATTCGCCTTCCCGTCAATCATCCTCTTGAGATAGTACTCAGGTGCATCCTTCCCATCAACACCTCCCATGCTGCCCACTCCGGAAATGCCCGCATTTCCTGTAAAAGTGCTGCTTGGTTCAATCCGTGTCGACCGGTGCTTTGCTGCTTCCCACTTCTGACGCGCGTCGCTCATAATCAACTGATACTTCTGGTCGTCGTTCAGCATCTCCACATGGGGTATGTCGCGCGCCTCAGCGAGTGGTTCAAACATTACTTGTAACGTCTTGGGTGAAGGTCGGGGAAAGTAAAATGCGGTTGATGAGACTGGTGGCGTCTGGGGGAGGGACATCATGGATGGTGCGCCTCGCGAACGGGAGAAAGATGTATTGCTCTCCGATGCTGAGTACGTACTTGGTGCGGGCATGCGAGATGAGCGGTCGGAGGCAAGGGTGTTCACGGTTGAGGTGGACAGGCGTGGAGTAAATCTCCCGTCCCGCGCTGTTGACGCTGAGGAAGGCGGGAAAGAAGGGTTAAAGTCGCTCTGAGCCGAAATAGGCGGGAGTTGTGGCGTGCTAGCTGCAGGAGAGGCAGGTGAAAATATGGGCAATGACGTCTGAGTTCCCGATGCCCGGGAGTAAGATTGCAACGACGAGGACTCTTCATCCAGACTGTACAACACAGATTCGTTCGAGGCATTGTCTCTTCTCTGGTCGCGTTGAGCTGCCCGCTCTTTCTGCCTGTCACGATACGCGTTGATATTAAGGTCGGTACCATTCATGGTCAAGCCAGGATTGGTATTTGGAGCACTGATGAGCAAGTTCTGGCCATTCTGGCCATTCTGTCTTGCAGGCTGAGCTCCGGAAAATGGCGGTGGGCGTGTGAGCGTCGTCCTATCGTAAGGCAGCGCTCGTAGATCTGAGTCGGATGCGCCAAAGGAATCTAGATCTAGCTGAGGTCTCGACGCTCGCGAGGACGCCTTGCTCCGTGTACGGTTGAATAGGGTGTCCATGGCATGTCGTGGTTGTCGTCTAGATTATTGAAGGGTATGATTGATAGCGCATATAGCTGCCGATAGTGTTCGTCGATAGACAAGCGAGAAGTACAATGAAACAAGGGATTAGAACCGGGAACGAAGTGAGGGCGACGAGGGGATCGGACAAGGGACCGAGCGGAACGTCTCCTTTGACGTGCTCGTCGTTCGCTTCCAATCCTCGACCGCTGTAACCGCGCCGGAATTACCGTGGAGATTGATCCCGTTGCTGAGTTACAAAGACATTTCACGTGCTCACTATTGCACAGCCACTTACTTGGTCTCTCCTCGTGTGTCTGCGCGCGCATTCCACGACACGACGCACGGCTCTGCTAGCGACGACCACCATGCCACCTCGTGCGTCCACAGCGGAACTCCTCAGCTCCCTCGTATATCTCGAGCCCCACTTTGACCCTGCTACCCTTACTGTGGCTCAGTTAACGGGTCTGTTACAGGCACATGACATCGACACGCGAGTCGCGTCAAATAAAACTGGCTTAATTGCACTGTTCAACACCGAAATAGCCATGAATAGAACCCCAATACTGGCAAAACGACAAAGGGACTTGACAAGAAGCCCTAAGGCGAACGGGATTAGAGATGGAGTCACCGGACAGCTAGTGGATGGTGCAGCAGAGGAGGACGTGACGCCCCCGCGACCTAGGGGCAGACGGAGCTCAGCAGCACCGGCTTCTACATCAGTACGCGCTCATTGCTCCTATGACTGATCTTCTTTCGGCTGACATATACTAGACATCTCGCCGACGCGCTTTCAGGATGTCAGCCGCTGCGCATCAGGAGCAGGAAGAGGAATTGGAGGAGCCGGAGCCTGAACCTACATCACCCCAGACGGGAAGAAAGAGTGTGCGTATGCTTCAATATTATTATTGTGGCATATATTCATGTGTGTCTCAATAGCGAATCATTGAAGAAGCCGCATTCAGCGATGAAAATGTGTTTCAGATGGGGTCATCGTCACCCGATCCACCCGTAGAAACCTATGCTCGCAGAAGGTCGCAAGGCCCAGTAGCAAGTTCCAGCACACCAATATCGTCGGCAGGTGGACGACGGAGTGTTCCAGCGAATGGTGCAAGAGACTCGCCGACAAACCCGTTCACGAAGGCAGTGGATACGGGAGCAGGTTTCGTACTCCGAACGAAAAAGCCCCTTCCCAGCTCCGATCCGACAGACGAAGAGCCCGAAGAAGGGGTTCTATCGATCCGGGGAAAGTTGGATGACCGAAAATCTGACGCACTTGCCACCATCAATGTCACAGAGCGCCAGGCTCTCATTAGACCAGCAACGGTTGCGCCCGTCATGCTTCTCATTCTTCTCTGGCTTCTCGTCTTCCAGTTCGCGAGATCTTCTGCCAAACTTGGTTTCTGTGATCGGGATAGCAGCACGAATGCTGTCTTGGACGAACGATTAGAGCAATTGAACGCTGGAGAACGTTGTATGACAGAAGGCAAGACCGATTGTCCTCCGATTCCCCTGTTTCCCCCGTTCATGCAGCCACTTTCTTGCACCCCTTGTCCGGACAAAGCGAACTGCGACATCAAACTCGTGACGTGCGATGCGCCGCTGATACTCAAACGTCATCCTCTCTCCGCTCTTAATCCAGTGCTGGACGGATATCCCGGGCTTGGACCAGTCGCCTTCCCCCCTACATGCGTGGAGGATGAGAGCCGCAAGAAGCTACTGACGAACGCTGGGCGCTGGATCATCGAAAGATTGCAACGGTATCGAGGAGAGCAGATCTGTTACGGACGAGAACCTCGCTCAATTTTCTCTCCAAGCGACATCCCTTGGAAGTGGGCCGGTGTGAAGAAATCCGAAATCAAGCACATGATGAGCGAGACCCATGAGGGCAAAAGCTTGGGCCCGGAACGACTGGATGAGGTGTTTTCGGCCGCTTTGAGTGAGCTTGAAGATAGGAAATTTGTCGTGTCTGGAAGGGATGAGGAAGGTGAGGACTGGGTAACGGCTGTCCAGGCAAAAATGAGCGCTGGATGCAAGGTCCGTGTCTGGATGAGGAGACTGTGGGAACAAGCGAAGATATACGTTATCGGTGTGTTTTCCCCATGCCGATCATGTACACATGTACACATGTACACATGTACTCATATGTTGTCTAGCTTTCGCTGCCGTAATCGCCAGCTCGATGTATGTGCGCCGTCGACTGTACTTTAATCGGCAGACCACGGCACTGGCTCATTCCATGCTTCCCTCGACCTTATCAGTCCTGCAGCGTACCGGCGGGATACCTTTGCTCAGCACACAACTGCGAGACAGCATCCTCTCATACGAACCAAACCTGAAGCGGCGCAAGGAGATCTGGGAGCGAGTTGAGAAGATCGTGGAGATGAACGCGAATGTGCGTGTCGGAGAGGAAGAAGTTGGAGGTGAAGTTGGACGAGGGTGGAGATGGGTTGGCCCCCCTGATATGGGAGACGGTACGCCGAGTCGGAGGGAGATCAAGTACTGAGGTATCATCATGACACAAATTGGTTGCTTATGTTTGTATTCTCCCTTCTGCATCTTTTTTGTCTTATTCCGATGTTCATGGCTGTAGTTCCCCCGAGGCAAGAGAAAATGATAATTAGTGTAGGTAGAACAATAAATCTAGGTTCATCTCTCACGCCGAATCGCTACATAAGGACGCGTCGCTGGTCTTTGAGGGGTGATTCTCCCGGGTTGTTGGCGGACCTCCACACAGATAATGTCGTCTCCCCCGAGATATAAGTAGTCGTCGACTCCACAACGGAGACTCGCTGGCGTTCTCCTCTTCGACAAGCAAGTCTCCTCCTGTGTCAATAAACCCACAATATGGCTGCTCGTGTTCCGTTAATCTTCGTATGTCACGCTTCTGAGAACTCATTATAGCAGACTGAGAATGTCGTGGGCAGGGCACTATGACCATTGGTCAGGCTAGCCTAGGTGCAGTCCGTACATCGGATATGGCGACGGCCCAGAATCTCCTTGACGTGTTCTACGGCCACGGTTACAAGGAGGTGCGTGTTCTGCAAACCTGCGTCTTGCTCCCCTGACGTCCGGTCAGCTCGACACCGCTCGCAACTACGGCAATGGAACCACCGAGGAGTATTTATCCAAGTTGGATCTCAAGGACTCCACTATCGACACCAAGGTCTATCCCAATAGTCCGGGCGACCACAAGCCTGCCAAGCTGCGCGAAACATTCCTGACCTCGCTCAAGGCGCTTGGACGTCAAAAGGTACGAGTGCTGTACCTTCACGCGCCAGACAGGAGCGTGCGTTTTGAGGAGACACTGGAGGAGATGAACAACCTCTACAAGGAGGGCCTTTTGTATGTCGTCAAACCTCTTCAATCGTCATATTTCCCGTTAATGCAGAGCAGCGAGATCTTTGGGCTCTCAAACTATGCCGCCTGGGAAGTCTCTTCCATCTGCGAGATCTGCAAGGGCCGTGGATGGGTCATGCCCGGTATCTATCAAGCAATGTACAACGCCTTGCAGCGTGCTATCGATGTCGAGCTCGTTCCTTGCCTGCGCAAGTACAACATCCGCCTGGTCGTGTACAACCCTCTTGCTGGCGGCCTTTTCTCTGGCAAGATCACTTCAGTTGACCAGCTTCCGGACGAGGGCCGTTTCAGTGGAGACAGTTCTGGTGCAAAGATGTACCGGGAACGTTATGTGAAGGAGACCTACATCAACGCATTGAAGGATATCAAAACCGTCGGGGTGCGTTCGGTGTACTTCATCCCCGAATAGCAGATTCTGATGACGCGACAGGACAAGCACGGTTTGAGACTGACCGAAATTGCGCTTCGGTGGTGCCAGCATCATTCTGCCCTCACCCCGAAGAACGGTGTCATTCTAGGAGCCAGCAGCGCCGAGCAGTTGGAGATGAACTGTACGGACAGTGCCAAAGGCCCGCTTCCCGCGGATGTCGTCGAGGCGCTGGATAAGGGCTGGACGAATGTTGGGCCCAGCGCCCCTCTGTACTGGCGCTAAGCGCCTTGACTAGGTCAAGATGGCAATTGTCACATCGTGGAAGTAAGGAAGACATCTATCAGGCTTATGGTGGATCGATGATAATGTGATGAATGTCACTGTTAACCTGCCTCTGGAGGATCTGTGAAATGGCACTAGAGGCCACTCTAAGCACCTCGAAAGCGTTATGACCCATCGAAAAGGATGGAAACCCATCCGCGGACGAAACTTAGGCCGAACACCAATTCGCTGACTAAGACGATTTTCCGATGCGGGTTGTGTTGTTGCCACCACCAGCACTGTTGACGAGCTGATTAATACTGTTCGACCTTGGTTAAGCAGCCCTATAAAATGTCACCCTGGGAGCCAACGTATTATTTGTATTAATCATCGAGAAGTCGCAGATATTCCTGCCATTGACCAACACCATGGTTCATTCTCGTGTTCCTTTGCTCTTCGTATGTGGTCTCAGATGACTTCCTTTCTCACAACGCTCACTGTGCTGTTCAACTAGGGAACGGCTAGCATTGGTGCACCTGGACAGGCTGCTGTGCGCGTTTCGGACTTGGATACTGCTCAGAAGATGCTGCATGTGTTTCTACTCAAATATAACTATAGGGAGGTCAGAAATCGCAACTGCAACAACATGTTCTTGACTGATCTGCATGTCACAAGCTCGATTCGGCTCGTGTTTATGGCGGTGGTACCACAGAACAGTATCTTTCTCAATTGGAATTGAGGGGCGCAACAGTCGACACCAAGAGTTACCCCTCAGCACCTGGGGATCACAATCCCGAGAAACTGCGTAGCACCCTCTTGGAATCGCGCAAAGCACTCAGAAATCTCCCAATTCGAGCGTTTTACCTTCATGCACCGGACAGGAGCGTCCCGTTCGAGAAAACACTTGAGGAAGTCGACAAACTTTATAAACAAGGCCATTTGTGTGCCAATTTTCTCGCCGTCATGTCGCAAACGTTTATGTGATAAGCGAGATCTTCGGGCTGTCCAACTTTGCCTCGTGGGAAGTGTCGGCGATCTGTGAGATCTGCAAGGCAAATGGATGGGTCAAACCCGGCATATATCAGGCGATGTACAATGCCTTGCAGCGATCGATTGAACCAGAACTTGTTCCCTGCCTTCGCACGTATGGCATTCGCCTGGTGGTGTTCAACCCGCTCGCGGGAGGACTGTTCTTGGGTAAAATCACTTCCATCGACCAACTTCCCAATGAGGGCCGTTTCAGTGGAGCTGGCGCCTTCGCAAAGCTGTATCGGGAACGCTACGTAAAGGAAGGCTACCTCAATGCCTTGGAGAAGATTAAGATTGTTGGGGTATGCATATTTGACTATCTCCAACAAATGTTCATAACTTCATGCAGGAGAAGCACAGTCTACGATTGACTGAAGTTGCCCTTCGTTGGTGCCAGCATCATTCAATGCTCACGGAATCCGATGGAGTTATCCTCGCAGCTAGTAGTACCGAACAACTCGAGATGAATTGCGCTGATAGCGAGAAAGGGATTGCCAGCTGATGTTGTCGATGTTTTAGATAAGGGATGGATGGACGTCAGCCCGGTTGCGGCTCGTTATTGTCGCTGAATGAGAGACAGTCCTTTCTTCATAGAAATGAAAGCACTTGTTTGAGATGATTAGTAGTATGCAGGGTTGAGAACTGGGTAATGACCTAGTGTTCATGCGGAAGAACAAGGGAACGGCAGCGCTTCTCGGTGATCTCAGCCAATTGAGAGCCACAGACCGCTATTAGACCCTCTCGTGACCTGTTCTCCTTTGCCCCACAACAAATAGTGCGCGATGATAAATTGCGTTATGATCCACAAATTGAATTAATGACTAATGTATTACAAGGGCTGATGCACTGGAGAATCGACAGACTGGTGACTCCAAAAATCCAGATCGTACACGGGAGGATAACTGAAAAAGAAAAGCGTAACGTGACCGGCATACGCAACAACGGTCTGGCTCTCGAGACTGCTCAGTACCCAATATCTCCCCATTTCCCACGTATCCGACGTGCTAGTTGAAGGTCGCGTTGCATGAGAGTGACACGCTTCGCATGTAGGGTACAGAGGTAGCTGTAACAGAGCATGAGTAAACGATAACAGGGCGAGGTATATACACTCACGCATCCTCAAAAAGGTGTACAAGGTAGGCTTCTGTTGCCTCTTGTAATGCTCGAAGGGCTGATGACTGCCATCGAACATCACGGTTCAGCGTCGTCATGTCTGTGGCGATTTCTCGGACCTATGCGATCTTTCAGCATCCCATCACATATCGTGGTATAATACACACGTACAAGACGAGAGAAAGGGAGTTTCTGCAATAGGAGATCGGTTGTTTTCTGGTACTTGCGGATTTCACGTAGCGCGAGAGTACCAGGACGATATCGTCTCTTCTTGCGGGTTGGCGTATCTGGGGGGTTCGGATTACTTACTTCATGAGGAGAAATTGTTTATAAGTAACTGAGCTCGTCTCATGGGACGTCCAAAACGTACCTTTTCGAGGTGCCTTCCCCCCAGTCGTCTTCCTTGCGGTGCTCTTTCTCCTAGCTGGGTCTGGCGAAGCTCCCCTTCCTTGCCCGTCCGATGGTCTTCTAGGTTTTGGGGCAGGTGTACGCGCCGTCGCTGTGCTAGCAGCCATTGTACCAGTGCAGACGTCTTTTCCAGCTTGGATGAATGAAGAGATACGGGTCGACTTGGGAGGATACGCTTGCAAGAGTGGTGGCGCGCGTGAACGCGACTTAGCACGAAGTAGATGTTCGTGACGCGGCGATAAGGCTCAGGGACCTTATCACCGATTTAAATCCCGCGTCAGAGCGGATACATATTATGTAAGTCAAGCATTCGTGTGCCCTTGCTTTCCAGTCACAATCATGTCAAAACAACAGGAAGATAGAAACCAAGAAGCAACAGTATATCTGGTGGGCTCAAGGCCTCACGAGAAGTCAGCATTGTATGACGATGATTTTTAGGGTAACCTCGACGAGCGAGTCACAGATGCCATCATCTGGGAGCTGATGCTTCAGGCGGGCCCTGTTGGTACGTCCGCTCTTATGCTCAGTAACTACTGAGACTGACCTGTTCACCAGTGAATGTACACCTGCCGAAGGACAGGATATCCATGGCGCACCAAGGGTATGGGTTCTGCGAGTTTTTAACTGAGGAGGACGCCGAGTATGCTTGCAAGATCATGAACCAGATAAAGCTATGGGGCAAGCCCATACGTGTGAACAAGGTGTGCCATGTCTGCATCCAATTTCTAGTAAATCTCATTACCTTCCAGGCGTCATCAGACAAGAAGCAACTCGATGTTGGGGCAAACCTCTTCATCGGGAATCTTGATCCGAACGTGGACGAGCGTCTATTGTACGACACGTTCAGCGCGTTCGGTATTCTAACCCAACCCGCTAAAGTGAGTATTCATCGTCTGCGTGTGGTTTATTTCTAAGATATCGTCTCCAGATCGCTCGCGATCCTCAAACGAGCGAATCCAAAGGCTACGGCTTCATCTCGTACTCTGATTTCGAGTCGTCTGACAGAGCCATCGAGTCCATGAACAACCAGTTCCTGATGAACAAGGCGATCACTGTTCAGTACGCGTTCAAAAAGGATGGAAAGGGGGAGAGACATGGTACAGATGCGGAACGTATGCTTGCGTCCCAAGCAAAAAAGAACAACGCACTTCCACTCGGCCTTCGACCGCCCCCTGCCCCGATGGGTATTCTGCCAGGTTCTGGTGGCCCGATGGGGTATCAGGGTCAATTCGCAGGTGTCCTCTCGGCTGGACCTGCGGCAGCTCTCCCGTCACCCTTCGGCATTCCTAACCAACCAATGATGCAGTACGGCGCAGCTCCACCCCCACCGCCGGGCGTACCAGTTTATAACCCAGCCGTGGGCGCACCTGGGATGCCTCCACCACCGCCAGGATTTCAAGCGCAAGCTGGATATGGCATGTCTGGATATCCACAAGGCATGCCCCCTCCTCCCAGCGGCTTCCCTCAAGGGATGGCATTTCCTCCTCCTGGTGTGCCAATGATGCCGCCTGGCATGCAAGTGCCGCCGGCTGGATTTATACCCCAAAATGGGGTGAGAAGCTGATGGTTGACATTGCTTCTTCTGCATTGTATTAATCAGACCATTTCAGCATGTACTTCCTGGATCGATTCTAGATCTGCTGGGCTAAGCGGGCAGGGGTCGCCGATTCTGCTTACCTCGATGTACCTGACCGTGACGCGACACCGCCTCACTGAAGTAAGCTTAAGCGGTGCCACACAGAATTCTCTTCGACTGATCTTGTGATAATGATTGTGCGTGAGAATCATGCCAGTATAAATAGATTGTGATTTGGGCTGTTACTGGTGGTAGCTTGTTGTAAATGTTGCTCTTCACCCCACAAAGAATCTGGCGGTACCGGTCTGTTTTGACTTTCACGGAGGCATTTGGAAGATCCCTGCCTCGTCTTAGCTCCGCCACACTCCCTGAAATACGACGACCACACGACTTACTTACATCCCTGTACTTCACCCATTCCTGACCACAATGAGCTCCAACGCTCCCGCACTGAAGTTGAGTGCAGACATGCAGAGTGACCCCACGGCGCTAGCAGCTTATCTCGAGGAGATGAACAAGCTGGTAGCCGGAGCACTGGATACAGATCCCCGGTGGACCAAGATCGCCAAGGCGGCGAAGTCTTTGGCAGACATACTGCGGCACAAGACGGAGGGTACGCACGAATCACCTGTCTACTTGTACCTGGTTATTGACGATGCTGTACAGATGATCTCCATGGCAAGCTGGGAAAAGGTGGCCTCCCTAAATCAATCACGGGTTTGGTGAAGGGCACCCCAGGTGTCACAGGAGTGCCGAGCCGCGGCCTACGTGTTCCGGCTTTGGTTGAGGTTCTTCGGGTGGGCGCCAATCTTTGCGCGGATGATGGTGTGCCCGAGCAATCGACAGAAAATTTGCTGTGCTAATATCTCGATCAAGATGACAATCGTGCAATATTCTTAGCAACGGACTATGTGGAGAGCGTGCTTGGACTCCTGGAATCCTACCTTCCCTGGATTCGTTTGCCTTCTGAGAAGGATCCTCAATCGAAGCAAGCGCAGCCACTGTTACTCGATGACCTTCGTGTTATCAAGACCGCAGTCGGAGCATTGCTAAACATCAGTGCAAGTTTCGGTGCGTCTTGGTTGTTATCGACCTTGCGGTTTTTGACGCGTCAGCTGTAGACCCCGCAAAGGAAAAGCTCCTACGGCTTGGTGCACCTCTGATTGTTCTGCGCATTATTGTCGGCCTCTATCCCGCTGGCGGGTGGGCATCGACCTCGGCATCAACCTCGATACCAGATATGAAAGAAGAGTGGCTTTGGCGTTTCGGCGTGTCGAATTGGGCGTGGCGTGCGCTCGACGATTGGCGGGAACCAGCGGAGGACAGCGACGAAGACAGCAAACCCATTTTTGACGGCGCAAGTCTCATGTATCTGCTGGATCCTTTGCCATTCGTCCTTCCGCCATTTCCTGAGAAGCTCCCTGACGTATTTAACCAAGTGGCGACGAGACTGCCCCTCATTGACGCCGATCTTGAAGTCCTGGAACAGGTGTGCATGTCACTTGAGAGCTTAGCCCTTGATCTGGCGGAAGTCCGGCAGCTTCTTGGTCGTTCAGCCGCCAGCCATACACCTGAGAATTCATATCTTGCTCAAATTATCCGCTTTGTAGAGCAAGTCCAAGCGCCATCGTACTGGTCGGAACACTCAGATAAAGATAGGAAGCGATGGGAGAGGACGCTCGCTTTCTGCAAGGCTGCTGTCATCAAAGCGATCATTGCTGTATCGGGCGAAGATGCCAACCTTGATGTCCTATGGAACGAAAAGGACGAGAGTGGTGGCTGGTTCGTCAAGACAATGCTGAAGTGGATTCGAAGCTACAAGCCGCGCACGAAGGTGAATGCAAACGAAGATGATGGTTATCATGACATGGCAATTTGTGGGACATTGGCATTGGGCAACTTGGCGAGGAAAGGTAAGTTGTCAGATAGTCTAACTGATCCCAGGCAGACTGACATCATGTCCAGAATCACATTGCCTGACACTGGCTTCACCTCCCATATCCCTTACCGCCAATTTAATCATGCTCCTTGATAGGAAGACTGACATCAAGCTGAAACACGGTGTTATTGGTCTGCTCAAGAACATGGGACACGCTCCAGGGAACCGTGCTATCATCGGAGATGCCGGCTTATTGGAGGCCCTGGCTGCGTCTCGAATCTGGGAGCAAAAGTGGGATATCGCGGAGACTGTGCAGTTATCTGCCATCGGAGTTTCTAAGCACCTCGCCCAATCTAATGGTGAGGAGGCGGAATCAGCCGCTACCCTATTGTAACTGATGTATGACAGCGCTCAATTCTCTGAGGCTACTTCAAGCGGGCACTGACCACAACAGCTGCCTTGAGCAGATCCTTGGATTGGTCAAGCGTTCGGACACTATAGCTGTTAAGAGTGAAGGCACCCGTGTACTTGTCAGTGTCATCAAGTCCTTATGCACAAACAATGGCTCGGCCATTCCCGAACACGAACGGAAGTCTGCTATGGATCGATTAGTAAACACTCGTTCAACCACCGCTCTGGCGGAGCTCATTAGCAGGAGTCAGAAGTATCCCCTTCTACTCAATGAGGGAATTATTGCAATGACATTGCTTGCGACACAAACCCATGGAGGTGAGACGGCATTGCTCATCTGCTAGCAACATTGTTCCTGATTTCCATACAGTACCTCATGTTCTGTCTGCATTTTTCTCCTCAAGCCCATCCACATCTACCACTACGCCGACGTCGACAACTTTCTCTCTCCCTGGGTCTGCTCCCACCTCCCCGACCGCCCCGGTCCTGGTACCTGACTCTCCTGCCGTGGCCACCCTTGTCGCCATCCTAGTCAACAAGGAGAACAAGTACCAGCCTGAGCTGCGGGCGAATGTCTGCGCATTGCTCGCTGCTATGGGCCGCCGCGTTCCCGGTGCTGCGGAAGAGGATGCGAAGAGGCAGGAAGTTTTACACAATCAGACGAGGGAAGCATTGAATGCTGTCGCAAACGGGAATGGCAGCGAGTCAGATAAGTTGGATATCAGCCAGGCGGCCGCTGCTGCTTTGCTGGCCTGGAGACGATGATGTAGAGTAGAGTCACAGACATTTTTGTTGTTCATGTAGTGTATACAATATATTCAGGTTCACCTGAACAAACTTTTTGGGTGTAGGATGAGGTGTGGAGAAGTTTTTGGGCTGTCGGCGTGTTTAGCTGTCATATTACATTACACCAATTCAGTTTCAATCCCTCTTTACCAACCATCCCAGATGGTGTAACGGCTAACATTGCTGCCTTTCACGCAGCGGCTCGGGGTTCGATTCCCCGTCTGGGAAACCAAACGGTTATTTTTCATTTTATCCCCAAAATTTGGGCTACCGGAAGTATTTCACTTCCTTTGGTTGAAGTGTTTTGCGGTTGGCCCGTTGCCTATGCTTAGGTCAAGCTAAACCACACAGTAAGTAGTTTTAGCCATCCTGCTGTCAGTGTGTTGAACTTCCCTTTTTATTTTTGGCAGTGAGCACAATTCCTCGAGAAGCGTTGCCGGCGGAACTTGTCTCTGTCATTGATCAGGAACTGAAAACGCTTCGAACAACATCAAGAGCAGTGCATTCTCTGAGCTCAATCCTTGATGCTGAGCTTGCAATTCTTGATCGGGTATACTATAAGGGCAACTCTCAGCACCGGAGCGGGATTTTCTGGAAGCGAGCTGCCGAGATTCGACGACTTGCCAGACGTGTTCACAATGCAAAACTCGGAGGGCTGATTGATGCCTTCCGTGAATTATTCTTCTTCGATCCTAAGTGAGCTTTGCGTTATATACTATGTCGTTATTTTATGGAGGTGCAGAAACATCAAGCGAGCAGCGTGGTCGAAGGTACCAAAACAAGACTTAACAGCAAACTCCCTCTCCCATCTGTCCTTGATTTCCCATCTTTTCGCACATGCGATCGACCGATGTCAATCCGCCTACAAGTCCGTATTTTATTATGTACAGGCTTGATCTGACTGTTTGATCAGGTGGTTTGAAGCCCAGCTGAGGAGCACAGCGTTCTTCCCTCTGACTATGACCCTCATCGCCATTGCTGCAAGATTGCACAGCGTTTTCAGTTCGCTTGCGGCGGAAATTGTCAATACTTGGCAGTCTCTGGATACGCTGTCCCAGCGCCTGCCTGTAAGGTAATGAGATATGAGGAAAAACCAGCTCATGATTTGTCTAGGTGGAGAGCGGAGTGAAGCGTGTGCCAGTGAAACGCCTCTCTCGAGCGCTCCAGGTCTTACTAGGAACGGAGACAGCCATACCTACCCCGTCTCTTAACAAGACAACATCAGCAGCAATCGCCAAAGAGGCGGGATACGACCTCGGCCATGCGATCGTCAGAAGACTTGCACCTCTCGAAGAGGATACGATGATTGTAGACCCTGCCGCTAGAGCGCAGTCTTTCCCGCCTGAGATTCCTCTCAGTTTCTTGGAAGAGGACGACGTGCCCATGGATATTGTTCGGGAGGATATGATTGCTGATGCGCCGATAATGGATATGACTGATATCCCGGAGTCTGGTGAGCTAGTTGAGGGAGAGGCAGCGGAGCTACCGCCAGAGGGCACAGCACACGAGCCTATGCCCGGCGAGAGCATCCCTGCAAGCGGACTACCCATCGCCTCGACTAAGAGGAAAAAGAAAAAGCCGAAGGTCGGCGGGGACGAGATTGATGTCATCTTTGGTGGATTTTAAATTTTGTTTGCACACAGCGCACATGTACATGTCTCATGTATATCCTCATCCATTATACGTGTACCCTACACGCTTTTGTCTTATTCGTAGCTCAGCTTCATAGTAGCAACTTGAACGGATAACCTATTGCACATGGTCAGCCCAAGAAGTGGGAAATGACTGAGAGGAACGTACCTCCGTTCTTGATGCGGAAGAAGCTGATCAGGATGCTGAAGAGCACGAAGAGGATACCTGTCCAGAGGTAGACGCTGGCGCGCTGCCGGATTGGGGAGGGTATCCGAGGTACGAGAAGGATAAGAGCGAGGTAAGACGCGCCGAGAAGACCATCTATGTCACTTGTTAGCAGTCACGACCAATATTCGAAATGAACAAAGCGTACAGAGAGCAGCGACCAAGTTGACCTCTATCCCAAACTGGTTTTGGAATCCCCCGGCGATCATGCTATTATGCTGCGCATATGGCATCCCCCGAATTTGGACGAACATGTATCCCGAGGTCATCACCAGTGTAAGGCCTACAGTGGCAGCTGCCCACAGCCAGCGGTTGCTGATGATCTCCCTGAGGTATATCCATGCGAATCGGCCAGCGACGAGGGAGAGAACGAGGAATGTGAAACCGAAGAACCAAGGCTGCCAGTTGAAGGGAGCCGTGTAGGGAATCGGGATAGGTGTGTGGTTGGAAAGATCTTTGGCGAGTTCTTCAGCGTCGAATCCGTGTCGGCTGAAGTCGTACGAGAACTCGAGTCGTTGTGGGTTGGGTCGGACGGAAGGACCTTCAAGGGCCGGGAAGAATTGGAGGACGGGGGCGGAGGAGAGGCCCAGCTGAGGGCAAATGTTGTAAGTACAAACAGAAGATTAGGCTTATGGAAAGGGTATACCCTCTTGAAGACATCCTGACCCTCGAGGAAGTCAAGCGTGGCGAAAAAGTGCTGATCCCGCTCAGCTGAATGCACTTTGCTCCATGCCTTGGCAACCGACTTGAAGCTAGGATTGAAATCGCTGCACTCTCATCAACACCGCTCTACATTGAACCTGGAAATACGCGCTTACGAGCAAGGAGAACACTTGAACTGGGGGCTGAGGGCTGTGAACTGGATAGCTGCGCTCCATTGGCGGTTCGGCGCGGTGAGCGCGTCGTACAGTACGGGATTGAGCTTGATGACGCCGTTGTTGGCGGCAGCAAGACGGACAAGCTCAGCATGGGTAACCTGGGCGACGGCTGCGCTCAAGGAGGCGACGAGGAGGAGGACGCCGTACAACAGACGCATTTTGGACGATGAGCTTAAAGGTTGGAGAGCACGACGTGTAGGGGTCTGCTAGAACTAGCCACGGATTATTTGCCACGTGGTAAGATGATGAACACGGCCCGGAACCGCTCGTTCTTTGGCCCGTTATTGTTCACTGCTTCTCTACCCCGAAGTCTTCCCCTCCCTCACCTTCTTCCTTCACTCCTCATACCAAAGGTTGTAGTCGATCCCCATGTCCCAAGGCGCCCAAGATGGCAAGTTCTTCTCTCGCGGAAAACTCCAGGAGATCAGAGAGGATCTGCACAAGGCGCTCACCAAAGGCGACAAGAAATGGGACAAACGAAAGACGATCCTGAAGCGAGTGCTCGCAAACATGACAATGGGGAACGACAGTGCGTGCGCTTTCCCGTAGAGCATGGGAACAAGCTGATCGATTGCAAGTGGCGTCATTGTGGGGGGACATAATGGAGTGTTTGAACACGCCCGTCTTTGAGGTCAAGAAGAGTGCGTGACGGTCGCTTGTATTCTTCGAGTTGTACTGAGATACTTCAGTGATCTATCTCTATGTCATGAACTATGCTCGAATAAAGGCAGATCAAATCGACCCCGCTATTCGCTCCCTGTTGCAGGTGTGCACGGGGCGTGACATATCTCTGTGCCATTGCTCACTGTGCGCAGGATGCTAACGACCGCAACCCCCTTCTCCGCGCTCTCGCCATACGCACCCTTGCCTACATCCCCCTCCCTATTGCTATGGAATCTCTATGTGACCCCCTCCGGCATTCCCTACGCGAGTCCGACCCTTACGTGCGCAAGACTGCAGCGATTTGTGTCGCCAAAATGTACATGTTCGATCATCGAATGTGCGAGCGCGAGGGGCTAGTCAATAGCTTGCGAGCACAGATGATGGATGAGAACGTCACTGTAGTGGCCAACGCGATGGCTGCACTGAGCGAGATACAGGAGAGGGGTGATACACAGCTCATTAAGCTCAATGCCAGCACGGCGTTGAAGCTTACTGTCGCACTCAATGAGAGTTCCGAGTAAGCCCATCTTCCCTACCCAAAGCAGCACCATTTGACTCATGTTGTGCAGATGGGGCCAGATCTACATCCTGGAAGCGTTGATGAACTTCGTTCCCCAACGACCGGACGACGCGCTAGCTCTTGGCAAAAAGCTCTCCATCCGGCTACAAAACACCAATTCCGCTATCGTGCTTACCACCATCAAGGTTCTTCTATACCTCATGAACTACATGAACGACAGGGACGAGATCGAGGAACTATGCCACAAGATGGGGCCACCTCTGGTCACGCTCCTCTCTTCCGGCCCGGAGGTGCAGTACGTCGCCCTTCGCAACATCCTGCTTATCATCCAGCGACGGCCGACCATCTTGCGGAACGACGTCCGGGTCTTCTTCACCAAGTACAACGACCCAATCTACGTCAAACTTGCGAAGCTCGAGATCATGTACCGGCTCGCGACGGAGAACAACTACAAAGAAGTCCTTGTTGAGCTTGGGCAGTCGGCAGCAGAAGCCGATGTCGACTTTGCACGCAAGGCAGTGCGCTCCATCGGTCGGCTCGCCATCAAGGTGCCCAATTCGTCAGACAGATGCATAGGCCTGCTCCTAGAACTCATCAAGAGCGATGCGAGCTACGTTGTGCAGGAGGCTGCGGTCGTCATCAAGGACATCTTCAGGAGATACCCGAGCGAATACGAGAGCGTGATCCCGCAACTTTGTGCGAAGCTGGATCTGATTACGGAAGACCCGGAGAGCAAGGCTGCGATCATATGGATCCTGGGGCAGTATGCGGACAGGATCGATAACTCCCATGAACTGCTGGACGACTTGGCATACACATTCCTGGAGGAGACCAAAGAGGTGAATATAATGTATACTTGTCATTCCTCCAGTCTAATCGTCCTATCTCAGGTCCAATTCGCCCTCCTTACCGCCGTAGTCAAGCTCTTCATCCGCAAACCACAAGAAGCGCAAGGACTGGTTGCCAAAGTGCTCCAAGTGGCAACAGAAGAAGTCGACAACCCCGATCTGCGAGATCGGGGGTACATGTACTGGCGGCTGCTGTCCTCGCACGCCTCGGCTGCGAAGGATATCGTATTGGTGAACATGCCGCCTATATCGACGGATACGGACCGGATGGAGAGGGGTGCGCTGGATCAGCTGTTGCTGCATACAGCCAGCCTGGGATCAATATACCACAAGAACCCAGAGGTAAGTCGTGCATATCATTTTAGGGGATAGAACTAAGTATCTCATGACAGGGCTTCATTCGCACTGCTCGACCGAAATACCTCGCCGACAGCCCAGCACTGAACTCCACCTCCCGTGCAGTGCTCGTCCGTGCGCCAGACCTGAACGCGCCTACACAACTCCCCGCGCCGGCGAGCATCCTTCCCACTACTCCGAGCGGGATCCGGGAGCTTGCCGGTTCTCCTTTACTAGGCGATATAGGGGAGGATGAGGGTGCACCGGCGCCTATGTCTATGGGCCAACTGGTGGACGACGGAGATGGGGAAGACGATCCCAGTGCGGGGATTACGGGTAACGGGGCTGCCGCGGAGCGGACAAGCTCGCAGTATGATCCCTATGCGGAGTTAGGAGCCGTCCTGGGTGCCGCGGATGGGGACGACACGGACTCGGCACGACGAAGGGAGGAAAGCGAACCGCTGTTCTGAAAGCATGTATGTTTGTGTGGGAATAGGGCGGGGAGGGTGCGATTCCGGACTGATTAGTGTACTGAGCATACATCTTGCTGTCGGTATACCGGGCGCCTCACGCTAAGCGCGGGGGCGTTGTATCTCTACATAATTACATCTTGTGTTCGGGGAGATCGTGGAACTGGGTGGGAGGCGAGAGGGTGGACATGATAAGGATTTAGTGGGATTGGGATCGGTTGTGTCGGTGTCGGTGCTCGTGCTCTGATCCGTGGGTATGACCGCGGTGACCGCCGAGGTGCGGTAAAGGGATAGAGAAGCTATGTCGTTCTAGTGGTCTGAGTGAATTATAATGCTGGCCAATCATCAGTATCTCAACTGAGCAAAACACGGGAAACGACCTACTTCGCCTAGCCCGTACATCCTCCGATGATAGCTGATTGTCGCTATCGGTAGATGCTTCCCGTCCTCACTCGGTCTCGTCTTGACAACGCTCGGCGTTCCCCCTTGTACAACATCGATCTCCACCCCATACGCTTTCGCGAGAGCAAGCAGCTCCGGCTGACCACCCCATTGTGCCGTCCCCTCGATATTATCACAGTACTTCGCATATTGGTGGGAAGTCATGATCCCGTCGTCCGTCGCTCCCGTCCCATCCTCGCCTTCCATACTAGGCAAGAACGGCAAGAAGTCGTCCGGATGCGCGCGCATATACTCCGCCGCGGCCTTGCGTGTCGTTTCCGGCCTGGCCTCGCCCTGGGGTAGGAAACCGAGGATGGAGAGCTGGTCCGCCACCGCGGTGAACATACAGTTCCCGTCTGGCGGGCATTCCCACATCTCCAGGTGGGATTTGAAGCATACTGCTCGGATGGCGGCTTCTTCTGCTCGGGCTTCGGCTTCCAGTTTCGTATCGGCGGAAGCGTCGATAGGGGCATAGGAGGCGGCTAGAGCTTCGGCTTTTCTTGCCTGTAACACAGCATAATCGTTAGATAATCACTGCAAAAAACGAGATCAGAGAATGAGGGGACGAGCACATACCTGTCTGGCTTTGAACTTCTCCTTACTGCTCAGCTTCTTCCCCTTGCCCTCAAGAGCCTGCGTCTCCTTTGCCTCCTGTTTTGCAACGTCATGCAGCACCTGAGCAGCCTCCCCCTTAGTTGCGTCGTCCTTGGCATCCAGCTGGGCCATGAGATCATCTAACAAGTCGTCGCCCGCTCCCGGAGTGGACTCGGTCTCGGGGGTGAGGGACGCGTTGGAGCCATTAGGAGTCGAAACGACGTTGCCTAGTGAAGACGCTGAGGGAGGAGAGAACATGTCCTTTATTTTCCTCCTGTTCTTCCCTCCTGCCATTGTTGCCTCTCTAGTCTCTGAGGTAGATGCCCAGGAATGGTGGTGGGTATGTAGTAAGCGAGTGAGCGATTGAAATTTCGCTATGGACGTAAGGGACCGTCTGAGGGTTGACAGTCGGAGTCCTGCGGTTTACGTCACTCAACTTGAACCGTAAACAGCAAATCACTTCTCTTTCCTTCAACACTCTTTCCCGGTCGTTTCTCTTTCGGATTATTCCTACATGCAAACAGACAGACTCTTCACACAAAATTTATGCCAATTTCTTTTTATTTTCCCGGAACCCTACCTTCCAAATCCGGGAGGTGTGCTAAACATAGAGGCTTGACCAGGCAGTGCACACTCTGATTTATCCGGATCTCCCACTCTCAGCACGAACGTCACAAGCAGGGCTTGCAGTGCACATTCCAGCAGGGACGGCCGCATGACCCGTACCATGTAGTCAATGCAAAGGCCGCATGCGAGGCAACAGAACAAGCCTTGGCCTCCCGTCGTGAACCTAAATTCGAGGTAATTCCTCCGATGACCCCTTTTGGGCGCATTTTGCCTACAATGACCCCAAGGCCTGCCCTAAGTAACCAAATAAGGAAAGCAGTTTATAAACGGACACGAAGAGACTGGACCCTAACGCATCTTGAACTCCTACCACCGCGTTTCTTAATTGGAAGGTCCGTGGTTGCTTAGGGCAGGCCTTGGGGTCATTTCAGGGATTTGCACCCGAGGGGTCATGGTAGGCAAAATGCGCCCAAAAGGGGTCATCGGAGGAATTACCTCTCCTAAATTCCAATTCCCGCCGGGTTCAGGTGTCAGCATCGCATCATCTCGGCAGTCGCGGTACTCTTCGGCCGGGAGCGACAGGTTATTGCCACTCGACACACTGGACGGTGATGCCACCTCAAACCATGGCAGGCATGTATATAAGGCGACAGGTTGTGTGCTGAAGACATTCCACAGCCTTGACCCGCACGTACACCTGCCAACACCCCGCTTTAACTCCACCGTATAATCCTGACTTCTGCCATGGACGCTTGTAGCGACTTCGATGGTACCACCGTTCTCGGGGCGAACGATGATGCCCGTTTATCTGAGAAGTCGACACGCCCAAACAAGGGCAAGAGTGTTACTCCAGAGTCGTCCGTACCGAGGAACACGCTGGTTCCTTTTGTCAACACGGTGGAATATCTTGATCAGGTGCGCCTGTTTGCATAGCTGTGGTCGTGTGCGCTAATGTGGGTGTTGCATAGCATCGCCCCTTCTTCGTCCGATGTGGGGAGGATGGTCTCATCCCCGCCCTTCACAAGCTCAATGACCAGATCGTGTCCGCGGGTCACCGCAGCATAATGTGCAAGATACAGCCGATGGATTTCGGGCGAGAGATCTCCCCCGGGCAAATCGGGCTCGTGAACCGTGCAGGCTGGCCGGAACTCCTCATGCAACCCGGTAAATACCCCGGCTTCCCCTTCCGTAACTGGTGGGCGCGCAAGTTCGACGGCCGCCAGGGCGTGTCCGACACTGTACTCCAGTTCCAGGGCCTTACGGCTGTCCAAGTAAGCCAGAACCAGGCGGCGGTCGTCTCCGATCCCCAGAATCAGATCTTCGTCATTCGCAGCGGCGGGTTCGTGGCTCTCGCTCTGCAGGGAACGTATGACGTCCTCGCGGTGGTGGACCAGACACATCTGGCTAAGGCGATTACGGATAAAATGACGAACCAGGTCCTCGGGTACATGCAGGAAGTTAGGATGGCCAGCACGCTCGGGGCCAAGCGCAATAGTCAAGAGTATGTTGTCGCTACTTTGTGAGTGCATATCTGGTCCTGAAGAGGAAAATGTATTGACATGACACGCAGCCTGAACATTCCCGCTAACAACTGTGCCATCCTCCAGCGTGGGGATGAGCTGCAGCAGATCCCCGCCGGGCAGCACGTCATCACCAACCCTAATGTACGTTTCTCTTACTTCCCACCGACTGCATCCTGATCTCCTCTGCGGGGTTTTAGGTCACCTTCCGCTCCCTATTCACCCGGGGCGAATGCCAGATCGAGATGCCGGCTAAGGACATCATGACGAAGGACCAAGTTCCTGTGTCCCTCACAATCTACCTCAAGTGGCAACTGGAGGAGCCGCTCAAGCTCACACAACACGGGTATGTCAGCCCGTACGATGCTCTGCGAGACAAGAGCCAGTCGATCTTGACCCAGATCGTTGCGCACTGTGAGCCCAATTCCTGCCTTCTCACACGAGCATGACTGACGACTATGTCACGCAGTGGAATACGCGTCGATGGTCAAGTCACGTACTTTAGGCCCAGAACTGGAGGAGCATCCAGGCGATTCGACCGCCTTCTTGGATTCGCTCCGCTCGCGCGCGATGGACGACCTTCACCTAGCTGCGCTGGAGTACGGTATTGTTCTCAAGGACCTGGCGGTGATTGACAGGAAGTTCAAGGGTGAGATTGCGCAGACTATGGATCATCTCACCCGGAGGGCGCTCGAGGCGCAGGTCGAGGCTGGTAAGCCGGTCCTGATATCGCTTCGTAGGGAGATACTGATCGAGCTGCGCAGCCAACGTGGACCGGGAGAACTCGAACCGCGTCAAGAAAGAGGAAGGTCAGCTGCAGGTCGCACAAGTACAATCCAAGCAGCGCCAGGCCATCGCGGATGCCGACGCATACACTGTCGTTGCCAAGGCTCGTGCCGACGCTCAGGCATCCGCTATCGCCGCCGACGCTAGGGCGAACGCCATCCGTATCCAGGCTGCCGCAGAGGCGGACGCGATCAAGATCAAAGCACAGGCTGTTGCAGAAATCCGCGACGAGTTTGCAAAGGAGGTCGAGCTCAGGCGCCTAGAGATTCAGCGCGTGGCTGCGTACGGCAACCGTACGGTATTCGTGCCCGCCTCGGATCCCGGCATGGCCAACAACATGACCAACGCCCTGTCGGTGGGTATGGCCGCAGGGATGGGCAGGGATGCTGCACCACAATGATGATGCACCGGCTGATGACGTCCCGGATTCCGGGAGATGTTGTAGCCGTTGAGATACCAAATTTTCGTAGGCCGACAAAGTTACTCATTTACTTCTTACTGTTGTACAACATGCCAGTTCGGATATAATCGTAATACGTGATATGTATAGCATAAGAGGGATGAAACCATAAAAGCCAGTGCGTAGGAGCAAACACTTCACGGATCGGCGCGCCGCCTCTTGATGGACGCTTCCTTGGTTAAATAGACGCAACTGAAGTCAGGCACGAGAGCTCGAAGTTTGTGGGCAATTTCGTGATCGATCTTAGGGCAGCCGTCGATGATCAGGGACTTAATTGGCCGAACGTCGTTTGGTAGTCCCTCGGCATCGGGAGGATCGCCCCTGTCTGGGGAATCGTCGGGAGGTGGTAGATGGGATCGGACGAGCCGTAGCAACGGACTGCCCGTAATGAGCGGACAGTGGGAGAAGTTGACATACTGCAAGTTGGGCCAATCCGATCGGTTGGCGAGGTCCTCGACCAGATGGTTCGTAAGCTCAGCAGAGCGGGATATCTCCAACCTGTTCAGGTTCTTGTACATTCCAAGGTGGGTGCGCAGCCATTGTTCGTCGAGTGATGTACTGCAGAGAGAGAGCTCGGAGATTGCTGAGTAGTGGGGTTGCAGAGTGGACATGAGCTCAGCCGCTCTCGTCCGAACACACTGATCTAGTCGTAGGCTTTGCAGCGCGGGAACGTCCATGTTCTTGACGAGGGCCAGCCAATTACCAGGTCCGATGAACTCTACGCTCTGCAGACTCGGAAGGGCGATTATTTCGTTGTCTTCCGGAGGAGGGGTAGTATCCCTTCCAGATGCAGGTACTGGACTCTTGAGTGACAATACTCGGAGCTTTGGTAAGTCGGAGAGAAGCCGGCGAAACAGAGCCGCCGGCTCCCCGCATGGCCATATTGATTGAATCACGAGGATTTCGAGGTCACGACATGTGAGTTCGGAGGGAATGCGAACATAGCCGGTCAGCTCCAGTCGCCGAAGGGAGGTGAAGGCCGGTAGAGTGAAGCCGGCCTTGCCTTGTGGATTCTTGAGGTACACATGGAGACACAGCACCCGTAGATTGTCCGCAATTGATGAAGGAAGGTTGTCGAATATCATATCCCGCAATGTCTGCCCAATAGCCAGGTCTAGCCGAGCAGGCTCATTGTGCCCCACCAATCGCACCAATTTTTTGAACCATTCTTGGTGATCCACTGGGAGAAAAAAATCATTCCTGATACGAAGATCAACACATCGCGAGTGTGATCGCTTCATCCACATGGCTGTTTTCAACTCCGATCTTCGCCTTTGGAGGACGAGGGTCGACCAGAGCCAGGAATTTGATAATGCGGTTTCACGCCATCGTCTGCAGACATGGGAGGCAGTGATAGGAATTGACACGTCGTCCACCATAGCGTCAAAGAATATGAGACTGAGTATCTCGTAGGGAAGTCGATGTATATGACAAGTCGAAGCTATGTTGCCAGCGTCGCGCTCCTCGATGGCAGCGAGTGCCTCGTCCCTGATCGCACCGACTTCAGCTCGCTTGGTCTTCTCAGATACGGCCAGGCGTTCAACCGCCATAGCGCACATGTCGAGGGTACGTTCCAGCTTGTTCAGTCGTAGAAAAAGACGCGCAGCGCGGATGTAGCCCTTTATCCTCCTCGTCAGATAGGAGAACCCCTGTGAGAAACGACCTTGTACCTTGGGCTGCTCAGGAGAGTATTGTATGACCATTTTCGCGTCTTTCAACGCCTCCTTATACCTTTTCAGCCTCTCGAACGTTGCAGCACGGGCGTCATAGAACTGATGGGAGCTTGGCTCACGATCGATGCACTTCGGAGTTTGGTCAAGGGGTAATTCCAAACAGGTGATAGATATCTCTCCGTACCTCATTAAAACATACCAATGCCTCTTTCAGCTTTCCAGATCTAAAAAGCAACAGCGCCGATGAGAGTCTTTCCTTTAATTGTACATTGGACATCTTGATCGTGTCCTGACAGATGTGCCGGATGTCGGGTATATGTGCAATGTGCGACGCGACCAAGTCACCCTAATTGATTAAATGTCGCGGGTAGAGTCACGTGAAAAAGTTAGTCACATTGACAAGCAAAATAATTCGTTAGTGTTAGCAGGAACTAGTCTTGATCTAGTGACCTCAGGGTTTCAACATATGAGCCCTGCGCGCTTCCGCTGCGCCACCCTGCTTTAACACAACTGAGCGTCAGCTCAGACATCAAGTAAAAAATTTTAGTGGCCCTGGAGTCATCCTTTGAATACCACATTTTCACTCTATCCTGCCCCAAAACGATACATAACATGCCACAACTTGACTAGACCACAAATGCATCAGGTTTGTTGTACACTGTTGTTGCCGCCATAGTTCGCTTGATTATGATTATTCTTTGGAGGTCTGTTTGGCGAGAGAATCGTCCTCGTTCCATACGGATGGGATGAGAATCGCGGCGGCGGCGGTGGGGTCCGAGGAGGGGGCGTGCGGTCTCGCTCGCCTATAAGGACTTTGTGGGTACCATACGCTGTCGATGATCGGAAGCGAGGCGGAGCAGGAAACGTGCCCCGAGAGGGGGATGACAAACTAGGGCTTGTGGTCTGATTGCGCGTGATCTGAGGAGAGCTCTGACGAGGAGGGTGGGCAGGGGCTACTTCAGACGTTGTCCCAACTCCGATAACTGCCGCAGAGGATGGCTCTACGGTAGGGGTTGCAGTTTCTTCAGGCACTTTGAAGTTCTAGAAATGACATCAGCAGTGTCCACAAACACAGAACCCTTGTGACACACAAGCTCCCTGCCCTCCGTCGCGAGTCGATCGAGTAGCTCGTCAAACTTGCCTTCCCCCTCCATCACCATGTATGCCTTATATAACATCAGCGCGGTACGAGCGTCTTCGATGGAGTCGTGGTTTCCAGTTTGAATGTTGCCTTTCAGGAGGAACCAAGCAAGGAAGCGCAAACTGATCTTTCGCGCCCGCTTTCGTAAGTGGTACAACGACACCGTATCGATGACCTGGTCAGGTGGCACAAACATGTCTAAAGAACATTCAGAACGGGCACGTCACAAGTTTTGACGACCTACTGATTATCCTCCAATCCTGAGCCAAACCATGCCCTACGAAAATGCAGCCAAGGTCTACCAGAAGGCGAATCTTCTGGTACACAGTCTTCAAAGGGACAACGGTGTGCTTGGATACAGAAGGATCCAGGTCGCCGGCTGTACGACACATTAAAAGACAGAAACTGCTAGGAATGGCGACTTACGCTCAATGCCCGAGAACTGCGTTACATAGTCGTAAACTGACTCAGATACCTGAACATAGTCGTCGATGAACGGCACTCCTTCTTTCGGACCGTCTCCCCTGACCACTGAAACACGAGCCAGGGCAAATTGATTGGGTCGCAGCACTTTGCGGAATTGGTCTGACCGTGCCTCAACTTCTTCCTACAGTAGGAATGAGTGAGATCTTCCTGTCTGTCAAGGCCTCAGGTCCTTCACCTTCTGCATCTGGACAAACTCCGTATCGATAGCCACAAGGGTTCCAGGTGTTGGAATCTCATTCCACGTGAAAATCTCGTGCATGATCTTCTTGGGGTCACGATGCCTGCCCACTTACGTCAGCAAACCTCATAATTTGGCACTTCCACCTCGTAGAAACGTACCACGAGAGGCAGATATCCTCGGTGAGGATATGGGCGTCTACATTCATTGGCAGTGTGCTGAGGTCAACTACAGCATCTGTGTCTATGCGTTCGAACCACAAAATTGTGGGCACTTTCCATGGGCCAGGGAAGCCGAGTGCGTCACTTTCAGGGATGTTGTGCACACAGAAGTCGTTGAAAATGTACCAGGGACTCTCTGTCGGCTCCCTGGCCTGGCTATCGGGCACTGATAATATAGATAAATACGCCAATCGACATGAATAGGCTGCTAACATACCCTTCATTAAGGCGACCAGGTGAGAAGTTTCTTTGTCGCTTTTCACTTGCACGATGATGCCCTGCACTTCCATGAGCGGAGCTCGTGCACTGAGCGTCTCAGACATACGCGGAGCTCATATTCAACTTCCACCTGAATTACGTCGCCACCTTCTTCCAAGATGCTTTCCATCTTAGCAGTAACGGTGCTCGTCAAGAATCGTTCGCCTTTGCGACCGTCTGCCCAGTAGGCCGCATTGTCGGCGGACTGTGCGGCAGCATTGATGGCCAGTATTGGGGGTAAGCTTCGACCACGGAGAACACGTCTAGATCCGCTGATCGTCACATTACGACAGGTTGGGCAAGTCGCTTTGTACGTCATGTTACGACTGAGGGAAGATGAGAGAATCGATTCGAAGTCGTTGGCAGGAGACGGCTCGGTAGAAAGGCCCTGATAACGCATCGGTAAGTTGCGATGAAGCGAGCTGAAGATATCACCTTGCGAGGGTAAACAAGATCAATGGCATGGGAAACCCCTTCCTTAGTGCTAGTCGCTCGGCATTGCATACATGTGGCAACCGTGGTGGTATTGAGGCCGGTCAGTTGAGATATAGAAGGCGTAGTCAAGGGCTCCCCACGCAAGTCCTTGCACAAGGCAGGGTTCTTATCTGGCTTCTTATCCGATTCGACCGCCATTTGATCAAGAAGAAATCGCTGGAATGTTTGAATGAGGGTCCCATAATCCGTTGTATTATCCTGATAGTCAGACTCGACGAGGCCTAGGGCGTTTGCTGCAAGCAAAATCAGGGAAACTCATGTGAAGTGCTGGCGGAATACACTGACCCTGTGGGAACGTGCTCAAAGATTTGCAGAAGTTGCCAGAATGACAGTTGACTCCCTTCGCATCGTCCAGATTTTTGCAGAGGAACCCAACTTCGCAAAGAAGGCATTGCTCGCGAGGGCAAGGTGATGCAATATGAGACAAAGCAACTTTGCGAATACAATCGGAAAAGAACAGCATCTGTAGTAATGCGTTCGAGTAACAATTCAGTATATGCGTCTCCAGGCCGCTGTAAGGAGTTCGATTATACCGTCTAGGAATGATTAGCCAGCACTCGTAACTGCAAGGATATGACGGCTCACTCAAAATCGAAATCCTCGACGCCGAAATGGGAGTATTCGATATCCACCCGTCTGTAATGCTTTGGAATCTGATCATCCTGGCCATCGGTGATGGGAGATAAAATCTATGTGACGGAAAATGAGTAATCAATCTGACATTTAAGACCAACACACTCACGTCGGCACCGCCGCGTCTGGCTCTTTCACTCTTGAATTTTCCTTGCTTGATGTCGTCCTTCTTGGCAACCACGTTGCGCCGTCCTCGGAGGTCCCGGGGCAGGGACGCCCAGCCAACGAAATCTACGATTTTCATCGATGAGAGGACTTGGACAGGAATCTTGGGTGGAGGATAGAACGACTCAAATTCGGGAGCAAACGTTGTCGTTAGCCTTGAAAGAAGCGGAGTGTTGTAGTATGGCATTCCAACCATGTTTAAGGGACTGAGTGCAGAAGCAGCTTCAGAAAGCCTGTCAACTAGAATCAAAGACGCGTACGTGCTATTGTCCCAATGTATCTCCGGAAGCGGCTCGGTGGCATCTGGAGCTTCACCGGGGACGCCGTTGGGTCCATTAAACGGCACACGTTCGTCATTGGCGGTTGACGTGATCAGATGTACAAGACCTTCGGCATCCCCAAAGCCAACGTATGTTCCGTTTGAGGATATTGCGCTCGCTGTCAGATAGGATGCAATGTCGAGCTACTCATAATTTAGCACAAATAACAGGCATGCAGGGCGGGCTGAACGACAGACCTGATAGAACTCTCCGCTGTCATTCGGGTTGCCTATGTCCACGTTGTGAATGAGACCGGTGCTCGAAGTGACAAAGAGCATGGTTGGTCGATTTGGATTCACATTCAGAAAAGCTGGAGCTGAGAAAGGAATTGGCGATAACGGTCGAAGATTCCGCAAGTCGTACAGTTTGACTAACGGTTCTGGATATGGCCTGCCTTGTCTGCATTCTTGTTCAGCGAACTGTTGACGCATATAGAAGGGAATGGTACCTCATGTTCAGCCCAACAGAAAACGTGAAGTTCCCGCTCGTTTCAAGACAGTGTACAGCCCCATTATGCGCCTTGACGTCGGCCGAGCTGTATACATGTCCGCGAGGGTGACGAACATCGTACGTTCGGAGATAGCCATCAGTAGCACCGGTGACAAGAAGCCCACTGGAGGATGTCCGCATCTGAGTGACGGGGGCGGTTGTCGGGATCTGGCGGGAGATGGTCTCCGCCGGCAAGGACAGTTCCTGAACTGCGCTCGCTGTGGCGAGCAGTGCTCCGGTGGACGACGTGGGGTGATTCGCGAAAGCAGACAACGGCAACATAGACCTTCCCGGTGATCAGCCAAGCTGCATATCCTGGCACCATAAATGTGGTTCGCACCTGTAGAACCACCGACTTATACCACCTCGACTCCTTCCTCCAACACCCGCGCTGCTGAAACTACGAATCTCCCTATCCGTCACAAGTATTCTCTTTATCCCAGCAGGGGGCAAGGGATTCGAGACCAACGGGTACCGAACATTGGACGGTTCAATTCCATTGTAGCATGATATGATACCAGATTCAGAGCCCGACCAAAGGGTATCTGAGAACGGATCGAATGCCAGAGCGGAGACGGGCTCTGGAGAGAGGCTCAAGGGCGAGATGGTATGGTAGGTCGACATCCTGCCGTAACTTGTGTCCAAACGTTCTATGTTGAGCGCCAATACAAGGTTCTTTAACGAGATCGGGGGGTCATCGGCGGGTCAAGATGTGACCGCCATATCAGAACAGTATAGTGGCTCGTGGTGGTCGTCAAAGAGGTGGCGATTGGCAGTTGGAGCGCTTGGCTCTGCTCGTCGCGCGTCACAGTGCCCTCAACAAATCCGACGGTATGCTTCGTATTGTCGTCGTTGGCGCTGGCCCAGCTGGACTCGTCACATGCAAGCACCTCCTAGATGCTAGCAGCGATGACTTTCCATTCGATCCTATTGTGCTAGAACAAAAGGATGAGATAGGAGGAACGTTCAGGTACGGCCCCCACATTTACGGCACTCTGCTCATTACTAGCTCTAACGTGCTCGACGCAGATACCGGTCGTACGAGGTGGGCACAGATTAACTTGGATATAGCTGTTGTCCGAACTTCTCATATAGAATGCCAATCTCGTGTCTTCGAAGCAGCTCACATGTTTCTCCGATTGGCGGATGCCATTGGATCATCATGATCACTTGTCCTTGGAAGAATATGTCGACTACCTGAAGTCCTACGCTCAGCATTTCAAGGTCCTGGAGCGTATCAAGACTGGCTGTCGCGTCACACGTATCAGCCGGGGTGTCAACGGGAAGGGACATCTTGTTGAGTACATTCGGAAGTCTCCTGATGGCGCTTGGGGAACAACGGTCGAGAGCATAATGACGGACTATTTGGCTATTTGCACTGGCCTCCATGTCATACCCTCGATTCCCTCAATTCCCGGCATTGAACATGTATTGAAGAAGAATGAAAACAATGGCGAACGGAAGTTTGAAGCTACAGTGTTTCATTCAAGCGAGTACAAACTGCGAGCTCAACTGACAGGAAGGCGGGTCATGATCCTTGGATGTGGGGAGACTGGCATGGACCTCGCCTATGAGGTGTGTGTTTTCGACGCAACTCAGATACCCTATTCAGATCAAATAAAGGCCGCAAAAGCGAAAGCGAAACAAGTCGTGCTCTGTCACAGAGATGGGTTTCTATCTTTCCCCAAAGTCGTCGTGAGTTACTATTTCACTGGCCATGATTATCATTTAATCTATTTGTTGTCTAGAATGACTTCACTGTGGGTGATCAGAGTGGTTGGTCTATCGTTGCTCAATCTGTCTTCAGTTGTTCGGGATGACGTTCAAAGGCAACCTACCCATTGATGGCCTGATCACGAATCTCTTCGAAACAGCCTATGTGCACCCTTGGATCGCTCAACGCCGCATTCGCTGGCAGTAAGCGTGCGCCATGGATTAACCACTTCTTTTCACTTATATGCATCAGTGTCAGCGACTTCGTCATCAAACGAGTGCTTTGGCTGTTGACTGGTACCCAAGCTGGATGCAATCAGTGGGCGGGAGAACTTCCACCCGAACGTCTCGGTCGCGCTTATGTCTTCCTGAACAAGGTATGTTTTGCCAGGTTAGATCTTTCTCTGGTCTTGATATTCTCTAGTCTCATAAAGCCATGCCCTACATCAATCGGCCATATCGACACCGAACGTGGCTTCTGCAACTCATATCTCACTATGAGGAGGACCCAGCCGATATGCCACCTAACACGGACTTTGTCGTTGATCTGGCGCCTTTTCCTTCTCACTTCCTCCCCACCGGTCAAGCCGTCTTCCCCGTTAACTGGAGGAAGGAGTCCAAGCGTATCCAAAACGTTGAGGTAAAACCTGATATGATTATCTATGCGACGGGTTACACGCAGAACTTCAATTGGTTCGAACCTGGTCAAGGCTACGCTGGAGTCGGCGAACAGGATGTGCGTGAGATCTTCAAATCAGGTGATGAGAGTGTCGCCTATATTGGATTTGTTCGACCGGGTGTCGGTCAGTTGTTCCCTCACTGGGAAGAAATTCATTCTGATCGTCTTGTAGGCGCCATTCCTCCAATAGCCGAGATGCAAGCCATGTTTTGGATTGCAATATTGACTGGAAAAGGTAAGATACCCACCACGCCGGCGCACTACCATCTACTTGCGAAAAAAAACGCCCGTATCACGTATGGTGTTGATCACGGAGCGGTGAGTATTCATGCCAAGGACCAATGAAAACTGCTCATCGTGGGATGCAGTACATGAGCCAACTTGCGCGTGATATCGGGGCCGCACCTGACATCTTCGAGCTGTATCGAGTACATGGATCGCACGTATTCTGGTCGTACGTGTTTGGGGCAGCGTTTGTGTCCTACTATCGGCTCCTTGGACCTTTCCCTTCTCCCAAAGCTCCTGAGATCGCCAGAACGGAGCTATGGGAGACTATTGTTCGTAGAGGTGTCGGTGGGAACCTTTTCATGGGACTGATTCCCATGGTCTTCTACGGATGCGTCTCGTGCACCGCGTGGACGATAGAGTCTGTGTGGCGTCTGCTGCATATGCAGATGCCAAGATTCAGTTGATCCCTTATATGATAGTGCACGATATCGTTGTTGCAAGAGTCTTGTAGCCTCCCGATATTTATGTAGCCATAGGCTTCAATAGATTTGTCCTTCACAGAACATGAGACGATTGAAGGCCGGCATCACGGCGCGAAACGTGAAGTGTCCACCGCCCGGGATCAATGACCAATCGCGTGGCAGATAGGTTCGCACCATCTGTTCGTCGACATCCCTTAGGCCTGTTAGCGTTGTCCCTCGACTGTTCTCCGTTGTACATACACGGTATCGCACTCGTCATTCAGTATTCTGCTGGCCATAGTGCCTGATACGAGCCAACAAAATCCAATGGCCGAAGTAGAGGATTCGGGATCACGGCCGGCCGAAGTCCTTGACCCTCAAGCGGAAGATATACCAGGCGGCTTCGAGGAGCCCAGAGACCAGGCCTCTACTGCGCCTGATCCGGAAGTCAAGACAGAACTAGCAGAAATAGAGGGGGTACCATCTGAAGAGGTGAAACTGGATGAAAAGGAAGAAATACCACAAGAGCCAGTAGCAGAAAAGTCGAGCAACGTTGATGCAGCTGTGCAGGTGGATGAAGTTTCCCTCGCGCCTCCAGACAACGAGCTCGGAGACCCGGACGAGCCACACATCTTGGTCATTGAATCACTACGTGCCCAAACAGCCGATCTAATTTCGCAGGTCACTCAACTCAATGCGAAGCTCGTCAAGTCCTACGATCGAGTATCAGATTTGGAAGATGACGTGCACGTCTCCAATCAGAATCTCCGTGCCGCGAAGTTAAAGGTCACTGCTCTAGAGCTCGAGCGAAACGAACATCTTTCTGCCCTCAACACAGGCTTACTAGTCGAACGAGAGCATGTCACCCAAGAGCTCAAGGGCATGATGGAGCGCGTCTCGGATGAAGCTGCTCAACGTGGACAGGCAGAGACGGCGAAGAAGGCTATCGAGAAAGACCTGGATGACCTCAGCGCCGCTTTGTTCGCTCAGGCAAATGCAATGGTTGCGGAAGCCCGTCTTGATCGTGCACGAAGCGCTCGACGTCTAGGAGAATGCGAAGAGGCTCTGAAGGGTGCTGAAGAGGTGGTAATGATGGTGCAAAAGCAGATGCAAGACCTTCGGGAGGATAAGGAGCGAAGTGATCGAGAGCTTGAGAGGATGCAAGAGCTCATGGGGAAGGGCAAGTATGTGGAGAAGGAGAAGGCAGTGGTTGTTCTGCCTTTGCGGTTGATGAACTCGCATTTGCCTTTCAAGGAGTTCATGGATTTCCTCAGCCACCTTCGCAGCATTCGCCCGACAACACAATCACCACCGGCGATTCACACGCTTCTCACTTTACCCTTTCTTACTCGACTCATCACCGAGGACACGTGAGTGAAACACACGTTTGGGTGCATATATCACACTGACCTTGTACGTAGTGATTCCACAGTCCGCTTCGATCTTGCTCCATCTTTGAACTGGCTCACAAGGCGATCGTTCACTACCGCCCTTCAGCAAGGTCTTCTTTTGATTGAACCCCTGCATACTTCATCACTACAGGTTGAATCCGCCTCCATCCTGACGTTTTCGTCATCCTCAGAAGTCTTGTGTGGCCTTTGTGGATGTCCAGTGTTTGGGCACCAAGCTCGAACTCCCGGTGCTTCCGGCAGTCTGCCTTTGCCTCATGCATCTGCCAAACCGAATTCAACTGCCAACAACTCGGCTTCATCTTGGACAACCTCGCGTTTTCTGAAATCCAATCCCCTGACAGCCTTGAACAGTGCGCGAGTTGGATCTGTGCCGAACTCTAGTTATATTGCCACACCCCCTCCCACTCCTCTCCCCGAGGCCATTATTCACGTCTTCCGACTATCGACTCCCCCATCACAGAAGCCAGCCAGCCCGTATCCTTTGTGCCAGTCTGGTTGGTGCCTTGCTCGTCTGCGGACGACTTGCGAACTGTGGGGCTTTGTACGTCGCGGTGTCATCGACCATGTATGGGACGACGATATCCCTACTAATGCAACGCCGCCTCCCGCTGTCCCACCAAGGAAACGCATGGGAAGTCGAATTGGATTTTGGGGCATGGGTAGTTCAGACAATGTGTCGGCACCGTCATTATCAGTGCCACCGGTATATGCCCCACCCACCAACGATTCCAAACCCCCTCTTCCGCCGCGCAGACATTCCGAGATGCCAAACGCCCCAGCTACACCTCCCAGGAGACGAGTGCCGCCTGTTATCAAGCCGGCTGTAGTCGAGACCCCTCCAACGCCTGGTCCAAGCGCCAATGGAGACGTGGGAAAGGTATCTTTGGATGACCCGACCACAGATGGGTCTGGTGAAACCAGCGGCACTGGGGAAAAGGCTGAAACTGCAGCTGTCGAGGAGCCAGTGGAGGAAAGCGACAATGCCGTGGTAAGGGTCGAGTCAGCAACTGAGGCCGAACAGAGTGCACCTGCACCAAAAACTGAGGATGAGACAAGCGACGTGAAGATTGAAGAGGCAGCTGCGGAGGGTAATCTGGAGGAAGCTGCTGCATCCAAAGACAAGGAGTCATCTCCCGATGAGCCGACTGTTAATGGCACTCACCCTGACACGCCTCCTCAAAGTGCTACTACGGAAAGTCCAACTACCCCTATGTCTGCACCTCCTCCCATTCCCCGGCGCGCTGCTGCCCGCAATCGCAGCACGCCAGGTACACCGACTGGCGCCACGCCTGGCGACTCATCTGAGAAGCCAGTGACGCCTCTACCTCCCGCGTCACCCACCAAGGAAGTTGCCCCTGTCTCGGCCGTGGAAATTACCCCTCCGCGCCTTACTTCTGACGCGGAGAACGAAGATTTCTTATCCGCTCCATCCTCGCCTAAGTCGAAGCCAAGCTCACCGACAGAACTGAAGATCGCACCGTTGGATATTCCTACTCTTGTCGAGGCAGTACAAGAAGTGGCACCGATTGTCAATGGTACTTCTGAGCATATACCTGATATATCCCCCATTCCACCCACTTTCGAGGAAAAGCCGCGTTTACCACCTCCGATGCCTCCCCGGCGTCAAGTGCCACCCAAGACTTTTGACATCCCTGAACCATCGCCGATCTCTCCACTCAGCCTTCTGGAGGAAGCTGGTTACACTAACGACGTTAACTGGGAGGAGAAAGCGTGGCGGGAGCTTGTGCGCTTGAGGGAGGATATGTTCCTGGCGCGGATTGGCGCCGTTAGAGCCGACCCGGCGAGCGTGCTGAGCACTGCGTGATTTTTAGTCCATACGTACATATTTCTATAGGTCTGGCCTGTTTCGATTGTACCCCGTGTCAAATACCTTTTTTGCAATTCATTTTTTCATTATTTTCTCTGAAGCATTCTTCCATAAATGGATGAGTGCGAATCGTGAAAAACTATGTTCTTGCAAAATTCGATCACTGAACTATTGTGATGCCGGCTACCTCGATGATTATTTGGAACCACGTATGTCACAATCACAGTCTTCTTAACTTCCTTGGCCCCATGTCGTCACCTCCGAACGTTTTGACTCTCCGGCGACTTTGGAGGAGTGTCCATGTTGGTAGTGTTACTCACAGGATTGTCATGGGCCGCGTACCATATAGGACTTTGCATTCTGAATCTGATAGTGTACAAATGCTACAAAGGGGAAACATTAGAAGTACAGCCTAAGCGCCTGGTTGGCGTTGCTCTCCACCGGACAATATGGACATTTGATCCTTCTACGGGACACATCAGCAGATGTTCTACCTAAACAGGAAGAAAAGGATAGACACGCACTGGGAGCCTTTCTGTAGACGCGTGATCGCCTCCTTGGAGATGACGTGACCGCAGGTGAGGAGCATAGGTGGGTTCTCCTCGCTTGTCGGTTCACGCACGACGGGGCAGCAGACAACGGTGTGATAGCGGTGCTTGACGGGAACAGGTAGCTCGACCTGCACACATATTTTGGTCAGTCCTGTGTTGATTACGGTACATGAGGACAGGGAAGAAGGCGCACCGGCAGCTCGTTCACACTACTCCATTCGTTCCTCGCCTTGGCCATCTTGCGCCGATTCGTCTCTAGCACGCTCAGGGCAGGTCCCCCGCCAATGTCTGCGATAACCTCGAGCGGTGGTTCATTTGGCAGTCCCATGCGGGCACACCACTCATGTGTGAACATTGGGGAAAGCTCTTGTGCACCCTCCTTCGCATCCCTCGCAAGATCCTTGTACGGGCTGTCCTGCAACCGTTCTAAAGGCAGGTAGAGCACAGCGTTCAGCAGGAGCTGGATGTCTGTCTGTTGTGCAGGATACAGAGGGGTGAGATTGGCGCGCGCATAGTCCAGGGCTATCCTCGCTTCGGCGGGGGTGGAGCAGGAGAGAAGCAGGCGCAGGTACTCGTGCCTGTGGAGCTTGAAAGGAAGCTGACTGCTGCGAGAATGCAGGAAGTCTGCGTTCTCCTTTGCCCATGCTAGGGCAGGATGCACGTTATTCTCTTTGAGGGCTGTGAGGATCGTGTGTAGTTCGCGGAAATGTGCAGCGGTGGAAGGAGGGAGGACGAGGCCGGACTCGGTGATGAGAACATCGGCTAGAGGAAAAGTGCCTGTGCGAATCAAGTGCGTCGCGATGGACCGATCAAGTGCAGTGCGTGCGGTAGGGGAGGCGAATAGCTGGGGCATTGAAGGCAGGCCGGTGTTAAACGTCTGTCAATATATGCGTCACATCAGTGCAATCTGCTGATAGATAAGACGGTAATACCGCACCTTGTCGACAGCTTTGCCAAACTCAGTGTAAGCCTTAGCCCCCTCCTTCTGTCTCTCTTCCACCGCTCGCCTGGCCTCCTCTACGCCTCCAACCACGCTTTTCATTACCATCTCTGTATTCTCTCCTGCGGAAAGAGAAGCTTTTGCATGCTCAAGCTGGGAAAGGAGAGTGTCGAGGGCGGAGGAGACGGAGATAGATGCTGATGCAGACTTTGACTTGCCTTTCGATGGGGTAGTCGACACAGGCACGAAGGCTGCTGTGCTGGTTGAGGGTGTCGATGTCAGAAAAGAGGTCGCCGCCTCGAGAGCGGCGAGCTCTTTGAGCAAGTCGTCCATCGTGGGCTGAAGGACGTCGTGTGCTGACCAGCCGACGACGTCGAGCAGCTTTAGGAGGCGCCGGAGCCGAGACGTCATCACCGTCTTCCGTCAGGGTCTTGACATCGACCTCGATTTTTTCTCAACACCAACACCAACAACACATTATGACAGCTAGGAGCCTTAGGTTTTTTACTGGCGACGAGCAAGGACACGTCAAATCGGTGGGATGCTCCCAGAATGAGAATAAGTGGGTGATTAGTGCACGAACAATACCCGACGTGGGCAGCTCGTCGTGTGTGCAAAAGCTGTCTTTTCTGCATCAGGATGAGCAGGACCTGGTGGGTATTTCATTTGGTAAAAAATGTACACTATTGATAAGTGACAAAGCTGGCTGTAGCGAGATCGGATGGGACGCTCTCTGTACTTCGAGCTTCCTATTCAGACGACCCCACGCTCGTTTCTTTGCTCGAGACCAAGGAAGACCGAATGCGGCAAGCTTCGTCTTTCGTGGGTCTGCAACTCCGGGATGAGTGAGTGAGTGCTTACTGCCACCCCATACCTAATATTTACACTGTGAGAGGGGGTTATATAGCTGCACCTCCAGCGGACACCTGCGTCTTACTCCTCTGCCCTCGTCTTACTCCTCTCAGCCAGAACCAAAATTGGGGTCCCTCCCCACGCGCCTCCGAGAAATGCGACTCTCCCCATCTAGTAAGACCCTCGCCTATGGAGGTGATGAGGTGAACCTCTCGGTTTGGAGCATCGAACAGGCGTTAGCTGGTAAGAGTGAGGCATCTACCAATGACGACGCAAAGGACGAGAAGGGAGGCAAGAAGAGAAAGAACCGTGAGTTGTTTCCCGGAGAACTCTGGAGAGCACGTAATGTCCGTTTCTTGCTTTAAGATGCGTTTAAAACGCAATGTATTGACATTATTGAAGGAACCAAACGATAACCTGGATCTACGTCAACCGATACAGATCACTGCGCTGGCCTATCTCTCCGAGTGCGAGCTCGTTGCGGGCAATCAGGACGGCACACTGCGTGTATATGACACGCGCAGCGGTCGCCGGCCGACAGCGCACTGGAAGAGAGCGATGAAGGGTTCTTTGAGGTCCCTCCAGTCTGGAGAAGTTGAACAGTATGTGGATTTCATTTCCGGTTGGAAGAGACGAAGGGCTAAAGAGCGGACAGTCAGGTGTTTGCAGGAGACGCAGCGGGTACACTTGCGTCGTTTGACAGCAGAACAGGACGATGCATGTACACCTACCGTGGGTTCGCTTCAGCACTTACCGCTCTCGCCCCGATCCCCGCGTTCTCTACAACGTCGAGCGCGCCCGAGCTCCTAGCCTCGGTGGGCCGAGACAGACTGTTTAGACTTCTAAGCGCACCGAAGCCGCAGGCAGATGCGAAGAAGAACCAAGAAAAGAGGGGAGAGGTGCTCTGCACGGAATATTTGCCGAGTATCCCAACCTCGGTGGTGTTTGCGGGTTATGGAGAACCAGTAAAAGGATCTAAAACTGGGGAAGGGGAGATCGGTCGAGAAAGAGGCGAGGATGAGGAGGGTATGGAAGACATGGGGGCTGACGAAGAAGTGTGGGAAGGGATGCAGGGGGTCGGCAGTGACGAGGACGAAGCAGCGGAGAGGCGAAAACGGCGTCGGACTTGATCTGCTTCGGTCCGGTCAATCGCCGAGGCTCAGGCAGTCAGTGGTGCGGAACTGTTGCCGCTTCAGTGTCGCCCGCATGTTCTGATGCTGTTGTGCTTGGCTCGTACAGCAGGGGATATTCATCCATTAATGCATCCTGACGCCATCAACGTGAGCTCCAGACCCTGGTCGACATTAAATTCGGCAACCCAATATTTTCCTTCGGACCTTGGCATTACTCCATTTAGTCATTAGGCCGAAGTCTCAGGTCGGCCTGACGTATAAGGTCGGCATTGGGAAACCGACCGTACCGACCGACCCAATCCATTCAAACCACAGTTCGTATGAATTCCTTTCTTTTCGTGGCAAGCCCCGGTGCTCCCACGTCCGCGGAGAGGCCCCCATGTTCGGCGTTCCGTCCCCATCTGTTGCTTTCCATCCCCACATCCCCCGCTCTCATTTCCGCCGGGCGGCCCGCTCCCCGGCCCTCCCTTCCCCCGGCAGTCTAAGGCGTTCGGGTCATCCCCCACATTTGGGACCATCTCCCCCCGCCGTTCCCAACTCCCCGCCGCCTCCACCCGCCGGGAGTGTGCGAAACTCGTTAGGGCCGTTTTCAGGATTCCAACTTAAATAGAGTTCCCGACGGGTACTTTCCTGCAATCCCCCCGCAAGTCTCCTCTCACTTTCATTTTCCGATCCCATCTCTTCCCTAGACGCAGCCATGGCACCTCAGGAGTTCAAAGTCCTCACCCGTAAGTGATCATATCATCATGTCACCACAAGCACGCCCTAACGTAAAAGACAGCGGAGATGCGCGAGTTCTTTATGGACAACGGGTATCTCATCATCCCGCAGGCTCTGCTCCCAGAGTACGCGGACGAGTTCACCAAAGATGGTACGTCATCAAGTATGTACGCCATGACGAATCTCACCTCTATGGGGCAGTGTGGACTCGCCTGGGGTACAATCCTGACGATAAGACCACTTGGGCGAAGGACCGCATCCATATGGCGTGGCATCATGCCGAAGAAGCACGGAAGATGGCACCCAAGGCGTGGGCGGCGATCTGCGAGCTGCTGGGAGGAGAAGACAGAGTCACGGAGACCTCTGCCAAGTGGAGGGACAAGTGCGTTCATTGTGCTGCTTCATTGACAGCATGCTGATGAGAAACGGGGTTTAGCATCATCCTGAACCTTGGTGCAGCAGAGTGGAAGGAGAAGTTCCTCCAGCCCAAGGAGCTCGACAACTGGCATATGTGGGTTTACCCCGTTCACGATGGATCTGACACTGATCTGGAGGGTGGGACGATAGTGATGGCGACTTCTTCCGGCACTACCTCGACTCCCCTGAGCAAGGTATGCTCGTCATTCCCCTGTTCTCCGACGTGCTACACAACGGCGGTGCGACCTACATCTCTCCCGACGGGATGGAGCTCGCTGCACGTTGGCTGGCAGAGCACCCGGAGGGCACCATGCCCGCTTCGAGCGGGGGATTCAAGTTCGCGGACCTCATCCCGGAGTGCAAGCAGTTCGTCGAGGTCACGGGCAAGAAGGGCGACGTGGTCCTCCTTCACCCTTTGATGCTGCACAGTGCAACCAAGAACCACATCCAGCAGCCAAGGTTCATCACCAACCCCCCTGTGGCGGTAAAGGAACCGTTCAACTTCAACCGCGAGAACCCGGAGGACTATTCCCTTGTCGAGCTGAAGACCCTCCGCGCTCTGGGCAAGGACCGTTTCCCCTTCAAAATCACAGGGACGCGTGATCATGTTACGGCCCCGCGTGTTCCGTTCCAGCAAGCAATCCTCGAAGAGGAGCTGGAGAGGCTTGTCGCGTACGCAAAGGAGCATGACACAAAGCCGAACACGGTGCATCTTGGCCCGGAAGGTGAATACGAACGCACGCACCTTGTTCCTTGCGGGAATCAATTCTTGAGTACGCCTTCTAATCTTGCCCGCCTTGTTTCTGCGCAGTAGTAGAAAAGAGTAACATGTAATTATGTACAATTCCAAATGCAACAATTATGTAACTGTGTTGTGGGTATTGGTCAGGGTCACTCCCATATATGAGGGTTAGTCATCAAGAAATGACGCAATTCTGAGGAATTCGGTTTTATTTTTTTTGGTATAGCTGAATAAGGAAATTATACTCCAACTGAGCACGACATTGCAATAATATTGGCTTATATCTCTTCCACCCTTTCCACCTCCCTATCCCTTCACCTCAAACCACCATGAACGCTGCACTGGCGACAAGAGGCATTCTCCGAATTCCTAGGTTGGCCCGCGGATATGCGGCGCCTCCCAAGCCGCATCACAAGATTCTTGTAGTTGGGGGAGGTGAGCACGTTACAGACAGCGCATAACTTGCTACTGAGTCACATGCTTCTCAAGGTTCGGGAGGGCTGAGCGTTGCTAATCAGGTGTATAACCGCTTCAAAGAGGAGGGGAAAGCACTTGGGGATGGAGACGTAGCGATCGTCGACGTGCGTACTCTACTCTACGCGTGAATGGCAATGTTGACTATGCACGTTACAGGCCGCAGAATGGCACAGCTACCAACCAGGGTGGACACTCGTTGGTGCTGGTCTGCAATCGAAGGTCGACCTTCGCCGACGGCTGGTGGACCTCATTCCTGCTCACATCGCCCTCGTTCCCCAAAATGTTGCTTCCTTCCAACCCGAGTTCAACAGCGTCACGCTCACCACGGGCGAATCGGTCACATACGACTCCCTCATAGTCTCTGCAGGCATGAAGACCAACTGGGATAACATCAAAGGCTTTTCTGCTGCCCTGGCCGATTATACGAGTGGAGTGAGCAGCATCTACAGCTACGAGACGTGTGACAAGACATGGGCCGATATCGAGTCATTCCGGGGGGGCAAGGCGTTGTTCACCCAACCAGCGGGCGTGATCAAGTGTGCCGGAGCACCACAGAAGATTATGTGGATGGCGTGGGACCGATGGCGGCGGACCAAGCGCCTGAACGAGACGGAGATCGAGTTCGTTACCGGCATGCCTTCCATGTTCAGCGTGAAGAAATACTCGGACGCGTTGAATGCTCTGCGGGTAAAGCGTGGGATTGAGGCATCCTTCGAGCATAATCTTGTGGAGATTGATCATCGCGCACATATCGCAAAGTTCAAGAAGCCCGACGGGGAGATCGTAGAGAAGGAATACACGCTCCTGCACGCAACGCCTCCGATGGGTCCGCTCGACTTTATCAAGAACTCCCCTCTGGCGGACAGCGTCGGATGGGTAGACGTTGACCAGTTTACGCTGAGGCACAAGAAGTATCCAAACGTTTGGAGCTTGGGTGACTGTAGTAGCTTGCCGACTAGCAAGACTGCTGCTGCCATTACCGTCCAGACGCCCGTGCTCGTGGACAACCTTTATCGGGTTGCGGAGACTGGCGAGATTGGAGGTGCACAGTATGATGGGTACACGTCTTGTCCTGTAAGCCTCATTCCTGATGTTCCAGGAGACTCCTTCTGACGCGCTGCAGCTCCTCATTGGGTACGGCGAACTTATGCTCGCGGAGTTCACCTACGGCGGCGTACCAAAGGAGACGTTCCACAGTATGCTAGGCATCGACCAGGTGACTCCGCGCCGGTTCTTCTACCACCTGAAGAAGGATATCTTTCCGCTCACTTACTTCAACTATATGACCAAGGGGCTTTGGTACGGCCCACATCTAGTCACCCGGCCGAAGTACCCTGCTAAAGCGGAGGTGGCTGCTACTGCTTGAGGGTTTAGTAAGGAGTCAAGAAAGTATGATAGATATATTTTGATTAGATTATTGTATGCTAGTGTATGCATTATCAATAGACCACTTCGCCTAGAAATTTCTGTGCACACGAGCACAGTGCTGGCAAGCGCCCATTCCTTCGATCGATGTTTGCCACCAGGGCCCATTCTGATTTCCTACCACCACCCTCATCAGGATGTCGACACCCATTCTCCTCGCCCCTCCCCACGGTACGCAAGTCGACCACTGGCAACCATCACGCTACCTCGAACCGCCTCTCCCACCGCCTGTCGATCCGACCTTTGCGCGGGAGCAGGAGATCGCCCAACAGCGGCTGAATGCCGAGGGACGGGCTGTCAGGAAGGTCAAGCCGAGACGGACGGTGGATTTCAATGGCGAATTGGCTAAGATGAGGCTGGTGAGTCTTTTGCGTGACTCTTTAGATGGACGAGAGAAGCTGAATGAGAGCGGATGGGTAGCTTAAGAAGACACGACCGAATGCGGGGTATTTGCCATTCCTTAGACCAGCGCCGCCGTACATCATTGACGTGCGTCCGATTCGCGCATCGACCATATATTTCGCTCATATATTGGTTACAGCTACTACCACCAGCAGCATACATCGGTAATCCGACAACGTCCGTGTGCACCAAGTTCGTTCACAGTTCAACGAACAAAGTGCGATGTCCCGTCAACGTCGTTGCAGTGCGTCCTGAGCCTTCTTCTCTGAAAATCGCATTCTGACTCGCGCACAGTGGACGCCAGAAGGACGTCGTCTACTCACTGGATCACAGTCGGGGGAGTTCACGCTCTGGAACGGGCTGACATTCAACTTCGAGACGATTCTACAGGCGCACGACGCCGCCGTACGAGCGTTTGCCTGGTCCCACTCTGGTGGCTATCTCGTTTCGAGCGACACGAACGGGAACATCAAGTACTTCCAATCGAACATGAACAACCTCGCCGTCTGGCAAGGACATCGGGAAGCCGTCCGTGGCGTCAGTTTCTCCCCAGACGACAGCAGGTTCGCGACAGGCGCGGACGACTCCGTTATCAAGCTCTGGTCGTTTGAGGAGATGAGGGAGGAGAGAGCACTCACCGGCCATGGATGGGACGTCAAATGTGTGGATTGGCATCCGACTAAGGGGCTGATCGTTTCGGGGAGCAAGGACAATTCGGTCAAGTTCTGGGATCCACGGACTGCTACTTGCTTGTCTACGCTGTACGCACTGTCATTATCTCCACTGGAAGCCTGTGCTAAGACCATTCTAGCCACCAACATAAGAACACCGTTCAAGCTTGTTTATGGAATCCCAGCGGTGACTTTGTCGCTTCCGCGTCTCGAGACCAGACGATCCGAGTCTTCGACATCCGTGTAATGAAGGAGATCCAAGTGCTCAAAGGCCACAAAAAGGAAGTCTGTTCCCTCGCGTGGCATCCGATCCACCACGAGCTACTCGCCTCAGGCGGCTCAGAAGGCAGCATCTACCACTGGCTTGTCGAGTCCCCTGATCCTATCGCTCAGCTGGACGAAGCACACGACTCGAACGTATGGACGCTTGCGTGGCACCCTCTTGGTCACATTCTCTGTTCAGGATCGAACGACCATACTACGCGGTTCTGGTGTCGCGACCGACCAGGGGAGGAGACGACGGTGATGGGCGAGAAGCCGCCTGCTGTGGGGCAGGAAAGCACAGAAGAACAGGACGACTTTGTACCTGGGTTCAACTACCAGCCTGGAGGCATGGGACCAGGTGTAGGCATGGATCAGGATGCTCCGGGTGGCCCGCTACAGGCAGCATGGAGTGCAGCACCAAACGGGATGGACGACTTCATCCCTGGACTTGGGGGACGGCCGGAGCCGGCCGAGGCTGCTGGTGGGAGAGGAGATCGGGGACCGTTACCTAGTCAGGAGGACATGCGTGTCAGCCCTGATTTTGCGGGACGGGACAGCGGGTACGGAGCGAGGGGCGGCGGTGGTGGGTATGGAAGGGAGGGAGCTTATGGAGGTAGGGATGGAGGGAGAGATCAGAGAGATGGACAGAGAGATGGTGGGTATCGGGGAAGGGACGGTGGGTATGGGGGGAGAGATGGGTACAGAGAAGGGGGGAGGGGGAGAGGGAGAAGTAGGGGCCGATGGAACTAGTCACCTGGCGTGTTGTACAACAGGAATGCAATTTGGGTGTCCTCTGAGTGCTTTTAGAAGTTATGGTACAGTGGAGTGGGTGAATATCATATGACATCTCTGTGGATAGAGTATTTTGAAAAGAATATTGATGACAATTTCCTCTCTTTCTGAGATATTTTCAACTCTACGTATTTTGTTGCTCGAAGAAGAATGATGAGTCAAAGTGATGACCTCATAACCTGCACGTGACCTTTGCCGACATTTCCCGTTCCAGCGCTCAAGGCTGCGTACACCATCCTTGCGTCTTCGTCGTCACTTGGACCGTCCTCGTCGTCTCCCCCAACCTCCTCACCAGCCCAGTCACCTCTCAATCGCCACAAAAATGTCGTCCATGGCAGTAGTCAACCCACCCAAGGAGGCGTCCAACAAGCTGGTGACAGAGCTCAACCCAGAGGGACTCAAGCCGTGCGTCCTTTCTCACACAGACACGGATTCCTAGATGCTGATATGCGCCGTGTAGATGCTGCGCTTGCCCCCAGACCAAGTCAGCCCGCGACGATTGCTTCTTGAAGCACGATTCGAACCAGGCGAGCGAGGCGTGCAAGAGCCTTGTCCAAGCGCATCTCTCGTGCATGCGTGGGTATGGGTTCAACGTCTGAGCTGGGCTTTGTCGCGCAGACGAGTCGCAGTGATCTAGACGACGAGGTACACAAATGGGAGGGGTGAAAGAAGCAATGTATTATACCTCACATCCCTGCTCAATGAACTTGCATCTATCAATTTCTAATGCGGGGTAATGTACACCTATGCGTCCGAGGGTATCTCCATCAGCTTTTCCACCGCTTCTCGCCTTTCTCTTACCAAGCGTAAGAATGTCCGCAGCCCGAATATGGCGCCTTCGTCTGGTCCTCGACCTGGTGCAAGATGGGAATGCGCAAAGTCGATCAGCCGCACGACCCAGGGCAACTTTGGTGTCTCTTCCAACTCTTCGTCCTCCATCTCTTCTTCGCCATCTTCCTCCTCTTCGTTCCCCTCCCCTTCCTCAGCTGCAACTTGAAGCACCTCCTGTCGCTTCAACACTTCTCGCAGCGTTTCACCCTCCCCCTCATAGACGACCAATAGGCTAGTACCGACAATACGCAGCTCGAGCTTTTCCAGCACCTCAATGAGTTCCTCCACATCGTCCTCAATACCCTCCAAAATAGTAGCGAGGAGCTCCGGTGGGTGGCCTATCTCATCGGGAGAGGTGGCACAGGGGAAGAACGCGTTGATGCCCTCGATGAGCCGGGGCGCAGTAAGCGAGTAACCATACGCTCGGGGGTACGTTTCCTGAGTGTCCGATATCCGGTTATACACCTGTTCCTGCATAAGCCCATAACCCCCAGTCATACTCAAAACATACATGAAATCCCGTGAGCCGTATACCAGTCTCTCCAGTAGTGCTCGTCCTAGCCTTCTTCTCCATCTTCGCCCTCTTCTGCGCACTCGCATCTTCCGCATACAGCACCCTCCCCAGCTTGACGTCCATAACGTTGGTCTTGATGACATACTGGCACATGTTCTCCAACAGAAGGCTCTCTTTCCCCGCTGGACCCAGATCGGCGGGCGGGGGGTCGAGCTTCCCCTGAGAGCGCATAACCCCTTCAAGTCGTAGGATCCCATAGAACTCGGGCACCCATTGCCGCAGCGCCGAGAGCTCGAGAGTGCAAGCGAGTGTCTCGTAGAAAGCTCGTTCTCCCGGCAAAGAGCTCTTGATGACGAACGAACCGTCCGCCGTCGTCTCTACCGTGTTGGTATGACCGGCAACTTGGAATGGGACCGAAAGCGAGACTGAGGAGTCTGTCGGTGAGGGTGTCTCTTTGCCTGCCTGCTCGGCTGCAGGAACATCGCTCGTGGATATTTCCATCGTCAGCACAGACAATGGATACAATGGCAGTCTAGCAGTGATATTGTCCAGGCGGCACAAGAGCGTCGTGTTGGAAATAGTAATCCTCCATCTTTTCCGCGTAGAAGTTGCGGGGTGGCGTTCAGGGTCTCTCGGGCTTACTTTACTTCAAACGACGACATTGATGGCGGAAAAGACTGGCGGTTCTTCCCGAATATCAAAGGGATGTACAGATGGAGCCAGGCTATGCTTGCTCAAGATGGTACTTTAAGCGGACTTGAGGGGATATACTCAGTGGATCTTGGGCTAGTGGAAACTTGGCGGCGGGAGTCGCTTGGTCACACCGATTCGAAGTTATCCCGGTCCGTTCATTGTCAGTTCCGGTTGCCTACGGTGTCTCTACCCCATTCTACGACGAGCCGCGCTCTCGGAACAATCATGAGGTTTCCATTTGAAGAATTCGATCTCCAGTGAACGCTGTCAACCAGCTGCAGAATGCACATCGCCATTGCCATTTATGCCGCTATGCCGCTATGAAGGTCTTGCCGACTGAGCAAGGAGGTTCACTCCTGGAATTATAGGTCCTTGCTTTGTGTATGTATTTTTGGATGCCGTGAGCCGTGCATCGGGCTACGATGGACTTCGGAGAAATTTCCCGACTGGCGCTGTGAACAAGCTCGTTGCGTATTTCCCGTGTACCCTTGTTTTTCTGGAGCTATATATACCGCAGATTCTTGCATATTCTAGTTCGTCACTCAGCTTGGGTCGATCTTCCACTGCACTCCTCTCCTAGCTCGCGAGGCGGTCGATACGCTTTCTGGCTGTCGACTTCGCCCGGCTCTGAGCTCCGAACGTTGTCCTCGCAATCCAGGTTCCGCGGGTGGTTTCACTCAGCCTGTTCGCTCCTGTACTGCTTTCCCCTGCTTCTCTCCACCAAATCGCTGACTCAACCACTCGTCTCCAGGCCGCTTTCGCTTGCGACAGCCCCCTGCTTGTGCATTTGCTGGACAAGACTGATTCAGCATTCCCACTATTCACGCTACAGTCTGACTGTGTTTGCGAACATTTCCAGGGAGAAGGTGTTCGGCATGGTCTCAGGGTGTAGGGTCAATGTGTGATTGCGCTCTCATCTTTTGCAGCATGTGGCTCTCTTACTCTCGTCTCTATCTGGTGGATGGAGATGTCTCCTTACTACCTGGAATGTGGACAAGGATGACTTGGCATTCCTGCTATTCACACTACAGCTTGACCATGCATGAATTCTCCTCTACGAGGGGTATTTCGGCATGGTCACTGGGTGTAGGGTCAATATGTTGATTGCCCATTCTTCCTTGCTCGTAATGTCCTGCTCAGTACTTTTCTCCATTTGGGGAGTTGCTTCTGCTGTGTACCACACTCTTCAAGAGACTCGCTTTCCGCGACCCGGCATCTGTGTTCAAGTCACTTCTTTGCAAGAGGGGCCCCTCAGCATTCCCCCGATTTACACTACAATCTCTCTGTCCTGTTGAACTTCACCTGCTGGAAATAGTTCACCACAACTTTGGGTATAGGCCAAATAGTTGCTTGCGCTCCTGTCCCTCTCTTCGTCATGGAGAAACATCTTACTGGTATCGGTATCGGGACCAAGGTTGCTCTCACCCCCCGATAATAATCTTTCAACTTGGTGCCGAAGATTCGCTACAGTACTTTCTCACCGTCCTCAGCTTGGCCGTATCTCGACCCCGCTTTGCCCAAGGGATCTACCCGACCGGACATGAAGATCTTCACGCAATCGAATGAGTTTCCCCCTATCGGTTGTTCAACCCTCACTTCCTACACGCAACATCATACATCGAGCAAACGGAGGCAGAACGTCGAAGCCCACATTCTAGGAGACTCAAGATGGTCTGACATATGACGACTGCCTCATAAGCGTCTGACATCACCGTATACCAACAGATTTCAGTCATGGTCTATGACATCTGTTGGTCTGGTAGGATGAAGACCCGTGGATCGGTCAACGACCAGAACTAGGCTCCTATTGATGAGTATAACATCCGACAAGTAGCTTCCAAAGCGCTGATCAGTACCTTCACCTTCATTCCATCGGTCGATGTCCATACCTCGCCGATTCCCAGTAGGATCAAGAATCAACCTCCGGTCCGAGTCAGGGTCTAAACTTTCTGCAAAATAGATACGAGACATCCTAACCCAAGCAAACCTACCGGAAGAACCCAAACCTAACCTTACTTTGTGGCTAAAGACTCCGACTTTGCAGGGTCTGGAGATCCGGGCTTTTGGAAGAGGGATATCGGACGCCAGGGGCAGGGGCGAGGCGAGGTGATGGCGCTTGCGTTTGGGGGAGCTCGGAGCTGGGAGCTGTGGGCGTGGTTCTGGTGTGGTCCTTCCGCGATCTGGGTGTCGAGATCGCTCCTGTCCGGTGTCCACTGTCTGGTGTCCGATCTAGCCTGCTATCAGTCGCACTGACCGTGCAGGCCCTGGCTTCCGCTTTCGTCTCCCTTGTCCATGATCGTTATCTATAAGTGCACTCTTCACCGACCGACGCCGTTTCCCCCCTCCTAGCCGGTAGCATTCGGAAACTCCCACGCACGCTCAACCGGCCCGAAGTGCACCTCCGCCGAGAGCGCGTATTGGACGCACACTCGGCTTCTCTCGCTATTGTTTAAGGAAGGGGAACGATCATCGTTATCATTCCAGCCATTGTCTGATGCGTAAGGCGTGAAGTCTGACATGTGTTACGTGTTACCTCACACGCCCGTTTCCGGGCGTCGGGCTGGCCGACCTCGATGCCGACGCTGATACCGATGTCATGCCATGCCGGCGATGTCCGTGTATACAGTACATCCGGTATCCAGAATATTGATATTGATACGTGTGATAACACAGGTCAGGTGTCAGGTGCTTATCAAGAGTGAGAGATTGCGAACCCGACTGATCTTGGCATGACAAATCTGCACAATCTAGTGTATCAAGTACCATATCAGTCCAATATCTGTTATCAGGAGCTACGTAGCCCGTGAGTATCGGCACTTCCGGAATCGATTGCTGCTCAAACGCGTAGAAGGCAAGCTGGGCACTACGCCCCAGTCCATCCCATCTCGGGATCGGCAGCCCCGAACCCCGAGCCCCGGCAGGACACTGTCAGCGTTTGTGTACAGTTTACCTGTCATGGGAGATAGATCGGGCCGATATGGGTATAGTCTGAGAAAAGCGAGCATATGGTGCCTCTGCGTATGGACGAAAGAGGAAGGATGCCGAGGAGGTAAGACGTAAGCACTAGGTGTGGCCTAGGGAGTCGAACCTAGTTGTCTGAGCAAGCGGAGCTTATCCCAATTGGCTGGAATGTTATGTCTCACTTGGAGGAAGAACGCCGGTGGTTGGAGGAGAATCTGGATGTTGGAGAGGAGCTGGCGGTGGGGCGGGTGAACGTTGTGCGTCTGGCGATGGTTGGACGATCGTGGCTAGGCCTTTACTGGGTTCCTGGCCATGCGGGGCTCCACGTTTCCAGTAATTTGGGCTCTTATCGTACATCGGTACTTATATGGCGAATATCCATGGTGAGAAGAGCGGTCAAGACCTCAATGCTCTAACTCGGTGGTCATGAGACCTCGGAATCCTCTGGGTGATGGAGGTCGTCCGAAGCACAGAAGCACAGAAGCACAAGGCAAGGAGTATGCCGGGAGGCTGTGTTACGCCCAAGAAGGGGGATGACGTCGTTGAAGCACGTGTTGGGCTGTTCAATCCAGAACGTTGGCGAACGTTTGCATGAAGACGGGGAACGGCGAGGCACGGATGACGGGCAGGAGGGAGAGGCGGTGTATTGCTTTGATGGAGATGACGCGTGTCTGGGCCTGAAAGTATGGGTCGGAGATGCGCTTCCGATAAAGGGCGTATGGGAGATAGAGTGCATTGATACTGTATTGAGTAAAGAATGTATCTAATCTAAATAGTTCAATAAAGAATATAATAAAATAAAGTAGTAACGATGTGGCATAAATAATTCCGGTGTGAAAGAGAGTGGCTTGTGTTTCTGATAAGCGGAGATCTAAGAGAAGGCGTGGCTTACGAAGTGAAAGAAGGCTCACCCAAACACGGACGTTCGTTCAATGATCACTCCCTCTGTGTCAAGTTTATTCTCTTCATTCCCCTTCTCCTTCTCACCACCATCTCCTCCTCCTCTTCATTGTACTTTCACTCTGCTTTCCTTTACACTTGCTGCGTTTACCTCTTCTCTCCCTCTCTAACGTGCTCTACTTCTCCCTGTCTCGTGATTGATCCCGTGGACTAGGTGAACCAAAGGAATAGCCCATCTCACATTGACACCTTTGGGTGTGCTCTCTCCGAGTTGACATTACCCACCATTCTAACTACATCAGGTGAGTATATGCGCTCTTCTTGTTATTCTTATCTCGTGCGCACGTTCGCAACCCTCTCTCTCTTCTCTCTCCTTTTAAACAAAACAACAATTCAAACAACAATTCATCCTTGCTCACCATGCTCTTGCCGTAACCTCACCCTCACACTCATTCACCCCCCTTCGCACTCCTTTGCACTCCCACTCCTTACCCACTCTAGCAATGCCAACCCTCTTCACCTTCTCATTCCGTTTCTTCCTCCCAGGCTTATACCCCGCTCCATCAAAGAGCAAGAGCGAAAAGCCTTCCCTCATCCCCGTCTCAAAAATATCCTCATTCGCAGCACACGCACTGACAAACCACCAGCCCCACCTCTTGACAGAGAAAGGCGGTTGCTCGCCGCCCCCACCAGCACTCGCAGTCCCTCTCCGCGCTCACGTTCGCAACGTCCGTTCAGCAGACAGCATCTTCCCGCCCTCTCAGCCTCCGAGGCAGCCCCTCCGCGCGATAACAGACAACAGCATGCCCTCTGCCCTCCCTGCGCCATCGCCCACAGTCGTCCTGAGCGCACCGCAAGACATACACCTCACACAGTCATTCGTCTTTCCCGTCCGTAACAGTCCGAGAAAGCTCCCAATGGCAGAGAAGGAGAGGCCAAAGTCGGAGAGCAGAGATGATAAGGAGAACGCTGCGAGCAGAGCAACGGGGCCTATGCCCCTCATCCCTCGCACTGGGTCAGCACAGAGGCTCCGGCTGAGCTCGAACGGGCGCCCGAGTCCGACCAAGCAAGCCCAGCAAACAGAGTCCGCTGCAGAGTCGTCAGGCTCATCGACCGCGACACCGAGGAGGAACTCGCCCAGGCATCCGCGCAAGCAGCCTGTATCGATATCGAGGGAGTTGACCGCTTCTCCCCAACAACCTTCCCCACCACCTTCGTCTCCCGTCAGCTCGCGCGCACCTGTCAACCTCCGGCTAGACCTGCACGCGCTCAAGCGCACTCTCACAGAAGCCCAGGTCGTGGCGAACCATCGGCATCACGTCGCGCACTCCATCCCAGGGCGGGCGACCCTCCCCACCTCAGGCTCTCTCGGTGTCCCCCAGCCCTACAATGCACCCGTCACCCCTCCCGCACTCGACGGCCGCACACTTGTCTCCCGGTCAGAGATAATGCTCCGGAAGAAATCCGGTGAACTCGTCCGACCCGCTATCCGAACTCCGGGTAGCCAACCGCGCAAGATTACCAAGTCAGAACCTACGACTCCCACGGGCCCCAAGTTTGTACACTTCGATTCCCAGCTCGAGCATGTGAAGCTTTTCCTCGCTGAGCAGAAACCTGCTGCTGTATCGCGTGATGGGAGCCCGACTGAGACGTCCGAGGGAGAATTGTCGAGCACGAACGAGTTCCCTTTCCCGCTCGCGTATGCCTCGTCAGACGACGAGAAGCTCCGCAAGGCGCTACAAATACGGGTCAACATCCCTCCCCCACATCTGCAGAACATAGAGGCTGACGTCCGACTCGAATCCGTTACCCTGTCCGAGGACGCACGCGCGTTGAACGGCACGATCGTCGTGCGCAACCTGTCGTATCAGAAATGGGTCATCGTACGTTTCACCCTGGACAACTGGACAACACGGAGCGAGATATCGGCCCGCTATGTCGACTCCATCAGTGACGGGTTCGATAGGTTCGCATTCTCGATCCGGCTCGTGGATGTGTTGCCGAGGATCGAGGCGAAGACGATGCAGCTCGCGGTGAGGTTCTCGATCGAGGGCAGGGAGATGTGGGACAATAATGGGGAGAGGAACTACAGGGTCGAGTTTTGGAAACGGAGGGTGTCTGCTCCTGCTGCTTTTACTCCCGGGTCGAGCAAGAGTCTCCCCACCAACCCCAACGCCACCCAGGAAGGACGCACCGAGTGGCCAGTAAAGAGCGCGATAAGCGTCAGCACCCAGATGGCGGACTTGCGTCGGTCTCTCGAGGGGGTCGTCTCTGAAGAACTGAGCCCGCCTACGGTGGTGGTCAAGCGGTCTGCGAGTGTGAGCTTTCGGGAAAGGCAGGATGGGACGAGGAGCGTACCGGGTACGGCTAGGGAGAGGGAATTTGAACCTTTGGCTTTGGGAAGGAGGTATAATTTTGGGGAGGCGTTGCGGACACCTCAGCAGCAGAGGCAGGAGAAGCAGCAGCAGCAACAGGAGCAGGAAACGCAGCAGCAATCGACAATCCCTTTCCCCAGCGAGGTTCAAAAGCTGAGCTCCTCCAGTCCGAGCCAGGGCGTGCCTTTCCCCACTCTGGGCAGCTCACCACCCCGCACCTCTCCGCCTTTGCAGATCCCGTTCTCCTCTCCTCCGACTGGTGACCTTCCCCGCCTACCCCCGCGCGGTTCGCCACGCGATGCTCCCGACTCGAGCGCCGACGCACCCTTCTTGGGGAGGAGGAATCACCAGAGGTCGTACTTCGATACTTGGCCAGGGTTTGCCTCGGCCTCGGTGCGCAAGACCCCGCCTGGCACGCCGGGGAGGTTCAATTCCTATCCTCCGCTTTCGCCGCCTGCCGAGAGCGTGCGAGAGCCCCCGCCTCTCCCACATGCACTCCCAACTACCCTCCCACATGTCCTCCCGGATGCGCAGCTAGGACCCGTCGTCCTCCCCTGGGCGAACCTCATACCCCTCCCTCCTAGCCCGACCGAGGAACAAGAAGACAGCACTGCTTCCTCCACACCGTCCATCACGGACACTGTCTCCCTTTCCCCGTCTTCCCCGCCTACGGCCAGTATCCTCCCCGCGATGATCCTCCCCGAAGCGGAGGGCAGCCCGAATTCGTACAACTACTTTCTTGATCGGTAAGCTCTTTCTTTGCCCTTACGCTACGGGGAAGTGCTCACTCTCAACTCTAGGTTCTGCTTCTACACCGGTCCGGGAGAGCTGACAGCGGAAAGCACCCCCAGGCGCACACTATCAACACCAGACATCCCCTCCTCCTACCCTTCGCCAAACCTGGACAGGTTCGTAGCTGCCTTCAGCCCCCCGCCCGTCGACCACCCGGGGAAGATGAAGGTGTTGATCCCTTCCCCGCCTCCTGTACCCGGCCTGGGCTTGAGTGAACCTTCGTCGACGTCGACTGAGAGTACGACGTCCACGATCACCCCGATGGAGCGGTCTGATACGATCTGATGGAACGACTTGTTTTGGATCTTCATTCTTGCTTCTTTGTACCCTTCAACACACTACAACTTCCACTTCAACTCCCATTCCGCAATCCACCTCAACCCTAATAATAACCGCGCCGGCCGCTACATACGAACATGTATCATTAAGTAAAACCGACACGCATCAACCCATCACCCGTCATGGACAGACAAATGACATCAGGAAATCGTTCGATCCGAGATGGGCATGCTGCGACTGGAAAGGCGCAAAAGCGCATTACAGCATACCTATCAAATGCAACATCATCATCATCACCACACCATCCTCATTCTCACGCCACTGTAAATGTTGGAATTCTTGGCTCCTACTTCAGCTGTGCATAGCCTCACGCTTGAACATCCCCCTCCTTCAATTTCCTTTCCGTCTCGTCCTTGTTCTCAACTCGAATATGTTGTCTGAATCTAGCAGCTTTGTTCTTTTATTTCTTGCGTGCAGTGTTAAAAGCACGATGGATGCACGTTAGGTGGATGGCAGTTGATGACAATATATACGAAACAGTTTTGCGCGTGAGCGCTTTTGATGAGCTGCTCTTATTTGAGCGCCGACTCGAGCGAAAATGAGGAACGCAGCTTCTTCTGGAATGGCAGGTGTTCCGATTACCTAAACGGGAAGGGTTTGCTATGATCGGTTAATTTTGACTATGGCACGTTACTTGAAATGTGACGTTTTTGTCTGGAACAGCCAGGACCCACTTATTCATAATCATATTTTTGGCGGAACAGGACGGCCACACTTTCTGCATGACAAGAACATAGAATTAGGTTACACAGGACGGCTCAAAAAAGGACACGAGTTCGGTACGAAATAAAGCTTTTTTCCCAGTCGCTTTGTAAGAATACCTACAGTATAAAACCTCGCATTTTCCGATCATTCTGTGCTGACTCAAAGCCTCTTACTCATGCCCGGCTTATATAATCCCCCATATTCCATATATGGCTCTGTGCTCTCAGGGTATCTCCTCCTCGAGTGTATGAATGAGGTGAGCAAACAAGCCATCCACGGGCAGGGAAAGCCTTCCAGCACTTCTCCCCCGACGGCCTGAGCACTTATAAAAGCAACTGGACGACGACGATCTTGTATGCGCAACTTGATTTTGGGCTTTGTCGCTGTTTTACTAGCCTTATTCGTCTACGATCTCTTACCGGACTTCTGCACGCGTTCGAGACGAACGTTACTTTAACGCAGGAAATCGTTGACGAAAGCGGATCGGAATTGAACATGGCTGCTGCTGCCTCTGCTGTACATGCATCGCGCTCGGTCGTCAACAAAGTGTTTGCGATCGAGCAGGCTGAGGGTGTCGGTGCCCGTGTGCGTCGATCCATCGGCTCAGCGAAACTTCGCAACCTCTCCCCCTTTCTTATGTGAGTTCTATCACGTTGCATAATCTGAACATCTTACCTACCGACTTCCAGGCTGGACCACTTCGACTTGTCAACACGGGGCACCGGTTTCGCAGACCACTCGCATCGCGGGCAGGCGACGATCACATACATGCTTCAGGGGAGCAGCCAGCACGAGGACAGCGAGGGTCATAGCGGGACAATCGAAGCTGGTGGCGTACAGTGGATGACTGCTGGTCGTGGAGGTGCGTATTCCGGTTTATGCGATTCGATCTATATCTGATGGTTTGCGCAGTCACTCACGCAGAGATGCCCGTGCATGGGCTTGGGATCCCCGATCCCAAGGGGCTGCAGCTCTGGGTTGACCTCCCAAAAGAGCACAAAATGACCAAGCCAACATATCAAGAGCTCGGCAAGGCCGGTATCCCGTCTGCCTTCCCAGAAGGACCTGATGGCCCTAGCGAGATCCGCGTCATCTCCGGCAAGTCGTACGGCGTAGAATCGCCGGTGAAGCCGCTGGGAGGATGCTGGTACTTCGATGTACAACTCAAGAAAGCGGGTGCAAGCGTCTTCCAGGATATCCCTGCTGGATGGACGGCCTTCCTCTACGTCTTATCGGGCAAGGTCAAGGTCGGCGCTACCCCCGAAGCACACGAGCCGTACCACACGCTCGTGCTCAGTTCAAAGAGCAACGAGGATGGCGTCGCTCTCACAGCGGAGGAAGACAACACGCGCATAGTTCTTTGTGCCGGCGAACCGCTCAACCAGACAGTCTTCCAGTATGGTCCGTTTGTGATGACCACCAAAGAGGAGATCATGAAGACCCTTCAAGATTACTCCATGGGTATCAATGGGTTTGAGAAAGCCCATGTCTGGAAGAGCAAGATCGCGGAGAACCTCAGGAGGTCGATGGGGATGGACTAGATTTGGCCGCATATGTGTCTGACTGAGTTGATGGTGCTCCGCCTCTGAATATGCGTGCACTTGTACACTTACTATTATGTGAACCGCTGCGTATCTCACAGCCAATATGATTAACGAGTTCTAGAATGTTATCGACGACGGTGACAGTGCAACAATAACAAGGAAATTGCCAAGTCTGTTGATGAAGCAGCAATTAGGCTAGAGCGTGTTCTCGTGACGATTCTGTCGCTCCGCTTCTGAAAACGCAGTCCTTGTTTCTCAGAACGAAGGAGAGCTTCCAACCCACACAAGATGTCTCGAGAGATGAGCAATAACATTGATATCAATACAGATGACTTTTGAGTGCCGAAACAACCATATCCTCATTGATAAACAACTACCTTTCTCCACTCCCAAAGCTAGCGTGCGCGGCCGTACGGCGATCCACGCCCTCCTCTCCCGCTCATGCCATGCCCGTCCATTTCGCGCGTCGAGCCAGTCGCCGAACTGGTTCCCGCACCGGCACCTCGCCCGCTGGCGCTGCCACCCGCGCCGGGCCCAACCGGATACCCCGTACTCGTATGCTGGACATTTTCGCTGAGCCTTGATCAGCCCCTCACTCACCGGGACACCTTGCCCAGAAATACACACATAGGGAACATAACCGCCGGAAGAGAGCTCAAGCCACCCGAGCTCTGCCTTGATCTATAGCTCTGCTGTCTGCTTGGCGTTGCCGGCGGGGTCGATAGGTGGGAGTGCGAGTGCGAGTGGGAATGCGAGTAGATGTGCAAGGCAGGTGGTGGAGGGTCCTCTTCGTCTGATGGCTCAGGCTGGGCGGTGTCTGGTGGGGGGTAAGACGGAGTTGTCACCTGCATGAATGGTGCAATGTTGTCAGTTTTTCGTTCTCGCCAGGCTGGGGAGCCAGCCTCTGGGAGGAAAGCGGCTCACCGTTGGCCTCACGGCCTCCCTGATTGTTCTTTCCGGTGGGCTCGCAGACAAGAACACTTCATGCCCGCCGTCGTCCCCAGGCCCAAACAGGCCCGCTGTCTGCGGGCTGCCGCTCCTAGGCAGGGAGTTACGAGAGGTCCTCTGCCTGTGCGTCGGCCTAAACCCGCCTGCGACCGGGGCAGGTATGGCCATCGGTATGGGTTGGGGGAAGTCTGAGGTCGTCGGGGTGCTTGGACCGGAGATGAGGTGAGAATGCGCGTGCGCGTGCGTGGTGGAGGAGATCGTGCCGTTGGTCTGCGCCGGGAGGCTGAGAGAACTAGGCAGGATAGGGCCGGGCAAGCTGCTAATTTTTCCAAAGACGGCGTAACCTAGACAGCAGAGAAGCACAAATGAAGAAACATACCATCAGTTGATTGGGTGGAGATGCGAGTTCCGGGACTTACGGGGTAAGCCGGCGATGTTTTCGCAGTTCGAATCGACGTGCACGCCCAGGTATCTGATTCAAGGGCCCCGGTGGGGATATGTCAGCCTTCTGGCAGATAAGGACAAGATAAGACTGGTGTAACATACCTGAGGAAGTCTACCAGCTGTCTCTTCGTGAACACCTGTTTGCTATGAGTAGAAGATCACACGACACAGAAATGGGACAGCGCACGATGCTCGTCTCGTCCCAATCGAGGCCGGCTATCCCCGTATAACCGCATCAGTAAATATCACCCGATGACATCACGACACAGGGCCTTAGGGAGAGCAAGGGGGGGCGAACTTACCTAGTCGACTAGCCCACTCGCTCTCGTGCGCTTGGTCGACTACCCCAGAGGGTGTGAATCGACCTGTGCCCGCGCCACGCCTGGGAGAGACGGGGCTGTTCATTGCTTGCTGCTGTTGAAGTACACTATGTTGGGCTGGAACTGTGGGTGGAGGGGGCGGCTGTTGAGCGGCTGTGGGTACCTGTGCCTGTGCAGGCTGCGTTGGGAGTGTGGGGACCTGTGGGGCAACCTGAGCGGGGTAAGATTCCGTTGGCGGGGTTGCTGGCGGGGCGATAGACGCTGACCCTTGGGTTTGGGTTTGGGTTTGGGCTGGTACTGGGGTTGTGAGTTGAACGACGCGCTGAGCGGGGCCGGGTCGGGGATTTGAAGTCATCCGAGCAGGTCCTTGCTTGAGTACCGTGGAACAACGCCGTACATGCACGGAACTGGAAAGAGTATGCTCGCTGTCGTTCAGCACTCACACTCACAACAGTTGGGCCCTCCAGGCGTTGCGGTGCTACAATCCTAGGCAATGGCGACGGGAAACGCAGACTGTAGCGGCTCTAAGCCTTCAGGAGCGAGCGAGGGATTCACGCGGTTCACACGCAGTCGTTGCTGCCCGTAGTCTGTTGCCTGTCACCGTGAGTCGGGACGTGCACACGCCTGGTGTCCTTTGTATGGTAAGCTCCGGCCAGGCGAAGAGGATAGGGTTCTCCTTCCCCCGACCACGGGGGCCCCGTGTGACTGACAAAGGGATAGGACTATAAGAACCGGCACACCGGCCCAAAGGCGATGCTATCCCCCGAGGTCCTCGAGGCGATGAAGGGCATGAGGGCATGCAGAACATGAGGTACCTGCCAACAAGGTCAACGCTCGTCCGACCAAAAGGGTTCCTTTGTTCCGCACAACGGAACACGTGTTCACTCTCCTATGTAGGCTCGGCCCGAGACATCAGAGAACATGATTGTCTTATCCCACGATAAGTATGCAACGGATTGAACTAATCGATCCGTTAAAGAGCGGTCTCCTAACAATACAAGCAAGTGCGTTGAATGCAAAGTTCTATCGAGTGTGCGGTTGAATGCCGAGAGGGGATTTCGTAAACGAACCAAGGAATTAGGGGGAAAACCGTCGTGCATCGTCGGTTCTATTCGTCCAATCAACATTGCATCGAGGGTCACAAGCCGCGGTTGCTCCCTGCTGTTATTGTTGTGGCTTGTCGTTGTCCATATCCTCATCCACTACAGTGTCTTCTGTCATGACTCTCATGAGAGGGCTTCCTCTTTGAATCGCCAACGTATTATTCGCCGGGTGGGGCGTCGCGGCTCGTACCGCAGATGGACTCTGTGGCTCTGCGGTCTCCGCAACATTCCGGCGCACATCAGCGTCCTCGGACGTCTCAGCGCTCTCAGGGGACGCCTCGAGGTCCTTCTCCTTCTCAGCCGGATCTTCCTCGCTGGGCGCCGACTTCTTTCCGGATCCCCCTATGATACCCATGCCACGTGGCGCGACCACAGCGACCGCGAGTGCTGCGCCACCGCCGGAATTCATTAGCCCAATCCGGAATCTTCAACAAATGCACCACTCACAAGCCATAGCGAACCCAAAGCTAGTCCACTGTGCACACCTCTGTCCAAACAACTGCGCCGCAGGGCTCGCGTTCGTCCCATCTTGGTCTAGCACCACACCCTCCTTTGCGCTCTGCGACCACACCACCGTATCGTACACGATCGTGGTGATCGTCATCCCGAATGCGGTCCCTGTCTGGGTGACGGTGTTGAATATGCCTCCTGCAAGGGACTGCTCATGATGTCGCGCGATCTTGGCGCCGTATAGGGTAGAACTAGCGAAGATGCTGCATGGAAAGATCGAGATTAGCGAGATGATATGAAGTGGAGCGAAGCACGCACAAATCTGCGCCGAACACGCTCAGGATGGCTGCTGGGAAGCCGAATGCCCAGTATGGACTGCCCGTGTTGATCACGGCAAACAGGAGGTTAGCGAGCCCTGTGCCGATGCAGCCGATAACTGAATACAAGTTAGAACAGGATGCCGAGCCCCGCGAGGTGGAACGCACTGATCAGGTAGTTGGCGGGTACATGACCGGATACTAGTGCGAAGACTACGTTGACGGAGAAGCCGGCTACTGCCATGGGTAGGAAGCGAAGCATGGTCTGGATTGGCGGTAAACCGAGGTACTCTTGGTAGCTGTTCGCCTTGTCAGCTCTGTCTTCACGTCAGTTGAATTGAAAGCACTCACTAAAGCGTCGCCCAGAACGAGAATGTGGCAAATGCGGACCAAGCGAGGAAGCCGATCAGCTGCACGGCGGCGAACCGCCCGCCCGCGCGTGCCCAGAGGGAGAGTCGCATGAGCGGCGGTCGCGACGTGCGGAACTCGACGTGGTACTCCCAGAGTATGAAGAGGAAGATCATCATCAAGCCAACAACAAGGAGAGCGATAATATCTGTAATCCTAGATCAGCATATGAGGGTGCTGCGGAGAAGATGACGACGTACAAGGCGTTCTCCACCCCTGGGGAGCGATCTCTCCCTGCCCCAAGACGAACGTGAACAAAACTAGCCCGACTGTGATAAGTAGCGCCCCGGTCCAGTCTACCCGTCTGTCCTCGGCGAGCGGCGCATCAGGTGGGAAACTGAACCAGGCGCCGATCAAGGTCAAAGCGCCAATTCCGGCCATTACGAAGAATATAGCTCGCCAGGAGATGCTGGTGTCGTCATCGTCAGCTGCTGCGGTATATGCAATACTAAAATTTACGCACGCCGCATATTGGGTTAAGATTCCTCCTAGGACAAGTCCGAAGGCTGCCCCAACCGGTGCTCCAGCCGAGAACGTGGCGAACGCGATGCTTCTCGCCCTGCTAGGAGGGAACGTCCTAGCCAATATCCCCAAACACGCCGGTATCGTAGCAGCGATGCCCATGCCCGCAAAAGCACGCATGAGGATGATCGTCACTCCTTGCTGGGCGAAGCCGCACGCGATGGTAAATGCAATGAGCCAGATGTCGCCGAGCAGGAAAACGTGTTTGCGCCCAAAGATGTCTGCGAGCCGACCAAAGAGAAGGAGGAAGCAGCCCTGCATACATCGTCAACCACGGCTGCAAGGTATGAGAAGGAGGGCGGTACGGCGGTTAGAGAATAGGCGCTCATGAGCCATTGTAGCGTGCCTGAGGGATGCGTGAGCGAGCTTCTCAACAATTCCGGCAATGAGACGTACTGGTCGGGATACCAAGGTCTCTCCCAACACTCGGTAATGCGATATTCATTGACGTGACACCACAGATCTGAATCCTTCTCAGCGTCTCTCTGCGAGGTGGTGAGGGTGCAAGTGCCCACGTTCAACATCATCGCCGTCGAAGTTACTCCGACTATGCTGATCGCCTTCCAACTCGTAAGACTCGGTCCATGATGCTACCCCGAAACTCATTCAGACTCGAATTCAAAGCTCAACGGCAAATACTGACAGCTCCTAGTGTCGCGTCGTCGTCATGCTGATCAGTCATCAGTTACTGAACTAACAAAGCGAGGCGTACGATGCACCTCTTTCTCATGTTCGGCATATTCCGCCTCCTCCGGGGTTGGTTCTCTTAACTTTTCTTGAAAATATTCTCCGAGTCCCATTGCTCGCTATTGCATTCGATTCGCAGCTCTGAAAAGAGAGGATGCAAGTAGGAGAGGGTTGACAAGGTAGATATCGGAGCAAAGGCGGATCATGGCGTAGATATAGTATTACTCCAGGAGCGCCCCGGCTTCACGTCGCTTAGGCGCCCAATGATGTAAAAGTCCTCAGGGAAAAGGAAGCCGAGGAAGCCGAGGCAGATAATTTACCCTCCATTTGGTCGGAGATTCCCACATGCACGGAGAAAAGGATTAATACTTACTTGCTTTTCTTGGTGGATAATATATTTGTCATCGGTTGGAGTGAGACGTGACGATGTAGCTTACTACGAAAGAAATATCAGCCGTTTTCCCATGGTCTACTCGAACAACAACTTTCACCTCAATCATAGGATCAACACTTTGCTTGCTAATGACATTACCTATTGATATTCATATAAGACGAAGATTGAACATTCTGGGCGCTCATTTCTTGAGAAAACAGCGGCGCTGGCAGCGCCGTCAGAAGGTGCACAAGTTGCTTAGCACAATTTGTCGTCGGACTTTCGGAAGGCGGCGTTTACACCTCCGCTGCAGCCATTAATAGGTGCAGCATTACTGGGCCTTTGATAGGCGACGTTGATCATGCAGGTGGGATAATACTGCGCGAACAGATCACAGTGCTAGATCTTCCAGTCTATTCGTGCTGGATGGGATTGCGAAAAGGAAGAACCGCTGATCTTCTGCCTCTTTTTGCAGTCGGTGAAACATGCAAGATACCATAACTTGTTCATTACACGCCGAGTCATAGTTTCTCATATTCGGCAATTCCAATAAACATGGGGGGAGACCGGCCGAAGTGCCAGCAAGTAATCATATCTATCCCTGGGAGGCGCAGTTGCAGCCTTTATCTAATCAGTGAACCTTGTGAACTTGACGACTGTAGTCACGTAGATAAGAGGAGAAGACTACGTCACATGTAAGTATTTAATGAGTCGAAGGTAAACGTACTTGCTTTATTTAGGACTATTTCCTATGAATACTTTGGCATTCGTGCCTAATTCATGAAGAATGATGATGTGCAATGTCACGATCCTCCACTCTCTCTGCTGCGGGGCAATGAACGTCCGGTCCATACACCTAGTAGTGCGAGGCATAAATACCGCCAGCGCCGTACTCT